TTCGGAGAGTAGCTTTCTGGCATATGAGTTGTTGATCCTAGGTTGTAGTGCTGCAACCTGAGTCTTAAGGGAATGAGGCTCGCGGTGGTGAAGTGACTCCCATTTCATATTGGCGCCCATCATATTGGCGAAAGTCTCGGAAGGCGAGTGTAGCTGTGGAATAGTTGTAATGGGTTTGTGAAAGCTGGGAAGGTTCAACGATTTGATCAGTGATTCCTGGCTTTGAAAAGAAATGGTGAAGTGAGAAGAGCTTGTAGAGGCGTGGGAGAGATTGACATATCTATTCCTTTTAAATATATGTATATGCACACAGCAGATGCTAGCATTGTATGTGCATCTAGATAAGAATGGAGTAATCCATGTTCTCATACTAACGTCCCCCCCTGTGTGGCGCAACACCCCCCGTGCCGCAACAATTTTATTGCTTCGGCATCTTACTCTCTCCCTCGCGATCCAATCAAGGTACCGTTAGCCTATTATTATTCTTCAGACATTCTTCCCTAGGAAACTCGTGTGCAGCTAAAATATTACGACGTTCTTGATCATACTGTCGATCATTCCTTTCAGAGCATCTGGAACGGCACTAGCTTTACACCCCTGCTACACCATAACTATCTCCCAAATTTCATATTTCGGAGTATTGGACCGATGGCTCCAGGATGAAAGAAGATGTCTCTAAGCTTTGAGGCAATAGGCTCTTAGAAACATACATTCCGGATTTATCCGTGCGAAGGGGTCCGGAGTATATCTTAGCATGAGGGTTTTAGCGCGCTTACGTAGGGAGGTATTAGATGTACTGTATTTTACGCTATGATTAAAATGCGGCAGTCTTCTAGAAACATCCATGAATGGTCATGCGCTGGCTATCTTTGGCAGCCGTTCCTTGTTGCCATCTTTGCTAACTTTATCTACAATTGCTAGCGAATGCGGCTTCACCACAAACGTGGTTGCAACATGGATTCTAATTTACCCACCAGTGGAAGCCTTGGCACCCCATCTTATGTACATCAGGCACCATTAGCCTAGGCACGTGATTTGCCACGGTACCTCTCCACCACACCACCGCTTGAGCTGACAAAGGTCATGGCCGGAGCGGTTCGACCGTCCTCCCTGCAAGCGTGATCGAGGCGTTCGTTGATCTTGTCGCTTGTGAATTCGCCTTCCGCTAAAGCCTGGCTGCTGCCTGTCAGCCTTGCCGCGCCATACCAGAGGCTGTCAATTCCGCCGCACCCCGCCCAGCCTGAGGTCGCGCAAACTCCCTTCTTAACTTCCAAAACTAAGGACAGGCTAAGGCACAGCAGAATCCGCTCGCAGCACTGTTTATGTCTCGCTTGTAGATTTTATATCTTAGGTTAGCTTAACGTTCTATCTTCTAGCATAATCGCTAACCTTTATAGGCAGGACTCCATTTCCTAACGGACGTGGGAGTTGACCTGCTCGTCTCTTCTACTAGCTTGCTGCCTTAAGCTTCTAATATCCTCTTCTTATCAACATCTGCCTCCTTCAAGCAAGAAATGCGTCTTCTAGAACTCAGCGACACTGGCGAAATCACCCTCACCAAGGACGACGATCCGATCCCACCCTATGCGATCCTCTCACATACCTGGGAGGAGGGCCAGGAAGTCACCTTCCGTGATTTGATAGATGGCACCGGACTGGACAAGGTTGGCTACAATAAAATCCAGTTTTGTGGACAACAGGCTAAACGCGATGGCTTGCGATACTTTTGGGTGGACACCTGCTGCATCGACAAGTCCAACCCAGTAGAGCTTCAGAGCGCTATTGATTCCATGTTTCGCTGGTATCAGGGTGCAGAGAGATGCTATGTCTTTCTTTCCGATGTCTCAACACTTAAGCGAAAAGCGGAGGATAATTCCTCTCAATGTACTTGGGAGCGGGCTTTTTGGAAAAGCAGATGGTTCACCCGGGGCTGGACTCTCCAAGAGCTTCTTGCGCCAATTTCAGTCGAATTCTTCTCCCGAGAACAGAAAAAGCTTGGCGACAAAAGATCGCTGGGGCAGCAAATCCGCAAAATTACAGGGATTCCTGATGCAGCGCTTAAAGGAGCACGTTTATCTCATTTCAGCGACAAAGAGCGATTTCTGTGGATACAGTACCGCAAGGTAACAGTCGAAGAAGATAAAGCGTATTCCCTGCTTGGTATTTTCGACATTAAAATGCCTCTTCGCTATGGAGAAGGATCCGCAAGTGCGTTCAAACGGCTCGAGGAGGAGATCGACAAGCTGAACAAATGCCTCCGAGACTTACGCTTGACTGATCCCCGTGATGACAAGAAGCGCATTGAAGACATTAAGGGTGGTTTGCTGGAGGACTCTTACTGCTGGATCCTTGAAAATCCCAACTTCCAACAATGGCGCAACAACCAACAGAGTCGCCTGCTATGGATCAAGGGTGATCCTGGTAAGGGCAAGACGATGCTGCTCTGCGGCATTATTAACGAGTTAAAGAAGTCAACAGTCAAGACAAATCTCCTGTCCTACTTCTTCTGTCAGGCCACGGACTCGCGAATTAACAACGCCACAGCCGTGCTGCGAGGTCTGCTATACTTGCTTGCCAATCAACAGCCATCGCTTGTATCGCATATTCGAAAAAAGCACGACCACGCAGGCAAATCCCTCTTTGAAGACGCAAATGCTTGGACTGCCCTATCTAAGATTTTCACGAACACCCTTCAAGACCCAAGCTTGGACACTATATACTTAGTTGTCGATGCGCTTGACGAGTGCATAGCAGACATGCCAAAGCTGCTATCTTTTATTGCCCAGCAGTCTTCCGCATCCCCTCGTGTCAAGTGGATTGTTTCTAGCCGCAACTGGCCCAATATTGAGGAACAGCTAGAGAGGGCAGTGCACAAGGTGCGGTTGTGCCTTGAGCTTAATGCCAAGTCCGTTTCCGCAGCTGTTAGCACATTCACCCGACACAAAGTATTTCAGCTAGCGGAGCAAAAAAAATACGACAATAAAACAAGAGACGCTGTCCAAAGCTACCTGTCCTTGCATGCGGATGACACCTTCCTCTGGGTGGCTTTAGTCTGCCAAAACCTTGAGAAGATACCACGATGGAAGGCTGTCGCCGAGTTGAATGTTTTTCCACCTGGACTTGATTCTCTCTACGAGCGTATGATAGAGCATTTACATAGCTTAGTCGACTATGATCTGAGCAAACAGATACTGGCCTTTATTGCGGTTGTATACCAACCCATCACACTCCAGGAGCTAACATCGCTTGTTGAGATGCTCGATATAGTCGACGATCTAGCATCAGTACGGGATATTATTAGCTTCTGTGGCTCGTTTCTTACTGTTCGAGACGATACCGTTTATTTTGTGCATCAGTCCGCAAAGGATTTTCTATTCAAGAAGGCATTTGATACAATTTTTCCATCTGGGAGGGAAAAGGTCCACCACACAATCTTCTTGAGGTCTCTCCAGGTCATGTCCAGAACGCTACGACGAGACATGTACAACCTAGGTTCGTTAGGATATCCTGCTGAGCTGGTTACACGGCCAGATCCAGACCCATTAGCAGCATCGCGCTACTCGTCTATCTACTGGGTCGATCATCTTTATGACTCAAATCTTACGTCTCTAGCAAGCCACAACAATGTATTGTATAATGGAGGAATTGTTGACGTATTTTTGCAGAAGAAGTTTCTCTACTGGCTGGAAGGTCTTAGTCTGTGCAAGAGCGTGCCGAAGGGTGTTGTTTCAGTAGAGAAACTATGGTTGTTAATCCAAGTAGGTCACAAAGAATTAACTATAGTTCAGACAATCTTTATGCTAATATAAGGTAGAGAAGAGGAGATGCAAGTGCATTTACTGAGCTTGTTAAGGACGCGCATCGGTTTATTATGTATCACAAGGGAGCTATTGAGTATAGCCCTCTCCAGGCCTATGTATCTGCGCTGTTATTCAGTCCAACAAAGAGTTGGATAAGAAGGCATTTCCAGCATGAAGAGCTAGGTTGGCTCATGATCAAGCCAGCAATGGGCGACGGCTGGAGCGCGTGCCTGCAGACGCTCGAAGGCCATAGCAGTTACGTTAACTCAGTGGCCTTCTCTCACGACTCGACGCGGCTGGCGTCGGCGTCTAACGACCGCACAGTCAAGATCTGGGATGCGAGCAGCGGCGCGTGCCTGCAGACGCTCGAGGGCCATAGCCGTTACGTCAACTTAGTGGCCTTCTCTCACGACTCGACGCGGCTAGCGTCAGCGTCTCTTGACCGCACAGTCAAGATCTGGGATGCGAGCAGCGGCGCGTGCCTGCAGACGCTTAACGGCCATAGCGGTTACGCTAACTTAGTGGCATTCTCTCACGACTCAACGCGGCTGGCGTCGGCGTCTTACGACCGCACAGTCAAGATCTGGAATGCGAGCAGCGGCGCGTGCCTGCAGACGCTTAAGGGCCATAGCCGTTCTGTTAAATCAGTGGCCTTCTCTCACGACTCAACGCAGCTGGCGTCGGCGTCTGACGACTGCACAGTCAAGATCTGGAATGCAAGTAGCAGCGCGTGCCTGCAGACGCTGGACGGCCATAGCCGTTCCATCAAATCAGTGGCCTTCTCTCACAACTCGACGCGGCTGGCGTCAGCGTCTGACGACCGTACAGTCAAGATCTGGGATGCGAGCAGCGGTGCGTGCCTGCAGACGCTTAACGGCCATAGCCGTTCCGTCAACTTAGTAGCCTTCTCTCACGACTCGACGCGGCTGGCGTCGGCGTCTTACGACCGCACAGCCAAGATCTGGGATGCGAGCAGCGGTGCGTGCCTGCAGACGCTTGATGTTGGCAATGCGCTTAGGAACATATCATTTGACACTACTGGCTTGTATCTTTACACTAATATTGGTGCTATTAGTGTTAGTGCAACACTATTACTTTTAAGTACTGCACCAACTATTATAGAGTCTCGGAAGCCGAGATATCAAGGCCTAGCGTTGAGTTTAGATGGGGCATGGATAACACATAACTCTAAGAAGCTAGTATGGCTGCCATCAGAGTATCGGCCATCATGTTCGGCAGTGTCAGGAAAAAAAATTGGCATTGGTGTTGGAACTGGAAGAGTCTGGATATGCGAAACTTTGCTTGACATAGCCTAGCAAGAGCGTTTGTAAAGAGTAACTTATTATTCTTATTTTCTTTTTTATCTCTAATTTATAATAAGGGCCAAGGATCCAGGTGAATATATAGCTTCCTAATTTGCTATCCCTTCAAACGCTGGGGCGCATCGCTCGGGCCAGTTTTCAAGTCCGTGCAGGAACACCGTACTAAATAGCCTTAATCCCAATTGCAATTCTCATCACGACGTTCAAACGAGAGTCTCTGATTAGCTGGAGTTATTGGCCCGAGCGTTGCGCGCCGAAATCAGCGGTTTAAGGGATAGTAAATCTTTAAGCATCTTCTAATCAGCTGACTTATAGAAAACACGTGTTGCAGCTTTGCTACTTAAACGTCAGCAGATATAGACAAACGCATCTGTGACGCTAGCAGGGAGGACGGTCGACCCGCTCCGGCCATAGGGTTTGGTAGAGAAGTACCTTCTTGTACCGTGGCAAATCACGTGCTTCGGCTAATGATACCTGACATAAGGTGGGTACTAAGGCCCCAATCAGCCACACTTAGCCACAAGCTTGGCTTACTAGGTAACATAAGTAAATTACATCGTGATGATTATGTAAGACAAGCGGAGTCGTTTTGTACTAGCCAGAACCGGTAAGTGCTTCGATCAGAAGTACCGACCAGGGTAGCGACCTTGCATGAATTTGCGTGCGACAGCAGCCACAAAGCTAATGCCAATTTCTTAATATAGTAGTGAGGTTCTAAAGTTTGAATAAGGCCCTTTTATGAGCATTAGGAGTGATGGGAGCTCAATAGTGGCGCTGTGGCGACGGAACTCGGTTACGCCATAAAAGAAGGCTATCCGCAAATCAGGCGCGAAGGCGACAATGCGAACGTAAATTTTCCGTGGGAGAGGTTACAAGGGCTATAGGATGGCTACAGCACACAGCTTATATAGAATTATGGGATATATCGATGCGTGCAAAGAGCTTGAGTTGTTTGAAGTCAATGTACCCCTCATATGTTGCGGCACGGTGGGTGTTGCGCCACCCAGGGACGGACGATAGGTTGTACACAAACAACGCTGGTAAAGGTTTGTAAGGCTAGACACGAGGAAAAAAGTCTCTCAATGTCGTAGAAAATTGAGCATGTTTCTTTGAAACGTGTTGAATGGACAAAGTCGTCCTGAAAGTAATAGGAAAAGCAAAGGTTGTGCACTCAGAGAAACTTACGTCACGAATGTATGGTGTAGAGATTTGGGGGGGATTAGTTTCATTGTTCGCCTTCACGCGGCTTTTGGGAGAGCGAGGCCCTGTTTAGGGTCTATTCACCTAACGCCAATAGCGGTGCTAGGTGTCGGATGCGAATATCGCACCCTGTAGATTCAAAGGGGAACTCTCCCCTCAACTACGTATTTACTGCCCACCATGTCTAGGACCATGGTGCGCTCGCCCCTCGTCGTCATCATCATATTCCCCGATCACAATCGAGTATTAGGCTTTTGCAGCTTCCGGGGACGTGACGAAGGGACCTGGGTTGCCCCAGGACCCTTGATCCAGTAAAGCGGGATTGACCTGAACCCCGACTGGTCCTCGAGGCCGCACTCCACATCAGCGCGCGCCTTTGGCTTGCGCCTGCGGAGGACGCAGATCAAGACTGCAATGACTAGGATAGCTAAGAACAAAAGGACGACGGCGGCGACGATCAGGATGACGTTGCGGAAGTGCGCATCGTGAAGAAATCGATCGCCGAAATTGACGGGAGGACTAGAGGAGGGCGCCTCGGTAGGTTGAGGCTCTCCTCGGTGGAAGAACGTGGTTCCCATGTCAGATGATGTGAGTGAGTTGGAGGTGTCCAAGTTTGTGGGTTGAAATGGGATCGGTGGGGTTGGTTTGTGAGAAGCTAGGAGTAGTGGGAAATTTGTTTGGTGGATCCTGGCTTTGAGAAACAAACACGCGTTGGAGAGAGTTATGATCGCGTGGGTGCGGTATATATATCTTTTCGTTTAAGGATATGTATATGAACAGTGCGGAAAAGACATGAGAATTGTATGTTTACAGACGAGCATGAAATGTTCGCTGATCTTGTATTGAGAAGTAGACCTACAATGCGGGCGCAAACATAGGGCTGTCTAAGCGTCGTAGACACTTGGAGTTGCTGGCATAGTAGCTGCCTACATGCCTAGCCAGTTACAACTTCTACAGAGAGGGGTTGGGGTACGGTGGCCTACCGTGCCTACCGTGCCTACTGCTGTCTCTAATTAGTGCTTCTGCCTACGCGTACAGTCACTTCCTACGTAGTATATAGTTTGGCCTTCGGGCCCCCGAAATAAGACAGAGTTCACGTCAATTTGCAACCTGAGTTAGACCATTTGCATTGTTAGGCTTCTAAGACATAGTGAACGAACAAAGTAGTTTTAAGGATGGATTCGAAAGACGAAGTGAGACTTTGCAAAGACCTTACGCAGACGGACACGAATGAACAGGAACTTTGATGGCAATAATGGAGTTATGATGCCTATCAGCTAATATACCTGAGACTCAACGAAATAATGGTTTCCCATTGATAGATCAATGGTACATTGGCAACGTATCACGGGCACGGGTTTGGATGTACGAGAATGACTCGAGGGAATGAATTGATGTTCTACAAAGGGCGACGAAAAGGGGCGTAGAGACAAGCCCGTAGCTATTATACGATTGACTTACGGTCTTAGTGTATGTCTTGGCCTGAAAATGTGAAAAACTTGTCTTGGCTAGAGAGAAGGAGGCTTCATTGTCTAACTTCACGCATCGTCTTCGTTCGTCATCTGGGCCTTCAATATTGCAGTGCAGGGTTTGTATGAAGGCCTCTCAGCCAGCTCGGTGGGATGGTTCTGAAGCCCCAGCCTTGTTCAATGCCATTTTCGACGTCGGCGGGAGCACTATTCTTGCGTCTACAATGGGCCGCAATTGAGAGCACGAATAACATCACAGCCAGAATCACGAAAACTACCACCGCGAAGATGATGACGATGTCGAGATACTGCTCGCTCAAGAAGTAATCGACTGAACCAGGTTCTAGAACTGGTGAGAGGAAATCAGCCAGAGGCTCGCTTTGGTTGGTGGGCGACAATAGTGTGTCAAAATCCGGGGATGTGAGATTGAGGGGGTGTGGAAGCTTGAAGCCGGTCGGCGCTCCGCCGTTGTCATTGGGTGGGGGTTTTGGTCCCATTCCTTTCAAGGTAAGGAACTGCCTTGAGGGGCGCCTCTAGAAGTGTGATTGAGATCTATATGTCTTCTGCGTCTTGAAAATGTATCTACACATTGCGGATATTAGCATCGAAACTGCAGATCGGAATGTAGCTTGATGTGGGGAGCTTTAACATCACCAAAGCATTGTACTTACATAAAAGTAGGGAGAAAGTGATTTCATTCTTCGCCTTCGCGCGTCTCATAGGTAGCGCCAAGGTCTCTTCGAGACTTAGACACCTAACACCAACATGGTGTTAAGTAGTGGATCTCAACGTCTACTCGTCAAGGTTTTGTCGGCCGACTAGGTCGAATGCCCACCTATCGGTCCCCACGGGTTAGGTTCGCGATTCCCCCTGCCTTCATCATCGGAATCGGCATCGTCGCCGATGGCAAATCGAGGATCGTGCTTTGGCGAAGTGGGAGGCTTGGCCAGAGGATCTTTGATTAGTACATGCGCCATCTTGGGTCCGATCAGTTGTTGGAGCGGGATTGACCTGAATCCCGACTCGTTCTCGAAGCCGCGATCCATATCGGCGCGCGCCTTGCGTTTGCGCCTGCGGAGAATGCAGAGTAAGACCACTACGACAACGGTCGCTAGCACCATGACGATGATGGCGGCAACAATGAGTGCAATGTTTCGAAACTTCGACTTCGGAAACGGCGCCAGGGTTGGACTGATGGTGCTCGTTGGGAAGGCGGCCTCAAGCTCGCTGGAGTTGGTAGTCTCCCACAACATTCCAGTTGTCGCTGTAGGGCTGGTTGTAGGGCCGAGTGAAATGGTTGATGGGGAACGTTTTTAGAATCTAGGAAGGTTCAACAGGTTTTGAGGTTCCTAAGGTTGAGAATTTGGGTGAAGTGAAGAGTTTGTGGTGACGTGGTCGAAGGTTTTATCTATTTCTCGGCCAAATATATGCTACGCACAATACGGATGTTAGCATTGTTCATACATATAGATGAGCATGGAGCATTAACGTTCTTATACCAACTTGTCTATGAACAACGCCGATACCGACGTTGTACAGTTATAGACAAGGGAGTGTGTTTTGGTGGCCTAGACGCTCAACTTCCCTCCCTGGGTGGCGAGAAACCCCCTGTGCCAAGAAGAAATTATTTTTTAGGCATCTTAAGTCTTTCCCTCATGTTTTATATAGTTATAGTCAATTTATTCTTACTCTTTAGACATTTCTTCTTATAAAAGTAGTCTATAGAGAGAAAATATAAAGCTATGTTGGGTATAAAGCCAGACGAAATACTATTAAGGCTGATATGGATTAACTCTCTAGCTCGGTATGTATAACTGTCTTGGATCTATTCAGCTAATCAACAGTTAGTCTTTCATCTGCACGGACCGCTCACCTACGCCCTACGTCTCAATCTTTGGTTGGGTGGGATTGAGAATAATGGAATGTGCGAGAACGCGGAGATATTACGGCTCGAGCTTATGAAAAGTTGACTCAACATAACTACATATTTACTCTATTTTCTGTGCCTCCCACAACAAAAGAATAAGGACTCTAGTCTAACGGCCCTGGCAGCATCGGCGAATTAAAAGTTTTTCCAAGGGCTTTTCCCTACACAGCTTACCTCGGTGAGCCATAGGCTTTTGCTTCAAAAGTTCCAGGTTCCAAACTTACTGGGATCATTCTTTTTTGCACTGTTTACTTTTTAGATTTTAGATAGAGGAACTGCCAGTGTAGGATGCTTAGGAATGTGTGCACTTTTCCCCTAGCGAGTTAAGCGATGCTACACGTCACGATTCTCAGTCGGCGGGGACAAAAGGCCAGACATGTGACTGCGGCCCCAGATTTCCTTGCGTTCATTGAAACATGGTAGAAAGGCGTGAGCAGGCTTTGTCACATTGGTGAATCTCGGAGTCAACAAGATAGTAGTTCCGCATTGACAGAGTAATGACAAGACGTGATTCGTCAGACAGGTTTCATGGATGTGAGAGAATGAATGCCGCCATAGATAGTAGAGAGCGACGATATAATGCCAATTTAGCAAATCAGGCTATCTCTTCTCCTACTGGTAGTGCTGGCTGTTGGTAGAATTCTGCCAGCCGTGCCCATTTGCTTCCGTCTCGTTCATGTAATGCGGCCTTTGCACATAGCCAGGTTGTGGTTGTAGTGCATACGGCGGCACTGGCGTCATAGTATTCCTAGCCGTGCTTGCTGGTGACATTGGAACTGACTCGAGCTGGCCGAATGCCTTGGGTTCGCCGCCAATGGGCACAGGAAGCGTAACGGGTGGGTAGTTGGGATGTTTTTGTTTCTTTTCGAAATAGCCTTTCTTATTGCCGATGAAGAGAAGGGCAGCGAGAAGAGCGATGAAAGCCACTCCCCCTACGACACCACCTACGATGGGCCCGATGTTGGTTTCTTTCTTTGAGGTGCCGAAGCACACGTCCGTGTTCGTCGCTGCTGCGGCGGGGACGACGGACTGAACGGCCGTAGTCTGCACGATGGTCTGGCCAGCGCTGTTGACGCTCGTAAACATTTGGGTCAGGATGATGGTAGAGGCTTCCTTGGTGATTGTATTGACCTGAGTCTCGTGGACCGTGTTGTCTTGGGTCTTGGTTTCTCGAATGGTGTTATCGCGCGTCTCGGTAGCAAGCTCGGTAAGGTATTGGATGTTGGTGACGGTTTCGAAGTCCGTGATGTAAATATCATCCACTGTCGTCTGGACCTCCGTCTCGGTAATATAGTCTGTCTCCGTCTCCGTCTCCGTTACTGTCTGGGTGGGATCACCACAAACCCCGCCAATAAGACAGCATGATTGCGAGGTCCTAGGCACCGATTAACTTGAGATCTGACATGAAAATATTGAAAAGGTTGGACTTACTGGTCAGCCCATGCGCATTGATACCTGAAATCAGATTATCGTTAGTGTGCTTGATTGAATAGAAAGAGTCATCTCGGGAACTTGGGAGGTGAACTTACCCGGATAGACAGCATCTAGTACCGCAGCACCGTCCATCACTTGGACAACAGCCTTCGTTATTCTGATTGTCATAGCAACAAATCTCGCCGACAAAGCAGTAGTGACCACTTAGTCCGTGGAAGTAGCAACCGACATCATCTCTCTTCTCCAACTCTGATGTGAGGTTGTTCGGTGATTGGCCCGGGCCGTCGAAAGTGCCCAGGTTCATCGGGACTGAGCCCTCGAAGGCGTCGAATGCGCCTGCGCCAGCATAGAAAGCTGGGACCAGAAAACAAATCACAGCGAATGCCCGCATTATGGAGGTATGCTGAAACAAATGAATTGGATTGTGAGAGGACTAGAGCAGAAAGGCGTTTTCGAGGAGGCTGAAGAAGAGAGAGACTGACAAAAGAGGGGGAGAAGGCTGTCTTAGTACCTCGACTCCCTAGAGAGCCCAACCTACCCATCGTGGCACCTGAGAAGAGGCTCTCAGGAACCTAGGTCAGTCTACTGCGTCTCGGCATGTTGCTTCATGCAAGCACCAGCATGAACGTCGTCCCAAGACTTTTCCTTGCCACATAGAGTTGCTATGCCTATGCTAAACGGTAGGAGATTGACGTAAGTCCGGCCGACGTAGGGCACAGCCCACGCGACGTGCTTTTGGGCTTCCCATGCGCCACGGTCTTCGTTGTCGATAGTGTACCCATTCGAGGATTCCGACCAGCCATCGGATAGCTGCTTACCTATAATAGGGTGATCTCTCGTATCTGCAAGCCCTCACAGGACCCGTGCCCATTACGCCCGGCCTGAGGCTCCAATTGATGTCCAGTATTCTCAGCCTTGCAGGATTTCTTGGCGCCCAGACAGCCTTTTGCGTTGGAGATAAGGCTTCTGCATATTGGCCCCCGAATTGAGCACGTTGGAGGCGAGAGGTGTTCGAGATCCAAGAGGGCGTTCTGGGACGTGAAGTCTCTTCTTCCAGCTATCTTGTGACCGTGAGGCAAAGGAAGGGTCTCCGGCGCAAGAGCGCATCACTTTAGAAGGCCCCGAAACGACCTGGAGGAGCACAACCTTTTCGCTGGTACTGACTGTCGGCGGGTGGTCGTCGAGATGAAGGTGACTGAAGATATGCAGAGACAGGGAGAATGAGACGGCCTCCAGGTCGGGATGCGGGGACACCTCCAGCAGGGATTTGAAGCAGTGCCAAGAAGCTCGGGCTCACGTGACTATGATAACCGTTGCGTTCTCATTTTGCTGCTATTTCTGTTCCCTTGAATGCGAGTTCGATCATTTCACTCCGTGGTTTAAAAAACTGACAATTCCTTCGTAGAATATTGAGGAGGAGGAGGAGCATCATCCCGTTTAGTTTTAGCGCGACGCCAGAGCTGGAGGCCTCAAGCCTCGTTTCTTTTCTTCAAACATCTCTAATCTTACCGCAATGTTTCTGTATTATTCTCAAGCCATCTTATTCGTCGATATTGTCCGCTCAAAAGCCTTTTATACAAACCTTCTGATGCTTGATATGCTGTGAACCGTCGCAGCGGGAAGCCTCGGCTGATTTCCCAGCAGCGAATTCATAGGAAAAGCGTCGGAGGCGGATTGATGGCTATAAGGGAGCAAATCCTTTCTAGCAGGCCTATAGCAACGATATTTACCTACTTCTACTAGAAACGGGAGGTGTACCGAGACGGCAACCGGCATCTCGCAACCCGGCCGGTGACGATGGACGACGCAGCGGGATCGATTCAGCATCCCGACAAAGTCATCCAGCACCACTGTCTAAGCCTCGGCTTGCCCCGCGGCGTATACCAATCCGCCAAGTAGCACCTCCTCCTCTGCCTTGATAGGAGGGGTATGAACTGATGTCTCTCAAATCGGTGGGAGATCCGCCTCAGAGTAATGAGGGGCAACGACGGCTTCTAGTTGGGCCGTCCGATCCGAATGGTCACTTGGTGGACTATATGGCGCCCCTCAATCCTCCAGAGCTCTTAGTGGTGTGTTTCGTCAGATTCCTTCGCGTCAGAGACCGAATTTGGACAGTTAGATGATCCGTCAAGCTTGCTCACAGCACTTTGCATTTAAAATCAACTGCCATTCCTTACGGTTCGACTTTCTGTTATTGGTATGACCAAAGTACATAAGACCTCACAACCGTCCAAGAAGCGCAAAACGAGGGTACGAAACGACGAAATGGCAACTTCCAAGACCAACGGCACCCCCAGCGATGCTGTCAATGGAGACGGCCTTCATCACAAGATATCATCAAATGGAAACGGCGTCTCTGCATCACCTTCATCCTACGACTGCATCATCGTCGGCGCAGGCTTCAGCGGCATCTCCGCCCTGCACCGGCTCCGCAAACTGAATCTCTCCGCGCACATCTTCGAGGCCGGCACCGATTTCGGCGGCGTCTGGTACTGGAATCGCTATCCAGGAGCTAGAGTAGATTCTGAAACCCCTTTCTACCAGCTCAACATCCCCGAAGTGTACCGAACGTGGAACTTCAGCAAGCGCTTCCCAGACCACGTTGAGCTTCGGAAGTACTTCGCGCACATCGACAAGACGCTCAGCCTACGGAAAGACGTCAGCTTCAATTCTAAAGTTGTAGACGCGTCGTGGGATGACGCAGCAGGGCGATGGACGGTTAAGACTGCGACAGGAGAAGTGGCGAGTGCGAAGTATCTGATGCTGTGCTCTGGCTTGCTGCACCATACGTATATACCTGACTTCCCTGGTTTGAGCCAGTATAAGGGCGTTGTCCACCACACCGGCGCCTGGCCAGAAGGCGTGAGTGTAAAGGGAAAGAAGGTCGCCGTGGTCGGTGCCGGCGCCACCAGCGTGCAAGTGGTACAAGAGCTTGGGAAAGAGGCAGAGCACCTAACAATGTTCATGCGGCGGCCGAGTTACTGCTTGCCCATGGGGCAGCGTACGTTCACTGCGGAAGAGCAGAACACATGGAGGCCATACTATGATCGCTTATTTCAACAAGGCCGACTCTCGTTCTCAGGATTTCCCAATAGTCGTAAGCAGGGCGACCTCTTTGACGATTCGCCGGAGGTGCGAGAGGCATGGTTCAATGAAATCTGGGACCGAGGCGCTTTTAATTTCATGATGTGCAACTATGGCAGCTTCCTCGTTGACAAGGAGGCGAACCGGGTTGTCTATGATTTCTGGAAGAAGAAGATACGGGCGAGGATGACTGATCCGAAGAAGCAGGAGTTGATGGCACCAGAGGATCCCCCGTACTATTTCGCCACGAAGAGGAACCCGCTCGAGAATGATTACTATGAGGTCCTGGACCAACCAAATGTGGAGATCGTAGACTTGACAAAAGCAGCACTCAAGTCATTCACCGAGACTGGCCTCCAGTTAGAAGATGGCAGCACGCATGATTTCGATTACGTAGTGCTCGCAACAGGTTTCGACAGCTTCACTGGCTCGTAAGTACCTTCTCACATCAAGAAAATTCATATCGTACCCTCATATAACTCTTCCCAGTATGACAAACATGGGCCTCAAGAGCAAAGACGGCATCGATATCAAAGACACCTGGAGTAAAGGCATCTCCACCTACCTCGGCCTGCTCATCGGCGGCTTCCCAAACACCTTCATGGTCTACAGCCCTCAATGTATTTTGTTCCCCCCATCATCTTCCCCGCCTCAACTAATAAAATCCATAGCACCCACTGCCCTCTCCAACGGCATCACAATCATCGAATGCCAAACCGACGTCGTGACCGACATCATCGCGCGCCTCGAGAAACAGGGCGCCAAGTCGATTGAGCCTAAGGAGGAAGCGCAGGAGCAGTGGAAGGCGGCGATCAATGCTATGAGCAAACTGACGCTGTACCCGTTCACGTCGAGCTGGTGGGATGGCGGCAACATTCCGGGGAAGAAGGCGGAGAATATGAACTATGTGGGCGGGATAGAGAGGTATGAGAAGACGTGTCGGGAGATGATAGAGGATTGGACTGGGTTTGATGTTGTGAAGGCTTGAGGAGGGAGTTGAGGGCTGTATTTTGAGGTTGGTCATCTGATTGGTATACTCTTCGACATCCACGACTATTACTCGTTAAGTTACCTTAATAAACTCTGCCGTTATTTCGAGTGGCCCGTCTACACACCCGCTAAACTTCAGCCCCGTGGTGTCTCTGAGCTAGCTGAGGTAATCTGTCAAGTGCTCGGAAACGGCGCTGAGCGGCCAGTGACCGCGCCAGGTCCCAGATCCGGGGCAGAGAACATTACATTCGCTGGTTCTGCATGCTTACTAGAAACGTGAGCGACATAGGCAGATACGCCCTGGCCACAAAAAGCGCACATGCGACGTCAAGACTCTTCGGTATCACACAATCTTTTCATGTACCTACATATAAAGCACTCAACACATCTCCCCACAGCGACATCCAGTGCGAGCAGCACGTCCAGCTCGCAGGAGGACGAATTGACGACGGGCCTCTGCAATTCCCCCGCTCAGCTCTCCCAAAACCCCCTCACAACTTCGCCCTCTCCCCCCTCTCCGCCAACTCCCTCAAATCCTTCCTCAGAATCTTCCCCACCGCACTCCTTGGGATCTGATTCAAAAACACCACGCCGCCCCTCAACTGCTTATACGCCGCCGCCCTACTCCGCACAAACTCCTTCACATGCTCCTCGGCCACCTTCCCCCGATCCGCAACCACATACGCCCGCGGCGCCTCCGTCCCCTCCCATGGCACCCCAATCACAGCCGCATCCTCAATCAACGGATGGCTCAGCAACAGCCCCTCCAGCTCCGCCGGCGCCACCTGCAGCCCCTTGTACTTAATCAGCTCCTTCTTGCGGTCCGTCACGTACCACAGCCCGTTGCGCAGCTGCAGCACATCGCCGGTCCTGAACCACCCGTCCGCCGTGAACGCCTCCCGCGTCGCCTCCGCGTTCCCGTAGTACCCGCGCGTCACGATCGGCCCTTTTACTAACGCTTCGCCCGGCTCGCCCTCGGCCACGTCGCGCTCGTCATCGTCGACCAGCCGCATCATCGTGTTCGGGTGCAGCACGCCCACGCTGCCCGTGTCGTCGAACGCGCCCCGCGGCAGGCTCGTCACCGACCCCGTCGTCTCGCTGAGCCCCCACGTGCCGCCGACGCAGATCCGGCCGCCGCCGAGGTGCGCGCCCGCGGCGCGCTGCAGCTCGGCGTCCATAGGGGCCGCGCCGGATAATGCACCTTGCAGCGTCGCGAAGTGGTCGGCGACGTCGGGGCTCTTCGCGATGCGCGCGTAGATGGCGGGCACGGTGAAGAAGGTCGTGATGCGGTAGGCTTTGTTGTATTTGAGGAAGTCGCGCCAGTTGTACTTCTTCATCCAGTAGATGGAGGCGCCGTTGTAGGTGGGCCCGATGAAGTAGCCGCTGACGCCCGCGATGTGCGCCGCGGGCAGGTGGGCGAGGGTGCGCTGGGGGATGGGCGTGATTTCGCCCGAGAGGACGCGGGGCGCGGTCCATTCGCGCGCGACTTGGGCCGTGTTGGTGGTTTGGGAGACGAAGGTCAGGTGGGTCATCATTACGCCTGGGGGAGGGAGGGGGGTTAGCAAGCGTTCCTATATCATGCTCTTACTCTTCTCTTCTTTCTTCGGGGGGGAACTCACCCTTCGGCACCCCCGTCGTCCCGCTCGAGTACAACAAACACACCACCCGCTCCGCGAGCACCTTTTCATCCGTTATCCGCTCCCAATCCAGCCGCTCAGGCCGCCCAAACAGCTCTCTCCCCCCCTCGGGTTTTATACTCCACGCGCCCGCGTCGCTCTTCAGCACCAGCACCCGTCCCGCGTCTAACCCACACAACCGCGCCGCCTCCAAGGCCGTAGCCTTCAGATCCTCGCTGCATATCAGCAGCTTCGACCCGCCCTGCGACACCTGCCGCGCCAGCTCGGGCGCCGTGAACGAGTGCGAGGCCATGGAGAACATGCCCCCGGCCGCTATGGTCCCGTAGAAGGCGATTGGCAGCAGGATCTGCAGCGAGGAGAAGCAGACGACGACATCGGGGCTGTTGGGAAGGCCGGGTCCGGTGGCGGGGTGAGTGGGATGGGGGCCTATGGAGAAGTCAGAGCGGAGCGAGGCGGCGAGGGCGCGGGTGAGGTCGCGCGCCGTGTCTTTGGTGATGTGGTTGGAGGGGTTGGCGGCGTCGATGTGGAGCTGGGTGGTTTCGGTGGCGAGGCCGTGGGGGGAGTCTGAGAGGTGATGTTAGTTTGAGATTGAGGGATGGAGGAGTTCTGGTGCCTGAGGGAATTGGAATAGTAGGAAATTGCGAACCAAATAATAGAGTTAGAAGGTCGAGTTTCGGGAAGTTGTAATGCCGTTGCGCGTAGTAGATCTTCTGCTGAGGCATCTTGCCTCAGAAACGGAACTTGGAAAGCTCAAGCTCTGGGTCCCACTAATGGCTGCTACTCTGGAGTCGGCGTTCTATAGCTTGCGAGCGTTCTATTCTAAGGACTACCGAAGAAACATAGGAACGGGAGAGTGCAGGAAAACGAAAACGAAAAGGACGGACAGTAAGATTCTAATGCTGCTGCGAGTAATATCGCAAGAGCAATAGGCTACTTCTTATTTACCTATGAGCTTCCGCGTTGCTCAAGGAGCCTTGGGACGCCGGTAATTCCTGGAGAAAATAAAGGCCGGGATGGTTGGTTGTGGGGATGGGTGCGGGGAACTTCGGCGATTTTGCAGGGGCGGAGGCGTTGGCCGAGGCGAGGCTTGGAGGTGGAAGAGAGGTGATATTAAGCGCCTGCAAAGTCGTTGTGCAAGTGATGTATTTTCGGGTGGGAGTTCCAAAACTACAGAGCTATGAGTGCGAATGATGATTGTTTTCATCTTTGCAATGCCGAGGCGCGACTGCTTGAGCCGCGATGGTGGCGATGGGGCTGCACGAAGTTGTTCCAAAGGGAGCTAGGGAGCTAAAATAGGCACATACCGAGGGACGAGGCACGACGAATCGTGTGTAATTGGGTAACGCACGTAGGAGGAGATCAAGGACGGTAGATTGTTCGCATTCGACGACGGGCGGTCACGTGACGCGGTTTCATGGGAGGCGGAATAAGTGCACATTTCCTTGAGAAGAGGAACTGAGGTAAAGGGTGAAAAGGACGATTGTGGTGGGCTTCTCTCGTCGAGAAGTATACCGGTCACGTGACTTGCCTAAAAGCACACTGGTAAAAGTCGAGGAGGTCGAGTTCCGCGCTAAGTGATATTCGGAGATAAACGCTGGGCAGCTGTGACATCGCGCCAGACCCCGCCGGCGCTGATGGAATCCCAAAACGCCCTATTCGTGAACCGTATCTAAGTATTGGGGTATCATCATGCTATGCTGCTCGCTGATAGTACTAATGGATAATCTATCATGAAATAGGTCGTCAGCCTGCTTTCGATGGCAGAGAGACGGAAGTAACTCACCGTAGATCGTTCAGGCCGTAAACCGGTGCCGCAAATCCCGTAGCGACTCCGGTGTATCCACTGGTGACTCCGGTGCATCCGCACGTGACTGCGGTGACACCGTAGACAGAGTTTTCAATCTGGTCCCAGTGTTGTGCTTGCCGTCTCCTTTTGGTGCCGGCTCGACGACACCACTCCCACACCTCCGGTACGCCATGAAAAGCTCTAGCATCGTCAGCGCAGACAGCGAGCCAACAGCGATGGCCAACCAGTTCCTGCCAACTTGTACTCCCATTAGCGGAAGACAAGGAAAGATGATGATCAGGATGACGCGAGGAATCGCGCGAATAAACGGATGATCGAGGAGAGTCTTGTTCTTCATCGCCTTGTAGAACTGCGAGCTGTGTAGGAGGGTTATGACTGTGATTCCAAACAGTACGATAGCTAGGGCTCCAGAGCTTGTATAGAGGCCAACTCGTACGTAATGCGGGAGTTCTTCCTCGGTTGGTTCTTCTGTCGAGGCTCGTGTGAAGAGCGCAAGGCGACGCCGCTTTTCTGGCGATGTGGGTTCTGATTCGGGAGGATCCAGGGCAGAGGCATCTTGGTGGGTAACCAGAAACAGGTTCGAGACATCCAAGAGGAGGAGGGCGCCAAAGATAAGAACATGAGCACTGTCGCATAGTCAGTTTCGGGTGGAGAAATGAGGAAAAGAACAGCTTACAGTTGCCAAAGCGCACCCTGGAAGTGTGACATTCGTACTGCTCGAAACCCTTCGCCGCTGGCCTGCGACTTGAAGTATAGCATATGCAATATAAAGTACATAGCTAAAGTCGCAATACCAGATCCAACCTCTGCAGTCAGTCCCTCTCCAAGAGGACTGCCTTTGATTAAATTCAGGACACCCTCTCCGAGGATAATGACATAAAAGGAACTAATACGTTCAACGTAGTGATCCAAATCTGGTGTCTTGCGGTAGTCTTTGGATAAAAGACGATCCAGTAGTGGAGAATTCCGGAAGATAGCTCCAGTATAGTCGATAAAGAGTGCGCCCATGACGAGACCAAGCTGTGCCCATCCTGTAGCGAAGATTGCGCCGATCCAAAGACCGGTTGCAGGGAGCGAGGTGATCGTAGAGAGGAGCCATTCTTTCCACATCCAGCGAATGAAGAGGCAATATATGCCCTCGATGTAAAAGAACGAGCCGCGAATTATCAGATATATCGAGAACGTAAAGCTCGCCCCTTTGTAGTTGACGAAGGTGTAAGACACATTGTTACCGAAGATGAGGGCCAATATGAGAATCCAGATAATGAACATTCGTTGTGTCAGGTCATCTTGGAAGAACATGTTCGTAAAATTTCGCAGGTAATTCCATATCCGCCAGGTGAGCAGAAATTCGAGTGTAAACTCCAAGATTGCCTTGAATGCATCCGCGGAGGTGCCTTCGTGGCCTTCGGGTGCAACGAAGAGGCGTTCGCTAGTATGCTCAGCGATATTGCCGACGATACCAACGAAAATCAAATCAATGAAGAGGTCGAGATGGGTACGGTGTAATATAGTGGTGGAATCCGGGTGCGCAATTGATTTTGCATCAGATTTGCTCCTCGTCTCCCCCGAGGCGTCGGTGTTGCTCGGAAGGAGTGCATGGTCGTTTCCGGTCTCGTGGGCATCTCCGTGGCGGTATTCGCGTCCAGCATGAACATATTGGAGTGCGCGTGGCCTTTTGAAGAAGTATTTTTCAAGGGACGACATGGTCAAGACGGTCAACGCCCTTTATACGCTTCCGCCTCTGATATGATTGATGAGGCTTTGAAGTTCGAGGATAGAAACAGGAAGATTGAGGAATTAGAAAAGGTTTCGAGATGAAGCAAGCGCTGGCAAAAGCTTTGGCCAAGCCTCACATTTGGACAGATCAAGCCCAGCTAGGCCTTGGCGGGAGGGGCCGTTGGCCGCTTCTAGAAAGGATCGCGCAGTTGGCTATGTACGATTAGGACGTGTTGTTGGCCCAAGGAGAATGGGGCGGTGACAATCGGAGACGGTGTTGAAAATCCGCCGATCCGGCCCTTCAGCCCTCTGACTAAAATGACGAACAGCCACGCCACCAACAGGACTACGCCCGTTAATTATGGAACGGCTTTGTGCTCTAAATATTAGTTGTATGCCACTCCTATTTTTCATCGGAGGTTCTGGAGGTTTGATATATCACGTGATGAGTGAAGATTTGATCCATCCCACTTCGAGAAGCGGGAGCGACAGGGGTTTTCCGAGCTTCTCAACCTCGAAATCCTACACCATCCTGCACTTTATCAATATCGATAGCCCTAAACAACTGTCAGACTCTCAAAAGACAGCAAGGATTCGTGGTGCTGCAGCCTAAGACACCATACACGTGTTCTCAAGGCTCAACAGGTCAGCGACCCAGATCTGCAAACACCCGAAGACAACTCTATAACCCATCGCTTTGAACAAACATCTAGCTGTTCTTAGGAGGGGTTTATTGTAGACTATAGACTCGGTGCCTAGATTTCCTGTCGTTTAAGGAAATAACTAGACTTGCTACACAGCAAGCGTTGCTAATTTGCTAGCACCAGCGGCTGCCTACCTAATTTTCACACCGCCTTAGTCTCATATTCCATATCGCTACAACACCGTTTTTAAAGTCACGCCCAGAACCGTCAGACACATGAGCTCCCCAGTTCCACTGGTTCATATTGTCCGTCACGGACAAGCTGTTCACAAGTAGGTTTCTAATTTCAATCTGAGTCTTTCACTTTACTGACATCCAACTTAGTGTCGATCGTGAGTATCCGTACCGCGATCCGCCATTGACGGAACTAGGTCACAGCACTACTAAAGAGATCAAAATACGCGTGGTCCCAAATCTAATCATCATCTCACCAATGACTCGAACTATTCAGACTGCAATAAATGCCTTTCCAACTCTTCTCAGCCAAGCTCCTTTCTCGGTAGACGTTCAGATTTGGCCCGAGCTTCGTGAAACGCATGATGCTCCTTGCAACAAAGGGCTCAGTCGTGGGGAGATCATGCGGAAGTTTCCTGACTTCAATTTCGCCGGATGTCCTGAAGAATGGGACCATCCACCTCATACCCTCGAAAGCGCTCTTGAAAGAGCTGAAATAGTGCGGAAGCGACTGAAAGAATTTTCCACTAAGCACTCGAGCATTGCTGTGGTCACCCATAGATGCTTTATTTCATATCTGGTCAAAGGAGCGAGGTTTCCAAACTGCGGTAAGTCCGACGCTTCAAATTTGCACCGTTCCTCTGCTGACTTCTTTCAGAGACTCGCACCTACAGGTTCGCTCAGGACGATGAACTTGAGAAGGACAGGCTTGGAATAAACTGCGATAGCGATGAGCCTCAGGACTTTGGCCCGACTTTGTTGGTGCCCTTCCTTGATAGCAACGGTTCGGGCATCCATGTGAATGGTACTGCAATTTTCTGAGAGGTTTGATAGAAGCAACTTCGCTCCTACCAAAACCGACTCTCACCAGGGAAGGTGCATATATATTCAACCTAGCTAGCGTAGAGGTAGGTAGGGTTCGGAGTTGTTCGCCTATCGCCTTATCAGTGCGTACGGGAATATCGGCACATGCGACGCGACATGATGCGCGACTAGGATCCTCACGTTTAGGAGTGGGGAAGGTCAACATATCGGCAGCTCGATATATATGCCGCCTACGCATGGTGACTTGTTCTGTTCAGCCTTCACTAGCAGTACATTGTGCAAGCTCTTACTTCACCTCTTCAAATACGAAATTGTTTCTTCGAATACCGTTTCCGATCAATATGACTGTCAAAGAGCCAGAGGTCTCTTACTGCTCTTCAAAAATCTCTCATCAAGTCATGCTAACTACTTCAGTACGTGTACTACCATGCCGGAGGCCAGCGAGGCTCCCGTCCAGTACTTCGAGGCGCCGCAGCAAAGGACACATTCTCGTCCATCCCAGTCGTTGACGTTTCAGGAATGTTCTCAAAACATATAGAGGATCGCAAGAAAGTCGCAGCAGAGGTCGGCAAAGCATGTCGTGAAGTTGGGTTCTTTTATGCGAAGAATCACAACGTACCAGATGAAGTCATAGCCAACACGTTCGAGGCAGTAAAGAATTTCTTTGCCATGCCTAGTGCAGACAAGATGGAAATCCACATCCATAAGAACCCGTCGATAAGAGGCTATGAGCCCTTGTTCGAAACGAAGATGGAAGGAGCCGGCAAAGGAGGCATGCGACCTACTGAATGCCTACACATAAGCCCCAAATATTGACGTAACCTAGACATGAAAGAAGCCTTCTCCTTTGGCGACGATCCCCACGAGCCAGAGCAGAACGCGCCATGCAAGCCAGGCCCCGATGCACCAAAGCGTGCCAATGCTTGGCCCAGCGCGTACCCAGAATTCCGGCCTGCGATGTACGACTACTTCACCCGCGTGAAGGCGTTCTCTCAGGCTCTGATGCGCATCTTCGCCTTAGCCTTGGACCTCCCCGAGGACTTCTTCGATGCTGCCATATCCTTCCCGATGGTCGGCATCAGAGCTCTACACTACCCACCCCAAGAAAAGCCGAACGCGAACGACATCGGCCTGGGCGCGCACACAGACTACGACTTCTTCACCCTCGTGCAGCAGGAGAATGTCGCAGCGCTACAAGTCCTGAACGCTAACGGTATCTGGATCGACGCGCCGCCGCAACCACGAACCTACGTTGTCAATGTGGGCGACTTTCTGAGTCGAATCACGAACAACAAGTTCAAGTCAACGGTGCATAGAGTGCTGAACAAAAGTGGAGAGGAGCGCTACTCAATGCCATTTTTCTTTTCGCCGAATCGCGAGGCGATGTTGTCAGTCGTGCCTAATTGCCGTGAGAAGGGTCAGGTCTACGAGGATATCAACGCTGGTGATTATTTCATGGAGAGGTTGAAGGCGGCCAGGTGGCAGCATCCTTCGAATAATGGGAAACCAGCTCCTGTGGTGCAGGACATGCCGACTGCGCAGGCTATTATTGCGTAGAATTTTCCCAGCGCGACGAATTAGGATATAGCTAAGCATGCCCAATCATCGATCCCAGAGTATAATCGTCTACGCCCAGAAGCCGTTGCGCAAATAGTGGGACCGAATGCGCCAGAATAGCTAACCGTCCACTTTTGCCTCATCCGGAAGTTATCGACGCAACCTACAGGCATCGCTTATCAGGACCATGACTCTCCCCGCATTCTAAGCAACTAAACGCTTACAAGCACCACCAAAAGCTTCGGATACATGTGTCCTACCCTATATACTCCCATCGGCATCTTTCCGTTCGCCGAAAAGTCGTATCAGTTTGGCCCGACGAGCGGAGATGAGCGTCCAGCACCACATTTCGTTATTCCCGTGGATCCCACTCGTACAGAGCCCGTACATAACAACCTGGCCATGGCATCTGAACCTCCATTCCCATTCGTCCCAGACCGTCCCAAGTGCCTTGTCCCAATTGATCGCCGGCCACCATGGAGAAGCAAATTGAAACCACCACCATGGTCCCGGAACCACCAGCCACCATCGTCGATAATGACAAGATCGAAAAACACCAAGACCATGTCACTACGCATGCAGCAGAAGAGTTGAATGGGGACAAGTACCTCGCATACGCGAACACAAACACCATCATCATAGACGAAGAAACGAACAAGAAGCTATGTCGAAAAATCGATATGAACGTGTTGCCGTGGCTGTGTGGATTGTACATCCTGCAGTATCTAGACAAGGGTGTGCTCTCCTACGCCGGTGTCATGGGCATCCAAAAAGAAAACCACATGACCTCCTCCGAATACACCTGGCTCGGCTCCATCTACTACGCCGGCTACATCGTCGCGGCGCCCATCCACAACCGCGCTTTCCAGCAGTTTTCCCCTTCGAAATGGATCGCCGGCTGCGTTGTCACCTGGGGTGTCGTCTTGTGCTGCATGACGGCCTGCCACAATTGGACGGGGCTCATGATTCAGCGTAGCTTTCTCGGCGCGCTTGAGGCGAGTATAAACTGTGGCTTTGCGCTTATCACGGCGGCGTGGTATAAGAAGCATGAACATGGCTCGAGGGTGGGCATCTGGTCGGCTTGCACAGGGTTTGCAACGATGGCTGGGGGTTTGATTGCGTTTGGATGTGTTGCTGGGCAGCAAAAGAACCCGGGGCAGTACTCAAGCTGGAAGATTCTGGCGCTAGTGACAGGCTTGATCTCGGTTGTCTATGGTGCGGCGATGTGGTGGTGGATGGCGCCGTCAGTCGTAGACGCAAAGTTTTTCACGGAAGAAGAGAGAACGCTCGCCGTCGAGAGGCTACGTGAGAATCATCAGGGTGGTGGATCGCAGCAATACAAACGCTACCAGGCTGTCGAGGCGTTCACGGACGTGCGAGTATGCGTTTCATCTCCCTTCTATTTGAAACATTTCCACTGATACGAACCTTGCAGACCTGGATGTACGTCCTCTTCGTCCTCTCCAACCAAATCCCCAGCGGCGGCCTCGTCCTCCTCCAATCCATCTTGATCAAAAACCTCGGCTTCACAACCAAAGAAACCCTCCTTCTGAACATCCCGCAAGGCTTCATCTCTATCCTCTGCAACGCCGGCTTCGGCATGCTCTCCCAGTGGACAAAACACCGCTCTGGCGCCGCCATCGGCGCCGCGGTATTCAGCCTCTTTTGGGCGGCACTGTACGTCGGCCTTGGGAACCAGGGCCATTTCTACGCAAAGGTATGTTCCTCCCACTCCCCCCTTTCGCTTCAAACCTCTTATTTCCCCCGCCGCCTTCCTCACCATCTACTAACACCCCCCAAAGTACGGCCAACTCGTCGCCTACTTCTTCATGTCCGGCAGCAGCAGCACGGCCTGGTTCATGGTCATCTCGATGATCAGCTCCAACGTGCTCGGCACGACCAAGAAAACCACGCTCAACTCGGTCGTCTTCGTGACGCTTGGGGCGGCGTATTTCATTGGCCCGCAGACGTTCCGCGATCCGCCGTTTTATGCGCATGCGAAGATTTCGCTGATTGTGCTGTGGGTTGTGAGTATTCTCGTGCTGTGTGCGTTTTTGGGGTTGAATGTATGGGAGAATGGGAGGCGGGAGAGGTTGGTGGGTAGGGGTGATAGGGGAGAGGAGGTGGATGAGAAGGGGACGGGGAATGTGGAGTTTATGGATTTGACGGATAAGGAGAATAAGCTTTTTAGGTATGCGATATAGGGGTGTTGGTGTAAGTAGGGATATGGTCGGGGTATTATAGAATCGTGTTCTGGATTTGAAGAGATGTCACTAAATTCTGGCATGGATAGTTGCGTGGCTGGTCGTGATCACATGAATAGGTCAAGCCTTAAAGGTCAGGTTTTATGGTTTTTTTGTATTTTTCTATCTAATCGAGTGGCCAGTGGCCGAGTGTTAACATGTGCATCTACTTGCAGCCCCACAAAATATGAGGGCATAGAAAAAGAAGAAGAGAAAGAATGATGTAGGACTCAGAGCCCTGGTAACCCCTAGGTCTAGTCCCCAGCACATGTATCATTCAAAAAAAAAAGCATTAGCCCTGCTGCCATACAAACCCTTCTTTCGCCCCCATTCACACATCTCTAATACTCATCGTCGTTGGCGCCTCGTCCTGTCCTAGCGGAGCTTGTCTCATGACGAATCCAGTATCGGCGCCCATGTTGATTTGCTGTCGCTGGGCGACAAGTCGTCTCGCATCGTACCATGTAAACCTATCCGGGTACCTCATCACATATGCCAATCCCTCCTCATAGATCAGCATGAACGGGCCTCCCATCTTCCGAATGATGTCGATATCGGCTGGGAGGTACCCTCTACCTTCCCTTCCTTCCTCAGGGTACACATCCTCCGGGATGTAATATCCAGTCTGCCTGGCAACGCGAACGATATTCCGATCCATTGCGTCGGGATATTTGACGTCGGCGGTCTGCGGGGGCGGGGCCCATGAAGGCTCTCCGCACTTCTCTTGCAGCTCGATGATCTTTTTCATGAGCCGTTCGTGTTCAGGTACTGCTTCGTTATAGTACATGGAGACGTAATATTCGAGGCCATGCCTGCTCTGAGCGCATTGATGTTCGCAAGACTGCTTGAGATTGTCCATCTCAGTTTGGCAGGCAGCGATCGCATTATCGAGCGGGAGCTGCCTCGCTCGGAGCTGAGCAATCTCCTTCTCCAAGGCCTGGATCTGGTTGTATTGCCGAATCTTGACCTCCGAGTCGTGGGGAGCGTTGATGCGAAATTGCTGGAGCTTTTCCTCTTCAAGGGTTGCAATTTTCTTAGCCTTGATGAAAAGCTCATTCTTCAGCAGAGCTATCTTGCGGAGAAGTCCTGGCTGCACTGCGTGGGAGGTTTCTTCCTTCATGATCCATTTGGTCTCCTCGTCGACGAGCTTGGAGAACTTTCGATCCTTCTCCGCCATCTCTTCCTTCAGCTTGGAAAGCTCTTGCTTCATCTCTGAAACTCTACGATTGGCTTCCTGCTCGGCAGCGACTCTAGCGTCGGACTGTTCAGCCAAGAAACGGACAGCCTCAGGAACACCATTTTTTAGAAGATCCGACATGTCCTTGACCAAGCTTCGGCTGGAGACCAGATCGTGCTCACGTTCTTCGAGCGCGTCTGATAATCTCTGTACTTCGCGCTGTGCTGCATGGAGCATGGCCAAGATAACGGATTGACCCTTCGCCATTTCGTCGAAATTAGACGTCCGATTCTGCTCGATATGCAGCATATCCTCGATATCCTTCATGGCATTGTGGCGAACCTTCTCGAGCTTCTCATTCCTCTTAGTTAACCGAGCATTCTCTCCCCGGAGCGCGTCTACGAAGACTTGGAAGGCGTCGTGGTGGGTAAAGCAAAGTCGAAATTTGTCAACTTCTTCCTTCAGGAGAGCACGCGCTTCTTCGACTTCAATGAGCTCAGCCGTGGTCTCTTCGCGCGTCTGGTTCAGTTCCCACTCGAGCCGCTTGATCTCAAGATCCTTTTGCGTCCGCTGCTCTTCCTCCTCCTTGCGGTTGATCTTGGTGGCTTCGACGAACTCCTTCGTCAACTTCTTCGTGGGTTCCATCTCCTTTTCGAGGGTCGCGAGCTCTTTCTTCTTCTGCTCCATTTCAGACTGAAGCTGAGTGACGCTGCTCTCGTTTTGGGCAGCAAGCTGCTGGAAATGGGTCTTCTCCTGGCGAGCCTCTAGGACCTTCTTGCGGAGTAAGAGGTTCTGCTTCTCCTTCTTCTCGACATCATCCTCCAGCTCGGCGACGTTCATGGTAGAACGGTAGGCTAGTCGGTTCAGCTTAGCGAGTTCTCGCTGTGCCGCCTTGAGCTCCCGCTGCAGGGTCACGGATGATGGGCGTTCCGATGCATCTTCGGCCTCTTGGTCATGATCCGCTTGCGCTTCGTCATCGCTGGCCTCGTCCTCGTCCTCATCAGAGCTGTTGTCGTCACGATCGGAGTCGTCGCCGTCACTAGCAAGATCCTCATCGTCAAGATAAAGGTCCTCGCCCTCAAGGTCAGCAACCTGTTCGTTTTCGAGTTCCTGGTCAAGAAGCTCTTCATCGTCGGGTGCAGTGACATCTTCGACGTCCTCACGGAGAGTATCCTCAGTGGCTGCAGTAACCTCTCCGTTCCGGGGGCTACTACTAGTCGTATCCGTATTCTGGAGAGAATCCGACCAGTAATTGCCATTATTCACAGACGATGCGAAGTTCATAATTGACTCATCGACGTCGGCCTGTGAGCGTGGTGAAGTATCTGGTGTGATGCCGAGAGACTCGTGGTATTCGGACATGAAGCTCGGGTCGAATTCGGAGATCTGAGTGAGCTTCATCGTGAAAATGGCTGCCAACTGGGGTGACATTCCTTGAAGGTCGAGGGGTGCACCTGGTGCGCTGAAGCTCGAGGAGGCGTCTTCTTCCAGATCTTCTTCATCCTCGTGCAAGAAGTGGTCCTCTTCTTCACGGCCGTGGCGCTCATCTTGGATATTGTTGAGGGCATCGTCGGCCTCATCTGAGAACTCCTGGTGGTCCTCCTCCACGCTGCCGTCGTTATCAGTTTGGATATCGTTGAGGACGTCATTGGCCGCGTACGAAATCCCTTGGCGGTCCTCATGGCCGGTTTCGAACTCCTCTTGGACGTCCTCGGACTCCTGGCTGATTTCAAGGGCTTCTCCCTCGTCTTCATCATGCTGTGGAAGCACAAGGTTCGAGAGGACCACAGGGATGCTCCAGGGTTGCCAAAGAATGAGTGCCAGTGATCCAGATCCCGCTTTCCAGATTTCCAATCGAAGATGATCGTACTCGTGGTGCTCCCAATGGACGAATAGGCCAATAGAGAACTTGAAGAGTTTGAGGAAGTTCTCGACCTTAACTGCCGGAGACGAGACCTTCGGGGTGCTGGTCTTGGGCGAAGATACGAAAGTCAACGCTGGAATGCCCATGTACTCTGGCTTACGCGCAGGCCCGCAGGGTACAGGAGAGATGGTATAAGGCACAACAACCGTGGAAAGAGCTAACGCAGCTTCTTGTTCGCGTTCGAAGATGGCGAACAGTCGAGCAGAGGCGGTGAATGTTTCTAATAAACTCTGGAAGTGGGAGACGGCAAAGTATATCTCGACATTCTTCGCCAAAGGGATTGATACCACCACTGCACGAGGAGGGCCAAATTGGGGTCGAAATACTGAAGTGGACTTGCACGCAACGAGAGCCAGGGAGGCAGCTGGCACATGGCGTATCGCTGTCCTGAAGGTACGTGGAGAGGGTGTTGTCGTCGTAGAGGTCGGATACGTTAGGTGAATGGGACGGTCGACGTTCCAGACGAGGTCGTCAAAGTTGAGCTCTAGGGAGGAGAGAGTATCGTCGGTGTGGTGAAAGGCATCTAGATACATTTAGCTATGTTCAATGGCCTTGCAAGTATAGGACAACTTACTATCTTCAAAGTAATGCCTGCAAGACTGCCAAATCATTGACCCGAACGACTCGCCTTCAACAAATGCAAGGTAGGGCTGCTCTCCATTGAGCATCCTAGGGCTCACAGTGCGCGCTGATCGTACACGCTGGCGCTGCGATGGAAGCTCCGTCGCCGTTGTCATAGCGAGCGTCCGAGGTGGTGCGATTGGAGGCCTACCTAGCTTCATGAACTCGTTTAGTAGAAAGCCTGATGGTACTACGAGCAGAAGAGCAGTCAAAGGATCCATGGCAACAGCTAGGACTGTGCCGTGGATAGAGTGGGTGTTGGTGTGACGAAGCAGTGTGAGGTGGTGGGTGTGGAGGAGGTGGTGGAAAACAGCGAGGTTGACAGCAAAGAACGGATATTATATAGGTAGTGCCAAGCAAAACCCGCGCAGCAGGTCTTTGAATGCGCAGGACATCGAGGGTAAGTGCGGGAAAACGTTCAAGTAGTGAATGTTTTCGGGGCGAGGCGCCGGAGCGGAGTGTTTGATGGTGAGAATCACCGAATTGTGGAAGCAATGGGGAGGACAGTACGTCATGAAACTGCAGAACTTCGCGGGACAGACCAGTATTGTAAGGATCATTAAAGGACTGCGAGAGTAAAAGGGGTATGTAGCACTATAGCAGAAAATGAAAGGGTAGAAAACGGCGTCTCTGTGCTGAACATTGACTGGAAAAGTGTTATGGAGATGATGCAAAACAATAGATTCCTCTATACGATATGCACATGATAGGTGCTCTGTACCTTTTCGTACTCACTGAGGAGCCTGTTGGGCCTGAGAGATGTTATACGAACGAGAAAGGGGATCGTAAGGTACACGCGCGAAGTGGACGTGTAGCAAAGTTTGTTTAAAAAAAAAGGCTTCCTACGAGCTACCACGATCTAGAAGACAGAGCTCATAAAGCTCCCTGACATTTCTGCTCTCTGTTGCACGAGTTCAGTGACCAGACGCTCCCAGGCGCAACTTCAAGGGTCGCAGAGCGATCGCAGATGGCCTTGCTTTCGTGATCGACAACGATGGGTATAAGTTATAAGCGTTTCAAATTACTCAACTCGATTGGCAGACGGTTTCGGATGTTTGCGTGTACAGAGCAATCTCAAGCTTAGATCAGCAAGCAAAGCCGCAAGCAGATCCGCCTGGAATAGACCATAAGATCGGTGGTCAGAAATGTGTCACCTAATATCACGTATAAGAAGAGCTAAGAGCTTTATTGGCGTATGGCAATTGAGCCGATTCAGTATATATACAATTGGGGCAAAGGTCTTCTTACACCTTTGTCGATCCGCAAACCCATCAGTAAGTTACAACTCTGATCTTCCGCATGAGTTGAGTCTAAGAACTATATCCCATCCTATTTCGCCTCCCGTAATCCATCTGCAAGAAATTACCACCGGGCTGGCCTATTCTCTTCGCACCACTAGAGCTCCTCGTCGGCGTGTTCCTCCAATTCTTGAACATGATCTTGCCAATACTCTACCAACAGCCCTCGCCTTACTTCTTCACTCAGCACAAACGGCCTATTCCGAGGAACCACTCGCTCAGGCCTCTCGAGCTGAAACGAGTCGACTTTGTCTGCAGGGTTGATATAGTCCGGGTGTGGAATGCCGGCCTGGTCAAGGTGAAACTCTTCGTTGCTGCGGTAGTCTTCAACGAAGTTTTCCATGCCCTCGGGAATATGTTTGTCAATCAATTCCTGAGGAATTGCCCCGTCCGTCCTTGCCGTCCTACGCACGTGCATTCGCTCAACTGCTTCGTCCATTTGCCGAAGAGCGGGGTCTCTCATCGCATCAGGCTCCAGAGGACCATCCATCCTGTCTTCTTCCGGCGGTGTATGGACTTCCATTGAGTTCAGGTTGAATTCTGGCTCATATGCCCGAATGTGCTCGGCTAAGGCGACTAGCTTATCACTCTCCCTTTTGAGCTCCTTTTCAAGCACGTTGACCTTCTTCTCGTAATCGACTTCCTGCATCTTCATCATCTTTGTCGTGTCATACATTTGTGTGTAAAGAGGCTCTTGCTGTTCGGTCAATTGATCGACTCTGTCCTGAAGACTATCAATTCGGGCCTGTGTCTCAAGCCCCATATCAACCATACCCGAGCTGTGGCGCCAAAAGTTCTGTCGAGCTCTCTCGAGCTCTACGTTTCGACCCTTGTAGTATAGGAAGCGCAATCGGAAGTTTTCGTACATGGGCTTCATGATGTCAATCATTTCATGAGCGGTGCGTTCTTTGAGCTCCCACTGCGAAACGATGTCGTCCAGCTGCGAATTGCGCGCGACCACCTCTTCGATCCACGCATCTTTAGCTTCGATCGCTGCCTCCAGTTCTCGAATCTTCTCATGAGCGACTTCAAGTTTTCGAGATTTCTCTTCAGCATCTTTCTCTTCACATAGATTCGAGTTGACAAGCTGTTCGACTAACTTGCACTGAACTAGGTAAGCGTCCTGAAGCTCTGTAATGACGACGAGTGGATCGTATGGAAGTCCGTCGGTGGCTTTCCAGGTGAACCCATTGAACCAGTTTGCGGCAGCGACGGCCGAATTGATAGTAGTGAGTAGGGAGTAGGCGTTGGAGCTGGGACTTCATAGCCACAACGGCGTCTTTCGTCTCGGTTCGGCGAAGGACGTTTTCAGACTCCCCAGCTTCGTGTCGGCTGATCATCTCTTCACGAGCTACGACCTCTTTTCGGAGCTTGTTGCTTTCTTCCCAAGCCTCGATGCGCTCGGAGGTCAATTGTCGGCATCGCTCTTGCATGAAATTGACCCGCGTGTCAGAGCTCTTGATGGCGAGTTCGGTAGCAATGACTGCGTTATGGTGAAGTTCTGTCTTCTTACGCTCGGCAACGAACTCCTTCTCGAGAGACTCTATTTGGGTTTTGAACCAGCCAAATCTTTCGTCGGCGGCGTTCCCCATATGTTGATTGTCAGGATCGCTGAGGGCGCTGATCTCCCGTTGAAGAATCCCCTTCATCTGCTTAGCTTCCCGATATCTCGCCTTCCATTTCTCCTTAGAAGCGCTCTGCTTCTTGTACGCCTCTTGCATCTAGTCCAACTCCTCTTTATAATGGCGGAGCTCACGAGTGTTGGCAGCGTAGCCCCGATGGAAGTCCATCTTTTTCTTTGGTCGCCGCGGATTTCTCTCGCACGTCCCTGAGCTGCTCCTTCAAGGCCTCCGTGGATTTATTCCACCTACGCATCAGGGATGCAACATCGGCAAACTTTTCTTGTTCGGTCTTTGTGATCTGTCTTTTTGCTGAAGAACGAATACGCTTCGTCCGATTCTTGCAACGCCTCGCAGCGCGCACCACGAGCGTCATATCTTGTACGAGGATGGGGGAGCCCTCCGTACCCGGAAGAACGCTATTGTTCGAGATGTTGTTGTCGGAGAACTCAGAGGAAGAAACCGTATCGTCTGGCTCAAAGCCCCAGGGCTCAGAATACATGTCGACGATATCGACCTCAGAGGGTACAGTTGTCTCCGATACAGTCGCGGTCGATATCTTGTCTTCACTGGTACCAGGCTCATCAACGGCCCAAGGCTTCGTATAGCTTTCCACCACATTGGGGTCGGTGGATACAACCTTTTCTTGTACAGTAGCTGTTGATACCTTCTCATCATAGGTATCGGCTAGAGTAAAGCGGATGGGGCCAAGAGAGCCAGTGTCGACAGAAGTTACGCTGCCGGTGAACGTCGCGACAGTTGGCGGAGTCGGCCACGAAGATGACCGCTTGATGGGGCACGGTGTTTCGGGAGAAGAAGAAGAAGAAGAAGGGGTTGTGGTTGAGCCGGTGGAGCTAGGCGTGGAGGTAGAAGTTTTCGTGACAATGCTGCCGTGATCGTCCTTTGCGATGGAAGAAGTGACGCGGTGTAGAAAAACCATCACAAGAATGGCGACGCGAAGCGATGGACGCGTAGCACTACCCAGAGCTGCACGAGACGAAGGTACAGCTACTTCGCTCAACAGAGGTCGCTCAACGTTGGCGATGACGGAAGTCGCTTTCGAGAAGGAAGAGGGTGTATTGTGAGGGAAAGCGGAGGGAATATTGACTTGACCTGGTAGTTAGTCAGTCTGTTTGGGCCCATAAATCGAGCGCATAGATGCATACCATCCTGCTGACTGTTATGACGGACGCTCTTAATCAAGGCATCGAAAGAGTCGAGCTGCGCTACAGAAAGCGAACCAGAGGTGGACTGCGCATTGCGCGATCGCTCAGCATGCGCAGATGGCGATGCTGATTTAGACGCAATAGGCTTCTTCCTCTTGAAGCGCTCCCGCAATTTGGTACGGAGCCCCATTCTGACGGCTCGTCGCGCCTGGTGTGAGGTGGCTAGCACAACGAAAGAAAGTGCCAAAGAGATGGACAGGTAGTAGTGGATTGCGAGTGGAGAGGTTGGCGTATAGAGGAGTGGATGAAGATCAGGCTCCAACTTGCGGCGTTGTTGGGTGAAGGCGGAGGTTGTCGAGGGATGTAAACAAGGTTGAGTTCAGGAAAGCGGCGCTGCGAATAAGGCTGGAAGTGCGCGCTCTAGCTTGAATCGTGATGTCACGTGGACTCGGCTGCCAGAGGTGAACGGCCTACGTCGGCTTGGAGCTGTCTCGCTGCGCGGGAGAGGCCTCAACTCCACAGACGAGTGGCCACTAGAGATGACAGTCTGAGCTGATCTAGACAGAGCAAGAGATTGAGTAGAAAGGGGGATAAGAATCTGAGGGTAGCTTGCACCGAATATGGCGAGATGGCGACGTGCATCGTCACGTGAATGCGGCCAGAGAAAATTTTACATCTGACTCCCTGCTTACCACGCACCATAGCATCATAAGATTGGCAATATTAAATAGACAATATACACAATGCCCACAGGGTGCTATACTAGAATCTTACGATACTCCGCAAAGCTTTACGGAAGGTATGATCTATATGTTGTATGTACATACAAACTGGATTCTTACTCTACCCTTCGTCTATCTTCTAGCGCCTACCATTCCTGGCTTAAAGCCCCCAGTGACGTCGCTGGGCAAAGATGGTATATCATGGAGGATCCTGAAGACATCGCTTCCATCTACAAAATCAACGATGGCTCCCTATCTTATGACAACTAAATCCTCGTCTTCTGAATCCTCGGCTTCCTGAATCTCTTCATCCGAATCCGTGTCTTCCTGAATTCTATCTTCGAGGGTTTCGTCTTCTTGTATTCTATCCTCCTGATTCTGATATTCGAAACCATAGTTCTCGTGCTCCGAGCAAACGCCATCTTCATCTTCACTGAAGTCTCCACACCCAGCAATATTGTCGTTGTCTTCCTTATATCTTTCCCTTTCAGAATCCACGTCATCTGATGAGCCGTCGTCATCTGAGGAGGTGTATTTAGAAGAAGACCTGTCGTTGTTTTCGTAGCTTTCGTGCTTTCCATACTCTCGAGGCTCCCACCTCTGATATTTAGCAGGATATCCATCGTATACGCGACTGTCGGAAAGCTCAGGGTCATCTTCTTCTCCTTGAGACTCCTCTCCGATACGGTCTTCTTCGTCACCCTTAAATTCAACCGGCTCTATAATGTTGGCATAATTGGCATCCGGGATGTCTTTCATATTTCGCACTTCGCCGAGGTCACTGCGGCCTCCTCCCCACGAGTCTTCGTTTCCTTTACTAGGGTCTCCATCTTTCTCCAGCTCTTCAGATTTCTCCTCCTCTTCTGAATCTCCCGATTCGATGCCGTCGTCGCCCGTGGAAGTCGCGTTATCTAGGCCGTCAACATACGGAGTATGGGGCTGATAATGAACAACGTTGGAGAAACGGACTCGAGGGCCTTCTTGTTTGAGAATCGAACGCGGATGGTCGTTTTGGTTGCGAGGCCCCCTGGAAGCTTTGGCGGTCCTAGAGCTCCTAACAGCACTCTCCGGCAGCTCATGTTCGTAACGGCCATCGATGCGACTGGGAAACTCCTCTCTGCGGTCGTGTCTATCAGATCTAGTTGGTTTGTATCTGGAGCGACTGCTGGAGGTAGGCATAAGTTCAAAGAATCAAAACTTTTGCTAAGAGAAAGATCTTTGCTAGGAACAAAACCCGCTCTCCTTGGGATGACACTCTTTGGCTCCTGCAACCAAGACTCTCTCGAGCAAAAAGCGTTAGTATTCGCCAAGCCTTGACGGGGCAGCATGTGATTGGTTCGCTGGTGCAAAGCCTCTGGCATCTCACGATACCGGACCACCACTCAGAGCGAGCAATACAAAATCTTCTTAACCTCATTAGTCCAGGTTGCGGCCGAGCTACCCGGCACACCCAATTGCTGCGTTCGGTCTCTTCCGAACTTTATTTACCCCGTAAAATCTTCGTAGCGAGCCACGAGCAGGTCCAGGATCTGTGTGGAATTCTCAGCGTCCGGCTGATACTCGGGCACGTGATGGCTAGACACGTGATGTATAGGTTTCTATACACGTGATGTGTAGATCTATACTAGGAGGCCTTCCTAGTATAGATCTAGTCAATATTTAGGGCCGCACGGGCCCTCCCTACGTGTATATAGCCTAGCTAGATTCCTACACAGAATCGACATCTTTTGTCCTCCATTTTGTTATCACGTGATCGGAATAATCACATCTGAGGTATACGCAATACGACACGACTCGAAAACAAGCAAAGCCCCCAAAAAACTCCCAGAACTCTAATAGAAGACATTACATGCTATGTTAAGCACATATGTCAAGAAGAATTCATAACGAAGCTTCCGCTGTAGACAGATACAACGTTGATGAGGTGGTGTCCAAGCCTCAAAGTGGCATTTTTGTTAGATGGAGGAGCATATGCCTAGTTAGGCATTCGAGCCTCCGCGAACATTTCCGGCCTAACCCTCGCGCCGATATAGCGCGTAGGAAAGCACGTGATCAGATTGGAAATGGAAAGGAAGAAGTAAGCGAAGGCGACTACAACGAGAACAGTTCATTGACCCTTAAATCCACTCACCATACATATAATTCTCACTCCTATTGATTCATTGGATTAGTTCCCTCGTCAATACAATGTGGGATGGTCTTAAGCTGCAAGAGCTCAGGCCCCCATCCGCACCTTTTCGTCCTGCCCCAGTTCGCCCGCGCCGCGTATCCTTGCGGGCTCAAGTTCCCCCGAAGCAGCAATTTTTAATCTATTTCAACACTACCATTGGCCCGTTATCATGCTCGCTAAACTAGACCTGCACGAATACGCGGATTGCTCAGGATTGCGGGATGGATGATAAAAAGCTAGGAGCACCCGCGTAAATTTAAATTCCATGTCCTGCTGTTCCAATTCGAAGGCTACTCTTGCTTAAGCCTCTTGGATCCTCTGCATTGATTTTCGACGCGGCAATTATGGGAGGCATTACTTTTGATCCAGCGAAGGATGTGCCCGATCTTGCCGGGAAGGTGATATTCATCACTGGAGGTATATACTTCCACATCCTTCCACAGTTCTCTAAACCTCCACTAACAACCCCAAGGCACCTCAGGCCTAGGCAAAGAATCCATCCTCCAAATCGCGCCCCACAACCCAACCCACATCTACTTCACCGGCCGCAACGCCTCCTCCGCAACCTCTACAATCGAGCGCGTCAAGACCCTCGCCCCAAACACCGGCATAACCTTCATCTCCATGGACCAGTCCTCGCTCGCATCCATCAAAGCCGCCGTCACCGCCAACTTCACCCACGAACGCCTCGACGTGCTCCTCTGCAACGCCGGCATCATGAACCGGCCGCCCGCGCAAACCACTGACGGCTACGAGCTGCAGCTCGGCACCAACCACATGGGCCACGCGCTGCTCATCAAGCTGCTGCTCCCAACGCTGCTCAAGACCGCCGAGCTCCCCGGCGGCGACACCCGCATCATCATCCTCACCTCCCAAGGCATGAAGATGGGCAGCATCGACTTCAAGACCCTCAAAACACCGCAAAACCGCTGGGTACCCGGCGCCCAGATGCTACGCTATGGACAGTCGAAGCTCGCAAACCTACTGTATGCGAAGCAGCTCTCGATCCTGTATCCGCAGCTCACGTGCTTGTCGATCCACCCAGGCGTGGTGAAGACCGAGTTGGTGGCTGAGCAGAGCTTCTTGCACAAGGTCATTATTTATGGGAGTCAGGTAGGAAAGTTGTTGGAGCCGGAGCAGGGCGCGTACAATCAGGTGTGGGCTTCTGTGGGCGATGTCAAGGGCGTGGCGAATGGGGAGTATTATGAGCCGGTTGGGAGGGGCGGGTTGGATGGGGGGAGGGCTGCGAATGTGAAGTTAGCGAAGGAGTTGTGGGATTGGACGCAGAAGGAGTTGGAGGCTTGGTAGGGTGTGCGTCGTTTGGTGGCTGCTTGAGTGGTCGATATACCTTTGTTTGTAGGGCGTCGTTACTATCTTTTGCTTTTTATTTTTATAAAAGCTTTGTTGTCATAAACATCGGTGACCTGCGTATACTTTACGATCGCTCTGTGGGGAAGCCGATGCGCTCAGAGACCCGAAGGAATATGCTGATAAGCGTTCTGGGTACTGGTAGGTGACTTCGTCTGAGGCGGGCTGGCGAGTTTTCAGATCGCCCAAACCGTTTTGCGTGCACCTCATTCAGCATGATGAAGGTACATCGAAGGATTTCAAACGGTCGCGTCCTAATGTACACAGGCTTAAGCCCTGTTACTGTAAACGCCCTGATTCGCTCCAGCAAGCAAATAACTGGTCCGAGACCTTGCCCTAGATGATTCCTATCGGATGGCAAAGGCTCTCGTTCCAAGCCTCGCCTTTCATGATGCCGTGGATGTAGGCATCTCCGATGAGTTCCCAGTCGGAGCCACGTTCGCGGAGAATGAAAGGCAGCTTCCCGCCCTTGAGGATTGCCACCCGGTCGCCAATCTCAGTAATGCCGGGAACCATTCCAACATAACCATCAGCTGTTCTCGCTGCGCTTATACAACCCATCGCGCCAACAGCCATTCGAAAGTCCATCTCGGGATTTTTGATACCGAGAGAGTGAAACACATGCCCAATAATTGCAACCAACATGTAGATCCAAATGTGCTGATGCAAGCCCATGTTCCGGATGACCTTTAGCAGAGCTTGTCTTCGTAAAAAGAGATGGAACATATGCCGAGTCTTTTCCTTCCCTTCGGGATAAAGGCAAGCCACACACGTCTGCCACATAACCTTCAGCATATCTTCTCCAGTAGTGTATTTGCGACGCGATCCTGCTTCGAACACGTCCTCCCAGTCGTAGATCTGGCGTTGGTTGTCTTGAAGGATAGAAGCTTGGCGGCGAAGAGTCTGGTTACCTGTGAGATCATTGACCGTCTACGGCATTGATATGGCGGTTATTTCATCAATAATGTACCCAGACAGCTCCAATCGCTTAGCCGCTTCGTCTATTTTGATAGTGCAACTTGAATCGCCTGTTGCCGTGTAGGGCCGTGCAACATAGTCCTCCGATCCTTCGTTTTCAAATCCTATAAGGCTGACAGAGAAACCCTCAGGTGGAGTTTCACTCCAATCGGGGACCCAAGATGGTAGTTTCAGTGAGCCAGGTCGGGAACGAAGTCGAGGGATTGTCGAAAAATCCAGATTTGATACCCGCTTTAGCGTCTGGATTGCGACTTGGACGTATACCTTCTCGGTGGTATTCGCGTCCCCGTAATCTGGAACGATGCCATGCTCGATCAGGCTCTGCTGACAAGCGAGTCCATAAAACGCGAACACTCCATCCCGGGGATCACTGGACCTTGATTGCCTATGTCGAGCAAGGATGCTGTAATGATGTTTGTTGATGCCATTCCTGTACTCTTGCTGCGAAAGAATGAGCACCATGGGTAATCCGACGTTGGAGCTACCGTGGTATTCCACTACCCATTTCTGCCACTGCAAGACGTATATCAAAGCGGCAAAAAGAACCGCAAACTTGATGGCCTTGTCGCCACAAACAAATCATGCGTCTTCAGACACGACAGCTTCCTGGACAATCCACGATCTGGCAAACCACGGCCGATCGAAGGGGGCAAAGAACGGCTTCCAGCCTTTATTCCACAGTGTCGAGAATTCGAGTCGGCGAAGAGGCCACATCCGTGGCGTTTTTGTAGCTTTCATGTCCCATAAATACGCATTGCAGAGCCGTTCTGCAAAGTCGAGTCCGCCGGTGCTCTCATCGCCTTCTGGCCCCAACCAGATCAATGTCCGCGTGGCTCGTTGATAGATGTCACGCATCTTCCGTACCTGGGCGCTTCTTTCCTCCGGGTCAGCTTGGTTGATGCAAATGGAATCGATCCAAAGCATGCTCGTCGTATTCCTCTTTCTCCGCGTGGGTAGTAGAAAAGCCTTCAAATTGAACTGAATGGTTATGGTTCCATCGCCGCACCTAACCTCAGTCGTATCGTTCTTGTCGCCCCAGCAGTAGGAAACGGCTTCAATGGAGGACAGCTGCTATGGTGAAGAGGAGCATGGAGGATGTCTACTTCCACGTCGCCGTTTTTGTGCCCAGGAGCGAGAGTCACTAGGCGGATCCAGGTGTCCGATCTTGTACACGTGATCTTATATGGCGCTATACCCTATAGAGCGAGGCTGTGCTACCCCTACCCTGCTGAAAATATACTTTTACCCTGCGCCAGGAAGTCTGGTCCTTCGCTCCCCGCACCAGGGCAAGCAATCCCCGCTAAGTACGTAGCTGATAAACCAGCACCAAGACGCTTCTTGTCCAGTCTTTTCGATCTTTACTCTCTCCTCTCCCCCCCGTAAATTATTTCCATCATATCTTTCTCAGACAGCATATCGCTATGGCCGAATCAGTTGGGGTTGAATACATCGGGTGGGAAGATGACTTTCGCTACGCCGAAGAGAAATCTCGTATCACTGAGCATATTGAGAAGATCGCAAAAGATAATGGATTCGCCTACGCCTGTGTGCAGTAAGTGTTCTCGAAAGCCTCCTCTGGCATCCGCATCCAGTTGCTAATGAAGACTTAGAGACATGATCATGAAATATCGATACAGATCTCAAGGGCCATGGATCGATGTGCACTTCAAACGTGGGAGATGGGTCACAGACGGCCTTGATAAATATGTATTTACAAGATTGTGGTTTAATGAGGATGGCGACCTTGAAAAAGAACCCGAGTTCTTCGAGGTGGAAAAAAGGAGCATCTAAGCTCCATGAGGACTCCAATGTTCTCTTCTCCTGGCTAGGTAGTACCAAGTAAAGTAGGGAGGCGGACTAAATCTCACAATGAAGCGGATGGGAATGAATCTCCCACATCGTATTCTACCTTGTCCGTTCTTCCAATAAAATTCGAGTACCCTCTGGAAAAAGTGTCTGGAGTGGTTTTAGAATCGGGGATTGGGATCGGCGGCCGACCCCCAAATTAGACCCCTGTGCAAGCCTTTCCTCGTCTGTACCTAGTGGAAACTGCGCTGAAATACTCCCATCCTCCGCCTGATTCCCAACCTCAAGCCGGACCTCCTTGCTTTCGCCGTTCGACAAACCGTGAAAACCCATTCGCGTAATCTCCAATCTTCAAGTCCTCAGCTTCGATTGTTTTCATACAGCCCTTATGTCTCCACGTACCTACGCGCCGTCCCCTTCCACATTCGCGGAAGACCCAGATCGATACCGTGAAAACGGCCTTCACCCCCTCACTATTGGGGAGACTCTCAAACATGGTAGATATCGAATTGTCCATAAACTAGGCTCCGGAAGCTTCGCTACTGTCTGGCTTGGCAGGGACACGTTAGAGAACAAGTATGTCTCTCTGAAGATCTTGTCTGCCGATACGCCTCTTGAGTGTAAAGAGTTACGCATCTTACAAGATATTACGGAGTCTACAGTGGCCCACAAAGGGCGAGAGTTTGTTGTTCAGCTTCTTGACCATTTCATCATTCAAGGCCCGAACGGCAAGCACTGGTGCCTTGTAACCGCAGTAGCCGGAGAGCGTTTGGCAAGAAAGCCCGGCCTACCTTACAATTCCTTGGAATGGCCTCGCATCATTGGGCTTCAGATTGCAGAAGCCTTGGGATATCTTCACACTTTAGGCATTGCGCATGGAGGTGAGTATTCATTGCACTCGGGTATATGAGGAAACTTCTAAGTTCGAAACAGATTGCTACACGTCCAACATTCTCTCCCAGCTTCTCCCTTTTGATAAATGGTCCGAAGAAGAGCTCTATGCTTGCATGGGGCAACCCATTAGACACCAAGTACATCGATTGGATGGGCGACCGAAGGGGGACAACGCTCCGGATTACACGGTCGACCCCGGCGATGTAGTAGCACTGGAAGCCCGTCTGCCTACAGATCGGATCGTTCTAATCGACTTTGGAGCGGCGTTCTATCATCACGAACGAATCACCGAGATTTTCACGCCAGCTCCCTTCGCATCACCCGAAATCTTGTTCAGTGGCGAACTCACATCCTCTGTCGATAAATGGGCATTTGGGTGTCTGCTGTACGAGCTCTGTGCCGACCGCAGTCTTATAAAGCTGTTATTTGGATGGAACAACGATGCGCTTAAAGACCAGGTATCTATGCTTGGGAAGCCATCTGAGGCTCTCTGGCAAAATTGGAAGGGCAAAGAGAAGTATTTCCATCCTGATGGAACTCCAAAAGAGGCCGAAGGCAGGCGATTGAAGGTCGAGCCGCTCTCCCTGGAGCAACGTGTACGAAACCTAGAGAAGCCCCTGAGCGAGCGAAGTCATGGAACAGACATTGCGACACCGCTCCCACCGGATCTCCAGAACTTATATGACCTTCTCAAGGGGATCATAATCTACGACGCAGGCGCTCGCCTCTCTTTTGAAGCAATACAAGCCCACCCGTTCTTCTCGGGCGTAGATATTCCAAAAGTTTAACTAGTTCTATGGCTGAGAACCATAGTCAACGGATCACTCTAATATCAATGTAATCAGAACTTGAGGTCCGGTATGCTTGCCAAGAGTTGGTGCTTCACTTGGGCATTGATTTGACCCTGAAAATCCACACCAGAGCCTCAATCTTTCACTTGCATTTTATCCCAAATATAACTGGTAGATGTTGACCAAGCCTGCATATGCACTGGCCTCTTGTTTTGCCTAAGATCCCCAGCCCCCTCTCTGGCGGGGCCTTGAAGACTGGGTTGACATGTCCTACCGAATGTTTCCCCGCTAATAGTCGGCCAAGAACGGGCGCAGCCGTGTTGATCGACGATTGCCGTGCTCGCCGTCACGAGGCTCTTACACAACACATCCAATTGCACCGTCAATCTTTTAGTAATGCCTTTCTTGAAAAACAAAGAATGAACGAATGTTCGATGAATCAAGTACTATCGTGGACAGCAGAATCAAGTATCATGATCATGAATTATCATAAACACCCCTTGAAATTCTTTCAAAAACCGCAAGCATAAAGTACCCTTGGTCCAGCATAGAAAGAGATTCTCAGACGATACGGCAAATCCTCAAAGTTTCCATGCCGGGCCTTTCTTGCACGTGTACAACCTGCACGTGAACTTGGCAAACTCCTCGCTTAGTGAAGGAACTGTACCATCACTCTCGGGTACCATCAACATCAACACCATCATCCCTAACCAGCATGTTTTAGCCTCATACCCACAGTAGCTCATCGTTCTGCCTTCGTAATTGTACTCACTGAGCGGGCCTCAAAGGCTTAGCCTTCTCCTTCGAGAAGTCGACGTCGGCTCGTGGATCAAGCGCAATGGTGCCGTGTTGGCTCATGCCATACTTCGCGGGGTTCATGCCGGCGTCGATGTCGTCTTTCATAGTGATGGTCTTGCCTTTGGGGGTTGAGCCCATCAAGGCTGGATACCATTCTTTCCAAGGCTGGATGAGGTCTGGTTTGGCGGTCTCGACAGTCATGTTATTGTTTTCTGCTTCTAGGATGACTTTTGGTTTGTAGTAACGGGGAACGAGGGTCGAGGTGGAAGAGCTTTGGGGATGCGGTGGAGAGGTGGAGAGGGGGTGGGATACGGCGCAGTTAAATAAAACTCTATGGAAAGCCAGACCAATAGATTGGTCGGGCTGTAACTACTCAGCACGGCCGAATACGAAGACCCCTGTTCAGATTGCGTGCGAGATAAGCAGCTCCGTGGGGTTGTGCTGAACTTGCATGTAGTTGGCCCCGGCCTTGCATTACCTATATTGAAGCTCTAGCCTCTAGATAAAACATAAGCTTGTCTTCTGCATCCACCCTCCAGACACATCCACCCCATAACACACTTCCTTACCATTTCTTACAAACCGTATCGCCAGTCGGCTCGCTTCAACATGGAAACCTCAATCTCCTATCTAGCTCAACATCCCATCTTCGACATTGAGAAACCTTTCGATACCGACGTGCCCGTTGACCACATCCCCGGCGCGCGCGCCTCGAACCATCAGAACGATGAGAGAGCCGTGACGGTGTATCCCATCATCGACCCCGACGAATGGGACCTCGAGAAACACGGTTTCTGCTTTATCAAAGCAAGGACGGGGTTGAAGGCTCAGGATGCATTGACGAGGAAAAGGGAGGTGCAAAAGGGCTATTGGTATGAGATTGAGGCGTTGTTGCATGAGAAGTTCCCACAGTATTCGAGGATTGAGTGTTATGACTGTACGGTAGGTCATTATTATTTCATCGTTGCTATTCCGGACAGATTCCCTTGTCGCTCTTACATTTCGCGTTACGACCGATGTAATAGATTTCGATGTAGGTTAGGAAGAGGGACCCCGACTTTCCTGCCAATATTAGGATCTATACCAAGGTTGAGCAGCCGGCGCGAAGACCACATAGTGACTGTTCCCCGAGGGGTGCGCACATGAATCTTGAGCGTGCATTCCCGGGACAGGAAAGCTTTTGGGAAGGCAAGGATTTCGATGTTTTGAAGTATGTCCTTCGCCGCTCCCCATCCATAGCTACTTGGAAGAACCTAACATCTTCTCATCAGCGTTTGGCGACCCCTGCGAGGCCCAAACAATGACTGGCCCTTGGCGATGTGTGACTGGACGACCATCGACGCTTCAACCGACGTACGCGTCAACGATGCTATCAGACGCGATCGGGTGGATGAGAACGCTATCCTTCATTTCAACGAGAAGCACAAGTGGTATTACATGAAGGATCAGTCGGTGGAGGATTTGATCGTCTTTCGCAATGCTGATTCTTTGGGGAAGCGTGCTCGTAAGTTTCCTTTCTGTCTCTGTAGAAATCGAGGATCGAATGCGTGCTAATGTGTCTTTGAAGAGGGGTTCCACTGTTCGGTCTTGAATCCGGAGGCGAGTGGTCAACTGAGGGAGAGTGTTGAGGTCAGATGTGTTGCGTTTCGTTGAGGGCGTGGTGCACACTAAAGCGTGCTTGTCACCAAGAATAGTAGGTATAAGTCAATACTGTACATTCGGAACGTACTACGCTATCAACAAAACGTTACGAATAAGGCTACTGACAACTTAATACAAGCCCAAACCCTCAAGTAATCAATCCAATTGCACAAGACATCTAACCATCCTATATATCGGAGTGTTTACTCAAAAGAATGTAACTTGTAGGGGCTACGACCTATCTCGGCTTAGACAGTAGAGAGAACGTCTGTCCTCCTGTCCCCGAATACCGAGGCAAAAGTATCACAATTGAGAAAGCTTCGTGTTGATGGGAGAGCAGAGGGTCCTGCACCCCGATTTGGGACTATCAAGTCGTCAATTTCTCGTCCCATCGGAGATTCGATAGCCCCCACGCTGCTTCTCACCATTCAAGAGCTCCGCCACCGCATGGTTCTGCCGAGTCGGGCGGGGTAACAATATACAGCCCTCTAGGCGCATCTCATAGTTAGCGTCGCAATTAGTTACGGTGTTGAAATAGCTTTTGATCCCTACGAAAGGCTACTTTGAACCAATGAACTCGATATTATGGAGTTGCCGTCCCGTATCTCCAAGGGAAGCCACCTGCACACTAATCACAGGATGCGTCTAGGGGCTGGGCTGTAACTGGGTCGGGCGCAATAAATGCACTCATCCCTAGCCGCAATAGGAGGGCGGGTATTGTGTTCTATTGGCTAAGTCTTTTAGGAGAGGGGTGCAAAGGTGCCTAATGGAATGCCTTGAGGCATTCGTTGGCGTTTTGAGAAGGCAATCAGGCTTTCCCGGACTCTGGAGGTGAATGAGTAACACTCTGGCATTATCTCTCTACTTCTGCAGCCTCGGGACCTTGGCTGCTAGCTCATGCATCGGCCGTAGACTGGCACTAATATTGGATTGGATTCAGCTAACCCTTTTGAGAAGCAACTTCGCCCGCATTCATGCTCTAAGAAGCAACTTGAAGAACTCTTGGCATCACTTGAATTCTCTGTAGCCTAGTAGCCTCTTCTCCACGAAATCATTTCGGTGCAGCATAGTACGCCTGCACGACGGCTGCAACAAGCTGGAAAATACTCAAAACGATAGAAATCCCACCCACCCACAACACAGCCCAAAACGTGTACCATTGCAACGGGTTCCTCCGATCCCACCACAGATCTCTAACTCGACTCGGCTGCTGCCTCAGGTTATACTGCTGCAACGCCAGGAGACGGGGTCCGAAATACGGGAAGTCGTCTCGAGAGGAATAGGTGTCGGACTCGATGGGAATGTTGTCGAGGTCGAGGTTGGAGGCTGGTAATAGTTCGGCTGGGATCCTAGGCTTCGTGAAGCGGCGGAGGAAGCGGGATTGTGTGGTTGAGGTGCTGCAGATGGTGGGGAGGAATGGGTCGATGTCATCGGAAGACTTTTTGAGCTGTTCGACGAGATCTAACGACAGGGCTCGGGAGCGTGAGGACTGGCCGAAGAGTAGACGGTATGAGAGTAGTACCTCGCGGTGGAGGGATGAGTTGTCCTGGTCAAAGCTGTCTGTATAATAATTTGAGGGGAAAAGTTCAGATGAAACCCTTGCAGCAGATTAGTAGAGTGACCAAGCTTGGGCTTTGGGGATTATGAACTGGGCTCACTGCTGAAGAACTTTGATTTCCTGTGTCCGTAGAATGCTACTAACGCAGAACGTTGGCAAGCAGAACACGGAAAGTGTTCGGGATTGTCGATCGAAAGCAAGATGAGATGTCAGGTCCTCGACCCACTTCACCCGCACCCGACTTATTGTATACAGCGAGAAGAAGTTGACACACGATTCGTGAAGCGTATCTGTATCTGTGGCTCCAGCTGCTGTTCCAACATGCCCAAAATCCCTAAATGTACCCCTCAAACTACGGAAGAGCTTTGTGATGGGCCGTCTGACAGTTTGGCTAAGGGAGATCTTGGAAGGATCATCTGCCCTGCTGACTCCTTTCGCGCGGAAAGACAAGTGTCGATTGTTTCCCGTCGACTTATTGGTCTGATACAGCTCCAGGTCCGGATCTAGCGTCATGGATGTCCAGCAAAGTACTGCAAAGATTGCAATAAGAGTGCAGTCCTTCTCGGAATCACTGAATTCGGCTGATCTGGGTTTGATCAAATGCTGGTAGATGTTCTCCATACTTACACTTTCATCCGCTTGTAGAGTCTGAAACCCTCGGAGCACTGCGAGGCACCAGTGCCAGCCTTCAAGAGCTTCCGTTGGCTTCTCTTGCTTCAAGATTTTCCAGATGACGTTGAAGTCCTCGCGTAGTAAGACTTCAAACTTTTTCTCCAACCGACTGCAGACAACATGTATTCCTGGCCAATGTTGTGCGTGTGTATTCCCGAGCCCAAAGAGCAGTGCCATCGCTTGGAGACGGATATCCAAAGGCATACTCTCAGTGACTAGAAACTGTTATTAGTTTTGTTTTGATCACTTCTGAGCAACTGACACTTCGACGACTTACCTGCTTTACGTTTCAGGGAAGGCAGGCTAAAAGATCGCTACGGGAACTGTATTTAGTGTATGGCAAAGACGCAAATCACATCACAGATATAGAAAAGCTCACATGTGTGGTATCTGTGGAACGTTGCCATACTGTCGACCAAGACCTCGGTTTCGACACGTCGCCTTCTGCAGGGAGGCCTACATCCTCCTGAGCTTCGAGATTGTTCAGATCTGAATGAAAAGACATGCCGGTAAGGGACCAGATATATATGGGTCGTGATTACGAATGCAACAAATACAGTTGATGACCTCTGCACCAGACTCTTGAATGCAAATCAGAGATATCCAATTCAACCTTGGGTGAGCAATAGCTAAGGACAGGACGCAGAACTCGCACTAATTAAACTGAGCTGGGATTACAGTGGCTATGTTCAAGGGCTAGCTATCCAGATGCGTTTCTCGTGTTTGTGGTTGAGCGGCAAAGCTTCCCAAGTTCCCTGTGGCTGCCGAAAAGCCAATTGCCACCTTGCAATTGGCGAGTAGCTGTTGGATGAGAGCTTCTCCGGGCGCAAAGGACCCTTGGACGGCGACCGGCTCGTACACGCTGAAACAGCCCTGGAGTAAGCGCTGCCAAGTCGTCACTCCTTACCGTATCAAGACAGGATGTGCGGCACGGGATCGATGCAAGGCTACCTCCGACAATACACAGTAGATTGCCTCGGGAACCTTCGGTACTTGCTGCCACAGACCATCTCGAGGCTCCGCACTTGTGATTGGCACCCAGCCGCCGTCATTGCTTGCGACGATCTTGATCATCAGTATCGAACAGTAACTTTCATAAAGCTAAGAACTTGCCGCCTTAGCGCAGGTTGGCCCTCTGATTGTAGCCTCTGGCCGAGAAGAGACACCTGTCTGGGTGTGCCTAGATTGCGGTGTCAAAAAGACGCAACGCCACGCTGGCCGGTTCCCACGGCTGCAGGCGCCCAGCTGTGACATGCACACGCTGGGCTTGGCATGGCGGCCGCCCGGGCGCGTCCCGACCCGAGCTCTAGTTCCCGTCGTTACCAACGAAAGCAATCAGGCTAGCAGAGACTATGCATTTTATGGCTAGACTGGCGCCTGGGCACCAACATGGGCCGCGCGCATAGCCCCTCTTCCACACCGATCATATCAGCCTCATTCTCTAACAGCTTACGCCTCCACCCTGGAAGCGTTGAGGTGAACGCTTCAGCGTTCTCCTCGAACCTTCTTACTCTCCTTTCGCAAACGTTTCCGAATTCCAGGCCCTCAAACGCCATGTCTTCCACCGAGAGCTCCCACACGCCGCCTCCCGGCGCTACGATCCATCAGCTTGTCATCAAGCCGATTTTCGATGCTCTCGAGCTGCGTGAGAAGTTCTATGCGCATTATCTTGCACGAGCAGCGTGGCATGGAAGCAGAATTATCATGCGGCAGGTGTCACCAGAAAGCCCAGACATTTTCGACTTCATCATGGACCTCCATCATGCTTGCGGCGGAAAATGGGACACCTTGGTAACACAATGCAAGATCACCTCTGAAGAGCTCGCATCCTTTCTGGAGTATGCTGCTATGTTTCTCTGCAATTTGGGTAACTTCTATGTATGTTCGGCGAGCTGTTATTGGTACCAGCGCTGATTTTGAATAGGGCGAAGGCGATCAAAAGTTTATTCCCGACTTAACTGTCGAAGCTCTGCAAAAGATTGCAGATATCTCCCCAAAAACGAAGGTTGGCCTGGAGAAGATCAGAGGTCCATTGCTGGCAGTCCCACCATTCAGCCTTGGATATCCCAGCAAGAACGCGCAGTCGAGCTATTATCCTAGTACTGAACTCATTTCGGAAGAGGAGATTGCCAAGGTGTCGGAGGCCATGAGCAAATACTCCATTGGGCCGGAGAATACTCGAATTCGGAAACTGGTCAAGGATGGCAAGCCCGTCTACCAGCTGTTGCAAGCTTCTGCGGAGACTGGTGTTCCCACGAACAATCTACACAAACTCGCAAATGACATATTTCTAGTTAGAGGCGATCACTCCGAAGAGTTATCAGAAGTCTGCGCGGCTCTGACAAAGGCAAAGGAGTATGCAGGCAACAGCAAGCAGGCCCAGTTCTTGGCCCATTACATCGAATGCTTTCTCACTGGTAGCTTAGAAGCTTTCCAGGAGTCGCAAAAAGCATGGGTGACGGATGTGTCTACAAGAGTAGAGAATTTGATTGGGTTCATCGAGCCTTACCGTGACCCGGCTGGGATTAGATCGGAGTGGGAGGCTATGATAGGAATCGCCGATCCGAATGAGACTTCGAAATTGAAGCACTTTGTCGAAAGCTCAACTCTTTTCATTCGACAACTCCCATGGGCAGTCCAGGATGTGAATGACGGGAAAGGACCATTCGAGAAGAGTCTGTTTGAAGCTCCCGACTTCACCAGCGTCCACGGTTAGCTGCTCCTCGGTCCCCAAAGCAAGTATGGAGACAAGCTAAATCTCCTAGCGCTCGCCGTATGCGGCAGCGTCGTCTTCGAAGCCGCCAATCTTCCAAACGTAAGTTTTGAGAAGGTATCCCGGATGGAAAGAGACTGATGATTGACCGAGTACGAATACATCCGAGAAACCTGCGGCTTCAAGAACATCGTTCTCGCGAATCGTCTTAGCGTCAACAATAACCCCAATCTACCATGCCACTGGGTCGATCCATCAGAGCTAAAGCATTTCAAGAGCAGCACGCACATTGTCAGATTCATCACTACGGCAATTCACGAGCTGCTTGGTCACGGAACTGGTAAACTCCTTAGTGAAAACAACTCGGGAAATTACAACTTCGACAAGCAGAACCCGCCGATCAGTCCCCTAAACAAGAAAGCTGTAACGTCGTACTATTTGCCCGGCCAGACGTGGACCAGCGTCTTTGGGAAGCTGGCGGGAACGGTGGAGGAATGTCGTGCCATTCTGGTTTCAGAGTACCTCATGGATAACAAGGAGTTGTTGGGTATTTTCGGATACACTGACACCAGTGAAATCACAGCTGACGACCGTGAGTTGTAACACGATTGATGTACGCAACTTACTGACCCCTTTGATTTCAGTTCTCTATACCACCTATCTCAATATTGGTGTCGACGGTCTTCAAGCACTCGAACATTACAACTTCAAAGATAAGGTTTGGGGCCAAGTCCACCACCAGGTATGCATACCTACCTATGCCCTTACACTTGTTCATATTATGAATTCTTAGAAAACCTAATTCCTGCCTAGGCCCACTTCTCTATTCTCAAATACCTCCTCGAAGCCGGTGCCGGCGTCATCCACATCGACCACGACCCCTCCAAATCCACCCTCACCGTCCACATCGACCGTAACAAGATCCTCTCTCACGGCAAACCCGCTCTGGGCCGCTACCTCAGCCGGCTGCATATCTGGCGCTGCACCGCCAATGTTTCTTCCTGCAAGCAGCTCTACGAGCCTCTGTGTGCGGTCGATGACATCTACGAGCAGTGGCGACAGATTGTGTGTTCGAAGCCGAATCCAAGGTGGAAGTTCGTGCAACCGAATACTTTTGATACTGGGGAAACCGTGGAAGTGAAGGTTTATGAGGAGAGCAATGAGGGGATTATTCAGTCGTGGGCTGAGAGAGAGGTTTGATGATTGCGTCGCTTGGGGAGGGACCGTACATTCTCCCTGAGATCAAAGTTAGTGTTTGCTTGCTTGACGTCGGGTCGTGTGCGGACCCGGTTTTCATGTGGAACCTTCGTAGAAGCTTAAGCTGTCCGTCCGCACCATTACTTATCCTAGTTGGTTGATCTGCTGCTCACTGTTCTAAGCGAAGAAGCAACTAGATTCATTACCTACTATCGCAACGACTAAATTGTCGAGTGCCAACTATACCGAGGGCCAAAACCATGCTTTGCAGGTATGTCCGGCTACTTTTACCTAACATCCTCTCTGCCTTCCCATCGATTTAGCTAACCCCCTCCGCCACCCCTCACCGCCAAAAGATCGGCACCCACTGATCATAATCCTCCTCCCTCCCAGACTGCGCCGCCTGCGGATCCCTCCTCAATAGATAAAGCTCCGCCTCATCTCTCAACTCACCCGCCTCCTCGCCATCATACGAATCCTGAAACAGCGCTTCGGACAACTTGAACAAGCCCCGCGCGTGCTCGACGGGCATGACGTTCGCATGGAACTTTGTAATTTCGAGGGAGTCACGGAGGTGTTTGCTAAGGAGCAGATGATTTAGTCAAACAGATTTGTTGGCTGGTGGGAGGGAAGAAGAAGGCGAAAGAGAAGAAAAGAGGTCACATACACAGCCGCCTCCACCTTCCCCTGATCAAGACAAACCACTCCCGTCTTGTATATGCACCCCGCATTAAACGGATGCAATCTCGTCTGATCCCCCTTGAACCACAGATTCTGCGCCTCAATGAAACTTGCTTCCGCCGCTTCGGGTCTGTTCCGACGTCGTTCGAGGATTCCCAGGACGAAGTATGTGCTACAAAACCGGATCAACAAGGCAAGTCTTCTAGAAATAAGACATTGCATGAGAAAAAAAAAGATTACTTACTATGCGAGCATAGCCCAGTTAAGTGCTTTCTCCTTTTTGAACTCAGTGATTGAGATATCTAGCAATGCTTGTGCCTTGTCATATTGACCAAGATGTACAAGACATCTCGCCATATTCTTCTTTGTCACGGTTGGCCAATCGGCCTCCCTCCCCTCTTTGACGTTCCAAGCAATCCAGGTATCCCTCGACTTTTCGAACCATGTCAGTGCCGTCTCATGATCGTTGGCCGTGTTATAATTGTATGCCAGGTTCTGCTCGAAGCCGCCAAGAAGTCCGCCTTTCAACGGATTTTCTTGTAATCGCATATTGTAACCCTTGGTGTTGAGCTCGATTGCCTTTTGCACCTTCCCTGTGCTCTCGTACATGCTGGCTTGATGTGACAATGTCGAAGCCGCAATGTCAGTAGCCTGTTCTTCGTTGTCTAGTGTTTTCACGGCCTGGAGATTCACTTCACAAACGTCCTCGAGATCTGTGAGCGCGTTGATCTCGTAGAGATATCTAGGCTTGGGTTAGTACGTAGCTTTTAAGTCGCCATAAAATATGAATTGTCCATTCCTACCTCTGACAGTCTTTCAGGAGCTCGCAGAACAGCGGTCCCGCCTTGAAGTTTTTCACGAGTCTCCGCTCTTCCTTGAAATTGTCTTTTAAACTGAGAACGTGTTGAAGGCAACGATTGCACTGCGTCCACTGTTGATAGAATTGGTTCTTATTAGTCTCATCTGACTGCTTGGGAAAAGCGTGATACACAAGCGCAACTGCGTTATCGAAGGCTTTCTGACGCTCTTCGAGAGGCAGATAATATCGGAATTGCGTTTGCACCATTCGATGGCAAGAAAAGACGCGAGCATCTCTGTCCCGTTTGATCAAGGCAAGGGTCAGGAGTGGTTCTGTTGCATCTGAGAAACTGCGTTCAAAATTAGCTAAGCTCCTTCTTCCAATATGTCAATCATACCTGAACTCGTCGACACAAAACGCGAGATCTTCTGGGAGATCGTTGTCTTCCTCAATTTCGAAGAGCAGCTGCGGAATGTTCTCCGATACCAAAAATGAAGCAATTCCTAGGAATGTCCGGCTATCTTTCTCCAAAGTAGCGAAGGAGAAATCCCACACAGCCTGCAGCTCAGTTTGGTGAGCCCTCTTTGGATTCTTCAGGTAGATTCGCATGAATTCGGCGATGGACCAAGACCGTCGATGAATCAGACCAGCCATGTGTGAGATTCCCAACGCGTGACCACTCAATTTCTTGGAAAGCTCGGTTGCCGAGTCTCCCTCCGCTTGGATATCGCTGCCGATGTTGCGTTTCAATAGGAATAGAAGAAACTCAGAACCAGTTTTTGCATCCCATGAGGTTATTTCCAATCCTGACGTAGCAGGCTCATATGCTAGAGAATGGTTGCGTGTGGTGATGATTGCCTTTCCATGACTCGCTTCCGGCCAATATGGCATCAATAAGTCGGCCTTCTCGACATTGTCGTAAACCACCATCCATTTACAGTCTGTCCAGGTAATTTATTAGACTAGACAAATCTTTAAAGGAGCCCCCCAAGAGTAACCTACCTGTCGATTGAAACCAATTCTGGACAAGAATCAAGTTCTCGTCGTGTAAATTGGGTTGTGCTCCCGGCAATTTTAGCCGCATTGCTATGTCTGTGAAGCTCTGTCGCAAAGATGCTGTTTTCTCGCCATAGACCCAGAACACAGCGTCATACTCATTCTCTTCGATCTTCCTCTCAATGTATCTTGCCGCTATGGAACTTTTGCCGATACCACCCAGACCAAACAAAGCTATAGATCGGAAAGAGGTATTTGATCCCGCCCGGCCTAGGACCTGATCTATCTTCACGAAAGTGTCGACTCTGTTGAAGAAGCGAGATGACTTTTTGGTTGGCAGTATCATGCAACGAAATTGCTGTGTGAGTGTAGCTATATCCGAGGAACTGTTTTGATCTAGCCCAGAGGGGCGCGCAGCAACCAGATTTTCGATCCGCGCTATCGTTTCGATGAGCTCCTGATTTGTAGCAATGAACCGGCGTTGAAGCAGTAGCCAGGGGTCATCTTGTCCGTAACGATCATCTCGGTCGTCCCGTCTGTCTGGACCATCGATATCAGTTTAACAAAGTAGCAGCTCAATGTTTTAGTGATACTTACTGTACCTCATTTCTTCTTCCTCGCCACGCATATACTTGACCGCGCTTGTGAAAAATTCAACTAGCTGAATCTGAATGTCGAAGCATGCTTCTTTTATTTGGTCCAGACTCTCTCGTGCCGCAGTGTAGTGTACTTTGAAAGCCTCTGCTTTGTAGCCAAGAGACTTTAGCATTCGTGGGATCTTGGAAAGCGCTTGCGGATCTTGCGCAGTGAGCTATTGCGTTGTGAGCAAACTAGCAGGAACGGCTGTCGACCACAAACTTACCTTGAGCAGGACTCCGATGATGCCCCAGAAATAATCCGCTTGAATGCCAGGGGCCAATTGAGACTCAAAGACTTGGGTAAATTGGTGGAAGTGGCCAAGTGTAGGTTTGATTAAAGCGATTTCATATGGAATCACTTTGCTGGAATCCGTGCCTGCCGAGTCCAACACATCTTTCTGCACTGAATCCCATGAAGTAATCAATCGCACCTGCTCCAAGTCATCGGGCTCCAATGAATTCTCGCATTGCTCGATGGTTGTCTTCCAGTGACTGTTGAAGAAGAGTTCCCTGGTGAAAATTGGTCAGTCCTGATGTATCCGGAGAATCTCAGCATTATGATGACAACTTACAGGTCTGAGGAGTCCATTGCGCTGATAGAGAAGTGTATACACAGCTTTCCCGGTCTATACAAAGCGGGACGAGAAGAAAGATTCAAGGTTGACGCTCGTTGCTTGGTATGAGAGATGGAAGGAGGGGCTGCGGCTTATCTTGTTTCGCGGATAGCTGTGCCACCCCGCGGCCCGGCAAGCTGTCGCCTGTGTTCTCTGCAATTCGAAACAACTCGAATAGAGTGCTAGACGAAATGTACGGACGGAGCTTTCCAGCGCCGATTCTCAGCCCCCGCCAAAAAAAAACCACGAATATCACCGCATGCAACAAGTACAAGATGCTGAGCTATAGAGATGGAAAGCAGTATTAATAGGAAACATGTTTAGAGGTGGTAGAGGGTAGATCACTAGAGCTTTTGATTTGGTGGGGGCTAGAAGTGGGAGTTTGGACTAGTTTTCTGCCTAGCACTAACTATACTCGCTTTGGAAACTCCCCTGTTCTACGGCACAACCGGCCAGGACCGCCAGATCGCGCGCCGACAACCTTATCACTAGCCAAAACACCATCTCAGCACCGGAGACAGATGCCTATCTGAAGGTGGTTAGGTCCTGCGGCTAGCGATGGACCCTCATCGAGTTCATTGGCAAGTAATTGGCCTCTTCTTGCCAACGTTTTCGGTCCTTGTCGTTGGTTGCTTTCTCTCCTCTTTCTAAAGTCGTGTCAACAACAAAGCTGCGCATTTCACACTAGCGATTTGCAAGCTGTCTTAATGCTCATTTGAAAACTCTTGTACTAATTGGAATATACTAGAGCTATATCCCTAGCCGCACGCCGCCGCAGGATTTCCCTCTACGATCCCCATATCTGTCGCGTCAATCGACCCTTTTCACATCCCGTCAGCAATGCTATGCAAGCCGCCGGGGCCCGCTGAGCAACGGGCCATCAGCCGGCACTATGAGTTCGCCGAGCAGGGCGCCTGCCGGCCAAACGGCCTCGAAATAGGGAGAGGGCGTATACCCTCCGTCGGAAGGAATGGATGGTGAGTGGCCCCTCTAGGAGGCGTGCAACGCCGCTCTACCAACCGGGGCAACTTGAATGGTGAATGGTGTTGTCTGCGGCAATGCGACGACCTCTACCAGGTGACGCCACTGCAAATGGTTGTGGCCAGCCGCGCCCCGCGTGCCTGCAAGAAAACCGGAATGAGAAAGGGGGACAGCACATTCTACTCGGTGGTGGACGAGGCCGATCCTGGCTCTTAGGATCAGCTTTGTCATCCTGGATCAGTACGTGCGTGCCTTGATCGATCTCTGGAAGCAGCAGGCCTTCGTGTAGGCTTACGTGACATACATGTAGCACTAGCTATTTTCAAAATGTGGATGAACACATGTAATACGAGGACTAGTATGAACATGAATTCACACAACTACCAGTGATAAAGACATACAACATCGCCCCTCAATGATACCCCTCATACTCCCCCGGCACCTCCGGCCACTCATCCACCCCATCCAAAATCGCCATCGCCATCCCGCCCACCAAATGACTCTGAATATGGCAATGCAGCAAAAAAGCCCCCGGATTCACGACATGATACCTCACCGCCAACCACGTCGGCCCCGTCGCCGACGGCGGCGTCGTGAACGTATCCCTCAGCGGCGGATTCTCAAAATTGAAATTCTCCAGAATATATTTCAGCGCCTCTTCCACGCTGGAGTAGTTAAACACAGTGGTTCCCGCGCCAATAATGTAGCCTTTGTTGGAATGCTTGTGGATGGGGTGCGGCGGCTGCCCGGGGGTGGTGACGTTGAGGATCAGGTCGACCCAGGTGTTGTTCTTTGTCGTAATCGTGAGGTTGGAGTGGACGGTGGAGGGGCTTGCGAAGAGGAGCGGGGAGGTATCTTCGAGAGACATGCTGTAGGATGTGCCGTTGAGAGACCAGAGGTAGCTCGCGCCGGCTGGGACGAGGCCGAGGATGATGGTCTGGTCGACGGTCTTTGCCGGCGAGGAGGCGGGAAACCCTTTTTGTTGGGCTTGAGAGAAGAAAGCTACGTCGGCTGTTGTGTTGCCGCCGGCCATGTTGGTATATGGGACTGATGCTTTCTGCTGCTTTACGAGCCCGGCGTAGGAGAGCGTTGCGGTGGTGGACATGATCTGCGCGAGGGCGATGCCGGAGGAGCGGATCTTGTAGTCGCCGGCGGGTTTGTCGAGTTTGGTGAAGACGGAGTAGCGTTCGCCGTTTTCTAGGGTGATGGCTTCTACTAGGATTGGTTCGACGTAGCGGCCGTCGACGGCATAGATCCAGAGTGGGTGCTCGTCGATGGAGACGGTCAGGGTTTGAAAGCCTGCCGTCGAGATCATATCGAAGGCGACCCATTCGTTGTCAGCTAGTGAGACTTCAATAACTGCTGTCGAGCCATTGGTAGGCGTGCAGACTTCAAAAATCTCTTTCGGAAGCGAGCTGATATTCGTGGGAGATTTGCCAGGGAAAAGAGCTATTAGGACTTGAGGTTGAAGGCATCTTTGATACCTTCGTCAGTACTCTTGTTTAGACAATGAGGAATGTACTCACCCTTTATCGGTGTAATTCAGACCGCCCAGGACTTGCTTCGCAGGCGGGCTCGTAAAAGTCTGAATATCCTCTCGCGACCAGCAATTGACAAACCCCTTCCTATTGACCAGCAAAGAGTCCACGCACGCTGTCTCAATACCAGCCGCTTGCTCCAGCTCCCACGTTTCAGACGAAGTAACATGCCTCCAATCACCAAATATTAACGGCTTCACCTCGGCTTCCGCCTTTACCAAGCTATCGAGATCCTTTTGGGTCTTCGCGATCGTACCAAACGATTTAGGTTCTTCCAGACTTGGCTTGATGGTGATAGCTCCGTATAACCCATCATCAATTTGACCACGGCTATGCGCATGATAGAAGTAGCTGCCGTATTGGTACGCAGTCCAGGTATATGTGAAGCTGCTTCCAGGCAGAATCGGGCGCTGTGATAGTCCAGGAACACCATCTGACCAGGGCGTACCTATTTGCTCGATGCCTGAATGCATTAGTCCCCATCAGACTGCTTTTGAGGGCCTCCCGTGACTTACCGTGGAAATGAACGGTGGTGTTATATGGCATGTGATTATGAACGACGATCTCGACCGCATCACCTTGGTTGATGTTCAGCGTAGGACCCGGAAACTGTCCGTTTACGTGGATCATCTCTCGAGCGAACCCATCAGGCGAACCGGTCTCCCAAGTTAAGTCGAGGTGGAAGCGAGCCTTCCCAGGGCCGCAATCCTTCCAGTCCTGCTTAGTCCATGCTATAGAGAGGAAACATAGTAGAATAGACAATATCATTGTGATTTATAGTGCATGCGACGCGAGAAATAGAGTAGGACAAGAGAAGTGAAAAGGCGGATGTGTTAATGGTACAAGGAGAGATGGAGAGAACTAAAGCCAAGGAAAAACTCAAAGAGTACTCTGTTGCCTGTAGAAGAGGCGAGAAATGAGGGAAGTGATGTCTAAAGAGAGAAGATCGCAGACCAAAAAGAGGCCAGGGCCATCATATATGCAGGCGCCCAGCAAACCGTCGCGGGATCGGGAAAGGGGCGAAGTCTGATCTTTGTCGCGTTTTCCCGAAGGCTTGTAAAGCCAACAAGGAGCAGCAAGGTGACTAACTAGAAAGTTTTCATGGTCTTACAATTTTAAGAGGATCATCGCGAGGCTGAAGGAAGCCAGTGCAGTCGCCGCAGTAAGTGCGAGGTCGTGAAATCAGCACTAATGTCTAAGCGCTGGATAGTAGAACCCTATCAAGAACAAGTAACTAGCCTCACGTCAGACCAGTTGTCAAAAGGCCTTGGAAAGCTTCATTTGGCGAGCATTGACCAGAGTTCCGATTGCGCTTTGTCTTTGTCGTTGTCGCTGTCCCGGAGGTTCCTGAAGATTGCGAGAGACCAAAGCAACCTAAAGTCCTTCAATGCTTCATGCGCAGCCGGTTAGATTACTTACGCGCAACTTGCATTAATCCTGCGTCGAAATCGCTACTCTTGCGGCTTTCGCGTTTTGTGGTCGGGATAAAGCGCAGTAATTCGAGTGCGATGTTGGCTAAAGTGAGAATGTCCCAAGAATTGCTAGCGTCAGCGTCAGCATGATTGTAGCCAAGAAGAATACGAGCGTAACCCCTTCGGGAAGTTTGACTAAAGAGCATACAAATAGAGTCGAGATAGAAGATTGGCTTACTTGCAGCTTCCTAATTTTAATTACTTCGAATAGTTCACGCGAAGGGGAAACACCTGTATGGGCACCTCCCAATCCTGGACGCCATTTTCGTATGAACGCTGTGTAGCCTACGATCAGATGGTCCAAAATTTTACGAGTAACGGGTGGAAGTGATGATGTAGTATTAGAGATGAAGGTGCGTTACAAAACCCTAGAGGGGAGCTATAAAGATATGATGTAGCGCTTTCTGTGGACAAGCCTAAGAGGGATAAAAGACATGAAATTTTCACCGCACCAGGAGCTTTTGGGAACAATTGAGCGACTTCCTCACCAGCCTTACCATTACATTAATCAGCTTTCCTTAAACTCTCTGCTTCTTCAACCACACTCCAACCCTCCCCGCAATCTCCTCCCCATTCAACTCCATAAACATCATATGCCCATTTCCCCTCACCCCTACCTCCCCAAGGTCCAGAAACTCAACCTTGACCCCCGCCTGCCGCAGATACAGCACCGTGCAATAATCATACGGTTGGTGAAAACTCGCCTCGGCCGTCACCACCAACACATTTACCCTACTCAGATTCTTCAACCGTTTCGCCGGTTCAGCTTGCAGGATGCAACTCGTGTGCTCTTCGTCTTTCGCAGCCACGGTCACGGTGTGCAGAGCTGTAGCGTTCGGTCCAGCTGACGGTTCGTATGAGATCTCTAAGGCTGTGATTCCCCACGTCCTCTGCCGACCCTTGAACGGAAACGCATTTTCGAATGGTGGTCCGGAGGGCTCGAGCGCTACGATGTCTTTGACAAGATGAGGCCGCGCATCCCCGATCCGCCAACCATACGCTCCCGCTTGGCTACGCGTGATTAGATACGCAGGGCCGATACGGTCAAGCAGCGCCGAATACGCCCTCGCATTCGTTTCTTCGGAAATCAGCTCATTGGCCTGCAACTGTACCTGCGTGGCATAGAAAGAGTCGAAGACCGGATCGCCAGGGTGGCCGGTGCCAGGCCATTGCGTATGCAGGTGCGCTTGTGGCCAGAGGCCGTAGTCTTCTGGGGCAGTAAAGAGAGTTTCGACTTTGTGGGTGTCGAAAGCAGCCACTGAACCAATTCCAGGATACCAAGGTGAGCGACCGCGGGAGGGCTGGTCGGTGAGGTAGACGACGTAGCCGGCGGATAGGAAGTGGGAAGACCAGCCTGGGCGGCTGTCGGGGGTTTTGAGGAAATTCTAGTACAGTGTTAACGAAGGATGAAGGAGGTGGTGGGCGTGGACGGACTGTGCCAGTTTGGCCGGATCCAGCGATGAAGACGATTGGGTATGGCTCGGTGACTTTTGGCGGTGTGAGTCTTTCTACGTAGATTTGGCCGATCATGTACTGGTATGTCAAGCTGCCCGCCTTGATTGTACTAGTTAGGGAATGGCATTCGAGCTCCATGAGTGGAGTCCACTTACAGTAAAATTCTCATAGTGACCTCCGACATAGAAGAAGTCACGTGTCGGGTTTATGTCACCGCCAACTGCAGCTTCATACACATGTCCCAGGATTGAAGTGGAGCGCGCTAAGATTTGCGACAACAGCATGATCTTAGCGCTTCGAAGGAAAAGATACCTACTTCGAAGAGTTCAAGGAAGAAGCAACAAGTAGTCAAAGAGCGGGGTGATGAGTTACTGTGGTACAAGATTGTGCTACAATGGCTTTGCTGACGCGAGCATGCGGTCAGTGCAACCGATGTTATTCTTTCTTGATAGAGAAATGATCATCTAGAAAACCCGCGTCGATAAACAGAAGGCCTAAACGGCGTATCAGATCTAAAATCAAAGATATTGACTTTTGCTCAAAGATTTAGTACCTGCACAGAAAAGAAACCTCTTATCACTCAATCCGAAAGCTGTTTTACTCCACTCCCAACAACACTACTCACATGCCCCGCCAAATCATACTCACAGATCTCCTCGATCGTCAACTTGCCTGGCCTCTCCAAGCCCGTGCTCCACCCAATCCGCTCATCTAGATTCGTCCGCGCCTTTGCACTGGCATATTGTACTCTAGTTGCCCTCGGTTTCCGGATCTCCTCATAGTACCTCAGCGTCTGCTCGACATCTCCGTCAAAATTTCCCTCCTTGAAAAGCTCCCCAAGCACGGCTGCGTCTTCGATGGCCATGCAGAACCCTTGGCTCTGATCAGGTAGCATAGGATGCGCGGCATCACCGAGTAGCGCGACGCGGTTCTTAACCCAGTACGGGTACTCTTCGTGAATATACAGCCGCCACATCTTGATATCATCGGCGTTTTTGAAGAGCTTCCGTACGCGGGGGTCGAGATTCGGGAAAGTATCGCAGAGCTCGTCGGGCGTAGCACCAATATTCCACCCGTCCTTATCAAGGCCGTTGTGAGCAGCGGGATAAAAGCAATAGCAGCTTACGACTTCGTTGTTGTGGCAGCCGGAGAGGACGATCTTGTCTATACCGAAACCGCCCCAAAATTCGATCGCGTCGTTGGTGATGAATTCGGAAAGGTCTAGTTCTCGCAGCTTGTCTGCGCTGATAATGCAGCGGTAGCAGCATGAGGTTGAAGGCTCAACCTTTGGTTCAATGCCGATCGAGTGACGAGTCTGGGAACGAATGCCGTCGGCGGCGATGATGGCGTCGTGGGTTACGGTAACACCGTTTTCAAATTTGATAGTGCCTGTTTTGGCGTTTACACCTAAGGCCTTGCGCTTGGTGAGAACGCGGCATGGGCTACCGATTCCCTTTGCTTGCTGGACGGTTCGGAGGAGGACTTGGTGCATGTCTATCCGATGGAAGTTGTAATATTCCTGCGATACTATTAGCATTTGTAGTGGATTCCAGACAGAGTCAAATGACTTACTGAGCCAAATCGCGCTTTGTAGTCTCCCAGTCCATACTCCTTTTTCACTGCTCCAGTTTCCCATTCATGCATAATCAGGTTTCGCAGTATGACTGGTTTCACAGCCTTCACGTCCAGCCCCCATTTCAGCAACCATCTTGAACCATTGGAGGCAACGGACAGAGAGGCTCCAACTTCGCCGGCAAAGTCATAACGCTCGTACAAAGTGACGTTGTGGCCTGCCCGTCGCAGTGCGAGTGCAGCTGAAAGTCCTCCCAAGCCCGATCCTATGATAGCAATATCAAGCTGACGATATCCAGAGCGCGTAGGTTCTGGCATGGAGCCCATTTTGACTTGACGAATGCTACAGTACTATTTCCTCTTGTCTAGCTGCCTATTTCTCAGCAGCCATGGAGCGGAAATACAGCAAACTTGAGGGGCATTGCGAACCGTCAAAATTCGGTCATTCGATAATCTTCGACGTCGACTTCTGATTTTTCCCGTCGTCACGGCATTTGCCCGCAAAGGACGAGTAAGGCGGAGTAGATTGACGATAAGAAACGTGCATGCCCTCTTGCCGTTCGAGATGCAGGGCAGGAACCCAATTCTGGCGCTAATCTAGTGCCCGAGACGTGGCAACGTGGCAGAGCATGGATTATATCCCGTCGGCAATGTGTGCATTTGTAGGACTCTGGAGCGACGGGAAATGCGTTCTACTGCCCTGTGTACGCCTATCTGCGCGGTGTGAGATGGCCCAGCGAGGCTTGCCGGTTGTTTAGAATGATAAGTTTCAGAGTTTCGCAAAAGCATCGAGGCACCTCAAACGGTGGCAGAGACGTGTACATGGAGCTGGTCCTTTTCAGAATACTGAAAGAGTGATCAGTGAACATCGTCATCGTGAGAGAAGAGATTGAGAGATCGATTTATGACTGAGTTTCTATGTTTGCGAGTTGCAAGACAAGGTCGCTAATTGTGTTTGACAAGCTCTCCTGTGAAACGTTCAGATCAAGACCCAGAATGCTAACATCTTTGCTGCTACCTGCCGTGAAAATCTTGCCCGTGAGCCTACTGCCAGGAGAGCCTTTCGGAACTCTTTCCTTCACCCTTTCTGGTATTCGAACGGATTCATGAACGATATCTGCAAGCTCCTGGTTGTCAAAGCTGCCATTTATAACGAGGACTCGTTCGTTGCCGGCCTCTTGTATGTTGAGAGCATTGACGTGTGCTTGGGCGAGAGTCGTGACGGAAGTCCATACTATTATCATCGCGTTAGTGCTCCATATTTCCGAAGCAGCATGTAGCGGAGACGGAACTTACGACGCGCTTTAGTAACCGGTACTTCTTCAGCATCAGCCAGACCCCACACGATCTGGTTGCTGGCATTCAGATTCTTGAGAGAATTTAGGGTCCCAGGGAACAATAGACCAAAGACCATCCCAGGACACAGAATGCCGAGATTCCAAGAAGGCTTCTTCTCTTTGACAAAAGCCCACGCAGCCTCCTCGGCCAACTTCTTGCTCGCCCTGTATGCCACCAGTGTCGCAGTCGCCGTCTTCCCATCCTCGTAGGTCAACGGCGACCAATCGTCATCTTTGTATACCTTCCCCGAGGAGGGACCGGCTGATGCGTCGAAGGCAGCAGCGAAACTGCTTGTCAACACGACGCGCTTGACGCTTGGTGTCTCGGTGGCTGCAAGGCATATTGCCTTTGTGCCATTGATGCTAGAATGAGGAGCTCGGCTTCGAAATCTTTGTACGCGTATCCGAACGGCGATGCCAGGTGCAGCACTCCATGGCACCCCTGAATTGCTTTGTCGAACGCGGTGGTGATGGTGACATCGGGTACTATTTCAAGTATAAGGGACGGGTTGTGCTGATGAGCTTTGAGCACAGCGTATGCTTTCTCTGCGCTTCTAACAGTACCAACAACTTGGTAGCCATTTCGAAGAAGTTCAGCAGTGCAGTAGGCGGCAATGAATCCGTTCGCTCCGGTTACGAAGATGCGCTGGCTACTGAAGATGGTACATGGTGAATCGCGCTATGCGGGGAGGTATTCTGCGTGAACAGCAGGCCTAAGTGGCCAGCCGCGATATCTGTCGCCATGGTGTTCGGCAATAAGACGGAGTATGGGCGTGCAACGGGTGGTGGAGCTAGGATGAGGCTGGATGTTCGTCGTGAAGTGCAGTTGCAGATGGTGCTGGCCGCTAAAACTCCCTACTGTCGCCCTCTCACTAACACCCGCATCTATACGACGGGTTTACGCGTCTTCCATCGACTCTCTGCCCCTCATTCTGGCCCCAAACCGACATCGATCCATAATCGGGCAGAAGAGAAGTCGTGTAACGTAATGTCCATCACAGGAAGGTCGGCCAATCCAGGCGAGGACCTCCGCTCTTTCTCAACTTCAACGTCTGCTCTTCATCATTAACAAACCATATTCATTAGAAGCTCAATACTATTGCATACCAATCCCTCGAGCAACTTTTCTTTCCAAAGACCTTCCTTAGCCGTATCAATCGACTTTCTCTCTTGTCCGCATTTCCTCTCACCATCAATACCATGTCCCCCAAACTCCCCATCATCATCCTCGGCGGCGGTATTGTAGGCCTCACCCTCGCCCAAGCCCTCAGAAAAGCGTTAATCCCCTTTCAAATCTACGAGCGCGACCCCTCCCTTGCCACCTCCGACGGTGGCTGGGGTATAACTGTGCACTGGGCTCTTGCAGCCCTCGAATCTTGCCTGCCACCCGATCTCTTCGCCCGCCTCAAAGACATCCAAGTGGATCCACAGCAAGGGATTAAAGATACGGGTCGCTTCCTATTCCTAGATCTAGCCACTGCAGAGCCTCGCTACGTCATCCCGCCGAGCAAGCGCATGCGGATTAGCCGCAAGAAACTAAGGGCGCTGTTGACGGAGGGGCTGGAGGAGGAGATTCATTGGGGCAAGAAATTCACTTCATTTGAAACTATGGAGGATGAGGTCGTGGTGAAGTTTGAAGACGGGACGGAAGTGAGGGGCTCTCTGCTTGTGGGTGCGGACGGAAGTGGTAGTCGTACCCGGCGGGCGCTGTTGGGGGCAGAGGAAGCAAAATTGTATCAGCTACCTGTGCGGTTCATGGGCGTCACGGTGCGGATGACGCCCGAGGAGGTGAGGCCGCTGAGGGACATCGATCCGCTGCTCTTCCAAGGGTGCCATCCAGACACGGGCGCTTACCTGTGGTTTGCCATGCTGTCTACGCCTGAGGTTAACGGGTCGAGTGGCGGAGGGGAGTATTACGAGGGACAGCTTAACTTGTCGTGGCTCGTGAAATCGGCAGAGGATGAAGTGCCGGTGACGGCGAGAGCGCGGGTGGCGAAGATGAAACAGATGGCGCAGCCATTTGAAAAGAGATTGAAAAAGGTAGTAGATGGCATTCCGGACGACTCTGAAGTCTTGGAGATCAAGCTGCAGGACTGGCCGACGAAGAAGTGGGATAACAGGTCCGGTACTGTCACTTTGGTAGGCGATGCCGCGCATGCTATGACTATGTACCGAGGGGAGGCGTTCAATCATGGCATTACGGATGCTGCAAGGCTCAGCGAGAGACTGGCAGAGGCTGATCTCAATGGAGGTTCATTTGAGGATGCAGTCAATACATACGAGGAGGAACTGAGAGAGAGAACAAACCCGGCAGTGCTTTGGAGTCGGCAGGCGTGTCTGGATGCTCATGATTTGAACAATCTGAAGCCAGATAGCCCGTTAGTGAGCCGGAGAACTATCTTGAAAAAGTAAGGGTACGGGGTTGAGTTTACAGGCAGGATCTCTCGAACAAAGATGGGGCAGTTTACGAATCTAGAATTTCCTACGGCTCAATTTCTGCTTCGCTTCAACGGTCAAGATGATTGCAGGGTCGGAGTGGGCGTCTTGCAAAGCTCTCGTGGGTCGCGCTCAATCTGTTGCGAGGAAACGTGATGCGTATTTGGATGGCTTACTCGACGATTTATGAGCGTAAGAGGATGTCTGGACTAGCTTCTGGTTCACGCCCTGGAATCCTTTACTTGGTGTTTGCAAAAGGTTAGCGCGGCCATACAACGTTAGACCGGTGTGCACACTGCAGCAAATCGAAGTTCAAAATATCAGATATCCCGCTGTCTTATCTATTCTACTGACACTCCTTCACATAATCCACCGTATCTTGGATAAACTCCCTCGCCTGATCTAATGCCACATCCATATGCTGAAACGGATGCGGCACGCCCTTAAACCTCTTCACCACAACCTTATTTCCCTTCGCCTCAATCAACTTCCCATACGCCTCTCCCTCATCACGCAGGGGATCGCACTCCGCCGTCATGATCACCGTAATATCAGCTAGGCCTTCGCAATTGGGTGCTTGCATGATGTCCCGGAACCAGCTCACGTCCCTTTCCTGCTCCGCTCGCTTCACGGTGTCTACTTTTTCAAGCGAGTCCCACTTCAGCGTGTCAAACCACTTCAGCCGCGCCCAATTCAACAACGGGGCAAATTCCATTTCTTTGATGGACGAGTACGGCGAGTCCGATGCTGTGGCACATGTCGAAATATCTGCAATTGTAGGCGTGCCCACAATGACGCCCTTGATGGGTATTCCGGCGTCTCGTGCAAGATGGTTCACGATTAGGGCTATACAGGCACCTGCAGAGACACCGCCAAAGGTTATGATAGACGGGTTTATCTTGAATTCTGCAGCCTTGGAAAGTACGTGTCTGAACACCTCTTCGCAGTCGCGGACGCCGATCGGGAATGGGTATTCTGGTACGAGACGGTAGTCTACATCCACTACTATAACGCCGGCCTTGACGCAGATGTGACGACAAATATGCGATTCGGTTTCTAGATCTCCTAGACCCCAGCCTTTTGATAGTTAGATTCATGATTCTGAAGAGGCTGGATATGCATGCACTCGCCGCCGCCGTGAAAATCAAAGTGTACAGGCCACCCAGCCTCGGGTTCTTCACCATACGGCTCATAAAGCCGAATCGTGATGTTCCCGGGATATTTGCTCCACCCGGGCACCTCGAGTTCGTACTCTTTGGCGCATTCTGGGCCAGCTGCTGTGCCATAGCCGTACATTCGCGAGTACACTTTGCGGAGCACGTTGAGGTCTATGGGCTTGTTCGGCGTATTGGCGACATTCTTGTTATAGATTTCGACGAATTTGGGGTCGAGTTTGGGGAGAATGACGGGGTTAAGAGGGTTGAGAGATTCGTGGCTAACACCAGCTGCCATTTTGGAGATTGAGGAGAAGTAATTATGAATTGAGTGATGATTATACTGCGGTTGTGGATGTAGGAAGCTATGTGAGATGCTTCTGGGGGGTGGAGAGTGAAGAAGTGGATGCCATGGGCCAGAGGGCATAAGTTGGGTGTGGGATATGGAACAAACTTGATCGAATGGAGGTGTTCTGGAGGTAAGCTACCTATTCCAAGGCTGAGTAGAGGTACGTTAGAATCACAGTGGTAAGCTCTTTGATACTAGGTATCGAGCTCTTGCATACCATACCACAGAGCCCAGGGTCCCCCAATGCTGCGTTGTCATAGTAGCTCCACGATCATGAAGAATGCTAGATTGGAGCCACTGACGCTGCTCTGGGTGCCATAACGTCCCGCCCCGAAAAACAGATGTTGTTCATGTCGAATCCCGTCGTATGGTGGAGCGAGGTCAAAATGAACGGATGTGGCGTTCTTCGGGCCATCTCACGGGGGTGTTCGGTCAGACAAGGCTGGCGCGTGGAAGTCACGTGGCGCACATACAGCTTGGCATGCACCAATCAACTCCCGAGGTCTACTGGCACTTCGACGGCCTCATCAACCTGTGTGGACTGGTTTGCCGCTGTCAGACTAGCCTCTGTACACCGTCAAAGATCTAAACGCATTCATTTTAAACAACCCATAACCTCGCGGGGCCACCTCAGACAGCGGCATCTGAAGGCATACACAGTAAAATGGCCTTAGCTGCTCTTGGCTGTTCATGGAGGATCACCCTCATTCGGACCGTCTCGTCTCCCTAGCTTCGGCCGAACTTTCTTAATCCATGTAGTAACGCAAGGACTATGATAAGGATAGCCCGCACTTCGGGGCAACACCCTGGGCAATACCCTGGACAAGAATCCCGTCGCTAGAAGACGCCGCGTCGTCTTCCTTCACACTTACGCATCATTCTTTTCGTTTTGAATTGCATGGCCTTGGGAAGCCTAGCCATGGGCCGCAAGAAGACCGCCTGTCAGACCTGCGCAGCTATCAAGACCGTCTGCTCAAAGGAAGCCCCCTGCGCGCGGTGCAAGCGACTCTGTCTGACCTGCAGTCTCGGTAACCACGAACAACGGGGCGCATTTACGACGCAACAAGAGGATGATGATGCCCCACAGAGGCTACCACGGCCTACTGCCTCTGCCGCCAAAGGGAATAGATTCAGAGCCCAGCACTCTCGGTCTTCGGGAGGCTGTGACAGCTGTCGAAATAGGCGGAAGAAGTGTGACGAAGCGCGACCGATTTGTGGGGATTGTAGGAGATTGGGCTTGGTGTGCACTTTTAGGACGAGCCCTTCGCTCTCGCCATCCGGATACGGACAGTCGCCTTCTGCATCGCCGGGTCAGTTGAGTACGCCGCCTAGGAATCACGTGGAGAGTTCGAGTCAAGCACCTGTTCCTCACGGGAATAATGTTGCTAATAGTGGACACGCCACGGGTACGAATGAGCTGCCGTCCTCGCTGTTTGACTGGATTACGGTCATAGAGGAGGACTACACTTCCGAATCAAAAAAGGGAAATTTGGCAAACAGCAGCGCATTACGGGTATTGCCACACGAGCGTGCTAGCGACGATGATGCTAGCTTCGCGTCCCTACCAGCAACCGCTCTCGGCGATCTTACGGGAGTAACACCCGAATCGCTGTCCGGGTGGACGATAGGCGAGAGACACTTGCTGAACCACTTCCTACAGTCAGTATCACGCTCTCTGGTAGTAGTTAGTGACGAGCACAACCCCTTCCTCCGCGTCATCGTGCCCATGGCGTTAGAAAATGGTGTTGTCCGGAACGCCTTGGCCGCCTTATCGGCCTGCCATCTCTCCAAAGTCTACCCCGACTTTTCGCGGGATATACTTGTTCATAGAACGAGAGCCTTAGAGGGCCTCAAAGCGGAGCTTGATCAACAAGATACGGTAGTGTGGGCCCTCGCAGGGACCCTACTTCTATGCTTATTGGAGGTACGTGTCACTATTTCCTATCATTCCCTAGATTATATTACGATCATTCAGATAGTGAGTGCCGCGTGATCGTTTTGATAATGATGATGTCACTTTGGAGGACTTCTTGGGGGGGGGGGGGGGGGGGGGGGAAAATCTTGTAGAGAAAATGCCAAAGCCTCCGCGGGCTGGAGTGGACCTCTGGACTCTATATGACGTTTTGCATGATTTTTTTTGAGACTGCTCAGATCTTATGGCCTCGTGCGATCCGTTTGGCAGCAAGCATTGTTTTTGGCGGGCCTCTGCGCGAACTGAATCGGAACTCCTGACTCCGCATTATGTGTTTTCAGGGTTGAAGGGATCGTATATTTCCATACCACCGCTCTGACAGTGATGGCAACATGCTGGAGGGCATCTGGGGTTTGGGGAGTTCTCGCCCACCTCTAAATTCTAAATTTGGCTCGACAGAATTTCAGCATGTTTATGAATCTAATCTGGTGCTGTAGATATGCGAAGGCGACTCGAGGAAGTGGCTATTGTACCTCCACGGTGCACACGCTCTGCTGTCAAATATCAATTTCGAGGTCGACGGGACGCCTTTCAATTTCCTCGTTGAGTTATACAACTATCTCTGCTGTACGTTTGAACATCCCACATCTTCCATTAGTCGTAAATCTAGATCTGTGTACGCTTCTTTGCCACCGTTTGAAGCTCCTCGACACAATGTCAGCATTCTAAAGCCAATTGCTTTGCCAAGCTTGAAAATGTATTGGAGAGCTTCAAGCAGTGATAAATCAGCGTACACAGATGCAATTTGCGCTATCGAAGGGTAAATAGCTGTGGAACCGACTTTTAACGCGAATTAGGCATCGCTTCCGTCACTTCTACCAACGTACCGCCAATTTGCGGAACAGCTTTAGACCTCTGGGAGTCCTCGAAACGCCGAGAGGGCCTGACTATACACCCTTTAGTTGGCATTTCGGGCGAGTTGTACCAGTTACTTCCTCGCATAAATCGGTTAGCAGTTCAACGGGCCGCTCTCAGGTTCCCCGATGTGGTCAAAGAACAGGCTTTGCAATTTGAAGCTGAGGCCATCGAACTTCTGCTTCGAAGCTGGAGCCCCCCCGAAAACCTAGCCCCACATATAGAGGCAACGGAAGTGAGGGCGGCTGCTTTCGCCGTTCAGTGGGGTTCTATTCTGCGGTTACACCAGGCAATGTGTGGTTCTGCCAACGACGAGGCTCGTACAAAAGGGCCAACCGAGCACATTATTTCTGCACTTTCTTTGATACGACCAGGCTCTCAGATGGAAACTCATATTTTATTTCCTCTTTTCATGGCTGGTGTTGGAAGTGTTACAAAAGCTAACCGGCTGACTCTGGAATACCGGATCAATATTATGGAAAACACTATTGGTTTTGGTAACATTGCAAGCGCTCACAAGATAATGGAAGAAATGTGGCGAAGATACCTTAGCGGCGAACCTGCTGAGTGGGAGGTATTAATGCAGGCGAGAAATCCAGGCCTTTTGCTATTCTAGACAATCGTAAGGCACCAAGCGTGTGCTCAGCGTTCGACTTCTTGTAATATTTTGCAATCTTAACCCGGAGGAGGTCTTATCGCCGGACGAGATCGTAGAATTCGCCTCTCCGTCGTATGTAAAAGCGGGTGCCACGCCGCGACGGCATTCTCTGAAAGGTCTAGTCTAATTCGGCTCATCCACATAGGTTTCCTCCGATGACCCTAACACGACCCACCTGATCAAGCTCGTTCGAACGTCACTTTGATAGCCCGAAGAACTTTCCGGGGTCACACCATTTTGCAGAAGCCTTGCCAAGCAGCAGATACATCCTACGCGATATGTAGCCGGATTTATATACCCCACTATACTACATAACAGATCGAGTTCGACATCCATCTTTCACGCAAACACGATCAGATCTCAACTTATTCGTCAGCATGGCGCCGAGCGCAATCACTCCCCAAAGCTCGCCTAGACTCGTCGCAGCACCCATTGCAAACGTTATATCGTAGGTTGCCATCCGTGTTCTGCCATGCGCTGTATAGATCTATGTACACTGTTCTATCACTGTCTGTGGTACTTCGATGTATTCTCAAGATTCTGTGGGGACTTATTCTATGGGTATCTATCTACCACTCCTTGAGGTGGCTCAGCGATTGCTTGCACTTCTGTCTCGTTCACATCCGCGTAAACATCGGTTAATCATACCCATAGGCCAAAATACAACCACTGGCGAGCTGATTTGCAGAAGGATGGTTTCGCCGTAGTAAAGGGAGCTATACCGAAAGAGCGAGCAGTGCAATATCAGGAGGACGCGTATGCCTGGCTGAAGTCGTTCGGTACTGACCTCGACCTCAACAACCCCGATACCTGGATTAAGCAAAACCTACCTGTTCAAAGTAAAATCAACACATTCCACTCCTATTGCGTCGCGCACGAGAAGTTTATGTGGGATGCGAGGATGGAGTCTGGTGTGTTGGACGCATTTGCATTACTATGGGGCACCGACGAACTACTAGCCAGCTTCGACAGTCTCAACATCACCCTTCCCAATCGCAAAGATGTCCCCCGAAAGGCAGCATGGGAGCACATCGACCAGAGCCCTCTGAGACGCGGCCTTCATTGCGTGCAGGGTATCCTGAACCTCTCGCCATCTGGACCAGAAGACGGAGGCTTAGTCGTATACCCCGGCTCGCACGCCTTGAACGACGAATTCTTCGACAACAACACTGACCAATCTACCTGGACGTCTCTAGATCGCTACTTGTTCGAAGAAGACCAGCTGGCGTGGTTTCGAGCTCGCGGAATCGCGCCACTAAAGGTATGCGCAGAGGTCGGCGACCTGATACTATGGGACAGCCGCACTGTTCACTACGGCGCCGAGCCGTCGGAGAAGAGCGAGCAGATAAGGACAGTCATCTATACCGCGTATACGCCCGCGAGGCTGGCGAGCCCAGAGCAGTTGGCACTCAAGGCACAGGCGTTCGAGAACTATGGAGGAACGACACATTGGCCCCACGATAACGTCGTGCCCAGAGATACAAAGACATACTTGGAGGACGGTACGAGGGACCCCAAGGACCGAGATCGGCCCTTGACCCTCCCGGAGAGGAGTGATAAGTTGTTGAAGCTTGCGGGTGTCAAGCATTATTGACTTTGATCTAAACGTCGTCATAAGGGAAGCTTTCATGTACATACTACAATCGCGACTTGAGCTGTATTACCTCGTAGTAGATCTATGTACACTTAGTTACCGCTGTTTGAAGTGCCTCGATGTGCTTCTACAAATCAAAATGAGATGTGTTTGAGCATGCAGGTCAACACATCAATCCACACCCAGCAGTGTTAGATCCGTATATAGAGACTTATTCCAGATGGTCTTACTCAAAAAACTTCCAGGGCAGCATTTAAGACCCTCCCTTTCGAAACATGCACAATGAAGCCTCCCTTTTTTCCGATTTTTTCCCTACGTCGTGGCTTCAATCTTTCCGTAGGTCCATAGTATTTTCCTCACTTCTTCTCGACCCGGCGACCGGTTACCCGGCACCAGAATCCTCCTTGCCTCCCGCCACCACAGCTGCACAACATCATTCAGCCCGCCATCCATATTTCAAGCGGGGTATCTCTCTTCACGACGGCCTTCCTGAGTCAGGGCTCCGCTTATCAAAAACGCCACAACGCTAGGTCGATGCGTGAAAGTTGGAAACTAGTCTAGCTCGCGCTCGATTGACACAAGGATGTACACCGTCGTATCTCGACTCCTTTCCCGCCATCCGCTGTGCCGCAGTACCCCGCAGCTTTAAGTTGGTTCCCGCCCTCCACCATCCTCCTAATAGCTTAGACTTCTTCACTACTGACGGGCTCGTATCCCGTCGGATACTTCACTACAGAGGCATACGGATCTAGAGTCGATACCTATCTGGAATCCTGGATGACCCTTGATTGTGGCTGCTGAATCGTCGGGTCTATAACGCGATAGTCGTGATACGCCGACTTCTATCAGGACTTGTGATAGCGAAGCTATACACGACTTGTGTATATGAACCTGGATCGACTTCCATTTTGAGGTGTCCAGAGAGCAGCCGGGCTTGTCGAAGTTTTAGGGACATAGTCTCGTCGTCTTCGCATTTTCCATCTTCAAGACATTGCCTTCAGTCATGATGCTTCGACCCAGCGCTAGAATCCAGCGCCAGGCGCAACAACCCCCTTCTACTGTCATTCAGATTTCAGCAGAGAAGCAGCCACGATGGTACAAGGACGCCGGCGTGCGGAAGATGATGTTTCCGATCGTAATCATCTATCTCACGCAGGTTTGCACGGGCTTTGACGCTACGTTAACGGCGAATTTACAGAGTTTCAAGAAATGGAAGTTGGGTATGTTATATACCTTCATTGCCGAAACGAATAGAAGACTAATGGTAACTAGATATGGGCAAGCCGACTGCCTCGCAACTCGGAGTCATCACAGCTATTTATTTCATCGGATGTCTTTGTGGGAGTATTCCTGCGTCAATTGTCACGGACAAGTAGTACGTAGACCCTCTTTGAAGCTTGATATTCCCTTATTAACGCATCTACAGTGGTCGTAAACTCGCCCTCGGCATGGGCCAATTCTTCACTATTGTCGGCGCCGGTTTCCAAGCCGGATCCCAAAGTCGAGGCCAATACATGGGCTCCCGTTTCATCCTCGGTTTCGGCATCGCCTTCGTCACTAACGCTGGCCCAGCCCTTCTATCCGAGTTGGCTCACCCCCGCATTAGAGGCACGCTTGTATCATTTTTCAACCCGTTCTGGTACCTGGGCTCCATAATCGTAGCCTGGACTAGCTTCGGCACCAGTCACATGCCCAAAACCGACACCTGGGCGTGGCGGATCCCGTCGGTACTGCAGGGTCTCATTCCTTGCGTAGTCATGGCACTCCTCTGGTGGGTTCCTGAGTCCCCGCGTTGGTTGGTCTCCCAGGGCCGCACCGAGGAGGCAATTGCGATTATTTCGAAGTACCACGGAAACGGCAACCCGAATGACGAGGTAGTGGTCAGCCAGATCGCGGAGATCAAGATGGCGATTGAGACGGCGAAAGAGGGTATGACCTGGAAAGCTCTCATGACACAGAGGCAGAACGTCCACAGGCTTTTGATTGTAGTTTGCATGACGTTGATGACTCTTTGGTGCGGACAAAACATCCTCTCATACTACTTCTCTCCTATATTGAACAGCATTGGTATCACTGATACAACGAGCCAGTAAGTCTCTACTGGATTTTTTTTAACCCGCACATGTCTGACCGACTCTCTTAGAACTGGGATCAACGGCGGCCTGAATATTGCCAACCTCCTCGCCTCCATCATCGGCGCCCTCCTTGCTGAACGCATTGGCCGGCGCAAGCTCTGGATGTCGTCTTTCATCGGCATGATCGTCGTCTTCGTCCCCTTCATCGCTCTCTCCGCCACCTACGCCCAGAAGAAGTCCAAAGGCGCGGGATACGGCGTCATCGTCTGCCTCTTCCTCTTCGACATCATGTACAACATCGCCTGCAACCCACTTCTCTACTCCTATCCCACGGAGATCATGCCATTCTTTATGCGTGCGAAGGGACTAGCGGTTAAGAATTTCGTTGGCCAGATTGCGCTGATTATCAACATGTACGTGAATCCGATTGCGCTGGCGAAGATCGGGTATCACTACTACATATTCTTCCTGGCGCTTAACGTGGTCTGGTTGACTTTGATTTTCATGTTCTTCCCTGAGACTAAGGGATACACTTTGGAAGAGATGAGTATGCTATTTGATGGTGATGCCAGTGTGGTTTTGGGACAGAGGACCGGGAGTGAGAGGACCGGGAGCGACCCAGAGGATGGAGACGTTGAGAAAGCGAGTGTGCAACCGAAGAAGGAATAGAGATGCTATATTTTCGTGACGGGTATTTGAAAGAGATACCAAAGGAGTTTCCAATTTGAGATTAGTCTAGGGTTCATGATAGTAGAAGCCCCCAATTCAGGTCGATCCATGACAGCTCATGATGCAGGCGAGCGATCACAAGTGACATTTCCGCGGCACTCAGGATGCTCCAAAGGCGCTCCATTCCGGGTCCGATATCTGAGGTGAGGTGAGGTACTGACACTCTCTGGGGCTGTCTTTTCCCCACTCTTCACCTCCTCACAAAATGCCTCAAGGCCCTTCCCACTCTACTCAATCTGACGTCTCAGAGGCCCGATTTAGAGTACGCGAAGTGTCGTTGAAACAAGAGGTCCTTGGCCCTGGAATAGAAAGCCGCTAACCAATAGAGGGCAAGCGTGCTAGGCTTCCAACCCGAACCTTCATTTCTTTTCTCAACGTCCCTTCAGCGTTCCATCATCAACATCATTACCGCTTCTTTCCATCCAATATCTCGACTCTTCAGCCATGTTAAGAGCTGTAGCTCAGCTTGCAGCTATCCAGAACTCCCACCTGCTCTTATCGTAATCCTTGAGGATGCATTACGAGGTTCTTATCTCTGCTTCTCACACCACTTTGGTATCCTTTCCCCTTGTAAAGCGTTGATCTTACCTCAAAGTATCGAGTTTCGGATCAAAACCTGCCTTTCTTATTTGTCAAGGTCATGATCAATATCAAAAACATGTGGTGTTGCGCGAAATTATGTTGGTATCACAGTACCCCACTCCAGAGCTCAACGATTGGGTCGCCATGTCGTCACTACATACTCTCAAAATCCCAACTTAGTCCCACTGAACCCTTTGAATTATAACTTCTCGTGAATCTGTTCCGTTCTTTGTCTTCTATTCATTCCGTCTCTCCACACGTTATGTCCCTCCCACTCGGGGCGGTTGATGCCACCGCAAACCCCATCCCGGGGACTGTTCACCTCGTCGACCTCGAAGGTACCATCCATGCTCTCCACGCACGCGGCGGCCAAAAGGACATCGTCCTCGTCCCCGCACCCTCGTCCGACCCCGATGACCCTCTCAATTGGTCTCCGCGCCGCAAAGCCCTCAGCACGATATGCATGTGTGTATACACGCTCATGGTCGGCATCGCTAGCGCCGCCATCTACTCCGTCCTTGAACCCATCAGCGAGAGCACGGGCCTCACGCTCGGGGACCTGAACGCTGGAACCGGGTACATGTTTCTCTTCTTCGGCTGGGGATGCTTGGTGTGGCAGCCGCTGGCGTTGCAGTATGGGAAGCGCCCGGTGTATCTGTTCAGTATACTTGCGACTATGGCGATCCAGCTATGGGCGCCGTATACGAAGAGCAACGGACAGTGGATCGCGAATAAGATTTTGCAGGGGTTCTTTGGGGCGCCAATTGAGAGCCTTTGTGAGATCAGTGTTACGGATATCGTAAGTTTATTCCTAGGTTCTTTGGTGGAAATTTCTGCTTGGAGTCATCGATCCCAACGGAATTGAATCGCCCGCGATGCGAGTGATGGGAGGCTAGATTACCCCTTCGCTTCGTGCTATCGTGCTGCATGTCAGAAATGGCTACCCGTGGGCACGTGATCGACGAAAAAAGTCCCTTGCCCATAGGCTGTGCACGCTTGTTTATCGCTGCTTGGGGCCTCAGTGGGCTTAGTGGACTGGAAAAACTTCATGATTGACCATGTACTTCGCAGAAAAGATGCTCTCAATAGTGGCAGATAGTACTGACACTTGCGCCAGTACTTCACTCACGAGAGAGGAACATATATCGGGCTGTATGCCCTGTTACTGGCTGGCAGCAATTTCCTCGCGCCCGTTTTTGCTGGTTTCATTGCTGATGGCCAAGGCTGGAAATGGGTTCTAGTAACAAACCCAATTATTCTAGCCACCTGTAACCGACCGCTAATTAGTCGGGTATCTAGTATTGGTGCGCGATCTTCTGCGCAATGGGCTTCGTCTTCCTGTTCTTTTTCATGGAAGAAACCAACTACATCCGCCATACCCCCGGCACGCCTCTTAACATATCAAACTCCCCGTCTTTCATACAAGAAGCATCTTCCGATCCCGAGAAGGCCGATCTTGACGAGAAAGCGACTCCTTCGAGTCTCTCAGAGGCGCCAAGAGCCACACATGGACCAAAGAAAACCTATCTCAACAAGATTGCCCTTTTCCAACCCGCCGACCTCCACAAACCAAACGAACTCCTTGCCATGGCAACCCGTCCGTTAATCTTCCTTACCTTTCCCGTAATATTCTACGCAGGCTTCAGCTACGGCAGCAACCTTGTCTGGTTCAACGTCCTCAACGCCACCGCCTCCCTCATCCTCGGCAACACTTACAACTTCAAGCCCAGCATGGTCGGCCTGGCCTACCTAAGCCCCCTCGTCGGCGTCGCGCTAGGCAGCTTCTACACCGGCGTGCTCGGCGACCGCATCGTCGTCTGGAAAGCCCGACGCAACGGCGGCATCTTGGAGTCCGAGCACCGGCTGTGGCTCTTCGCGCCGAGCATGCTGCTCATTCCATTTGGCCTCATTCTCTGGGGCGTTGGTGCCGCGCAACATGTGCACTGGTTTGGGTGCGTGTTCGCGATGGGGGTGGTGGCGCTTACGAACACGATTGGTATACAGTTATCCGTGTCGTATTGTATAGACTCCTATCGCGCGCTGAGTGGGGAGGCGATGGTGACGGTTATTCTGGTGCGGAATACGATGAGTTTTGCTATTGGGTATGGGATTACGCCGTGGATTAAGGGGATGGGGTTGCAGAACGCCTTCATCACGGCGGCGATGGTGGGAATGGCGCAGTGTGCGACGGTTTGGGTGATGGTGGTTTGGGGGAAGAGGCTGAGGGAGCAGAGTGTAGGGAGGTATGGAAAATATGTGGAGGAGATGGCGAAGAGCGGGATGGTACATTAGAGGAGTTGAGGGGCTACGCTTACACTTCAGCATATCACGCTTGGTCATCTGGCAACTCGTCACAGAGTGTGGGGTGGCTCGGTATGTGAACTCAGCTTCCAAAGCGATCCAAGATCTCTTGCTATCGATAGGTGAGTCAAATAGTATATTGATATTTACTATATGTCGAGTGAGTTCATAAATTTGGACACTCCTCCCAGCTGCTTGGGGTATCCCGATACGTCCTTCAGCTTCCAATTCAGATGTAGAACTTGACGCAGTGGAAATAGGGCTACCGTTCGACTGACCAAAGATATTCTAGCTGGGGTACTCCTTACAGTGGTATCGAGCGGGCAAGAGTGGAGAGCACGCAGTGAGATATCCACGTGCCAAGACTTATAACCTAGCATTGGACTTGGAAACTGTCGGCTACCCATCCCTATGTCCAGCACATCCCTTTCCTCTCCTCCAATTCCCAAAGAAACCTGCACCTCGCCTCATACTCCCTCCAATCATGTTCCTTGAGTTCCCACTTGATCCACTTCAGTTTCTCTTGTTTGACCAATTCCTGGTCATATATTTTCTTGGAGGTTGGATCTCTGAGCACCGCCCATGCCTCCTGTATCCCTTGGTACAATCTTAAGATTGTCTCGCGCTGCTCGCCATCAGCATGGCTTTGTGCATGGGGGTGGTAGTGCTCGGAGAGCGTTTCGTATGCACACTGAATCTCTGTGGCGGTTGCGGATGGTGGAAGGGAGAGGTAGCTGTAGTGTGACATTTTAGGTTGTGGTCTGGTGGTGGTGGTGGCAGTGGTGGGTGTGAGTACCTGGATGTGTAATAGGGATCTTACGAACGGAGTCTAAATAAGGGAGATCTTTGAGGAGAAAGCGCACTGGTGACGCGGTAGCGGGTGTTGAAGGCTGCAGAGAGTGATGAGGTTAGTGAAAGAGACCAAGATGTAGTTGCCAGGTCTGCTGGATGGAGCTCGCGGGCGTCACTGTGAAGTGTTTCCTTCTATTTTATGCTGGGGATTCACCCTTGGATAGCCGAATTCACGTGACATCGCATGGGATTTTCACAGTATCGAGTACTGCCCCCCTTTCCCTACAACTCACCGTCTTCAGTGCCCCTATCGTGAAGCTGGTACCAGATCTCATAGACTTCTCCACTCATACCCCTACTGAGTTCAGATTCACTTGGATTTTCGTCTCTTCTGGGCTTTCGTCTACATCGCCTGGTCCCCTCCGTCGTGGCGAATCAGCTCCAAGTCGGTGTGGGTCATTCACTAACTCAAGTCGGGTCCACAGTGACCCCACGCTAGGTTGCCTTTCCGCGTTGTTGACATCCTCCAACCACCTCCACCCTTCATCCACACCGCCGCAAGATTGTGTCTGATTTGCGTCAACTCCTCCATCCCAGAACTCCATAGCGCACAGTTCACTACTCCCTTTCTTTCTTTTGACACCTCCTTCCGCTGCACTGGCCACCCCACAGTGCGCGAGAGGCTATCAAGATGGGGCTGCGAACGGGGATACGCGATCGTCTCAGGCCAGAGGTTCTCCACTAGCCGCAAACCAGCGTCGGCTAGTAGCCAGCTTGTCAATGCACACACCGATGCGAGGTGTCTTCCTGGCGCGCTTCCAGCGGCCAACCTCGATCAGATTGACGCTATGATCAAGAGCGTCCGCCAAAACAGTCAGCAGCAAGGTATGGATTCTCGTCGGCTACCCTACTAAGTCACTACACCCCCTTCCTACATAGAAAATATACCAGAGTTCATCCATTTCCACCAATCTATCGAATCTAGCCCTCGGTGTACGAGTTGAACCAGACTAACGATAGAAGTAGACCGTATTAAAGTCCCTTCCGCTGCCCTCCCGAAGTCGCCTTCACCCCCCTGTGAGGCCACCTCCAACGGCTCTTCTCTCTCCAATAGGCCGGCGAAAGTGGCCCCTTCATCTACCCATATTGCCACACACTTGGCTCATATAACTTCGGCTTGTGAAGGTCATGACAGCATTGCCACTAAAACTTCCATATCCACCTTACAAGACACGCCTAGTTCCACCGGCTCGACTACGCCACCTTATTCCCCCGAGACCCCGTGTCGCATTAAGCGTGCAACCTCCTGGCCAACGCCACCCACAGTGGTAACAGTCACCGAGAGCGTATCCTCTGCGTGTGCAAAGTCTCTCGGTCCGATCCACTTTGTTCTGGCTGATGTGCATGATGAGAGGATTTCGACGGCGACGGCTGGTGAAACAAGCAACAAGACCGAAGCCAGTGTAGTCGAGGCATACACAGTGCCTTGGACCTCTGAAGGATCCGATACGGAATTGTCCATTAATCAAGATTTTGACGGAAGCGAACGCAGCTTTTACGACACAACGTCTTACAACGAAGCTCATATCAAGAAGCTCATATCAAGAAGCTCATATCAAGAAGCTCCTGAAACAGCAGCAAGTCTTACTTTTCTCTCACGGAAAGCGACACTTCGCGAACATCCTCGCTGCTAAGAGCATTCGTCATGAGCGAGAACTTGCACAAAAAGACGCTGAAGCAGATAGCTTGCGCCTAGAACAAGGTGATACTATCAAAGACCACCGCGAGCGTCGTAGACAGGCGGACGCAGAATTCGCTAAAGCTTTGGCGAAGAAAGAGAAATTGATCCGCGATCTCGAAGAACACAACAAGAAGTGCTACGACATGGGATACGCCGCGAACAGTCTAGAGCTTGACTACGCTAGGGACACGCTAGTGAAGCGAGATGAACAGCTAGAGAAGAAACGGGCTTCGACGCGGGAATGGAAATCAAAACACAATGATGTTCTCCGCGAGAAGGAGGATCTCAAGCTTCAAATCGAGGCATTCAAGAAGCCTGAGAACAGCCATATCATCGAAGCCTACCAGCAGAGCTTGGAGGTATTGTTGGAAAGCGGAAAGAGGGTCGACGAGGCCCTTCGACAGGAGAAAGAGAAGTCGGAAAAACTCAACAACGTCATCATTGCCACTCAAGGCAATATCAAGAACTACGTTTCTCAGTTTAATATCAACCAAGCCCGCATTGAGGATCTCTGCGCCCGAAGTAACAGGGATGCAGAGACAATTCGCAAGCTCTCAGAAGATAACGAAGCTCTCCGAGCGAAGAATTCCGGATACGAAAGCTGGGAACAGGATGTCAAACCTCTACGACTTGCTACAAAATCCAATGTCGCGTATCACATTCGCGAAACTGAGAAGCTTTCTCGGTGGATCAAGGAGGCCATGGAGGATCATGCGGAGTCCGGGGACGATGACTTCGATCCGGATTTCTTCAAAGAGGCATCACTAATCATATTGAGAGTCAGAGCGAGACCATTCAGGCTATGGTGCAAGCTCAGAATACGGAAGGAGAGAAGTTAAGAGAGTCTATTGAGAGGGAGCATGAGTTGATCGAGCAGAATAGCAGACTAGCAGACGACGTTCGCAAACTCCAAGTCGAGCTGGCGGAAGAGAAGTCCCAAACAAAGAAGTATGAAGCTACGCTAGATGCCTTGGAAATGCAAGAAACCAATGCCCGAAAAGAACTGGCATGGCGCAAACCCATCTTCGAAGAGCATAGGGACCGCTTCACCTATTACAAGAACCAAGTCATTGAACTCCGCGGAGAGAAAGCAGCGAGCTGGGCTGAGAACCCAGATATGAACGTGGCAATCGAAGCGCAGGCAGAGGTCGCTCGCCTCGAAGAGGGCATCAACGAAATGATTGATAAACACGAGCCGCTTCATCACGAAGTGAAGACATTGACCAAAGAAAAGTGCGTTGAGACATCAAAGTATCGAAGCGAGATAAGCATCGCCAGGACTGAGAACGTCCAGCTGAAGCAAACGGTTGATCGCCTAATTCGCCGAGTCCAGGTTCATGAGCCCGACTTCTCCTGGGACAATCTCCTTGAATCGGAAGACGCTGGCAGACGGGAGCCGAGTCCACTCCGCGATCCCACCTACCGGCCCCTCGACGAAGCAGCTGAGCGGACGGTTGTCCGTCATCTGGGACCTGTGGAGTCGGGAGCACCGCCAGAAGTGATCAAGAAGTATATCCCGGAGGAAAACTGGGTGGGCGATAGCAGGAATAACGAAATGTTCTGTCTCGACCGGGCGCATCTGGAATGGCCGGAATATTTATACTGACTCAGGTTGAAAATTGATGTGAACTCTGTCTTATTTCGGGGGCCCGAAGGCCAAACTATATACTACGTAGGAAGTGACTGTATGCATAGGCAGAAGCACTAATTGGAGGCAGCAGTAGGCAGCATTAGGCAGGGTAGGCCACCGTACCCCAACCCCTCTCTGTAGAAGTTGTAACTGGCTAGGCATGTAGGCAGCTACTATGCCAGCAACTCCAAGTCTGTACGTAGGTGACCGTGAACCGTATGAGTTGTTGATCCTAGGTTGTAGCTGTTACAACCCGAGTTACTGTGAGCCTGAGGGCTTCACGCCTGAGCCACCGCGACGGCCTGAGCGCCGTGCTGCATTAGAGAACGAAGGTCAAGATGATTCCCTGGAAGTAGAACGTCGGGAACAGCAGGCAGAATTGGATGAGCTGTATGAGGAGGAGAGGGTAGCGAGTCAGATGAAGCAAGAGAGCGAGGCGGCGGAGAATGGCGATACAAAGCAGAATTGCGAGGTGGAACAGGAAGATGATATCGAGCAGAAGAACGAGATGAGGCAGGACGGCCAGGATTATGATTGGTATTAGAGGGGCATGGTGATTTCTTCTAGGCGGATGAGGGTTGCCAATGGGACTGGCTGCGGAAAGGCGCGGTTGTAGAATAGTCTCGATGTACTCATACCCCAGCACAAGTATTAAAAGCATACCACGTACATCTTTTACGCTTGCTATCTAGTTGATTTGAGTTTCCTTTGACAGAGTATTGGCCACACTGGGACATGTCAGAGGTGGTAACCTTGTGCACTGTGTTACGACGGTTTCGTGCGTTTTTATGCGTCGATATCAGGAATTCAGTTCGCTGATGCGAGAACCCAGCTTCTCACGCTAACTCTAATGATAGGTATATACATTGGGCTTCTCCGCTTGCAATACCATAGCTACCCGCACTGACCAATATAACGCGCAAGATGTAAGCCACATGCTCAAACGAGTGTAGATCGTTGAACAGGTGGCGATACCAACTGTCTGCTCTTAATGGAGTTATCTGCCGGAGAGCACACGGCATCTTCAGCAAAATCATCCACTTTCTTTCATCGCCTGCTCCTGATTTTCGAGCACTCGGCTCCGTTGAAACAACATGGAGCTCGCAGCAATTGGACTTGCATCCAACGTCATCCAATTCGTCGAAGTTGGTTTCAAAATCGTCGCCATATCCAAAACCATCCACGACTCTACGTCCAGAGCACCACGGCGTAATGACGAGCTCAACGCTCTCGTAACCAACCTCTCCGTACAAACTAAGGAAGCCATGGCCAATTGTTCTATATTGAGAGGATCCGGTGCGGCGTTAGAGCTCGTCGAGCAATGCAAGCAACTGAATGAGGAGATCAGGCCCGTTCTGGATAAGCTGTAAGTCCGAGATAGGCGGTCGCACTGGACCCTTTTCTCTGCAGCCGTCAGGAACTATGCAAAGAAAGATGCCATTAAGGATTTTGAGCAACGTTTGCAGCAGCTCAGCACGGGCTTGAGCAGCTGTTTTACCATGCAGCTCCTCGAGAATGACTCGAGTTTCGGAGAACTGCTGCGCAAAAATCTTCATTAGCAAGTTCACACGGAAAGGGAAATCAAGCAGCTCGGGTTGAACACAAAGAAGACGCTTGAAGAGCTCAGCGCTTCGTCTGCCGCGCAGTCGGGAATGCTCGACAAGGTCTCCCATCTGCTCGAGCTAAGCAAACAAAATGAGACGTTTGCTGCCGAGCAGCGTCTCTTGGAATCATTATACTTCGACCAATTAAACTCCAGATATGGGACTGTGAAAGAAGCGCGTGAAAGAAGCGCATGAAAGACGTTTGAATGGATTCTGAAGGGCGGCGAGCATGGCAGCGGCCACGGACATAAATTTAGGTTCAATGAATGGCTTCGAACCGGTCGACCGGACAGCAATGTTTTCTGGATATCAGGACGGCCAGGAAGTGGTAAGAGCACCTTGATGAAGTACCTTTGGCGCAACACGGATGTGGAGAAGGGCCTTCAAGGGTGGGCTGGCGATCGGACATTAATCAGATTGAACTTCTTTTTCTGGGCTGCAGGGTCGTCTCTTGAGAAGTCTCGCAAGGGATTGTTACGATCTCTGTTATTCCAAATCCTTCGAAGAGTCCCCAATATAATCAGAATTGTCTGCCATGAAAAGCTCAAAGAAGCCAAAAGAAGTATTGACGGCGGTATCTTGTGTGAGGGAGTGTTCTGGGAGGAGTCCGAGCTTGTATCAACCCTGATTGATGTTGTAGAGAAGGCGATATCTTCGCCATTCTGTCTCTGCTTCTTCATGGATGGTCTGGACGAATACGATGGTAGTAGTCTTGAAATCGTCGGAATCATCAAACGACTTGCTGAGATCGCCGATGTCAAGCTCTACATCGCTAGTCGCCCTTTATCCATTTTCGGCGATCATTTTGGACAAGATGACCGATGGAATCTTCCAATTCACAAGCTTACCGAGGACGATATTAGGTTGTATACCAGAGACACACTGGAAGCGAACAAGACGTTTCGCCATATATCTCAAAATGACGGCCGTTACCAGGACCTTGTCGCGGAAATAGTGGAAAATGCCCATGGCGTTTTCCTCTGGGTTACTCTTGTCATTCGCTCGCTGCTCGTTGGAATTACCGCCAAAGATCAAATCGAATTCTTGCAAGGTAGATTTCGTGATATTCCGCAGGATCTCAACGATATGTACGAACAAATCTTGAAGAAAATTGATCCAGTGTACAAGGCACATGCAGCCAAAATCTTCTTGATATTAGCCTACCAAGGGACTACATTGAACAGCAGCGTAAAATTTTGGCCAGTGTTGATGTTCTACTACCTCGATGCTGAAGTAAAAGACTTCAGCGTGAAACTCGCGATCCAGGATGTTTCTGAAGACCAAGTACTGGAAAGATACAACGAAACATGCCGGACCATAAATAAAGTTTGCAGTGGACTGGTCGAGGCCGCTGCTGCTGGGACTGAAAAACGTAAATACTGGAACTACTTAAAGCCACCGTTCTTCATCCACCAATCGGCTAAGGAGTATCTGCAAGCTCACACTACTAGCTCATTTCTCAGGAGCGGCATTCCGCTTGGCTTTTGCGTCCATGAATACATTTGTCATTCGTCGCTGGTGCTGCTCAAAAGTTTTCCTTGGAGAGGAGGGAGGCCACATCATGTCGTAGCTCGTACCAAGTGTTTGTTGGTTTATGCCATTATGTTGCATTCGGAGAGTGTTGATGCCGCGGTAGAAGACCAGCTCATGGCAAAACTTGACCTCGTACTACAGCATCTCAATTATGGTAGCGAAGCATCATGTTCGGCGGTATGGACGGGCAACGCCCCCAGATTTGTAGAATTTGGGTTTTTCAGAGCAACGATACTAGACGCCGCAGTGATTGAAGAAAAACTCAGATATGTGGAAAAGAGACTGGAAGAGAATCCCACGTTGCTCAAGGAACGTGAAGGAAAGCCGGGGCTTCTCACCCAAGCAGTGCCTTACGGGCTAGGGCTAGGACCGGAGTCGATGGGATTAGTCAAAATGCTCTTTGACCATGAGGCGGATCCCAACATACTGCACGCAGGGGTAAGCGCCTGGGAGTTCATCCTGATGAAACTGGATGCAACTTCGGAAAACCCGAGCTATCAGCTCCAAGACCAGTGGTTTAATTATGTGAGATTATTCATAGTTAAGGGGGCAAATACTAGTATAGAATGTGGAGCCTTCGAAAACGATGGACAGAGAGCTGGCGCCTCTCGAGAGGACGAAGAGGTCGAGACCCAGACACAGTGTCTCCAGCAAAGCCTGGACACGATTCTGGCCAAAACGGCCATATCAAAATCAGATGTAACGATGCTATGATTTGCGGAGCAGTGCCGGAAGCTCACGGACGAGTGCATGGACACTCTCAACTCGGTGAAAGCCACAAAGGATCGTTCGCGTGGGAGGATCTTGGTCGTGGCGCTTAAGAAAATGCTGAAGAAGGAAAAGATTGTGGCGCTTCAGAAACCGCTAGATTCTATGCGGGCGGAGATAATGGTGAAGAGGATGGAGCAGATACAGAGTGTTACGAGTTATGAACAGGTTCTTAGGGACGCGCTTCGGGAAATCCAGGATAAGAGCGATTCTCACTTCGCGGAGAACAGAAGGGTTCGGAATGGTGTGGAGCAGACGTTGCATGAGATCCGACGCCAGTTGGAACGGTTCGTTAGCCAAGGTCTTCTCGCTCTCGTCAAATGCCTACCTTGGGCGAAATGTGCGCCCGGCGATTTCGCGCCAAGTAATGTAAGGGAGTTCAATAGACGAGCAGACATGAACGATATAGTCTCCTATATCGTGTTCTCAGACCCTCCGATCGGACTATCCCAACATATATCGTTACTCTCTGGCTTGGAGATAGCACTAGAACAGCTGTCACAACGACTCTTGGACCCTGGCCTACCCTATAACATCCTGTACGATATGGTAGCATCGTATATTGATTTTTGCCCACACCAAATGACGATGTTGGCATTCGCTGTTTTCATTAGAAGCGGTCAAGGCGTCACACTCCGGAGGCACAGGTGAGCCAAAGATGAGTATATTGATGCGTTTATTGATGCGATACTGATGCAGAACCCTGCGCTGGTCGATGGGCCGGGAGGAGGAGCGACACTACTGGAGTATGCTTTTCGTGGCAATTGGACCCTGAATGTGGCCGACAGGCTTTCCATATTTCAGATTCTATTCAAACATGGCGCAGACCCTCACAAAGCGAAACTGGGCAATACGCCTTGGGAAACTCTTTTGGAACATGTTTGTCTTCTTCCTAGATATGATGTCCGTAGATATCGAGTCGGTTCACTGGAAGATTGGCGAACTCCCTTGGTGCGGTATATCGAGGAGTTCTTGCGTCATGGTCCAAGGTTAAGACAACAATGTAACATAAGAGGGAAACTAGGCCAGGGGGTTCAAGCCATTGTTCCTATCGTAATCGTCAAAGAAGCATTCAGTGAACAACAAGTCACTCGTTTGATCGAGATAGACGATGAAGAGGAAGAGAAGAGGCGACGGGGGTCATGGAATTGTATGAGTTGCTTTGGTCGAAGGACGAAGGGATACAACCAGCTCCCTTGATAGTTGACGAAGGAAGACTTGACGGCTGTTGCGAACAGTACGCATCCAGAGAAGGATTTTCTGTGGGGCTTCATGTTCCATTTGGTATTGTTCGGTAGCTCATCTGGAAAACGATTCGACATGTACCGTTCTTTTCATGAAATTTTCCTTTCACATTCGTCCTTGTTCTGCTAGGCTGTAGTTTCTGGAGAGTGCCTATTCGACTATCGAAGATGTCGTCTAGATATCAGCCGTATGAATGGAGCCATGTTTCTAGGTCCAGTGACCTCAAGTTGACATCGTCTGGAGTCCGTCAGGGTTTTTACCTCTGTGCCCAAAGCTTGCACATATCAGCTCTGATTTGGAACCTATCTACAATCTCGTTATGTGCAGACCCCAAGATCGCCCAGATCCACCCATCCCTTTTCTGCAATGTTAGTAACTCAGAAGTACCATAACGCCCACTCCATATCAGACAAATCCGCGCCCACCTCTACTCAATACAAAACGCCCTTCGTACTCATCACCTCTCCCTCCCGCCCGGCGACCCTCGTCGTGGCCATCCTCGTCGCAACAGCCAGCGCCTTGAACGCGCTCTCTGCGCGATGATGATCATTGTCCCCCCTCAAGCAATCCACATGCAGCGTAACCCCCGCCGCCTGCGCAAAGCTCTGCAGACAATGCGGTATCATTTCACAGCTCAAATCCCCAATCTTCTCCCTTTTCAACCCAAGATCTATCACGGAGTATGGACGATTCGAGAGGTCGATAACCGCGCGTGAAAGGGCTTCGTCGAGGGGACAGTAGGCGCTGCCGAAGCGTGCAAGGCCGGTGGAGGAGCCGAGGGAGGTTTTGAAGGCGGCGCCGAGCGCGATGAAGGTGTCTTCGGCTGTGTGGTGGTCGTCGACTGAAGCACCAGGCGTTAGCATTCATTCATTCTTCATAACCACCCTTCCTTGCGCAATTGTGAGATTTTCACGTACTATGTAGGTCCCCTCGACACCTAATCCTCAAACTCCACCCCGCATGTTTCGCTAGCGCATGAATCATATGATCCAGGAACCCAATGCCCGAGTCTACATCTATCGTCTGGCTCTTAGAGACCTGCGCCGCATGTCCCTTTGCCTCGCCATTTGTGCGAGCCTCCTCTTCCTCCCCATCGAGCGGTGGGACGGGACCGCCGTCTAACGAGAGCGCGAGGGAGATCTTTGTTTCGTTGGTGTCGCGCTTCAGCGTTGTGGTTCTTCGTTCGGCGCCCATATTTACAGTATCGCGGGGGTATCCGGAAAGATTGAGGTGAGGATCGAGTGGCAATTGCGGTCGTGATGGGATGGGGTCGAGGTTCTTTGTGGCGGGGAACTTTTTTCAACGGTGACGAATGAATGAATCGCGGGACCTGATTAGATAAGAAGCTCTAATTTTTACAACCACTACCCTCGAGATCACCAACGCCTTGGTACAACAATATAGCGGGGTAGCGATCTCACGATATTCTCTCGAAATGCCGTCAGCGACTCGTGATACCGATGCGACTATGGTAGATGCGCCGGCGGAGGAGGGCGCCGTGGAGAGCCCAGCACCGGAGGAGGCGGAGGAGCAACGGATCAGGGTGGTATGTGACTTTACAAATGAAGAACATTTGTTGCGGTCTGATTGTAGGAGAGTTTTGGCTAATGGGATGCCTTGTAGCTTTCCGGTTCAACAGAAGAAGCAGCTTCCTTCGAGTTCGAGAACGAGGATCACACGCTGGGAAATGCGCTGCGGTACATTATCATGAAGAAGTAAATGCTCCTATTTCGTTACTGCTAGCCGAAACTGGAATTAACACCATGCAGTCCCGATGTCGAGTTCTGCGGCTACTCCATTCCACATCCCTCAGAAGCAAAAATGCATCTTCGAATCCAGACATATGGTTCGTACATCCACCTCCATGTCCACTCCTCCGTCCTAGGCATTCCTATTTTAACGCTTGTGAAAAGACAAAGTAAGCGTCTACGATGTCCTCGAGAAAGGCCTGAACGATCTCTCGGACCTATGTGAAGTCGTGATGGACAAGTTCACGATTGCGCGGGACGAGTTCAATGCTAAGAAGGCGAGCACCACCTGACCACTTCTCTCTCCAAACGGGACGAGACACGGTTTTGGATGCATTCACAGGCGTTGATCTGCACGGTTCGATTTATGGATGGCGTACGGTAAGGAAAATGGTATTGGCTGGCATATATACAATGTCTTCTGGGTTCGATCCTCTTTCGACTCGAGTGGGGCGGATCTAGTTCCTTCCCTATACACCCGTTAGCTCTGCTTCTCTTCCAGATGCCTCTCCTCTGTGAAGGGTTTGGGATATATACCTCCAAGAACCCATTGATGAAATTCGCCGGCAGCCTCGCCTTCGGCTCCTCCTCCGTGCGGAAGTACTTTAGCACGTGTGTGAGCTGTTTCCAGTAGTTCAGTGTCTCCTGTTTAACCCATTAGCACTTTGCCCTTTCCCATACCCGTTCCCTTCTATCCGGTGTGTCCTGGATTGTGTATGCGGGCTCGTACTTGAAACTCCTGGTGCGAATTAAACAACAACACATCCACCGTCTTCAACTGTGCCACATAGCGATGCCTCTCAAACTCTTGCCTTATCTTTGTTCGGATCGTCGGGACGGGGAGGCTGAGGGAGTACATATTTTGAACTTCGGGTGCCTGTGTCGATAGTCTATTAGCTCATATCCAATCCCCAAGACCATCCAATTTCGCCAATCCAAATCCCTTAGCCCTTTGTCATATCATTCCGAGTCCATTGAATAATCCGAGAGGGCACACATACAGCTCTGATCCAGTCCCGATACGAATGTAGAACCCTCGTTTTCGCATCGCCCCAATTGGCCGCTATACCTTGTTAGCTTTCTGCCTTTATCCCTCTCTTCATTATTAACATACACGAGCGCGTCCGGACAGCGAGGTAGGTCGGGTTGATCATCGTGGGCGGCGTGGGAGCTGGGCGGGTGAGAGGAGTAGTGGGTTGATGTTGCGGCTCCGCGCCCGCGAGCTTGATGCGAGGATGACTAATCAGTGAAAGTTAACTAGTTATGGAGCTGCATAACTTTCAGCCCACCTTGACATCACTTCATTAACACCCCAACACCAGCTTGCTATCTTATTATTCGACTTCTCACCACTACCAGCCTACCCAGAGCGAGAAAAGGCTGACCTCACCCCACCGCAACCATGCCCCCAACCCGCACCCACGCGCGCTCCCGCAAACCGCCCCCAGAAGGCTTCAGCGACATCGAAGACACCCTCCTCGAGTTCAGCAACAAGATGAAGGACGCCGAGAACGCCTCGCACGAGGGAAAGAAAAAGTACGAGACACTATGGCCGATCTTCCAGATCACACATCAGCGGAGCCGCTACATCTACGACCTGTACTACGAGAAGGAGGCGATTAGCAAGCCGTTGTATGACTGGTTGATCAAGAATGGGTATGCGGATGCGATGCTCATTGCGAAGTGGAAGAAGCAGGGGTATGAGAAGGTATGTACATCCTAGAGGGACGAGAGGAAAAAGTGGGATGAAGGCTAACGGGACCGATTTAGCTGTGCTGTCTCCGCTGCATCCAAACCAAAGAGACGAACTTCAGCTCGACCTGCATCTGCCGTGTGCCTAGGGAGCAGCTGAAGGATGGACAGGATATCCAGTGCGTGAGCTGTGGGTGCCGGGGATGTTCTTCTGGGGACTAGGCCGCTGTCTTCTCTATTGGCATCGGCATTGAGATCCTAGAACGCGGCAGGAAGTCAACCTCCTGATCTATTGGCCGGAAACAAGGGATCGGGCTGGCCGCGGTGAATCGTGAGGGAGGGATCGATGGAGGTATGGAGGACGGATTGTTATACCCCAGAGCAACCACATCGACTGCACGGCTACTTCAGATTGCTGCGAGGGTAGAGGTACCCACACCTGCTTTTCAGACACACTGGTGTTCTGCAGCTTAGAGTCTGGGATGAGGCTGCTTTATGCTGGACTAAGCTTCATGATCTTGGATGTGATCAGGCGCGTAGAGATTGGGAAAAAGGTGTGTCGTCACTCACTCGATACCAACTCCGTCATTTTCTTTCTCGACACAAACATACTCATTCATTTTCAGACCCTTAACACGATGTAAAGGCTGCCACAGCTCAGATCAGGCTACCTCTTGACTGACTAGCTGCCTGCGAACTGAGGCCCTCCTGACAGTGTCGGCGAGTGAGCAAGTTTGGCCCCTGCGCTATTAGATACCTAGGTAGAGCCAATTTATCGTATCAAAAAAACAATTCAACAGCTTTCACGGTGCAAATCTGACTATCTCTTGACTGACTAGCTACCTGCCAGCTGAGGACCTCCTGACAGTGGCGTCGAGTGAGCAAGATTAGGCCCTGGGTATTAGAAACTTGATTCGAATCCAAAACGTCATATCAAATCACCCAATCCACACTCTCTTGCCAAACGTCTGTGTACATATATTCACCATCACGCGGGCCCGGCCTTCAACGGCGAATGCAAGACACCCGACATCGTCAAAAAAAAAAAAAAAAAAAAAAAAGGAAAAACAAGAAAAACATGAGCAAAAAACCATGACTGCCGTGCCTTTGAAACCAGTGGTCGCCTCAGGACACAGAAGGTTCGATTATACCAGCGGCCGCCTAAGGACACAGAGGGTAAGGTTGAGCAGTCACCGGTCCCATAGGGACACAGATGACTTTGTGACTCACGTAGTCATGATTTTGGAGACTTCGGAAAATTAACAGTTATATCTAGTTACCGTAGGTGAGCCAGAAGAACCTCTCCACTTGCCATGTAATTCAACCCACTATGAACCCTTCAAAAATCTCAACACGATGGGAAGGTCGTTCGTTCCACCACAAAATCAGTATTCCCTTTTCCTACACTCCTCTTAACTACCCGCGAGGGTCCTCCCTACATCGCCATTCCACCCGCAAAACCATCGCATTCACCATGCGACATCGACGACACCCGCACACCCCCTCCCAAGTTCGAACCTCCAGCCCTTCAACATCCCTCGTCCACATCTCCAGCGCCCTGCCTTACTCCGAAAGACAGAACTCCGATTCACGACCTCGAGCACGTGGTGGCATCCACCTCGTAAACTCCCTCAATCCCCCCCCCGAGGGTGCCTCAGCACGCCACACACACACACGCGCGCGCAGCGAGGTTACGGCTCCAGCCCAATTTGCAGGTTCTAGCAGCTTTCCTATAGCTGTAAGGCTGTGAGGTCCGATTCACGACATCACGAACGTGACATGCACTTCTAAAAAAAAAAAAAGATGCGTCTTCATGGGGTGCCCCAATATACGACACACTTGCGCAGCGAGGTCGAAGTTATAGTTAGCTCGATATTGAAGGAGCTACACGTATACAGCGTCTAGGAATACAAGCGGTCAAATTCAGGACCTCAACAACGCTAACTACGTTCATGGCTTAGAAAGAATCCAACTACCTTGGGCCGCCTTGATACCCCGGCGTGCGCTTGGCAACCAACGTAGAACTGGTACGGACAAGGGGAATCTGACTGTCTAATTAAAACAGAGCGCCGCTCAATTACACAGTCTAATCCATGAATTTAGTTTTCTTTAGGTTCCACTACGCCTTAATCTACTAGTTCACAAGTCGTCACCCCAAAAAACACACGATGCACAAGTTCTTCAATAAGTATACTAAGCTTCATGTTCTACTTTCTGTGAGAAAAAACTCCCACAACCGTCACGCAGTCCTAGCCTAGCCGTGAAAAAAAAGGCCGTAAAAGCAGCACCCCGGCTCCCCATTTCCTAGGGAATTCATTACGTGTATGTACAAAAGAGCAGACGCATCGTAAGCAAATGTAAACAAAAGCAACCCTAGACCAGGCACACCACGGGCGCCGCAATTCGTGACTCAATTAGCGTGGTACCCAATCTCCCATAAAAGCAAAAAGAAGAAGAAAAAGAAGAAAAAAGAAAAAGGAAAAGTAGGCTCAAAACTCCCAATTGTAGGAAAAGGAGACTGGCAGAGGCGCCGAAGGGTACCCAAGGAGATCAGTCATGGGTATCATAGTCGTATCATCGTTCATGTTCCCAAGCGCTAGCCAGAAACATACCAAGAGTGTGTGGAGAAAGTAAGTATGTTGTTCGCGTAATCCAACGCGTCGGGTATCCAACTAGAAACGCGTCGTGGTGCTGCGCGCGAATGCAGGACGCGTTGGCTTGGACGGTGAGCCGTTCGGTGCCACTGTGGCTGCGCCGATGCGTGGGTAGGCCTTCAGGATGTCGTAGCTGGGCTCTTCGGATTCGTCACTGGGGATGTTCACGCCGAAGAAGTCGTCATGCTGAGTGAGTTCTTCGCCCTGGGGCATCTCGAATTTGAACGGGCTGTAGTTCAAGTCTGGGAGGTCATTCGGGTTTGACTCGGGCAGCTGGAGCGGGTTCGAAGTGGGGGCCTTGATAGGCGAGAGAGAGAAGCGCGGTGATTGAAGAGCAGGGAAGTTCAGGAAGGGAGACTTCCAGCCGCCTGGTGTTAAGGTGGTCGGGCGAGCATTGGACTTGGTGCCAGTAATGTCGGCGAGAATGCCGGAGGTGGTGGCCGCACGTTCCAGACGTGGTCGCTTTGCTGATGGCCTCGACGGGGAGTCCTGGTTGGTGAGGTCTGCGAAGACATCAAAGGTGTCATGGAAACCAGACTCGTGAAGATTGAAGTTTTCTTCGTTGGGGATCTGGACAGCTGGACTGTACGGATTCTGATACGCGAAGCCGGGGTCAACCATGATGCCCAAGCTTCCGTCCGGTGAGCCACCAAGCATCTCACGAATGCGGTTGCGGTGGTTGCGAAGGTTGGTGTTGGGAGAGACAGATTGAGGCGGGAGCGTTGGTCGCTTGAAGATGACGGCAGGAGTGAGAGGATCCTCAACGTTCGCAACGAATCCTCGGAAGGGCGACGAAGACGGGATCCTGGAGGTGGTTGGTGGCTTCAGGAAAGAACGCGTCTTTGAAGGGCTGTCATATGACGATCCACGGATGCGAGCGATTTCCTCCTCAGCGCGTCCTCGCTTGATGACGGGACGGTCGAGGTCGGCTTCTGAGGTTAAGAGAGCACCCAGAGGATTGCCTTTCATAGCAGATGACTCAATGGAGGAATAGTAACCGCTGTCTCCCAGTCCACCGAACTTACGCTTCCGTCCGCCAGAACGGCTCTGGGTGGGGTAGCGAGGGACGCGTGGGGGCGTGCCTTCGCGCGCAGAACGCGTGATGGGTGGAGGCGGGGAGGAGTGGATGTCTGCTGGCGGTGGGGACGAAGGGATTTGAGTGCGAGGCGGAGGTGGCATATGGTGCTCGACCTGCTGGCCGTCGTGGGCAGCGGGGTCCGAGCAAGGGATGGTGGCGTCCGATGATAGCTCTGTCTCGTCTGGGAACTTGGCTGAGTCGACATGCTTCACGGCGCTCGACTCGACGGCAAACGAACGCTCTCCAGAAGAGGTTGAAGGGCGTGGTAGATTGCCACTCGAGTTCATGAAGCCGTCAGGATTCGTGACGCGACGCGATGACTTGGCCTTGTGATAGGCCTTCTCACATCCTGGCTTGATGTACCAGTAGTTGCCCTTTCCGGGATCATCCTTTGGTCGTTCCTGCTTGAGGAAGGTCTTGCTCAGGCTAAGGTTATGGCGGATGCTGTTCTGCCATCCTGTCTCGGGCTGGCGGTAGTAGACAAAGTTGTCGGAGATCCACTTGTAGATCTGGGCGAGGGTCAATCGACGTTGAGGAGAGCGCAGAATGGCCATGCCGATGAGGTTAGCGTAGCTGAATGGCGGCTTGCCGCCATCGTCCTCGACATCGGGCATCTGATCCCAATCGGGAAGCGGACTGATGTCGTCATCTGTGGTTTTCGGCTTCTTGTCCTTGCGGTCGCGGAGAGGAGCAGCGTCCATCAAGGTGCGCTTTCCCGCTCCCTTCTGCCCGTAGATGGGATCCGAATATGGGACGGTGGGCAAAGCCGAGTATGTGTTCTCCTTATCGAACTGGGCTGACGGGAAGGTCGTGAACAAGGCATTCGGGTCCTTGGCCAGCAGCTTTGCCTGCTTCTGCAGTGGACGAGGAACACGCTTCATCGGCGAGTCGGTAGCGAAGATGGACTCGGTGGGAGGGGGGATGGACACGGCGTTGAGCGAGGCCTCGGAGAGGGCGTGTGGGGGTGGAGAGCTGGAGACGCGGCTCGTTTTCCGCGGCGAGGGGAGGTTCTCCTGCGAGTCTGGCGGGTTTAGGAGGGTATGGTGGTCGGATGACACGTCGGTAACGGGGCCCAGGGCGGAGAGGAGTTGTGCCTCGAAGCCAGCGACCTCATCGTGGCTTGGTGAGACGGGGTCCTGGAAAATCTGCAGAGAGGGCTGGCGGCGGGTTGAGGCCATGGCCTTCATGGACGGGGAGGCCCAAAAAGACCTCCAACAGGCTCGTGAAGGTGTATGACGCGTAAAATCGCGTGTCTTTCGGCGGATTGAGCGGTGGTCTGGCGGTGGTGGAAAACTGCGATCACGATGTTTTGATGCGGCGTCGGGCGCGCGGGTCTGTTGACGTTGGCGGTGGACGTGACGGAGAGGCTGGAGAAGGTGTCCGCAGTGCTGCGATCGAGTGGAGGAGGAGAATGGGAGGTGTCGTGGCGGCGAGCAGAGGCTGACGATCGGGGGGGATGGATGGGCGCTTGTCGGAGGAGATCTGGAGCGTCGGATCGATGATGGCGCTAAAATCGCGTGGTCCGGGCGCAATTACGGCGAAACGGGGGCAGCGGCTGGCTGAAGCAATGCGAATTGTCGGGCAGGCCGAAAACTGGTAAATGCCGTCGTTAACACTGTGTGACTGTCGATGGGTGGTGCTGGATGTGGAGGGAAGGGAGGTGGAAAGGGATGTGGTGGTGAGCTGGCAACTGGGAGGAGCGTGGAGCAGCCTGGGACCCGGCAGAGCAGCATTCGGGAGCCGCGGGGCTCGTTTCGGCCACGGCACAACGACGCCAGTCAAGGCAAGGAACACGCCCGCGGACCAGTAATTGGACGGCCACGACGACGTAAGGGCGCCTGTCGCTGCACCGCGCTGCACGTCGCGTCCAGGTTCAAGCTCGACGCGTTCTGTCCTATCCCTCCCCGCCCTCAGCCCTCATGCCCTCCACGCCGCAGCCAGCCATGGCACAATGATGTTCGGAAGGCCGAATCGTCAATCCGACGGCACTCTCGCCCGCCCCGCTCTGCACGCGTGCAGCCACCAGGAGCCTATGATTGTTGACTTTTGACTCGAATCGAATCCAGACTGCACTGCAGCTGCATCGCGGAGGCACGACCGGACGACAGCACCGCTAGCATACCGTCTCACGTATACTCGCCGGTTGCCGCCTGTTCCGGAGTCCATGAAGCGTTTCACCCCAAGTGCACCCCTCAGCATCGGGATGTGGGCTGACATCCCGTCCAATGCGAGCCTCCCGGAAGTCACATACCAAATGCTATCTTCCCCCTCCTTTGACTGTCATTGGCTTCATTGCTGTGTCCGCCTGCCCCAATTGGTTAATGGGCATCGTCACACTGACTTTCCTTGTCCTCTCGTCGGTCTTCTCTAGAGACTTCCCAGCAAGTGGGTTTCGCTCCCGGCTCCCCTCACTGACATCTTTGGGACCTTCAGAGCCATGAACCTGCCTTGCCTGTTGCTATTAGCCGTACCTGCAGCTTGTCTCAACCATAGATTTAGGTAGAGCTTTCTCATCGCTTCTGCCGTCGCGGTGCACTGCCCCTCTCACATCACGCCCCACCATTCCAACTATCTTTTTGAAATATTCTTCGTCATATTGGGCCGAGTGTCACCTATTTTTTGCGGAGATTCACCTTCTGCAGGAACTCTCCGCTAGTCGATGCTGATGATCCATTTTTGACTGAATGCCTACCTCGCCGAAGTAAAGTGATGCCTGGGTTCATCATCATCTCCAAATGTGCCGCATTCCAGTCTTTATTCACCAAGGATGAGCGAGAGAGTGCATTTCCAACTCTCTCAAAGACCTTGAGGTGGCGTGCACCCTCCCGCACTTCACCTGGCTTGGCATCAGCCTCAAGCCACCACGCAAGGGAACGTTGAGCCTCATGTTTCATTCAACGTCCTGTCATTCCCGTGGCTTGGAGGCCTGACAGGAACATCAAGAGACGAGTTTAGAACAGGTGACCATGCCCGAATCCTCCTCACGTCATCCATCTCGTCTTTCTTCATATCTTTGCTACGCCACATTCCGGCCCTATCTTCTTTCCCGTCTACGATCAGTTTAGCCACGGAACTTCTGATGAAAGCCGGCATGGCTTTTCATTTTTCTCCACGTGAGTCCGCACTGCAAGAGCGGCCTCGGCTGGCGAAAGACCTAGGCAGACAAGCGGAATAGCTACGGGAAATTCACAGGAAACCCCTTTGGGACATTTCTAAATCCTCTCTGGCTTCATGTATCATCTGTGTTACCAGCCTTCATCTCAAAACGTGATCTACAACAGATCTGTCATCAGGAAACAAGAAATCTCTGCGTCCTTCGCTCAGTGGGTATTGGCTGAAAATGGCACATCAGCTGCGGCTCAGGGTCTCACGAGCATGCTAGAAACCAAGACGTTGAACTCAGGTTTGAAGTCTATCGTCTTCTGGGAGTCGTTCAACCTTGTCGTCTCATAGCTCCAGTCCCGATGTAGTCCGTCATTGTTCGAGCTTCTTCGGCTGGCGAGGGTCAGCGCTGTGAACAGTATATCGATCGGAGAAGACGATTTATTATAGTCTTACTTTTGATTCTTCTTCAAATCTCTCGTGTAATGTTTCTCGGGGCGCGTCGAATGCTGCAAGTGCTGGGATGGAGCTCTTCATCTGAGTATAAAGCCCCTCTCGATACCCGCTTTGCAGTTTCTCATCATCAACATTCGCTTTTCTTTTGCAATCAACCTCAAGTCAATCCTTCTTTAAGAACTCCACAAGATGCGCTTCATCACGCTTTCAATCGCTATGCTTGCGAGCTTGCCCGCTGCGTTAGCTCAATCCAACTTAACCAGCACTAGCCTGAGTTGCTACACCCAGCTCGCGACCTTCAAGCCGTCCACCGTGTCGACCTTTTTCGTTGCGGTTATCACTTCAACTCGTGATATCAGCCAAACCGTAAGCTTGAATTAATCACGAAACGAAAGTTTTCCTAACTGACTCGCCCCAGATCACGTATACTCCAGTTGCGACAATCACTCCAAATGCTACGACCTTCACCAGCGTTCTCACGACTACCGCGACTTATAATACGACCGTGACCAGCCAACTTCCAGCGGTGACTGTTCCTACACGCGCCGGCTTCGTCCCCTTCGCAGAAACTACAGGCAATGTCGCCAAAAGCAAGAATAGGCACTCCAGAATCGAGCTTGCTCGGCGACAGGGCGACGCTACTGGTGCGGCTGGCTTTGAGCTCGACGGCAATGGCGTCTCGAACCCTATTTCCACATTAAGCTTCCCATTCAAGGTCTACTGCGAAGCCTACGTCTACGTCGCCGTGATTAGCACTTCCACGGTCACTGCTTCGACCGCCTACACGACTGTCGCCGCGCCAGTAATCACCGCATATACCACCACAACCACAACCGTGACAAGCACCATCACCAATATCGCTCCTGCTCGCACCATCTTCGCCACTTGTGGCCTCAACAACGTTGGCAAGTTTCCCTCTATCACTTCTCCTATTCATCTCACATCCCACTAACGTCCTATCACCCTACAGTCTCCGAGCTCAACGGCCGCGGTATCTTCAAAGTCGAGTACCAGCCCGCGTCAACGTCACGCGCCAGCGCATCCTCAACGCGACATCGGGCTCCGACTGTTGCGCCTCTTGCATGCAGACGACTAACTGCGCGGGTGCCATTTACTACCAAAACCAGTGCCGTATCACGCTTTCCCAAGTGCCGGTCTATAACGGGACGAATGGGACAGAGGTGGAGTATTGTACTAATGGCTCTGATACGGCGAGACTGGGCGGGGGTCCAGACCAGGGAGACGCTGCCGGCGGATACCGGGTATACCATTATTAATGGGTATTGTGGGAGCTTTTATTACAGTGGGGATGTGTGGTCTTAAACCGGTGGTTTGAAGAAAGCTAGCGCCCTTCGTGAGGGGGAGACATCCGGCCTTCAAGGGAGAGACTGTAGTGATGTGTGGATGACTGAGCATTCGGGTGAGCGTAAGGTGGCGGTAGACTTGCGCTGCGGTTTGTTGTTTTCTTGACTGTCGTTACCGGTAAGCTCTTTTGCTTTTTTGGATAATTGCGAATGCGCGTTAGACAAGAATACACGACTCCGATCTAGGCTTGGCTTCAATATGTGGTCTCGTGGTGCAGAACGTGACTCCAACGTTTTTTTTGCAATTTTCTAATTCGTCATTCACCGGACCATGAGAATTTAAGTACTCGTCGGCTGTTCGTGGCAAACTCTGCTTCTCTTCCGCAGCCAACACCGTCCACGGTCTACGCAACCGCAACCTCTCACCTCCTTCCCTCTGACATCCCTATCCATAGCAATTCTCCATCTGCCTCCTTGACAACAGAACCATATACCATGAACCTCTCCTTAGCTTCACCTCCTCCTTCGCAATGGGATGCGCTCCTCCGCCGTCTCGACCCCACATCCGCTGATCTCATAGCAACAGCGTTCTACCACATGCTCAACGGTAAATCCCTCCCGTACGGCACTCCACCCACCCCACTAACCTAACCCCTCTCCCCAGAATCCGAAGCCACGCCTCCCATCTCCCTCCTCGCCTTCACCCTCCTCTTCGCCCACACGTTCGCGCTCGCGAGAGCACAGCCGCCGCCCCAGCTCCAGCTCCGCCATGCTTCTCGCGCTCCGCCTCCGCTCCCGGTCGCGACCCCGTTCTCGGCGCCCCACAACCGCGTCCTGGTCCTCCGAAACTCCGTGCGGAGCAGGGCGACGGTGGTGGTCTCGCCGGCGAGTGACGCGAGTAGCGCGTACCCCGAGATCGGTCCGGAGGCGTATTGCGGGTTCCCTGCTATCAACTGGGGCGCTGTGCGTGTCTACGAGCTACCAGATGCCGGAGAGATCGGTGTCCCAGAAGACGATGGCGCGAGGCGTGAGCGACAGGGCGATGGGATCAGGAGGGAGCGTGTTGGAGACGAGCTGGCTGCGAGGGGGGTGCAGGGCCGGCGTGGGCGCGAGAATAGCGATACCACGCTCCCGACGAGCGTGGCGGGGGGGAGCGCTGACGTGTCGCCGGCTAGCTCGCGGAGTAGTGTTTACCCGGAGATTGAGAGGGGGGAGTACTGCGGCTTTGAAGCGCAAGATGACGCTTCTAGAGAAGAGGAAGGGGACGAGGCTGCGGCAGACGGCGTCGAGGTTTGGCATGATAGCCGCGCGGAGGACGACCGTGGTGGCGACGCGGAGAGGGATGGGGAGTCCCCGGCTCTGGGTGCGAGGCTCAGAGCGCTGTGTATGGATGGGGGTGGGCAGAAGAAGGAGGCTATGAGGACTGTTGCGCTTGGGGGTGGGAAGGGGGGACGAGCTGGCATTGATGGGGCACTTGTGGAGGTTTCGGCGGACGAGAATGAGGTTTTGTGGTCGCCATGTGAGCGGAAGATGGCGAAGTGGATGGATGGAGATGGTTCGAGCTGTCGTAGTCCGACTGTGGGTAGGTTGGGAGCGAGGGGTGTGAGGAAGCCGCTGGCGGAGATATATTAAAGGTACTGATGGCAGCGGTGGTTGAGCTGTCCGAGCGGTTAGGATGGTGAGCATGCTTGCAACATTCGGCGAAAGAATAGCCATAGGTCAGTAAGGTGATCCGTAGAGGGCGATCCTGATACTGGATTTACGATTTACTAGAAAGGCTTTCCATTGGCCTTCTTCTGGCCGCTCGAGTGGCATTATTATAGAAGCTATTTCTTACAGACTGCGAAGTATTGGCTTAGGAATTCGGCTAGTTGAATCATTACAATTTGTCGTTCCCCCTATTTATGATACCCGTTTTGTGTAACTCAATAGGTTTGCTGGTGGGAAGAGGCCATCTTAGTTTGCCTTCACAATGCACCTCAGGTCATACAATGCTACAAACTTCTATATCAGCATATGCCATACTTCTTGAGTGCCGCTGACGGGCTATTTGAAGCCGTCGGTGTCCGCTAGCCAATATAACCCCTGAAAACATCAGAAAACGTCAGCCCTTCGTTTTTCCGTCACTTCGCTATAACACTTCAATAACAGCCTGTATATTAACAAATGCAGGGTGTATCATTTCAATTGCCTATCCACACATACGGTAAAGGTATCAGGGCTTGAGGGGCCTTTTGTGCGGCTTTGCGGCTGCATCTTCCACGCGCCTCTCCTGATTCACCACCCTCCTCCCCACCGTGCTCGCCCGGCGACCTTCGCATGTATGGAGACCATTCACTACCCCCTTCTCATGCTCACGTGAAAATCCCTACATCACGTTTGAAACTAGTCCCTCGCATATAAACAGCTCGCCCGTCAATCTCGAAGCTGCTGCCAACAACCCTCTTCAACATCAACTCCCACCACCCCACAATACAACACAACACAACACAACACCGCAACAAGTTCCTCTGCTATCATTTCAGCACTTCCCGTTGTCATAGTGCACCACTCTCCTCATTTCGCAATGGCTAACATGCCTTGCGGGTTTCCCTTTTCTCGGCGCAAGCCACCAGCTTCTCCGATCCCCCCTCCGCGAGCTAAGCAAGCGCGCACCCTCGGCCGTAATATACACACGCCTACTTGGCCGAGGCCGATGGCTATCTTTAGTAGACTTCATAAATTGGAGCGGGATACTTCTCCAGAGGCAAAGATGTCCTCGTCTTCCTGCACTGTTGATGGTATGTATTCACTACACATAGCCTCATCAACCCTGCTAACATCGCACCAAGGCTCCACGTCAACGATGAGCAAGTCAGAGATGCTTGCTATGCTCTCTGCGTTGAAGGGTATGTCTCTGCTTCCTCTATCACTCTTTCTTCTTCTAATATACCTCAAAGGTCGTGAAGATACTACGGTGAATGCCGCCGACTTTGTTCCACTCTTCCGCCAACGTTTCGAGGCTATTAAGCCTAAGAAAGGTATGCTTGCCTCTTTTTATATATATAAGGTGACCATAATGACATAGTGTCCAGTGAACGTCTCCACAGACCTTGTTCTGGCCAATCCTTCCAACTACCGTCCGGCATCCCCTAGCCCTGCGCCACGTCCTCGTCGTATCCGCTCCCGACCCTTAGCCATAGAATGGTACTCAACACCACCAACTTCTCCGGAGCTTAGCAGCGCCAGCAATGAGGGCTCATCGTCTAGCAGTCTTTGTCTGGAGAATTACATCGACAACTGGAAGTTTGCTATCCCTGGTGGTGGCTTTACTTCGGAAGACTTGACGGACGCTGCAGCGGTTCAATGTGGCGAGAAGAAAGATGAACATGGAGACAAGAAGGAAGATGAGACGGAGGGCGATGAATCCGAGGAAAATGACAAGATGATCGCCCTCGAAGCAAGTCACGCTGACCTCAAGGAGCGGCTCCAAGCTCTCGAGTCCGAGCTGGAAGAGGCCAACGACGAACTCAAGACTCAGGCCGAGGACTTGAAGGAAGAGTCCAAAAAGGCACAACTCGGCCTCCAGCTCATTGGCAAACAGTCTCAGGAGATCAATAGCCTGAAGCAGAAGCTCCTTGATTCCGAGAAGGAGACCGAGGAAGCCCGCGACTTGTTCTACCAGAAGGATGCTCAGCTTTCCCAGAAGACCAAGGTAGAAAAGATGCTTCGGAACCATCTGGCTCTGAACAAACGTGAAGTGGCCTGCTTCAACACCCAGCAAGCCGAGGCTTACAGGAATACTCTCGAGCGGAACGCGAACTTGGAGCAAGCGTATGAGATCTTGCTCCGGCAAGTGACCGCCGGCCTGAACAACGAGGAGTTGATGCACCATTTCATGATTATGGAGGCAAACCACAACTCTTCTCGGGAATCTCACGAGGTGCTGCGAAACGACCGCGACGCTCTCGCCAAAGAACTTCGTGAAATCAATTACATCAATAGTCCTTACGAGGATAACTTGAACTCCACGAAGGGTCTTCTCGCACAGGTCAAGAAGGAACTCAAAGAGTGCCGCACGGAGAATGCTAAGTTGCACCGCAGGGTGGAGACCCTAGAAGAGGAAAAGGCCCACGGACGCAATCAGCTTGAGCGCGAACGTGAACGCGCCACGGCACTGGAGAAACTTCTCGACAAGGAGGAGTGCTCTCTTACTGAGATGCTGTATGGAGACGTTTGCTTCATGGTAGACCACTACATTGGCCTCCCCGAGAAGGTCCAAAAGCAAGTGCTGGACTTGTACGATGTGATTGTCAAGAGTAAAGAAACCATCCAGATGCTCCGCCAGAGGGAAGAGAAGGCCTTGTCTCATGCTCGTAGCGTCACATACGACATGGACGAAAAGAATCAGAAGATCGAGAACTTAGGCAAGGAATTGGCCAACACCAAGGCCAGCCTCGCCGATGCTGAGTCCCGTGAAGGCGACGCCAAAGACGAAGTCATGGCCTTTGAGATGAAGGAGGTCACTCACGAAAAGCTGGCCAACCACCACGCCGGCATGTCTCAAAAGTGACACCAACAGCTGGAAGGAATCCGAGGTCATCACAACTCCCTCTTGGAAATTGTCGATAAGGCCATTCACTATGACGACGAGTTCGGCTGCCCCATGGTACGCGAAGGTCATCACAACCAGCTTATTGCCAATCTCACCAGCGAGCTCCTTGATCTGCGTCCTCGTGTTGAGGACTACGAAGAGGCCGATATGACAGCCTCAGAGCGTATCGATTGTGCGGAACACCAGCGCGACGAGGCCAAAAAGGGGCAGGAAAAGGCCTGGATGCAAGTCATGACGCTGAACGAGATAGCAACATCGGCTCGCAAGCACCTCGAGGATGAACGGGAGAGCTTCAACAATCAGCTCGACGTATTCCAGGCGCAGCTCGATAAGAAGAAGGCCAAGGAGCAACGGGACCGCCGGAGGGATATTGAGGAACACCTTGAAGACAACAAGGATTTCCTCGATGTTCTAGAAGAACAAGCCCGGCGCGAAGATGAGAGAGTTTTCGACCAACACAACAATCAGGCCGGTCGGTGGAACAGCTTCAACAAGTTTTCTGACTTCACCGCCACCGCCTTCCTGGCGCCTCACGCTCAGGAGGCGAGAGTCGACATGATGAAGGAGCTGGTCGACGAGACGAGGGACCCACAGGTCAACCCGACATTCGACACAAGCGAAGATGAGATCCTCGAGGAAGCTAGGACAAAGACCAAAGAGGAATTTGCCACTATCATCCGGAGAAAGAAGCAGGAGGCTCGCTGGGCCTTGGATGAGGCGTCCAGGAACCGCGTAGAAGCAGCGGAGAAGGCTGGGACGTGGCCTGATTACCTCGTGGACCCCCTACCTCAATCTTCCAACCTCGTCGACACACCCATGCTCGACGTCCTCACCCCCTCTAGTAATGAATTTCGAAAAGGAATGTCGGACGAGATCGAGGACAGAGGCCAGGGTGAAGGTGAGGACATGGAGGTGGATCCAGCGGACGAGCAAGCAGCGATAGACAGGCTGTGGGCACGGAGATGAAGAAGCCTTTATAGGGCTATGTGCTTTGAGTTACTGGCGCATGGAGAAGGGTTGTGCATGTGCTTGCCAGACTGGTCCATATGTTGGCAGGCCAGCGACTAGGTTTTGCTGCTGAGAATCCGGTAACTTTGTACGTCCTGTGCTCTACCGATAGAAATGAATGATAAGTGTACATACAACAGCTTCAAGAGTAGAATTCGTGAGACTAGTAATGCGTATTGACTACTCGGCTGAAGAGCTGAAGGACCCCTAGAAGATCCGCTCCACCGCCAAACCTGCTTACACACCTTTGCGATTTCGGCATTCTCGATCTTCTATACTTAATCTAGCGTGGTATATGCAGTCCCCTCTCAGCCATGAGAGTCTTCTTCTACAATCGATATGGGTTTGCTCGCCATATGAGATCAGTTTGCCCCGATCACGTTCTCTACCGCAGTTCCCAATTTCCCGCACATTGAGCCTGCTATCATCTTCCTCTTTCTATATAGCCTCACACGACAGCTCTCTAAGAGCCATGTCTCAGTCCAATAAATATCATACCTTGTGTCCTTTCTCCTGCTCTCTAGAACGGCGAGGGCGAGAACATTCCACCGTGGTCACGCCGTTGGATTGTTCTGCGTAGCGGGTGTTGCCGTGATCAACACATCATTCACCATATCGACCACGTGAACTCGGTTACCTCACGTGTAGCTCTAGGGCTCGCCCCCAAAGACTGCCGGCTACTAACCGCTCTCGATCAGCTTCCTTGACTTGACAACACCAACCATCCGCCTTCCACCTTCCACATCACACCTACACATACCACTCCATACCCCCACTTTCCTGTCCAACACGATGTTGTCTATATCTGACCTAGCTAAAGATCTGGCCCTATTAGCTTCTGCTCGCCCTCCTGGCCGAAAGAAGGCAAAGACGTCCAGTCTAGTTAATGGCCTTCAACCTGGCTGGGTTGGACGCGCAGTTTCTGGAGAGAAAGATACCGAGAATGGAGAGAAGGGTAACACGCAGACACAGGAGAAGATGATGCGTTGCTCGACTCCTCCTATCGTTGGCCGTAAGTGATCGGCGACAGTGTTTCACTTTATCCTACTGAAGTCACAAGAAAAAGATGAACCTGCGTTAAGCAAGTCGGAGACGTTGGCTCTACTCACCAATGCTAGTGGTAAGCATTCCTCCCACTTTATATTGCTCTCATGGCGTGCTAATATACTCCAAAGGACGCGAAGCGCATATAGCGAAGCCCTCGGACTTTTCTTCTCTATTCACTGAGCATCTCAACCAGTTGAAGTCTAAGAAGGGTATGTATCCTCCTCTTCCTCCTACCAGCTTATCCAAGAAAGATATACTAAGATATCATCCAGTCAGCAATAAGCCCCGCAAGAAGCATATTCGGACTGCACCGCATCATGCTTGGGCGAAGCCTAGCCCTGTTTCACCTACGAATACTGCCACCGGGATCCTCCTCGACTTACCTTTCCCAGCCCCGAATATCAAGCTCCCCACACCGCCTTCCTCTCCAGATATGGAAGACAGTGGAAGCAGCCGTGTGCGCTCACGGACCAGCTCTGACAGTAGTGTCGATCCGTATATCGACACTCGGAAGTACATCATTCCTGATATCATTCCTGATGGCGCTTTTACGGGATTCGTCAACAGTATCGTGGACCAGCACCACGAAAAGCAAGCTCAAAAGGCGGAAGAAGCTGGAAAGATTTCTGCGCTCGAAGCAAGTTGCGAAGCACTCTCGAATGAAGTACAGGCCCTCCGAACTAGCGAAGCTTGGTGGAAGACCGAAGTCCAGGACCTTCAGCAGAAGCAAGAAGACGCGAAGCTCAAGGAAGCCGAGAAGATTGCCGCTCTGGGAGCTGCTCGGGACGTACTGTTCAAGCAACTCCAGGCCCTTCGCCAGGAGCAAGACAATGCAGCACTCAAAGAAGCTGAAAAGGTCGCCGCCATTGAAGCTACTCGAGACGCGCTGTTGAAGGAATTTCAAGATTTTCAAGCTAACGAGACTGATCTGAAGGATCAAATCGGCGAGCTGACTTCTGAACTCGGCGACTGGAAGGGCTATCTCGACATAGCAAACAAAGACCTCCAGGACGCCGAAGCAGAAGCTGAGACTAAAGCCACCGAGACCACCGCGCGGATTGTGAAGCTCAACAATAGGCATATCAAAGAGAAGAAGGCCTTAAAGGATCAAGTCAAACAGTTGAAAGAGAGTGTCAAGGACATGGAAAAGCTCAAGGACATGGAAAAGCTCAAGGACACTGTGAACGACCTTGAACATGAGCTTCGCGACGCACAGCGAGAGGCCGCACTCGGTTATGATTTGAACAACAAGAGTCAAGTCATGATCATTCGCAAAGCGAAGAAGGAAGCTGAGCTTCGCAAGGAGCTTGTAAAGCAAACCACCAAAGCCGCTCAGGATCTTAAAACGGAGAAAGACCGGAACTCCCGCCTTGAGCAGGACCTTCAACTCATCAATTACCAACTTTCCTTCGGCGACACGGAAGTTGCAGTTCAGCAAGCATTCCAAGCCCTCCAGTCACAGTTAAATGATGCTAATCAAAAGAGCGCGGAGCTCGAGGCCGAGCTCAAGAAAAGCCAAAAGGAGTTCAGGCAGCTTTACTACGAACACCGCTCCTACCACGACAACCTCAAGAAACACAAAGGAATTGCCCAGAGGTACGAGAAGGAGAGGAATGAGTATTTCGTCGCTATGAAGAAGTCCCAGCGCAACGAGTCCATCCTGACCGAGAGGACGAGGAACTACCGTCTTTTGGCCAGCCGCGCTCACTGCCGCGCCAACAAGATCGAAGAACTGTACACTGGCCTCATGATTGACCAGACGGAGGGGATCTGTGAGGGTATTGTTTCTCTTTTCGAGAACTCCGACGAAGTCTCCGAGGAGGCGGAGGCCGAGATGCGCAGGCTGGTGGAGATTATGGATAAGCAGACGAGCGCAATCAACCACCTTCGACTTGCTGTTCGAACTAGTGAAGAGCGAAACCATGCTCTTTGTATTGAGCTTGATATCAAGAACAACGATTTGATCAAGATGGAAGAGCAGATGAAGGACAAAAACACGTATATCGAGCGCATTAGGGCCAAGAAGAGGGCCTTGAAAGCAGATCTTCTTAAGCTCGAAATGGAAGAAACGACGTACGAGAAGCTCGCTAGCAAGAGAGCTGGTGAGGTTGTCATCGCCGTGCAGCAACGGGATGGATTCGAGAATAAGCGCGATGAACTACAAGCAGCCTACGACGGCCTTCTCAACGCCATGGCCAAAGCGACAGTGTATCGAGGCCTACCGCTACATATCCACAACCCTCAGCGGGTTATTGGTCAGCTGCGCACGAAGTTGGCACGACTCAGCCAGCTTCAAGACGCAGAGGACACTTTCAATGCGCAAGTTCACGTATTTCAGGGAGAGAATGCGAAGTTACAGCACCAGGTCGCAGTTCTGGAAGGGAAACTCAATGGATGCGTTACCACCATCAAAATGCTCGAGCAGAATCGAGATGCTGTCCTCGAAGTGGCTCTCGCAGATGTTGAGAGGTACAAGGATATGCTCGGCAAGCAGGTGGAGCGCCAGGACCGCGACTTCAAGCTCGTTTACGACGAGCAGACCGAGCGTTTTGCGCAGCAGAATCAAGGGATCGGGAATTGGACCAATCTTAACAAGAAGGCTGATTTTCCGAAGGAGTGCTGGGAGGGAGGCCACGTACAGGCGGAGCGGGAGGACTTCACCAAGGAGATATACGGCTATGAGCCGGTGAAGTGGGTCAACCCGACCTTCGAAGTCGACTCGGAGGAGGAGATCGTGGGGAGGCAGCGAGCCCAGACTGTCGAAGAATTCAAGGCCGTGAACAAGAGGGCGAAAGCAGAGAAAGCGCGGATGTACGACACGAACGTCAGGGCAGAGGTGCAGAGATTGGAGGATGTTGAAGGATGCTGGAATGGCAAGTTCTATGGCCCGGTGGAGGAGACGGAGGCTTAATTTAATCCTGATTGCTTGCATTCCTCATACCTAGAGCTCAAACTGCCCAGGTTGCGCTATCAGTAGGCCATGCCTTAATTTGATACCCCTACATTCTAACTATAGATTGAAAGCAACCAGTTGAGCATGCCGTATGGACTTGAGAATCGTGAGACTTGTAATATAGTTTTGACAACATGCTTATTTCCTGATAGGTTAAAGATGCCAAATTGTTCTATATCGCTAACAAGAACTCGGGGGTGCTTCAATTCCTTTCACGCATGCCCAGTGCGATTAGCAAATAGCAATGATATCAACATCCAATCGCAAACAATCTCAAATTTCTCTAGATTCAGAGACTAGAACTTATCAATACCCGTATTGCAACTAATCGACCGCGGGATGAAATCTTTCCCTCCCTCCACGGTAAGGTCATGAATGCCGTACACAGATATAGCTCCCTCATTCATAAGACTCCACGACACATCTCCCCACGTATTATCCCAGCATGTGGCCAAGTCATTCGGGTACTCATCCTATAATTCTGTCAGCTCGAGATCCACATAGGCAGCAGGGGTTAGAGAATACTTACTGTATGGCCAGCAGAAAAGTTCACGAAGCCTCCACAGTTATACGGACCTGCGGATTTCCAATCATGCCGTTTCAGATCGTGCAGACACTGATGCAGAATGATCATGTCGAGCTCCTTGCCGTTGATTCCTGGGCGGGGTCCGTTTTTGTTTTGCTTCGAGATTTCCCATTGGTGTTGTTGGTCGGGTTTTAGCTCCGGAAGCCAAACTCGGTTTGCTTCCGGTTGTATGGTATAGACAAATCCGTCACTAGTTGTTAGCGTTCCGCCCCATTTCCAGCTACCTCTGATTAGTGTGCGCCCTAAGATATAATGAGGAGGAGACCTACTTGTATTGGTTGACGTTGCTATCCTCCGGAGCTCCATCCCAATCACAATCCGAACTGAGACCATTCAGCTCTTTGAGGCAATCGGCGGTTGGTTTGTCTTTACCACCTTCCCAGGTGATAGTTATCGTTACGGCTTCAAGACCGCCGTCGTTGTATTTCCTGGAGTAAGAGCCACTTGCCGCGCCAGGCTCGATTCCCTTGAAGTCCACATTGCAGAACGTCTCAATATTTTGGTCTAGCAAGCCTTGATCCACGAACTTCCAATTCTCGGGCTTGTTTTTCACCTCATCTTTCGATTTCTGGCAGACCGTTGGCGGTGAGCTTGGCGACGGTGGGGCCGGGGTTCCCGACCAGTCTGGTCCCGAAATGATTGCTTCGAATTCTGTGATGGCGGAGTTCCATGCATCGACATCATCCCAGGCATATCCTTCCGAGATGGCTTGCTGGTAGCAGGGGCATCTAATGATCAAGATCAGCGTCGTTCGCAGGATGTGAAGCCGTGAAAAGGCATCTGAGTTACCCTTTATGCGGTCCATTACCCTACCAAACATGTCAGTATGCACATGAACAAGTCGGGTCCAAATTCAGGCTAACTTACAGCTCCTTTGCAGGTCCCAGTGAGCGGATCGGCTCCGCCACAGTCCGCATCGTCACATAGATACCCACTCTGGCCATTTACAGGGCAATCTCCCTTCGTACACTCACAAGGCGACAAAAATGCCGTACAAATCTCGTTGTTGCCTCCCCTGCACAAGGAATGGCCGCACGGATTATCCTCCTTATGAGGGCAAGACTTCTTCATAGGGCCGTTTCGGTCGACTGAAAAGGTGGTGAACGACTGTCTAGGGTTATACAAATTCTGAATAACTAAGTTGAGGATGATGTAAACGCCCCACGGTATTTCGATGTCGTTGATGTCGTTGACCACTGTTTGCAGCATACTGGCACCGATGACGAGTGAGCGCACGAGTGCTGCTTGCTCGAATTCGTCCGTATACTGGGGAAGGGCCTCGATGCTCTTCATATCGCCGGCTATTGGGCTGCCGCGATATAGTTCCATGACGTGGCCCACGATGGCTGCGTTGCTGGCAAGCGCCCTGAAGGTATCGACCATGCAGTTGGTGAGGCCCGCATTGTATGGATCATCTCGTTTGGCTCCTTGGATTCGTCTTGTTAAGCGCGTGCACTTCTGCGTTGCGAAAAACTCGGTCACTGCCTTTGATGTGTCCTCGTCCAGGCGGACTACGGTATTGGTCGCCGTGACCGAAAGAACTGGAAGAATGATGGCTCCACCCTGGCGTTTTGTAGCAGGAGAAGCTATCGAAAACTGAATGAGATAAAGCAATGATAATAGAGTGATGAAGATCATGTTCAGTCTCAGTCGGAACTCCCGGAAGAAAGTAGAGAAGAAGAGGCTTCAAGACTAATGGAGAACTTGGTCGTGGGAAGGCGGGCTATATGGCACAGTGAACCTACTATTCCGAATGGACAGCATGGAGCTAAGAGAGCCCAGTAATCAAAACTTTGATAATCGCAATAGCCAGCCTGCTATTTTAGACCGAAATTGAAGGTCGGCGGATTATCGTGTTCAGCGTCCAATTTCACTCTTTACAGTAAAAGGATATACAGCCAACAGCTGATGTTCTTTTTTAAGTTCTCAGCGTTCTGTCGTGTTTACTGCGCCCCTACTATGTTAGAGGTTGCTGGGGGCCAGCGGGGGCCAATACCCCAGTCCGCCCTCGCTTCTTCCCGACCTTGCGTTCGATCTCCCTTGCACTAGAACGCATTGAGCCTGTTCGCCGATCCAGGTTCCTGCATATAGTTCACTCTCGTGTCACCTGTTGGGTGTTTTGCACTAGGATGTGATCGAGTCCCTCGAATCTAATTCTTCAAAAGGCTCTTTGATCTACGCCCCCCTGCACATATGCAGGATCTGCCCTATGACTTGCAGGTTTGCTCGATATACGCCCTGGCTTCTGATATTGCATGACCCCAAGAGGGCTGCTATTGTTTCAGTTAATATCAGTCAGCTGCCAACCTCGCGGTAAGTCAGCGTTTCAGATCCTTTCAGGCTCCGGAATAAATTTCTAAAACTAGTCTATTGCCCTATTTTAGCATTGATCCTGGTGAGAGATCATGACCCCAGCGATGCCTCTTACTAGGATTTAAAGATGATTCAATTTACTACAGAGATATATATGTTAGATAACTGCTACCAACCTGTCAGTGTAGAGTATCGTTCCCAGGACTCGTTCTTGCATCAAGTATGCGTTCATTGATAGCATTCCTGGCCCCGGCGGCTTTCATTTTTGTGTTTTTCTCCTCTGTCTGTGCCCAGCAAACATATTGGGTTGACAAAAGCTGTGACATAACGCATGCAGATGGAACCAAGTTCACTGATGCTATCAAGGAGGTGATTTGGGTAGCTGGACGCGTCGCGGACGCCATCGAAGCTCAGGACGATAGATTGGAGCAGTCTTTCATGTGGTTCTTTTATTTTAGTGTCAGGGATCGGTATGCAGACAAGGTCAAAGGTACAGTCAATTTCGTCAAAGATGACTTGCTATCAACTGACCTATTTCCCCTAGATACATTCCGCCGTATATCACAACTGAAGGAAGAACCGTCCGGAATCAACAAAAATGCCAATCTGCGCTTGTATTGTGGTGGGTAAAACTCATCTGAGCGCGCGTTGGGATCAGAACTAATTTTTTTCAAAGACAACGATGACAGATACAAACTTCAGCCTGGCGGACATTACATGGACGAAAATAACGAGAGCATCTCCGGGAGAAGCATGCTTTTATGCTGGCCGCAGCCTCAAAAGGATGGGAAGGATGTATTTTACTACGCTCACACCATGTATGATATCGATAATCTCTGGAACTTCGTCAATACGGGGCAGAAATCAAGTCAACTGCCTGACAGGACCACAATTAGCGTGAGTTTAAAACCTTCAAAAGAGATCCCATAGAAACGTGGCAGAGGACTAACGATGGTTTTATTCAAGTTCTGCAACAGGATGTTTACATACCCCGGGCCGTTGAAAGAAAGACCATTTACAGTCCGCGCATTTGCAGCGAAAGAGCTAGACAAATTATTGACGCAGTTACCGAAGGTTTCGCCTCTCGCCTTTCACACGATTCTCCATGAGGTGAGTACTATATCGCTCGCGCAATAAAGGCAATGCTGATTAACCTCATCATAGTTCGTTCACGTACCTTTTCTCAGCGAGCAGACCATGACCGAAGCCAGAGATGAAGATAACACTAACGTGCCCGTTCATTATCAAAATGGAATAGATTCGTTCAGACTGCACCCCACCGACACAAAAGATACGTCAGGCTACTACACTGGTCCCCTTCCCGGACCGACGCTGGGCGACCCCAAGTTCGTTATTATGAATCCTGACAGTTACGCATATGTTGGCTTTCTTTTCAGGATAAGAGATAAGCAGTGGGTGCCATACTCGGACGGCGCAACTCCGCCGTTGATCAGACTGAAGAAGGACACGAGTTTAGAGTTAGTAGGAGATTGGCCTGGGGCGCCTACCCCGACCCCGTCGCCGAACGTTAAGCAGACTCCACCACGACGAGTGAGACGAGACGTTTGATTCGATATGTAATAGTGGATCTTCTCTAGGGCTCATAGGCATTGCATGGATACGCTTAAGAGAAAAACCATATCAAACTTTATGAAAGACATGATGGCAGTTGCTCAAGCATTCGCGCGGTTCTAAGGGGAGGTTGTATCAAGGATTCACAGTTGCAGGGTTCAGAGGAGCCCCAACCATGGCACCCATAGCTATCAATAGTTGAAACAACTGGCCAGCCTTGACTCAACCGTGGTTCACCCTAGGCGTCGTCAATCCAGCAATGTAAACTCAGGCTTGCCAGTCCTCCCCGTACATACGCAATCCACTTTCTACTTCTTAATTATTTCTATAAGAGAGTCCAGCAACACTCGCCCCCCCAACAGACCTGCATCGTAACCCGTTAAAATGTCTACTGGTCCACGCACGATTCGTAAACGTTTCGGGAACCCTAGAACACTGCCCAGAACACTCACCAGGCCCCTTTTTAAAACCCAGAAGGCAACGAAGCTCTGGTCGACATGTGAGAATTGTCGCTTAGCAGCCCCATCTATAAAGGCTCCCGACGAGTTTCCAACGCTGTGGGAGAGCTTGGTCTTTGGCATCAGGACGATTGCAGAATCATTCGTAACAAAACCAGCTCCTATTCCCATTCCCGTTCCAACTCCCATTCCCTACGAGCCCTTCAGATTCAAAGATCTGCCTTGCGAACTCCGGATCGAAGTCTACAAATTCGTCTTCGACCGCGTCTACAAGGCATCGGATGCCCATGAACGCGCAGACCGCGTGAAGCCCAATCGATTTGCCCTCTTTCGTGTTGACCGCCAGATTCATCACGAAGCAGTTGAGAGCTTCGAAAGATATGCGACATGCTACTCACCGGTGATGTGTTCGCCTTATCGCTCTTCGTGCGATGAGGCTAATCGTTTCCTCGAAGACAACAAGGCCATACTGCTCGGTGCTGCGCATCTTGGTCTCGGTATCAGCGATTTTAGTATACTATCTGACGAAGTTTCGTTTTTCTTCGGAGATATGCGTCTCTCTGAGTTTATGCTGGCGCCTAGAGACCAAGCCCCCTCAACACGTTGGCTCACGTTGGATCTGGACGATTCGTATTGGGGGGAAATGACTCAATACAACCACGCCGACCAGAATTACAGGCCTGATCGGCGCTATTTAAGGAGATTTTGGTTTGATGCATATGTTGGACCATGGATATCCTCCTTCCAACTTATGAGCCGCCCTGATTCGCCCGTGGATTTCGTGTGGACGGTGAAGTCACCAAAGTCAAATCCGGCGCCCGGTGGCATCGAGGGAAAGTTCTAAAAAGTTTGTGAGGATGCTGGAATGAGATTTGTAGGAGGTGGCGTTACTAAATATTACTGGGAAAAGGATGATGAGGAAGACGAGGACGACATGAGCGACTAGGATTTCAGGCCAAGCCCTTCAACGTTAGATCGAATTGACGAACGGCGAAGTACTGGCCGCGTAACTAGACAGTGAAGGTGATGCTTTCCTAAACACACTACTGCTGTAGAGAACACAATCTTAATCCTGGAATCTCGCACACAGCACTTTGTGAGTACTACCTAAACTCCCCCCTCGCCTCCTCCAACGCTTGGAATTTCTACTCTTAAGTCTTTCTCTTCCTCTCGCAACCTTTCTGTAATTAGACAGTACCATGAAGTGTAATATCCATAATGAGCCTTCACAATGATTGCTGATGGGAGTTTCTGTAACTCCAAACTCTCCATCTTTGCTGAGCACGTGACTAGATGGGCATACAGGCAATCTTTGGTGCTATACGTTCTCCAGGTGTGGGTAGGTCAAGCGTTGTGAGCGTCTTCCCAAAATCCTTTCGAAATTAAATGAAAGCCTAATAGAAGAATGCGATAGTGAGAGATGTCCTGATGACCTGCATTTTCCGTACGATACCTGGATAACAAAAAAGCCAAATTAGCCCGAAAGAAAAGTGCTTTTCCGTTAACAGCCTTTCAATCCAATTTATTACCCTGCTTCCGTCCAACAAAGTACTATAGGAAGCGTAGAAATCCTTAAGAATCTCCGTAGTCGCAACCGTACGTAGTCCACCCTCCAGAGAGTAATCCTACATCACGCTTGCTGATCTAGCCTTGGGAAAGAAACAAGTAGCATAGCTATTAAGCTCTAAATTTGCACCCAGTCGTCCAGTAAGCATCCTTCATACTTTGAGTTGTACTAGGGTCGTTAAGGATGTGCATGGCTGCTGTCGCCGGGCCCACGGATTGTGGACAGGTCCCACAAGCTGTGTTTGCTTGGTTCTGGTAGTTGGCGAAGCCAAAATCTGCGAGCTGAAATGTATGTTTGCCGTTGGTCTTGTAGTGGAGTATGTTTTCTGGCTTGACGTCTCGGTGGCAAAGGCCCCTCGGGGACAAGTAGTCGAGGGCAGAAAGCATTTGGAACGCTACTTCATTTAGAAGAGTCCCCTGCTCTTTCTTGAATATAGATAGAGGGACAAGCTTGTTAAGGCTTCCAGCCATAATGGACATGTGAATCCGGAACATACCGCCGCGCTCGTGTGCGTCATTGAATTCGACCATGTGTGGCTTCTGTCAATTAGAACTAGCTAACAGGCGAGACTAGAAAATGGGAGTAGACTAACATACATGTTTGAGCGTTTTCAAGATATTAATCTCTCGCTAGACGTCGGGAGCTTCAGCCTAAGGGTTGAACTTTCTGACATTGATTCCCTTCACGGCAATCCACTCTTTCCCGACCAAAGCTTTGAAGACACGCCCATATGCGCCTTCGCCAAGTGGATCTCCGGTCAAGATTTTGCTACCGGCCATGTTGGTTTGAAATTTCGATTTAGGGAATGAGCAGTCGTTTAGGCCTTATGTTGTGCTGTTAAAGAGAACCAGTGCCAAGAGAAACGACAGAGTTCTCATGAGAGATGGACCAAAGAGCGAAATTTAAGGAATGAATGTTTTCGGCACTCCCGCGACGAGTCCGGTACCACCGTGATATGTATGACTCCTTACCACCGGGCAACAACCCTCATACCAGCCAAGCAATGGGGTTCTGTTGGGTAGCTGAAGTGTGTCCACGCCTCAGCCAACGAAGACACGCCCAGCAACAACTTCGCAGGAGGCTGAAACCTGTAGCACGTGACGCATGCATACAAGACTTGGCAGCTGAACGACGTGTAGTTATTGATGATCAGATTAACAAGCGGCCCGCAAGATTGCGACAGGGGCAAAAACCTAAAGGATGGATAAAACTCAGTTTGCAGAACTTGACATATCGCTGCCAGCTTACCGTATTATGTGGGCGCCGCGTTGTTGGCATTTCAGGCTCAGCAGGCTGCCTTCTCTTGGAATTATGTACATTCTGCTACCGCTTGTTGTGCTTCGTCGTCCAGGACCTAAACAGAAATCTTGTGGGCGCTTGCTAGCCGCTGTCTGAGGTCTTTCAGTGCATTATTTAAAACTCTAGATGAGATGTAAACGTCCAGAGGGTACGAATTTGAGTTGTTCTGGATACTTCTCATCGACCGTGTTGCCGGCGTTCGGGTTGCTTCAACACATGATTAGAAAATAGTAAAAGAATCCGTCACCTGAGGCAAGAGAGAGTGCACAAAGCAGATGAAAGATAAGGTCCAGCGAACGAGGACAAGCCTCACTGCTGCTCATTCGATCCTACCTACACGTCCTACCACGCCGAAACGCAGTCCGACTCGCTAAGCTATGATTCAGGCCAGGTAAGAAAGCCTAGGTTCATATCAAGAACCGATTCGCCGCAGTCGCCGTAAACTCCAGATAGAATCCGCCAAAAGCATTGGCCAATCAAAATGCCCTGCGCACAAATACAGTCGTGTTGCTTTTGCAACCCCGTCCAGACCTTACTTGCCGCCGTATGTGAAGTTCCCGAAACCACCGCCCGGCGTCATCAGCCCTCCATGCGGACCCGGTGTGCCAGCCAGCCCAGCGGGATTTGTTGTTGGTGTACTGGGTCCGTCGCCGCGATGTGTGCCGGGCGTGCCGCCGGTGTGGAAGCTCATCATACCTTGTCCGTTCATTCCTTGCTGATATGCGGCTCCGCCTGCCGCCAGCGCCGCCGCTTGAGTTGCTGCTGATGCAGGGGGAGCGACGCCGGTGAGACCCCACATCTGCCCGTTCATGTCCTCTGGGAGGTTGCCGTCAAAGACCTTCTTGCGAAGCTCCCAGAAGACACTACCAGTGAGCCAGGCATCGGATCCGGCAGAGTGCTGCGTGCCTACCCTCTGGCAACCTAGCTCGTCGGCGAGATCTTGGAGGCCCGATTTCTGGCCGAGATTTTGAAGGATAGTCGCTGCTTGGCTACCAATAACGCCTTTGTTCATCATCTTGTTGGCATGGCGCCATAGAAACTTGACATCGAGAACATTGGGGAAGAAGAGATTGACGAGGTGACGGTAGCTGTCTTCGTCCGCGGGCAGTTGCTGACACCAGAGCATCTTGACAAGATATGCGAAATCGTAGCCAGAGTGGAAGGATATCCAGTTCACGTCTGTATCAAGGATGAGGCCTGATGTTAACAGCAGCGAGCCAAACTCTTGCGGGTCAATACCATCCTTCGCATGCTTTTCGAAATCTGCCCCGCTCTTCTTGAGAATCTGAATAGACTCTTCGTTGTACATGTCGTTCTCAAGTGAAAATTGGAAGTTGAAGGTCCATGTGCATGGGCACATGATCAGATTGTTTGCGTATTGTGGTCGACTAGGAGACTCGATTGCAGAGGACTCGAGCTGGTTCGGGGGTAGATCGCCGTTGACGGAGAATAGTGTTATGCCGAGTTGTATTATCTTGAGAAGGTCGACATTGCAGCGGACTGTCTGATAGTGGTAGGATGCTTTTGTGTGAAAGTCGCCCATGGGTCGTGCGACTACACCCGGGAACTCGGTGTCCTCCAATTCAAAGGTGTTAGTATAGTGCTTTAGATTTCCACGAGCCTACCCAAGAAAGGAAAGTTAATACTCAACCTAAAGAATGCAAAAGCCGGGGCGAATTGCCCAAGATGCATACCTCTAAAACTCAATTCAAATCGCGTGCATCTTGGACTTACCATGCTGATATATGGATACCGTTCCACTAGAGCCCTCAGAATCTTCATCTCCTGCGCTAGATTCCCCTTCCACACCTCTCTTATCCGCTGGTTGATGCCCTTGCCTCCATCCTGTGCTCTTCCCATAGCCGCCTCTTGTTGTAGCTGCGCGCCATGCGCGAAGCCCATCTGTGCTGCATGGCTCGCCAGTCCAGTTCCTCCACCTCCTAAACCTCCAGCACCACCTAGTCCACCTGCGCCGAGTGCCCCTCCTAGGCCCGGATTGGCACCGGGGAAATTGTTTTGTGTGGGTCCGAAGAGGTTGATGTTGTGAGCTTGGCCAGCTGCCCCCCCAAAGCCTGGATGACCGAGATTTTGTTGGTGCTGTTGGAGGTGTTGCTGCGGATGTAGCTGGTGGTTCGAGAGGTGAGAGAAAGGGTTGGCCTGGGCCTGGAAGCGCGACACGGCGGGCGGCATGTTGCTATCGTGAACGTAGCTGTGTGGTCCGTTGGGGGCTGCGAGGCGCGTTCATCCGGAGTAATGAGGTGTATGTGCGCAGTGAAAGACAGATCAAGGATGAATATTTCAACGGAAGCGATTGCAGTCGAGTGTGATGGCGGCAGGGCGTATAGTCGTTGGTGCTGGGACTGGCCTTGAAAGGCTTCCAGAGCTCGAGGTATTCATACTGGAAGGCGCGGAACTTGCCGAGCCCGAGCTGCTTGGACGACGACAGCGACTCCCCACCACGACTCCCTCTCACCACACAGCCTTCCAGAGATACCGTGTAAGTGAATATCTCAGCACGTATATAACCGGTTTGTCTGTGGCTCCGGCTGAACAGTTGCTAATCGCGCCTACAGCTTCACAATGGCTCCAAAAGGACCCTCCATCACCGGCTTCGACCCGCAGAAGTTTGCGGCGGCATCAGGACAGCGAGCGGGCGATCCTTGGAGGCGAGCGTATGTTTCAGCTCTATCCTCTCCTCCGCAACCTATACGAAGGCCGAGGCTGACCTTCACACAGAGAAGCATGGCGATACACCGGCCCCTTCACCCGATTCAACCGATTCAAGAGCGCTTTCCCCGGGCTAGGCATAGCTACCGTCGCATTCGCAGGGTACGTGGCGGTCGAACAGCTATTCTTTAAGACAGAAGAGCATGGGCATGGCGAAGAGCACCACTGAGGGTGTCTGCGGGAAGACGGACTGGTGGGCGTGACACAGCGTCGCCGTGACGCTGGCTGTACATATTGAAGAGGATATCACGCGCCGACACGCTACGGGGTTTTCGGATAGCAGATTTCATGCTCGGGAGCTTCTCCGACGAGGAGAGGCGTGTATCATTGATCTGCGGCACTTTTCTGAAATCAAAGAAATCACCACCAACCTTGCCAGTCTTTGACACACGCCGTGAAGCATCGTCACGGGACTAACAATACGGAATATTTGAAAGGTATGATCACCTATATGTCAGCATACCGACTTTACCAATCATGAGGATACCCTTGATTTTCTGTTCACGAGATATGGTCTTTCGAATTTTGGCTACCTAGATACAAAAGCCCCGACTACTCTTCGAACCCAAGACAAGGAGGAGGATGAGCGGGTCGTAGGTTTGAAAAGAAGTTGAGCGCCAGCTAAAGGGGCTTGCGTCGACGACTCACCGGACACGAACAATGTTCAATCTGGTTCTGGCGCGTCTTCGATGTGGAGTTATATCTACTTTGGGCTGGCTTTCCAGATCTGTTGGAAGGGACGAATGAGGTGATTCTCACACTTTTACCTACATTATACCTAACGACCAAACATTTGCCGTAGTCAAAGTACAATTGTGCTGTCTAATCTTTTTTCTACACCCCGGTCTGCCGGTCGAAACTCTACGAAGGTTTCAGATTCCAGGCTCAGAGAAATCCAAACATAATATTAAGGTATTGGCAATGTGCAAGCTTCAGTCGATACGTCAACGGATTTGAGTCCTGACTTGAACTACACGCCGCAGCTCTGGGCTCAAGATCACGTTGCTACCATGGGTAGAATATTATCCCCGCGGATTTTAGAATTCTAAGTCCGATGAGCCGTGGTATTCTACGCAGGACTATGGCACGGTGGGAATTGTACAGTGCCTGCATCACACTTCGCTCGTCCCCAACCAATTCTCCATCTGTTTGCCTTTGCAGGAGGGGACTTCAACATATGTAAGCATGAAGTAGTTACTATGTTTATACGTGGTCGTCATCATAAGCTGAAACCAACACCACTCAAACCTATGCATTGACGAATTATTGACCTTTTTGGGTATAACGGTGCTGACTTAACAAGGGCGGCGTTATTTCTAGTGCGCCTATCACCTATCCCCGCATCGTCAGCCATAAGCGCTAGAGGCTGGGTATAAAGCTGTTATAGGTAACAGAGAGCGCTGTCTCAATCCAGCCAGCGCAATCAAAGCTCTTTCCCCATTACTAAATCTTGCTTACCCCCAAAAGTTTCAATTGAACACTCTTCAGCCTCCCCCCTCTGCTTTCTCTCAGTATACTCTGACCAACATGGCCGTCAACGGAACCAGGGACCACTTGCACAAAGGATTGTTTATCAACAACGAGGTACGGCTCAACTCGCTCACAGAAACTGCCTTCTCTCATTTGTATACTCCGGAACCGTTTCCCTAACTTCGCGTAGTATGTTGATGCAAAGAACAAAGAAACACTCACGGTCTCCAACCCCGTCGATGGATCGCTAGTCGCGGAAGGCATCCAAGTAGCAGGCGAAGCAGATATCGATGCCGCTGTCGAAGCAGCCGAAGCAGCCTACAGAGGCCCTTGGTCTACATGGACCGCCAAAGAGAGGAGCAAGGTCATGTTGAAGATGGCCGACCTGATTGAAGCCAATGCGAAAGATCTTGCCCCTCTAGAGACAATCGCCATGGGGCAGCCAGCATGGTTGTCGGAGTTCTTGATTGGCGCGGCCGTGGATGCTTGGAGATGTAAGCAGTTTTTCTTTCGTTAATTGAGTTGTGACTCAGCTAACATGCCCCGAGACTACGCAGGATGGACGGACAAACTTAGCGGAGAGCAGTTTCCTGCCGATGATGGCAACTACAAGATCGTCCAATATGAGCCGCTCGGTGTTTGCGCGATGATTGGGGCTTGGAATGGGTCTATGATGTTCCATGCAATGAAGACGTCGGCTGCTGTCGCATCTGGGAATACGGTAGGTCAAGCTTTCAACCTCGAATTGGCTTCACAACCCTGACAAATGGACAACTTAGTGCATCTACAAAGGCTCAGAGAAGTCGCCGCTTGGCGTTCTGGCCATGGGAGCTCTGGCGAAGGAAGCTGGTTTCCCGCCCGGCGTCATCAACATTGTGACAGGAGCCGGTGCTACAGGAGCTATGCTTGCATCGCACATGAAAATTCGCAAGATAAGTTTCACCGGCTCTGTCTTTGCTGGGAAGAAGGTGCAGGAGTTAGCTGCGAAGAGCAATCTCAAGCGTGTCACGCTAGAGCTTGGAGGAAAGTCTCCATCCATCATCTTCGAAGATGCAGATATGGAGAACGTGCTCACGCAGTAGGTCTATCCATGGCTCGGGATTTTGCACCATACTGACCCGGTATCGCGCAGTCATTCCCAGAACTTCCTGATGAATTCAACTCAAATCTGCGTCGGTAAGCCACTAAAAGACGCTCCTTCTCAGTTAAAACACCCGCTAATCCCACCAGCCGCCTCCCGAACCTTTGTTCACGAAAGTATCGCCGAGAAATTCGTCGAGGGCCTGAAAGCGCGTTTTGAAGCTCTTGGCGACCAGCCCGGCTTCATGGGCCCCTTGGTCGACAAGGCTCAATTTGACCGCGTCACAGGTTACCTCGAGGTCGGCAAAAAGGAGGCTGAGCTCATCACCGGAGGCTCGCAGAAGGGCAAAAATGGCTTCTTCATCCAGCCTACAATATTCTTGAATCCTGCCGAAGACGCGCGGATCTACCGTGAGGAGATCTTCGGCCCAGTCATCACCATCAAAACATTCAAGACGGAGGAAGAGGTGGTGAGAATGGCGAATGATACTGAGTACGGACTGGCCGGTGAGTGATACCTTTTTGGGTGCTGAGGGTGGATTGCTAATGAGAGGATAGCGTATATTTTCACGAGCGTACTTAGTCGCGCGCTGCGCATTGCAGGCAAACTAGAGTCGGGCTTAGTGAATATCAACACGTCGACGGCATTTGCGATGTCTGTGCCTTTTGGAGGTTCCAAGCAGAGCGGTGTTGGGAGAGAGTCTGGTAAGGCGGGGCTTTTGGCGTTCATGGAACCTAAGACTATTCTGATCAAGTAAGTCTCGACAAAGTTGCTCTCTGAAGAACAAGGCAAAGCTAATGAGATCGTAGCATGAACATTTGATAGGCGAGTACGTTTATGCGACTATAGCTGGAGTTCGACACGTGATATCTAGCAATTTAGGGTTATCGCTTGACCCACTTCCGAATTGCTACCTGATGTTTAAAATTCCTCTATGAAAACTTGATTCCTTCGCCATACGTGTTGCTCATAAATACTGAAAAAACGAAAGGACGAAGCTTAGTTCTTCATAACATGTGAACGCTTTGTGCAGAGGCTCATAGATGAAAGGCTAAGCCCCATGTAGAAGGTCCACCCGACGACCGCCCTCATTCCGTCAGACCTCCGCCTACGAACATCCCCTCCTTTCTATGACCAACCAGTTAGTATCGGACAGATAGTAAGTTGCCGAGTTCACCATGAGGCCCAGACGCCATCATTGGACTTCTTCCAAACCTTGCAGAGCCTGTCATCGAGGAGAGAAGGTCCACGCGATATCACTTAACGCCCCTCCTTACTTCCACCTTGAGTCAATGCAGTCCTCTTCCTTTATCCATTCGATGACAGTATTATTCTGATAGGATATCTTAACCCCACAGCGGTGATCATTACGAAAGTCATCGACTTAGTTCTGCCCACGCCCTATCATGGACTAATGTGCGCCGGACACTCCATGCCGCAAAAGCAAACAGCTGGTCGATTCATATATAAGACCCGAATGTCCCCAAACAAGATTTTGAATTCCCAACCTAGTTTGCCGCAGCCTGAAAGTCTCGTTTTGCAACGATGGCACCTCATCCACTTAGCACATTGTCCATCGAGGAGACTCGTAGAGCACGAGATGTCGTTCTTGCATCTCACGCTGGTGCAGTCGTCGACTTCCGTGAGATATTCCTCCAAGAACCTGTGAAGGAAGACGTCAAGAGATATTTAGATCTGGAACACTCTGCCCGCCTATCACCAACATCACCTCGTCCACCTCGCCTTGCAAAATGCCAGTACGATATCATTGGTAGCGACAGGGTTCCAGAGTACCACGAATCGATCGTCGATGTAGAGTTAAAGAGGCGAGTGAAGCATGAAGTCATCGGAAAAGAGCACCAAGCAGGTTTGACTCTTTGGGAATTCGACACGCTTGTCAATGCCTGCAAGGCCTCGCCTCTATTCCAGGAAGCCATTGCCGCACTCAAACTGCCAGAGGGCTTTGAGCTTGTAGTCGAGCCGTGGCCGTATGGTGGGATGGACCTTGAGCATGAAAACAAGCGTTACTTTCAAGGATTGTGCTTTGCCCAGGACACGCGGTCGAAGAATGTGGATTCGAATTTTTACGCCTTTCCTCTGCCATTGATTCCGATCATGGATGCTCATAAAAAAGAAATCGTTCGAATCGACAAACTTGCCACTGGCGGGAAGGGTGATGGCCTTTCGGAGAAAACACATTCAGAGAAAATCATCGGCCATTGCCAGACATCGGAGTACGTACCGGAGCTGTTAGAAAAGGGTACTCGAAAAGATCTCAAGGCACTCAACGTGCTTCAACCAGATGGGCCATCATTTAAAGTTTCAAATGAAAACCTGATCGAATGGCAAAAGTGGAGATTCAGGGTTTCCTTCAACCCGCGCGAGGGAGCTGTTATCCACGATGTCCACTACGACGGAAGGAGTATTCTTTACCGGCTAAGCATCAGCGAGATGACCGTTCCATACGCCGATCCTCGACCTCCGTTCCACCGGAAGCAAGCATTCGACTTCGGAGATGGTGGAGCAGGCAATTGCGCGAACAACCTCTCTCTTGGCTGTGACTGTCTCGGCGTCATCAAATACTTCGATGGCGTCGTCATCAGCTCAGATGGAGAGCCAGAAAACCATCCTAACGTTATTTGCCTCCACGAGCAGGACAACGGAATTGGATGGAAACATACCAACTGGAGGACTGGACGTGCAGTAGTAACTCGCAATCGCGAGCTTGTCGTCCAATTCATCATTACTCTGGCCAACTACGAGTACGTCTTCGCGTACAAGTTTGATCAGTCTGGAGGTATCACAATCGAGACCCGAGCTACCGGCATTGTCAGCGTGGTCAATATCGACCCAGGAAAGACCAGCAACTATGGGAACGTTGTCTCTGGAGGTGTGCTTGCCCAGAACCACCAACATATCTTCTGCGCGCGTATTGATCCAGCCATCGATGGCCACAACAACACCGTCTTACATGAGGAATCGCACACTATGCCTTGGGACCAAGCCACAAATCCCCATGGAAACCTCTACGAAGTACGCAAGACGACCGTCCATCGTTCTGCCGGCCTAGACGCGGCCCCACAACACAACCGCACCTTCAAGATCATCAATCCGAACAAGACAAACCCCGTCAGCGGAAATCCTGTGGGCTACAAGTTCGTCCCACCCCCAACGCAAAAGCTTCTCGCATCCCCGGGTTCCATCCAGGCTCAAAGAGCGCTCTTCGCGCAACACCACGTCTGGGTAACCAAGTACAAGGATAATGAGCTCTATGCCGGGGGCCGCTTCACGCTGCAAAGCCAACTCGAGGTCGACGGCGTGTCGGACGCGGCGAAGAGGAACGATCCGGTGACAAATGAGGATGTAGTTATATGGAGTGTCTTTGGGCTTACGCATAATCCTAGGGTTGAGGACTGGCCTGTGATGTGAGTTCTTCTGTATGGGACTTAAAAGATCTCTTGCTAATGTTCACGTGCATCAGGCCCGCCGATATATTCCAGGTGAACTTCCGGCCATCAGATTTCTTCACAGCGAATCCATCTATCGATGTGCCCTCCACCAAAAACTTGTCGTCGCAGCTCGCGACGAGTGAGTCATGCTGTGCGGAGCCGGGGAAGCTATGAGTATGGGATGGGTGAGGTTGATGAGTCAAGGATACAGAGACCGGCCACAAGTCTATGCACGCCCGTTTGCCACTGCTTGGGGTGCCCCGAAGGGCTTTTAGATCTCCAAATGTGCTGTCAAGGTCGAGGTAGTGGATATTAGGCTGCACCTTCACCAACTGACCACCTGTTAGCCAGGGCACCCTCACAGCGGTGTCAAGTGGGCAAGATTGGAGCCGAGCAGCGACGAATCCATGTGCCCAGACTTATAGCCTAGTACTATATTAGTAGACATGTATGAATCTTCTTTTCTGGGTTTCTGCACTCGTGGTCCGTGTGTAATCCTATGCCATTGCTTGTATTGCTCCGACGATATTTCTAGAGTCTAGACCTGAATGTTGATATAGTGATGTATGCCTGAACAGTAGCCTCAATGAAGCGAGTCGTGACGCTGAAAGAAAGCCAAGTATTAGTATTAGGATTAGTATGCCCTCTGAGGAAACAGCATAGATCTTCCATTTTCGAACGGAATACGTGATAGATTTGAAGGTATCACGTGACCCGATTGCCGGCGCTAAGAAACCGGCAGCACACCGCTCCCTGTCCTGCATCACAGTCACAAGCCTACAAAGGTGCCCTTCAAAAGTTTCCGCCGCGCTAACGCGACGCTAAGAGGGCGCTAGAGGGACGCTAGTCCTCTGAGTGGCTGGCACTACTTCGGCAATCGAAAAATCTTCCACGTTAGTGCCAAGAAGCCCCTCCAACACCTCTACACTCCACTTTGTAGCTACGCAGAAATCCTCCAAATACAAACAGAACAACCCCAAATCAATGCACGACGTTGCTACGCGGGCGCAGGCCCTAACGCTCAAGTCCTTGGGCATTCCTAATGGCGAAATCGAACGAATTACGGGCATTAAACCCCGCACGCTTCGAGACCTATGGCAGAAGGCCTTCTCACGCGGATTCGACCCGAACGCGCCTAAGATTCTTGATAGCTACGTAGAGGATGCACCTCGTTCTGGCCGCCCACTTCTTCAGACACCGAGGAAGACAGCAAGGCTTCAAAAGCTCGTCTCAAAGAATTGATCTACAAGAGAATTGAACACGGATCAATTAGGTGCTGCAATTGGTGTTTCGGGCTCAACAGTATGGCGAATCCTACGGCGCGGCCTTAATATGCGGAAGACTAAGCCCACAAGGAAACCCGGGCTACAGAAGTGGATGAAAGAAGAGCGCCTACGGTGGTGCCTTGATCATCAATACTGGACATTGGAGGACTGGAAGAACGTTATTTGGAGCGATGAGACGTCTGTAGTTATCGGCCAGCGTCGTGGGGGGTATCGCATATGGCGCATGCCAGAGGAGAGGTTTACTCGCTCTACAATGCAAGAGCGCTGGAAGGGCTATCAAGAGTTTATGTTCTGGGGGTGTTTCTCATATGATAAGAAGGGGCCATGCCATATCTGGCACCCGGAAACCGCTAAGGAACGTCGCCAGGCTGACGAAGAGCTTGCTATTCTCAACGCCGAACTTGAACCTATTGCGAAGGCCAGATGGGAGTTAAATATGGCTATGCGCCGCCTTGGAGCCACGCGCAACCGGGGGGGCAGGAAGCCGACGTGGAAGTTTACAGAGGAGAATGGAAAGCTCACAAGAGGAAGCGGAAAGGGTGTGGATTGGTACCGCTATATGACGTATATATTGAAGCCAAAGCTACTCCCCTTTGCATTGGAATGCGCCCGAGAGAGGCCACGTACGGTTGTACAGGAAGATCGCGCTCCCGCGCACGCCCATCAACACCAAGGCCACGTCTATAGCGCTGCGAACGTCCAGCGGCTTCTTTGGGTTCCAAATTCGCCCGATCTCAATGCAATTGAGCCAGCGTGGCCTCACCTCAAGCGTACAACTACAAGGAAGAGCGCGCCAAAATCTGGCGCAGCAATGGGCAGGGCATGGCGGGGTGCCTGGCGCGAATTAGAACAGTGGAGAATACAGGCCTGGATTGAGCGGATTCCACGACATATACAAGAGATTATTAAGCTAGAGGGCGGCAATGAATACAAAGAGGGCGCCGCCGAGAAACCACGTTGTTTGAAGAAGCCAGACGACTGGGTAGACATAGAAGACAACTGGGTAGACGTAGAGGACGACGTTAGCATTGCAGGAACCTCAACACCAAGCCAAGGATCACCAAAAGCACGCCTACGGAGGCACAAGGAACGGGCTGAGGAAGAGGCCTTGGGCGGCCCGTCCATCTACAAGACCGGAGAGGCATCAAAAACAGGCAGGCCTACAGCGAAAACGGATGGCCGAGCTGTCACGTTCCAGACAAGCGATCCTCCAGCTACGCAGACGGCGTTGCCGTACGAGCTACCTGGCGCGCCACGGCGTACTCGATCAGCTACTGCAGCAGCAACAGGCCAGACTCCTCAATTAGCTGTAGAAACAGTGCAGCTAGCAGTCTCGGACGTTCTAGCCGAGCGCTCTACACAAGCGCAGGCCGGCAGGAGGGGCAGAAGCAAGGGCAAGGGCAAGGCTACAGCTAGCTCAACACCAAATATATGATATACTAGATGCCAGAATATGCTCACAAGACAGAATTGTATATAAAAACGGGTGCAAGAGGTCTACAAGCGCATCAGGAGGAATTTGGTGGCGTTTTGTGGCGTCACGCTAATTTAGCGCGGCGGAAACTTTTGAAGGGCACCTTTGTACATACGCACCTTTACCATTGTTCAGAGCACCTCACTACAATCTCAAATCTTGGTCCACAGTAAGCGGCGAGTTCTAGCGTGCGAGTGCCAACCTTCCTTGAGCAAAATACAAATCCGTGCGAAACTCCCATTCCCTCTAGGTTTCTGGGCTTGTGTACGCATCCCAGCACTGCTCAAAGTCCTCTGGTACCTCTCTAAAACTTGTAAATCGACCGTTTTGGCAAGCCTGGTAGCTTTACAGGCTACTCCAGACGGTGCCAAGTGAGGATGGCGCAAGCTCTGCCGCGACGAAGAGGGCCACCGCGAACTCTTCCGAATGAGATTCTTCTCGAGATTTTCTCTTTCGTCGGACGGAACCAACCACGCTTGGCGACTCTCAGAAGCATTGCCCTCGCATCTCGAACCTTCAAAGATCTCGTCACCCCAATTCTTTACTCGACATTCTCGGCACTAGAATATGCCCCCGACAGAGACAACTTAACGGCGCCAATGTGCTTCTTCCTCCGCACTCTTATCGAGAGCCCCCGTTTGGTAAAACATGTAAAAGACTTCAAATGGGAAATTTGCAACCAGCTCGATGCCGAAAAAGCGCTTTCTGCAGCCGAATTCGAACAAGTATTTCAAAAAGCGCGTGATCTAAACCTTCACCTCAACACGCCTTTCTGGAACATACTGATGGATATGAAAGATGCAACTCGCGATATGGATCCCCTCGTCGCGATTCTGCTCCACCTCTTACCTAATCTTGAGAAACTGAGCCTGACTATGGTGACTATCGAGGATGGATTCCCTGAATACTTGTATCCCAGACCAGGTGGTGTCTTAACAATTGACACCCTCACTAAAGTTCGAGCACTGCGACTTGACGCTGAAGATAACATGGGGGATTTCGTAGACCTCATGCCATGGCTTCAACTCCCATCACAAACAGCGTTGAGCTTAGGAGCGATAGCTCTCGATATCAATGTCCCTACGCTAGGTCCCTTAAACCTAACATCAATCAACATCGAAGGTGGTTTTGTAGAGCAACCGTGCTTGGAAGGCTTGCTCAAATCATGCCAGAAGCTGAAGTCATTCAGCTACGAAATCGATGCATTAGGAAGGCCAGAGGAAAATGCAGCTACTCCCGAAGAGATGCTTATCACTGTTCGCGAGCATGCTAGCGATACTCTAGTGGAGCTGAAGCTGCGTCTAATTGACCCGGACCCAGACAGCGATGCTCACTGGGATTGGGACGACATCACGGAATGGGACTTCGCATTTCGCGGGCTGAAGAACCTCAAAGTGCTCGAAATCGACGCTCCGTTCATTCTTGGGACAGACGAGTATATCCGGACAGATATCCACTTGACTGAGGTTTTACCACCGAGCATCACTGAACTGCGGCTTCACGTATGTGGTCAACGCGTATTGGAGGAAATCGGAGATCTTGCACGAGTCACCCGATTGGTTTACCCAGCTTTGGATCACGTCGATATCGACAGCTTCAAGACGTTCTTCTGGACTCCTGCGTATCTGAAAGATGTCCAAAAAAGGTTCCGCACAGCAGATGTGGCGTTTGATTATTCTTTCGACTATGATTACTATTTCTCTCCAAGTTATGAGGGTGATCTTTGCCGTGCATACGATTTTGCCCGTGAGTGGGCCAGCCCAGCTCTTTCCGGTCTTATGGAGGTGCTCATATCAGAAAAGGAATCTGAGTAGCGGAGGTAACCGTGATGTCCGGTCCGAGAACACATATTTCTTACACGTTTCTGACATCTCTTCGGGCTCCAGAGAATTTTCGGTCATGTAAAGCAGATTCAAATCCATCCTTTTGACATTCCTGAAACCTAACCAAGAACCCTCAGGCGGTTGCTGACAGTGGTACACGGATCGGACTTTCGACTGCGTGCTCTAGACCTGTACAACAACTCACAAGTGGTGTCAAAGAGATGCAAGGAAACCGTCCCAGTACAGTATTAGACCTTAGCTTGTGATCTTACTTCAAGGTACGAAAGATTCTCTGAGTACATTGAACTGGTATCAATCGTCTGTATCGCTGTCCGAAAAGAAAAACCTAGTGGGCTCATGGGACATAAAGGCGTTGCGTGCGACGGTGAAATCTCCCTCATAAAACCCCTCGAAAGGGTATTCCTCCGAATTATCATATTCGAACCGCACATTTGTCTTTCGAAATCTCCTTCGAGCATCCCTGAAGAATGAGGTGGTGAAGAAGAACTGCTTGAAGCTATTGATCTCCACGAACCTTAGATTAGGATATACAGGTCGGGCAGTTCTTGCTCTCGCTAATTCGCCTATTTGTTCTTGGATGTACATCCCACATGCATGTAGTCGTAGCTCAGCGATGGTCGGTGGTAGGACTTCAAGCAGTCGTGGGACTATCTTAGACGATATCCCTTCGTGTGACTCCTTGAAATGCTGGTCTGTTCCAACGATGAACGGAGAATCAATCTCGAGATATTTCAGTTTCTCAAAGCAGCACAGTGAGAAGTCGTAGGCCAACGCATCGGACAAATCCCACTGACTGTTGTCTGAGTACTCGTTGTTACTGTAGTACCGTACATTTAGACTTTCCAAGCTTTTACCAGCGTGCTCGCGCAGACCCTCGAGAACCTCGTCGGGGGTTGCCGTGTCCTCCTCTTGATATATGTTCGGTTCAAATTGGTACCGGAAGGACTTTAAGTTTTCGCAGCTCTCCAAGATATTGTCTAGAGCGGAGGAAGACATGGCACCATTCAGATCGAACGATGTCAAGTTTGAGACATCGAGTATAAGGTCGTAGTCAATAGAGAATGAGGCTGCTTCAAATGTGGTGATCGAGGGAAGCCTAAGCCATGGCGCAATCCACACGTCCACCATATTCGTAGATCGGCCAGTAAACTCGATTCTCAACTTCTGAAGGTTGGTGAGAATATTGCCTAACAGGGCGCCATCTGGTTTTGGAAGCAAATTCGTGGGAAACATGTCGTCCCATAGCTCAAAGTAGAGTTCTTCAAGCTTAGGTAAGAAATGAAGTAGCACCGCGGTAAGTGAGATTTGGCTGTCGCCATTCCTTGAGGTCAGCCCATTCCAGAAGGGTTTATCGAGGTCAAGCATCAAGATGCGAGCTTTCCGAAAGATAAACTCGAGGTCTTCGTCAGAAAGCGGATTACTGTGCCATTGGGAGGAAATTCCCAGCTAGACAACCCGGACATAATCTCCTAGGTGCGGGTTTTCGAGAAGGGTTCTGAGAAAGAGCGGCTCCCTGTTGATCAGTTGACCGTCTTCAATAACCTGAAATCGATAGTAGAGGAACGGTGTAGCGAGATCGTAGAAGCAGCGAGAGGCAAGCGTAATGCTTCGAAGAGTTGGCGTACAACGATCCTTCCATGGTTTCGGTTCATGTCGAAACTGCAAGTATGAAAACACATGAATGAGCAGTTCGTTTGGGAGAGTTAGGTGTGATATCGTCTGCTGGGACATCTCTGGATGAGCAGAAGCCATCCCGAGAGGTTTAGAGAGAGGCCAGGCAAGCTAATCGTAGTGTTGACCTGGGAGGTTGTCTGCTGAAAGTTGGGCCCGTTGGGTCTGGCGGACTGCGGGGTTGGCACGGTGCAGCCATGAAAGAGAGTGGATAAAGTATGCCGTACCACGGAACGACATCAAAATTCTATCCGTTAATCACACTCCTCTTCACGGCCTCTCTGGCAGGAAACTAGCATCCTTCTTCCATCATGATGTCTTCCAAAGACGAAAGACTGTCTCAAGAAGCGAATTTGCCCAAGAAAGAAAAGCCCTCCATAAGGGGAAAGCTCGCCCTGCGCAGAGCGAAGAGAACGCCCCAACGACAAAAGGAAATCGATGCTCGTCGCCGAGAACGAGAGAAAAAGCTAGCTAAAGAGGAAAAGCCATCCACGGGGGAGAAGCGGGCCTTGCTCAAAGCGAAGAGGGCGCCTCAGCGACAAGAGGAACTCGATGCTCGTCGCCGAGAGCGAAAAGAAAAACTAGCTAACAAAGAAAATCTGCCCAAGGAGGAAGCTCTGCCCAGCAAGGAAGATCTGCCCAAGAAGGAAAAGCCATCCAGAAAAGAAAAGATAACTCTGCGCAAAGCAAAGAGAACGCCTCAACGACAACAGGAACTCGATACTCGACGCCAAGAGCGAGCAAAGGCAAAAGCTAAGCGAAAACAGCTCAAGTTTGATCTCCAAAATAGGCAAGCTGCTGAAGCCAAGATTGAACGTAAGAAAGAACGTCAGGAGAGGAAGGCTGCATCAATTGGAGTTCTTCCGGAAGAGCTACTTCTCAAGGTCTTCTCGTACGTCCAGGACTTTCAACCACGACTATCAACACTCGCGAGCATTGCGCTTGTCTCTCGCCCTTTGCGCAAACTTGTTACACCAATACTCTACTCGAAATACTCCGACTCCGAAGCCAGATCTGCGTCCTATCGAGAACCTAAGAACAAGCCGAACAGAACATGTCTCTTCTTTCGCACCATTCTTAAATTCCCGAACCTTGCTGAACATGTCAAGACCGCTGAGTTGGAATTCTCCTCCGAGGATAGGCTTGGACCAGAACGCAGTCTGGACGCCGAACGCGTGCTTCAAACAGCATGTAGCCGGTTGCTTCCGCTAGATGGGCCCTTCTGGGCAGATCAAGCAAACAACCAGAGTATGGACACGATCACTGCTGCCATACTATACTTCTTACCGAAGCTTGAATCCTTGTCGCTTTATCTGTCAGATGAGGAGTTTTCTGTGCATCCTATCCTTGATGCCGTCGTATCGGACCGGAATGGGAGGGTTGTTCTCGCCAACCTTCAGAAGCTGAGAATCGAAGCTTGTGATAATTTCGATCTCAATTACATGGACATCGGGCCCTGGCTTCGACTGCCCTCTCTCACAAACTTCACGGGAGAGTTCATCAGCGTCGGAAGCGATGTGTCGACGTCGGGTCATCCGAATCTAACGTCAGTCTCGATATCTGAAGGCGCCATCCGAAAGCCATTTCTAGGAAACCTTCTAGGCTCGGGCTGCAAACTGGAGTCGTTCAGCTACGTATTCAACACAAATGGAGCTGTTCTAGATGGCGGATGGGCTACTCCTTTCGAAATCATCTACGCTCTGCGCGGCAACGCTAGCGACAGCCTGACTAGTCTGGAAATATGCTGCCCTGCTTACGAAGAAGAAATACCAGCTTCCTGGAACCCTTCCATGACCGTATTCAAGAAGCTTGAATGCCTCAAGATCGACGGATGCCTTCTTCCACAGCCAACTTTCAAACTGCCACGTTCCATCAAAGAGCTACACTTGCATGACTGCTACCCATATTTCACAGAGCGCGTCGAGAAGTTGACAAATGCCATCAAGTTGGCCCATCCCGCTCTGGGATCTTCCGGATTCACGTTAGCTCCGTGCCCCAGCGAGAGCTCTAGGCGTTAACGCTTCCAAAAACCTAACGGCTTCATATGGCAAAAGTTCCTCGAAATATTACATGTCATATCATGCAGATTAGTAATGTAAGGTGTCTCTTCCAGTGCCACTTTTCTCCTCAATACATTTCAATGTTCTGCAAGAGACGTGTGGTGTACCGTCAAATCTGCAAACCACGCCGTCTGAGGTGACCTGGCGTTGTCACTGCTCGCTCAAAAACACAAAAGTTCATTTCAGTCTAATATTCAATAAAATGTAGAAGCACGTTCGACGGCGGGAAAACAGATGTACATAAGCCAATAGCAAGGTCATTAAGCAGGTTTGCACGCCCTTCAAATCTGTGTCGTCCGGAACGTGACGTACACATTTTCGAATTCTCCCACCCCGGGAGTGTCTTCAGGCGCTGTCAGGCCCGCAAAACGAACGCTCATATGGCCCAATATCGCACGGGCGAGAAAACACGTGCCTTGGGCATGGCGACATGACGAAGGTCTGATCTGCGTCCACTAAAGAAGCTTTAGGACTGGCTAATTGTAGTCTTCAGGAGTTCTCTCACAGCTGTGCAGCTAGATCACGACCATGCGGATTCATCTAAAGTTTGCGATTTTAATAATGTGCCGGAGGACCTCCGACGGCGTCGAACGGGTCTACGGAAGGTAGCTTGCGGATCAGTAAGATTTGCTCTTCCAGACAAATTACATCATATCTGGATCTTTTCACTCGCGTTGGAGCACCTCACACAGCGCCACCCATATTTGTTAAACCGCAGAGAACCAAATTCTCAGTTCAACGTGACCATTATTCAAGCTTACAGTATCGCCATTATAATTAAGTAAACCGTCCTTGAACCGACCGCGAATTAGCCCGGCGGGATCAAGCCTGCCAACATGACTGTTGAATGAAGAATGAATCTGTGGTATCATTTTGAGGCGCCCCTGAACCCGTATATTACAAAGCCCCAACGTCATGACCAAATAACTAGCCTGTATGTCCTACAGCTCAGTCGCTATCATCATCGCTCCCGTAACCCACCAGAGGCCCCACGGCTGGCGCGGGCTTCTTCGCCGTGGTCGCAGAGTAACCCTTCAGCGCTGCTAACGTCGAACCCGAGAGTATCCCGTTCCCACCACTCGCATTCCCTTGCGCCTGTGCTCCCGACTCCGCAGGAGCTTCGATATACTTCTGCTCCTCAGGCCCATCCAGCAACTGCCCGTCCGCCGCCGCCTCCAACGCCGCCTTCTCCTTCGCATACCACACATCATCCGGCGCCTCATAGCCCTGTAACCCAAAACTCCCCTCAATCTTCCTCCGCTTCTTCTGCTCTGGATCCCTCCCCTCAATCTCCGCCACATAGTCAGCTGGCAGCGCCCGCCGAATCGCCTCGGCCGCCTGCTCCTCTATCCGCCGCGCTTCTCGCTTCTGTGCCTGCGGATTCGGATCCATCGTGGCCCACCTGACATTCAAAATTTCCGCATGATCAAGTGCCTGATGCGCCATAGCTTCTTTTGCAAACTGAGCGTTCGCTTCGTTGGTATAGGTCACGAAGCCCACACCTCGTGCTGTGAGCACCCGTATGCGATCCACCTGGCCCCACTCATTGAAGTGCCGCGCAACGATCTCCTCTATGTCGTCCGTGACGTGGATGCGGCCGACGTAGAGTGTGCGATTCTGCCGTAGGAAGCTCCCCACACCACCCATGTCATCGCGGTAGTCGGAGAACTTGTCGCGCCCGAAACAATCCACATTCGGGTTGAAGATGTCGTGGATCCCCGGCAAGCGGTGCAGGTATTGGCATTCCTGGCCGTTGGGGCATAGGCCGCGCGCGAAGAAGAGGCAGAAGTAGCTGCCGGGTGTCGAGTCGGCTTTGGTGAAGCCGGAGTCGCGGGCGACGTTGCAGCGCGAGGGCGCGGCGGTTTTGGAGAGGTAGGCGTCCTCGCGGTCGCCGCCGCTCCATTTATTGTACCAGATGTTGAAGATTGTGCCGGTGGGTGGGGGTTTCTCGCTCTTGAAGGTGGCGGGGTCGACTTGGGGCCGGGCGGGACGCCGCTTTTTGCGGATTATCTTCTTGACTTTTTTCGAAGGGGCGGTGGTGAGGGCGGTTTGGGGTTCTGGAGAGGCCTCTTCTGGGAGCGAGGTGGAGGTGGCGACGGGCTCATCATCGACGGTGATGGTTTCTACAATATCAGCCATGGTGGGCGTTTCGTGAGGTTGAGAGGGTATGGCGTGTATAAGGGTCTGAAGTGAAAGTCGCAGGTGAAGCTTGGCGCAGTCGGATTTTGATCGGATCGCTTTGTGGCTCGTGCACCGATCGTCACGTGTAACTACCTTAAGTATCATCCACCTATCCTTCAGTTCACTCATTAATTCCGAAAACTAGCAAATGCGTAGTTTGATTACAGAAGTACTCTTCTTAATCGCTGGAGAATATTTATGAATTCATGCACGCTAAGATGACGACCAACCATCACGCAGGAAACACTTCGGTCTACTATCATAGGAGGTATGATATTCTCCCTCTCCATATTGGATGAGCTTTGATATCGCAGAGTTGAGAGAAATGCCTTCAAATCGAGCACCTGACGTCAAGCGTCATCACCACTCCGCCGGCGCCACGTGAGCATCCCCACACATCCCATGTCTTCACCCTCCAATCTCAAACGCCACAGAGTCCAGACCCTCGTATCCCCTCGCACATCCACCCACCGCTCAATCCTTCCCCCCGACCCCAAACTCCTCCTGCACTTCCTTGATCCTGACCCCGCGCTGGTCTGCCAGTAGCCCCATAAGCCCCTGCCCGATGTCCTTGATCTCATTATAGGTGTGCAGGAGCTTGATGTGGGTGGTTATGAGGTCTTTGGCGATGGGGAGGACGGTTGAGGGGTCCGGGCCGACGGAATTGGAGCTGGAGGGGGATTGTCGGAGCAGGGGGGAGATGGTGGGGAGGGCGGCGAAGGTGGCGAGGAGGCCGTCGCGTTCGGCGGTTAGGGTTGTGAGGGTGGTGGCTGGGTCGGATTTGAGGGACTTGGTGGTTTTCTGGGAAGGTTAGATGGTGGAGGTGAGTGGTGTGGGGAGGTGCTTACTTGGGGAGTGGTCTTGCTCATTGGAGATGATGAGCTGGCGTGGGATAAGTCTTCGTAGGTAGTTGATGCTGTATGGGTAGGAGTTTCGTTTTGAGTGACTGGTTCTTCGGGAGCATTAGGTGCTTCTGCTGTTGAGGTAGTAGTGGACTGATCATCAGTTTGCATGTCCTCCACAAGTGATGCCTGGTCTTCAACTCGAGTAGCTGAATTTGAGTCCAGTTCTTGTCCATCAAGTGGCAGCATAGCTGGAATGCTCTGAAGATGCTCCACAGGAGCTGGTTCTTCCGGGGCTGATGGTGCTTCTACTGCTGAGGCTGTAGCGGAGTGGCCATCTTGAACCATATCATCCGCGAGCGATGCCTGTTCTTCTCTTCGAACTACCAAGGGCGAATCCGATACGTGTTGATCCATTGGCATCAGAGATGAGCTTTCCTGGGGATCTTCTTCTGGAGCAGTTCGTTCTTCTGTAGCTGTCGGTTGTTGTGCTGTCGGACTGACAATGGACTGATCATTAGTTGACACGCCTTTTTCGAGCACTTTTTCGTCTTTTGGAAGAGTGACCGAGTTTGTATCTGATACTTGTTCATCTCTTGGCTCGATAGCAGACGCTGGTTGAGCTTCGACTGGGAGTTCGGATACTTCCGCCGATGCTGTGCTAGAACCCAGCTTTATGTCGCCTACGTTTTCGGGAGAAGAAGCCAACAGGTCGTCTTCAGAGTCTGGTACTTCCGTTTTGTCCGCATATTTGGAGCTCTTTCCGGGCATGTTGAAGACGGAGGGCTACCACAGGGAGGTGCGATCAGGTCAGTAGTGATGCGGGTTAATTTCAGTTGAACAATCTTAAAAACGGGAATTGGAATATCTGCTGCACACACGGCATATATCGCAATGAAGCTGGGCAAGTACCGTTGCGACCCCAATGAGGCAGTCCGCGATGTGGTTGAGGTCTCGGAGGCTCGGCCGGCGCAACAGCGGGTCGAACGATACAAACGGCAAGTCTGGTCAATAACGCATGAACAAAGCCCCGGCCGAAACACCACTCACCAAGCTCCGTTTCAACCTTCCCTGCGCTACAGTGGGCCCGCCGACGAGTCCTACGACCCGGCGAATGTGTTTATACGCGTGAACACCCCCGATCCTCCGCACCTGTTGCTTCAACCGTCTCAGCCCTCACCACCACGGCCACGGCCCCCTCCACAATGACGACAACGTTCAGAGCCTGGACATCTCTCGGCGTCGCTGCTTCGTGCCTCTTGGTAACAGTTGCTGCGCATGAGCATCATGAGGATAAGATCGAGGAGGGCCATGCTGTCTCCGCCGACCCTATCGTACGTTGAAGATGCTACCAAAGGGATGCAACAAGAGCGCCGGATGCTGACGGAAACGTAGGATTCGATACTATGGGTTCATATCCTAATGCAGACGCTTGCTTGGGGCATATTATTTCCTACGGGAATGGTCCTCGGGGTATGTTTTCTACCGGCGCAAACAGCTACAATCCCATCTAATCCATCTTCCCCAGATGATCCGCTCGCGATGGCACGTCCCAGTTCAAACCACCGGCTCCGTTCTCGCTGTTATAGGATACTTGCTTGGACACAAACACAAGGGTCGCCAATTCACACACAACATCCACGCCGCTTTCGCCCCGACTCTGATGCTGTCCCTGGTCCTCCAGGTGGCAATGGGTGTATACCTGAAGCTCCATCTCGAGAAGGGAATCCATGCTCGGATACGGAGAATCGTAGTTCTCTGTCATGGCGTCATAGGGAAGATGATGCCAGTCGCCACCTGGGTCCAGATGGTATTCGGAGGTATCACGGCGATGGGATACTGTCGGGGGGACCACCTTGGACAATGTCTGGCGCACTTCATCATGGGCAGCGCATTCATCGGCTACGGAATCATCATGACAATCCTCCTCCTCGTCGGCCAGATATGGCTCAAGCGCTCCGGACGCAGCCAGGAGTTCTTCGACTCCCTCGTCATTGCTGCGTGGGGCTGTGTGAACACATTCACGGAGCACAGGTGGGGCCAGGCATGGGTGCACAACGACCTCCAGCATACGTCGATGGGCATAATCTGGTGGTGTGCAGGACTCTTGGGTGTCTGGCTTAGTAGGAAGAGAAACGGAAGGCCAAAGCGAAATATCATCCCAGGCATGATCATCCTGATCACTGGCTATGGTATGTCGGCCCATCCTCAGAACCTGCCGCTGTCTACCATGGTCCATACATTATTTGGCTACACGCTCATGGGCGCTGGTATTACCCGAATCATCGAGGTTGCGTTCGTCCTCAAAGATGGCAACGCAACCACCCAGGACGGCTCGGACCCAAACAGCTTCCAATATCTTCCCCCATTCGTAAGTTTTCTCACCACCCCACACCTCCGTTCCTATTACTAACGCCACCCAGCTCCTCTATGCCTCCGGCTTCCTTTTCATGGGCGCCACAGAAGAACAAATGCAGCTCCTCTCCGACGCCGGCGTGACGCACGTCTCCTATGTTTTCATCCTCTACAGCATCGCTTTCCTGCTATTCCTCTTCGTTAACATGCTCCTCCACCTCTACGCCGTCTCCACATGGGACGAGACTTCGAAGTCAGACCCAGAAGCACCGCGGACGAATGGCTTGGCGAACGGCCATGCCAGGGCTACGGATCACCGCAGAGTCCGGGATGCGGAGGAGTTCGAGCTTGCGGGACTCATGTCGGATGATGAGGAGCCGGAGACGCCGGTCGCTGCGAAGGGGAGGCATGAGGGATGAGTGGATGATGTGTGATATTGGGAATCGCTCTTTAGTCTTTGCATGGATGGCGTTGGAGGGTCGTACCGAATTGGTATTGGGGTAGGTTGGGGAGGTTGGAAAGCTGGCTAGTGGGTAACTGGACGGTTAATCCCAGACGACTCATTAAAGAAGAAGAAACACGGTCCATTCCTATTCAACGTCACGTATTCACAAACCTTACTCGTTATCATGCCGTCCCATTCCTATCTATAAATTGCTGAAGGGAAAAGTTAGTCATGTGGCGGCGCTCACGCTTCTCGATTTCCCGAGGTCCAGATAGATGCTCATTCGTCAAGACCTCCGCCGATATCAGGCATCGATCACATGCATGCCTCGTGTGCTTCACGAGTCCGCACGGGCCTCTGTCTCATTTCTTCTATAAAACTCCAATCCCCGCTGCCAACCTGTCTTCTTTTCTTCATGGGGTCGAAACAGTGGAGGGGGATAAACACGTACTCCGAGAGAACTCGATGCTTGCGTGTGCCTCTGCAGCAAAATCGAAATTTGCTGCGATTCAAGCAATGGTGGTGGATTTGGTGGGGTGTTCAACTCCTTGTATTGGTTCCTGTCATGGAGTGGTGGGGATGTGGTGCAAGAACGTCTCCTGGAAGGCAAAATGGAGTGGTGGAGGAGGGTGGTGGATCAACAAGATCGATCCCAACTTGCGATGCAAAACGGGTTCGTCGCGAACAACGATGGAGTGGAGTGGCGGGTTTGGCGCTCAGGATAAGGAGAGGTGTGATGATGCTCACTGACATGCGGGCTTGGAGATGATGGGTGTATTTTTGAGGTGGTGTTCAGGGGTTGGAGGTAGTAGAGGATATTGGCGGTGAGATGGGTCAGCATCATTGTCCTTTGACATCGTTGTTCGGGACGTTTGAGATGCGAGTAGACTCAGAAATGAGTTCGACGACTTCATCATAGTTCGCCTGGTTATTGGTAGTTCCCATCCCATTGTTAATCTTCTCACTATATCTCATCTCATCTCATCTCATCCCTCCTCATATTTGCATGCATCCCACAGCACATTCCATATCTCATCTCATCCCATCTCAACCCCAATCAGCTCCTTCGCCCTTTTCTCAAGGCAAGGACAACCAGTCTCAGCTTCTCAACTCTCGTCCCCGCGACTCCAAAAACACAGATTCGATGATCATAGTCACGCCATCCACGTGTCTCACACTTGCCTTCGCTCCACCTTCGATATAAACCCTTCCGCTCCCTCTGCCATCCCTCTTTTCTTCATAAAATCAAGGAAAAGAGAGAAGGACCAAAAATCTAAGAGCTTCATCACGATGCTTGCGTGTGCGCCTAGCGCAGCAAAGAAATAAATCTGACATGCCACAAAGGTGTGTGGCGGTTCGTTGTAGTCAAACCTAAAGATCACTTGGCCTATGGGGTGTGGTGAGTCTGGGTCGGTGCACAGTCACGTTTTCCACGTGTCCAACCGGGCTCTCAATTTCTCATGGGTATAAAATCTTCTACTCCCTCGTGGTTCTCTTTCCTTTTTCCATGGAATCAAGGACGAGGACAAAGCTGAGGATCAAACACTCGAAAATTCGCCACAGAATGTTTGCGTGTGCGTCTGGCGCAGCAATCCTTGGAATTCAACGCATACGATGGGTGGTGGTTGGTGGGGTCTGTGCAAACTGGACGATCGATTGAGCTATAGGTGGTTGAGATGTGGTGGTGGGTATCAGCAGTCGAACCTGGATTGTGTGGATCGATATCACGAGTTTCATACCGCAATGGATGAGCGAAGTCTGCGCTTGTGATGAGAAACAGCATCGAAGATAAGAAAGAGGTGAAGTGGAAATGGCGAACGATTATGTTGGGAAGTGTGACGTATTGCGCAGGCAGCAACATTGGCAGAAAAGAAACTAGGTGGCCTGAGCGTTTTCTAAGGGTATATACTTCAAAAAATTACTTGGCATCCTCAAGTTACAGTGGCACAATGTGTGCTCTAGTGAAGCCAACTAAGAATCGGCTATCTCACTGGGGCCTCCTTTGCCTATCAAGCGACGTTCGCGGCTTGGTACCACCACCGGGGTGGATGTAACTTTTGATTTTTTTTTGGTAGCTTGAGTTCGAATCTCGCATGTGGCGATTATTTTTGCTCTGTTTTTCAGATGTATCTTTTTGGACAGCTCTGGCATTCGAAGGAGGTGTGATGATGTTCACTAGCTTTAGAGCTCAGCTACCCTGTTCAATGCTAAGGAGCCTTTGTTGATGAAGGTGCTGGACTTTATTTTCCCTTCGGCGAAGCTGTTCGAGCAGAGTTCGAACTGGTAGAAAGCATATACGGAGTAAGATGTCAATCTTCACCATTCCTACCCCACGCCGAGGCTCGTCTTCCTCACGGCCCGAGCCTCCTCCACCAATTCAACCATGGAATCTTGACCATCATACGTTGATACCACAACCGACCTCCTCCGCCGACTTCGCCCATAAAGTTGCGGTCGTGCCAGGCATTGATGAAGGCCTTCTTCTCACACCCACAACATTAACGCCCTCGCTTCTCTGTTTGACACAGACATAGACTCCAATGTCGACCTTTTCGAAGCTGCTGAAGCTTCCTCCTGTCTCTGGAGTCTGAGAATTGGGGAGGCGTGGAGGATTTATAGGGAGAGAGGTTGGAAGCTGATGTAAGCCTCGTGTGATTTTGTCACGTGTTTTGGCTCTGAATTGTGATGAAGTCGAGGCGAAATGATAATCTTCGAGTAAATGAAGTCCTGAGGATTTGGGGGAACTTGATTTGTTGCGCAGAAGATGAGAGACGAAGAAGAGACTTGATATGTCTAGGAATGGAGCTTATAATGCCTAATTAAAGGGTCTAGATAAAGTCTTGCCGACATCTGCGATACCTTAACGCACTTTCAAGAATGAGAACGAGATGAAAAATATATTTACTGGAGACGGTCGTAGCCTAGAAAAAAATAGCATATACCAATTTCTAGTATGCCCTCGAAATCGTGACAGAAGGAATGCACACTTGTGGAACGTAGCATTATACCCAAACCCTCAATACCTCAACACCGCATCAAACCTCGCCTCCGCATCCTGCCCCTTCACACCCACCTCCCTCTCCCTCGCCCTCTCCCACTCCCGGATCTTCTCCGAGATCCCAGCCCCCTTCAACCCCCTCTTCCCCTCCCACCCTTCCTTCACAAAACGCTGCCACGTCACAATCTCAAACCCACTTCCCCCAACCTTCTTGACCTCATACTCAAGCTCCCACTCATGCCTCCACAACGCTAAACACTCCCTCTTGCACCACGGCTTCTCCCCGTTCTCCCCATGCAACAACTTACACACGATCGCCGCCACCAAGAACGTTGGTGGGACGTCGATTGCCAATCCCAGCTCTTTCACGATCCGCGCGATGTCGGACTTGGAGAACCCCGTTGCGCCTACGGGCAGCGTGATCTGGTGCCGTGCGCGAAGTAGAAGGCCCGAGGGGTGGAATAAGGGTGTAAAGGCGTGAAGGTAGAAGACGTGCTCGTAGCCGCGATTCCCTAGACCAAGAGAGGAGGCGGGGAGGGCGCCGCTCCAGGTGCAGGCCAGGGCGTGTATGCAGCGTTTCTGGCGGTGGGCGAGTGAGATGATGGTGGTGTGGAGGAGGGAGTAGCGGGGGTGAGAGGGGAGGCGGGGAGAGAAGGTGAAGAGGGCCTGAGATGGGTCTGCGCTCTGGGAAGCGATAGAGGTCACACCTAAGTTGGAGGCTGGAGGGCAGTTTTTGGGCGTGTGGATGTTTCGATGCAGCCGGCAGCAGCGGGCGCAGTGGAAGTAGCGGGGGTCATCTTTTTGGAGGAGCTGGAGGAGAGAGTAGAGCTCCGAACTGTCTTTCGACGCCGCTAGAGCTGACCAGGCGCGGCCGTCGAGGGCGGCGTAGAAGAAGTGTGAAGTTACGGCGAGGCAAGCGGATGATGAAGGAGACAGGAAGGATGAGACGTGTTGGATGAGCTCAACTGGTAGTGAAGAAAAGATGGTTTGTTTGGTGGAACAGGAGTTGGAATTTGATATTTTTCTACATCCTGCAGTGGAAGGCCAGCGGGAAGGCGATCGTTTAAACTTAGATAGGATGGAGATGCTCGTTTCGGGTTGAGACTGCCAGGCTTTGTGGTGAGTGCCGCAAGGTATTGGAGAGTAGGCACACGGTAAAATCGGGATTGGGTTTGGAGACTCTCGCTCGAGGGAAGTGTCTGCCATGGCGGATGGGCTTCTTTCTCTGAAACGAGGATCCTGGGATCGTGAAAGGGATGATAAGGAACCTTTCGAACTGTAAAGAAGTCTGCAAGATCTTCGCGGGAGTATCGACGATCGTAGATCTGAAGGCCTAGGTCCCAGATCTTAGCTCTCGGGCTAGTGGAAATGTGTATTGTACAGAAAGAAGTCAGATGCTCCGTAATACAGGTATGGGGATATTAAGATTAGAGTGCCAAATTATGAGCAATGTGCAGCCCTTGAAAATAAGCCTGGTTTAGAATAGATATGCCTTGGGATAAGCAGAGGTAGTCGACGAAGTAGGGAGAAGTCCAACGAGGTTCGCTGTCTGCCAAGGTTTGCGGCTCAGCACGACCCGCTCGGTCCCGCTGAGGCCTAACCTCAGTGAGCATAGAACGAGTCATGGCCCCTTTTTAGAGAAAAGCAATAAGCTTGTAGTATCAACAAAAGTTTCCCTACACTTATTTTGTACCGCCTAACGTAGCTCGGCAAGATTTCATGCTGGTCAAAATGATGGATTTGAACCTCCTCTAGACGGCCGAAAGCTCCTTGAAGCGCCACAAGCAGTGGCCTAATTGATGAAGATTTCCGAGCAACTCTCGAGACACACGAAATATATTGAACCCATCAATTCATATCTAACATCTCTATCCGGATCCCACGCCCACATCCGATCCGCAGGCAAAAGAAAAGGTCATCGAGCGCATCATATCCATTCTCGGCTTCGATACCGCCCGCTCTCGACCAATTGGGGAGCAACGCGCAACCGCACTTATCCTCATCGGTTTTTCAAGCCCATCATAGTCCCAAAGTTCATCACCGCTACCAACCTCCGTAAACAAAAACAGCCTTCGCAACTAGCCGTCAAGGGCCAGTACCGCTCAAAGCTCAAAAGGAGACACGCTATTAACCCGCACCTAACCGCCTTCCAACAGAAAAGGAAAAGAGAGCTTCCCCGTCCCTCAAATTTCCCAGAACCAAAAAGGCCGTGTGGTCGTTAGACAAATAGGGAAACCATGCAAAAACCTCATCACAACAATCGCAACCGTGATATAGGGTAGGACTCGTCGGTAGAATTGGGAGGATCATACTTACGCTAACGAAACACAGCCAAAAGAGGTCCGAATGAAGCCAAATCGAAACCCAAAGAGTGGCGTTGCTCATGGTCGCTCCTGCGCCAAATGTAAGATGCCTGGAAGACTGCTGAGAAGGCTAGACGAGACGAGGGCGAGAACGCTCATGAATCTGTGCCAAAAGTGAAAGTCCTAGGAGATCGGAGACAGTGGTATCTATGAGATCGAGACTTTTAGTGGCTTCCATTCTTCCTAAAGTTGAGCAGTTGGGCCAAACTGGCAAGGCTGCATCCGCCCCTCAAGAAGTCATGGCTCATCAGCTCACTAGCGCTAGCCCTCGACTTTACATCGACGCAAAGACAGACGCTGAGGAAAGCCTTAAGCTCCTTGGAAAGTTTGTCCGGCTTCTTGAGACGGGGAGTGCCATTGGTAGCAATGAGGTAGAGGGCCTTGAGTGGCTCCTCGTTCAGGTAAGGTGGTTCAGACTCGATCATCTCGATGGCCATGATGCCTAGCGACCAGATGTCCACTTTGTTGCCGTACTCCTTCTGCTTGACGACTTCGGGCGCCATCCAGTATGGAGTGCCGACCATGGTGGCACGCTTGCTTCGCTGCTCCGTGAGCTTGGCGCAAAATCCGAAATCGGTGATCTTGACATTTCCACGGCCATCAAGCAGCACGTTGTCGCTCTTGATGTCACGATGGATAATGTTCTGAGCGTGCAGATGCTCAAGACCTTTGCATGTCTACCAAAGTGATTAGCTCGAAATTCACTCAGACGCCACTGTATTTCAGGTGAAAGAACCGGTCATCTGCCAGGATTTCTAATTCCAATTGCATCATGTGACCAACTCTTCATCTGAAACACCGTAGTGAGTAGACTCACCTCCAAACAGATTGTAGCAATCTGATCCTCGCTGATCGACGGGTTGTTGTCAATGACATCAGTCAAAGCACCGCCCTCCATGAACTCCATCACCACCCATAACTCAGAGTGCTCCTCCTGGAGGAAGGCATCCAAGAAGTTGACGATGTTGGGGTGCTTGCTGTCCTTCATGACGATGATTTCGTTGACAATCAACTCCTTCCTCGGCTGGTTGCGGAGATCCATCTGTTTGATGGCCACCTGGGCGCGGGGCCCATTCTCTCGAAGGATTCTCTTTGCGGTCTCTGATGTTGCGCTCTCTCGAATCCGAGCGACATATACGGATCCTGATGCACCCTGACCGATCTTCTTCTGCTTGTTGTAGGAGTCCAAGGGTTTGTCTTTGGAAACAACTTCCCGTAGCTTGATCATGACTTCGCTCTCGGACATACTCGACATGCGGACATCCTTGCGACCAGGCTCCTCTTTCTTGCTAGTGAGCGCCTTTTCAGCTTGCTTCACGGGATCAACTGCAGGGGCCGGTGCTTGTTTGCTGGCCACATTCAAAGGCTTCGGCGCGGTAGCTCCAGGTAAGCGTGTCTGACCTGCCTGGTTGGTGCTCCCATTAGGCGCGCGAGCCTGCGCAGACTGTCCATTAGATCCGGCTGGATACCTAGCAGCAGGCTGAGCCGGACGCTGGGCCGCAGCTGGAGGGGCCTTAGCTTGCGGGGACTTGTAGGCGCTATTGGAGGTAGGGGCAGATGGAGCGGTCCTCTGAGCCGCCATCTGGCGCAAAGAGCCTGGCGGTTGCTGCCTATCTCTCGAAGTTCCTGGAGTCGATGGGGCGGGTCGACTTGCGTTGTACCGAGCAGGATTATTCCCTGACGGGCTCGTATCTCTACTTTCTTCAGTATAGCCTCCGCCTCCAATCTCCTGTTTGGCGATCGGAGTCTTAGTCTTCGGCAGAGAAGCGTTCCACGCCGCATCTTCTTCACGCTGTCGACGCTCCTGCTCCCGCCGCTGTTGCTCGCGCTCGCGCTCACGCTGGAGTTTCGCCTCCTCCTCTCGCCTCCGACGTCGCTCTTCTTCGGCTCGTGCATTGTCTTGTGCTTGCTGCTGATAAGACGTCTTTTCGTTTCCGTAATTATTTGGAGGAGGAGTCTGGCTGTTCTCCCGAGACGTGTTGTAGCTCTGTTGGCGTGAAAATCCGTTTGGTGGAGTCGGTCGCGGGGGAGCAATGGAATTGCCGCCGGCGTATCCCAGCTGCTTTTCATTTCCGGAAGAGACTGGGGGTGTAGGAGTGAGGCTTGGGTAGGACACGGGATCATCCGCGCGCTTGACAAGCTTCTCGGTGTAAAACTCAAGCACCTCCAGAACAGCCTTGGGGTTCTTCGCATAGTCGTCCTTCGTGATGGCTGATGCAGTGAGAAGCTTCTCCCATTCAACAGGCAGTCCAACGAAAGCACCGGTAGTAGGATCGAAGCCAACATGAACCCGGTGAGTAAAGTTGGTAGGATTGCTCACGCCACCCATGCTAGGACATCGCTGATATATGCTATCAATCCATGAGTAGACCTCGTCGTCCGTGTTCACTTTGCAAGTGATGACCTTGGTGGGCGCATCGCGGGGCGGAGACGCGCCATTGGATGTGTTCGTGGTCCTACTAATCTCGAAAGAAAATGGGAAGTTATCGGATCTGGTCACGCTTGTGACATCGCGGAGTTGAATGGTGAAAGATACTTTAGGCGAGGTGTTACTCTTCATGAAATCCAACTGGAACTCGCGTAGTATAAGAAATTTGTCGGACCAGATCATGCCCTTGAAGAGACCCTCATCTTTGACCTTTGCCCAGCCTTCCTTGACGACCTGGTAGGTGCCCATGCTCTTTTCGGACTGCGTTCGCTGGAGCAGGGAGGTTGACGAGTTGTTGAAGCCGGGGGATTGGAGGCTGAGGCCAGACATGTTGCCAGGGAGGTTGCTGGTGTTCGGTGTGAGTGCAAGGCGGGGGCGGTCGGTAGGAGGACGCGGAGCCGGACCGGGATTCATGAACTGGTCACGACTATAAACACTAAAAGGAGCTCGCGGTCAGTTCTGCTGATATGCACACCTGGGACGACGCCGACAGAGGAAGTGGAAACAGGAAAAGATCTCGACAAGCTCGAGGTCCACGGGATGTTGCGATAACCAGATTGCGAGACATGGACTATACGTACGTCGGGGGGTTGTTCGACATGATGAGCTCGGAACAAGGGGCTATTAGGACTAGAAGGGCGTGTCAAGAGGCTCCACTGCTGTGTGCAGCTTGGCAGAGGTGCGTGAAGCGGGGTGTCGCGGTCTTCCAAAACGCGGCCGCGCAAAAGACGCCACCCAGCAGCAACACGGGCTGCACAGGCTGCAGCGCCTCGAAACGTACAGACCCAAGCGGTGGTGGCTGTGAATTGGGTCGGCGGTAACGAGCGTGGAGGGGTTGTTGGGGGCCGGTGAGAGTTTTGACACAACGGAGGAGGCGGTCGGGCAGCAGCTGGCGCTGGCGGTTGCTGAGGGTAGAGAGCTAGGCGGTTGACGCTCTCGTGGAGGAGTTCCGCTGGAAAGGTGGAAGCACGGCGTGGACGTTGGCGTACAGAACAGGGCCGGCGGTACCTCCTAGGTTGGCGGTGGTGCTGGGTGTTGTCCGGGGCAGACAGACGTTCGAGTCCGCGTCGTTAGAGCGGCAGCGACTCACGTGACCTGGGCGAAGACTCCTTTGTGGCAGGTGAAGAAAAGAACGCAAAAGATACTGCACCAATAGCATGTGCCTGCAATGAATGCGGCTGCCCTTCATCCCGACGAGACGCCCTATTCGCTGCCGTCGTTTCATGCCCAGGATGCAGCACCGCTTGGCCTCCGAAAGCTTGACTTTTGGTGGGCTGCCCATTTCCTCGCAAGCGGCCTGGGGCGCGTAAGATCTGCCGCCAACGAGGCCGCCAGCTTGTTTCATCTTCCAGAAGCCCTTGATTCACCCCCGTCTGAAACCACTGTCTCCTCGTGGCCTGTGAGAGCTGCTGCGTAGCCGCTGCACGGCGGCCGTGACGCTGGCCGAGGGAGTCACTGTAAAGGAGCCTGTTGTTACGAAGGTAGCAACATCATACGGAGAACCGTGGCGCTTATCCAACTGCAGCACCAATTGCACTCATCCATTCCTGCTGGGAAGCATATTCCGTATACACATCAAACCAGAACCTCTCTCTTCAAACTGCAGCTTCAGACTCCTCAACATCATCTCCAGCGTCTTCGCGTTTCAGCTTCCCTGTGGAACATCGCACTGCATCGGGACGTTGTTGGCCTGCAACGTCTATCCAACTATACAACAGCGGAGCAGACATCCGTCTTACATAGACACAATTATACGCATAGAGTTCAGCCCAAGGACCTCGCAAGGTCCAGGTTTCTTAGAATACAGGGCGTCCAAACCACTCGCGAACGCCCTTGCAGGCCACACGGCGCTAAAAGTGAACAAGATGAAATCCTCCGAAGCCGATCGCTGCATTAGAAATCAAGAAAGAGGCCATGAAAACAGGAGGAAATGTCTCTTATCTTTGAAAGTTCAACGACTTCAATCTATCCCCATGCTTGTGCATACATGTAAATGTCCTGACTACGAAAAGCTTGAGTGATTCGAGTTATCTATCTCACAACACCTGTTCGCTTTCCGCGCACTTCCACCGTTCTCATTTGATTAAATAGTCTGTAGCAGAACGCCGAGCTTTGAATACACCAAGATCTCTACCGCTCTGGGCAGCAGAACCCCAAAGTCCCGACGACATGAAACTGTTCGCGGCTTTTTACGAGAGTGTCTCCTCCGTGGCCCGGTTTGGAGCGTCTTCTAATGATATGTACAGGGCGAATGCGTTTCACATTGGCTGACTCCGCCTCGTACTTTTTACAATTTACCAAATTCTCAAAGTCCAATTCAGGTTACTTTCCAATAACATGCCGAAATCGAGTCCAAATCGCAGAGACTGGCCCCTGTTAATACTCCCAACCGCGTCAATATCTCCCCGATTCAATAGGCTGATTCAGGATGTCCAAGGCCCAACGCAGCTACTCTAGAACAGGGCATATGTAATAGTCCACTAACACAAGGTTCAAATATCGGACTAGCTCCCGTCAACATTCCAACACATATCGTATCACCAGTCAGATAGCACACGCCGATACGAACAATCACTAGTAATAAATCCCCTCTTCCCCCGCTAACATTATCTTCTACGGATATCATAGTGTACCTCCTCTGCGCATCAAACCAACGATGGCAATCCAACACTTGCTCACTCGCTCATACCCAAACACCCGCAAGGACTCCCCCCTGGAATACAAAAATGCAATGCCCGCTTGAACCCCCAGGGTTTCCATCCCAATATCCTCCAATAACCAGAGCCGCTCACCCATGCAATTTGAACACTACCCAGAAACCAAAACTCCGCTAGGACACATACGACAAACTCAAACGATGCCTAACTTCGACATGCGCAACGCATCAGCTTCATTTCATCCCATTGACTTTCCCATTCGGAGCATTCGTGTTCGTGTTCATGAAATGCTCCATGTAGGTGATGTAGTCGAATTTGGGTACGTCGCGGTCTTGCTGTAGGTCTGGGCCGCGGTGAGGAGGCATGGTCTTGACGAGGTCTTCGATGATTTCGTCGGGGACAAGGGAGTGGCGCAGGTCGAGTTCTGTTACGTAGGGCTATGCGGAATACACGTTAGTGGACATACCCCTTAATGCCAATTCTGATCTGAACTAGGGGAGACTCACCTTCCCATCTGCAACCTCCTTAAAGCTCTCAAACACCTGCTCCGCCGTATGCTGATCTTCCGTCTCATCCACCATGAACCTGATGAACTGTTCGAACGTCACGTAGTCCCTGCCGCCGCTCGTCTCGCTGAATTTCTCATGCATCTCCTCTTCGTCGTACACAAGTCCCAGACTAGCTAGCGCGGCCGAGAACTCGAGTTCTTGCAACGAGTTGCTCAGGTCGCGGTCGAAGTGCCGGAACACGCTCTCGAACTCTTCCAGCTGGATTGGCGTGAGGTTCGTCATGTTCCGCGCGACCATCTGGTTCTCAAGGAAGGCAAGCTTCTTGCTGACAGAGGAGCGCACAAGACCCAATTCGTACTCGAGTTCGTCGTAGGAGTAGGTAGTGAAGTCGTTCTCTTCAATGTTGGCTTCCGTGCATTGCTCGTCGAGGGCCGCGATGATGTTGAGATATTCGTCGAGGGGTTGGAGGCTTTCGCTGATTTTTTGCGTGTGTCGCAGCTGGTCGTCGACGTCGCCTTCTAGGCCAGATATCGAGGCTGACAGAGTATTGAGAGCGAGGGCAAAGTCGTTGGCTTTGTCGGCGAAAGATTTGCGGAGAGCGTTTTTGATGCTCGAAACTGTCAGTTTGTATCTAACAAAGAATGGAACCACACATACTCTCTAATCATTTCGTTTATGAGCTGACTCCTCTGCCGCTCTGCCGTCATCAAGCCAGCCCATGCAACGTCCAGCGCTTCTAGGCTCAAGTCTGCAGGCGGTTCATATGGTCGTAATCGGTAAGTACTAAGCTTAGTCTTGATATTCCCGAGCAATCCCACCAAATCCGACTTCTCTGCCACCCATGCTCGCTTGTTTTTGCGTTTGTATCCTGTGAACTCTAGTGCGTGATTTTTGGCGTCCACGTACGTTCCCAAGAATTGGGTATCCTCCCACGTTTGTTGCTGCTCGGTGATTTGGCGAAGTAACTCCCGCATACGTTTCTCAAATGTATTTTGCATTTCCCAAGCACCTGCCATACTCTGCACAAACTTCTCCACTCTCCGTCCGGCATTCTCAACCTTTTCCATCTGGGAGAAGGCGTGGAACCAGTATGCAATGTACGTCATGAGGGATCGTTCGTCGGGTTTCTGGACATCGCATACGTCCTCGACGTCAAGAAGGTCGGGGATGCCGATTTCTTTCGAGGCAATGTCAAAAGCCATCTGCATGTTCCCGCGGTGGTCTGATTTGTCCAAGCTGTCGTAGTCGATGAGGTCGGGCCTATGGATATCGAGGAGAGCGCAACTGTAATATTGTAAGCCATGAACCACACTCCAATCCCAATGCAACATACAAAGCCAATCCATCATTCCAACTTGTCGAGAAATCCCGCACCTCAACCTCGTCATAGCACGCCGTCTTGCGCTGACACCACAGCAACAGACCCTCCTTCGCACTCAGTCCTTCCTCATTAATATCGCTGATAGTGAATCTAAGAATCAGCGTCCAAATCAACCCCAAGATAATTTTGCTGTTCCCATCCACAACGTCCTCGGCGCCGATATTCGTCATCTGAATCCCCCGCCCCTTGATGAACTCCAGACTCTTGTTGACGTTCTCGAACTTCTGCACTCGCAGCTTCGGCCGTGACGCATACCTGCCCAGCGATTCGTTTCCGAGGATCTCGAGGAGGTGGATGAGGACGACCTAGTGCACTTCGGATTAGCAAGTGGGACTTGACCAAAGTGGCGGTAAACAAGCCGGGCTGCCACAGTGCGCATTTGCAGAGGGCCTGCGACACTTACGCCGTCGGAGAGGTCGTGAATTAGATCCTGTATCTGCACGTTTCGCGCCAGTATTTTGCTGTTCAGCCTGCAGGGCGCCGTCAGTGGTTGCTATGCGGGCATCAACAGTGGGTGTTTTGCGGGGAGGGACAGGGCACACGCACCACTTGGTGAAGGTCTTCTGCTGCACCTTAACCCATTGCTGCTCGAGAGGGGCCATGGTGGAGGATTTGCATCTAGGGTGGAGTATGTATATAGCCAAGAAGCGTGTTTTAGGGGTGGATGTGTGAATATGTAAAGGCGGCGCTGGCGGAGGTGGTTGCGTTGGCCGCTTTGAAAGCTGCGGGGACGCTCAGCCAATCATCGCCCAGAAGCGCGTCTTTTCCCCCGGAATTTAAAGACATCAGCCAATGTTCTTTCTTCATCACTACCCTCCTTTAGACCCCCTCTATCTCCTCTATCCAGTGACTAGACGACACCAAGGGTGAACAGGAGGACTAAGATAAGCATTCGCCAGAAAGCTATCACCACCCAGGGGCGTGGGACACCTCGTGCTTGCCACGATGAACACCTCGCTGCCCTACCACGAGCCAGGCATCGTGACAATTCTTATCCAAACTTCCTTTATATTTATTCTCAATATCGTCAATTCCATTCTTGATCATACGCTATACTGCGGCCTGTTAGGCCAGGTCCTCGTTGGCATCGCCTGGGGGACTCCAGGAGCAAACTGGATTTCAATCCACACTGAAGAAGTCGTTGTTCAACTGGGCTATATCGGTTTGATACTTCTTGTATATGAAGGTAGATAGATTTCATACCCAACTACCACATTTCATAGTCACAACCAATTCCCCTTCTTACCACCTCAGGCGGTCTCTCCACCTCCTTCAAATCCCTAAAAGCCAATTTCCTCCTCTCCATCGCCGTCGCAATCACAGGAATCACCCTCCCCATCGCCCTCTCATTCTCCCTCCAAGGCCTCGCCGGCGCCTCTCCCCTCCAAGCCTTCGCTGCCGGTGCAGCACTTTGTTCCACATCCCTCGGCACTACTTTTACAATTCTTAGCACCTCCGGCCTCGCTGCCACCCGCCTGGGCGTCGTCCTCTCCAGCGCCGCAATGATGGACGACATCGTCGGGCTGGTAATGGTCCAGGTGATCTCAAATCTTGGTGGGTCTGCCACCACCATCGCACCCGCCACCATCATCCGTCCCATCCTCGTTTCTCTCGCCTTCGCAGCCATCGTCCCATTTGCGTGTCGCTTTGTGGTCAGGCCTGCAACACTTCTCTGCAACCAGCACCGCGAGTGTCATCCAGCTGGGATGACTCAAAGGGTGTTATGTCTTAAACACACGGCGTTCATCATCCACAGCGCTGTGCTGCTGGCGTTGGTCACGGGCGCGAGCTACGCTGGAACTTCGAACCTCTTTGCGGCGTATATTGCAGGCGCGGTGGTTAGTTGGTGGGACGATGAGCTACCGCATCCAAGCCACGGTGGTCGCACCAAGATTGCCGCAGATCCGGCACCCCGCGAGAATCAGACCACTCTCCTAGAGCCTACGATGCTACAGCAGCGAACGCAGCAGAGTGACCGCATCGTACGGATTCAGCAGGAATGGAGTCCTGAGCGGGCGCGGCCGGGGAGAGAGGAGGCCGAGGAAGAGAAACTGGGCCAGCGCCCCTCAACACCACGCACCGCCACGGCAGGTACTCCTGCTCAACCGCTACAGCTCACGACAGGTGCCCAGATCTACGCGGCTTACTTCTACCAGCCTGTTGCTAGGGTGCTGAAACCCTTCTTCTTCGCGTCCATCGGGTTTTCGATCCCGATCAGCCGCCTCTTCGCTAGCCGCATTCTATGGCGCGGGATTGTGTATACCATCATCATGACCATCGCTAAGATGGTGTGCGGGCTCTGGCTTGTACGAATCCCATGGTCGGCGTTCGTGCCTAGCAAGCTACGCGCTTTCAAACTGAAGTCTAAGTTCCCCTCACTGCCTCATCTGTGGGGGAAACGAGAGAAGACGACTACTCCTCCAGCCGCCTCCACGCCAGTTGCGCAATCCCCCCAACGCGCCACCTCCCCCTCAGTGCCCCCGACCCCACCCAAACCCCTCTCCCTCTATCCCCCGGCCATCCTTTCCCTCGCCATGGTCGCCCGCGGCGAGATCGGCTTCCTCGTCTCCGCCCTCGCAGAGAGCAAAGGCGTCTTCTCCCCCACCTCGCTCCCTCAAGATTACCCCACAGATATATTCCTTATCACCACTCTTGCTATCTTCCTCTGCACCTTGGTCTCGCCTCTATGCGTCGGGTTGCTAGTGCGGCGGGTGAAGAGGCTAGAGGGGAGGAGAGAGCGGGGCGCTACGAGTGTGCTGGGTGTTTGGGGAGTGGAGTAAGGAGATGTGGAGGTATTGATAGAGTAGACCAGACTAAGAAACGGGAAAACGTTCAGCCCTGCGGATATAGGAAATGATCAAATAGGTCTACATAGATGTATAGAATGGATAGATACCCATATGCAAAGCTTCCGAAATCTAGATACCCGGGCGTTGCATTACCCCCTCTCAGACCCGTCCATCCCATCTTCCCTCCCCACTCCACCCCATCATCCCCGCTCGACCTGAGCTGACGACATGCCCCAATACCAGGGAACAATCGAGACCTAACCCGGGAAATCCAGACTCCAGCCCAGCTCCTAGCCCGCCATCTTCATGCCAGGCCAGGCTCGAGTTGCCCATGTCCCTCGAGCCCGGTGTCTGGAACCCTACGGACCTCTAGATGGAAGAATGGAGTGGAAAGCATATCCTAACCTAAACCCCCCCACAAAAGCCCGGATGCCTCTCCATGTGGTCTAGAATCCCTACAATGCTACAGTTGCAGAACGGTTCCAAGTTCCAGCCCAGCCACAATCCTCCACCCGCCTTTCCCCTCCCTTTCTCCCGCACGCTCAGCTTCCTTCGCCTTCGCGGCTGCTGTTGGAAGGAATTCCGTAGCTTTCTCACCTAGCGCAAGGCATGCTAATCAAAGGGTAAGCCCTACTCAGCGCCCCGGCAGAGCGGTAGCGGGCGGTTGCATGTACCTAATTATCTTGGGAAGGTACCTGAGGTTGGGGGGGGGGCGCGCAATTTGGGGAGACATGCGATACTGTAGATCCCCCTCGATAACATGGAATTATGGGCTAATTTGGCACACATAATCGCGCAACTCACAAGTTGCCGGAGAGAGTTAGTTCTGGATGTTGGGGAGGCGGCATGGGTTTGGGGAAGGGGAGGGGGGACGTTGGGGATACGGGTGTGGCGTCTGTTATCTTCCCAGCTGTCAGGTCCGTCAACTCGATGGAGAATGGATATCCAGTAGGTCATTTTACATCAATCCGGACAGCTTCAGCTTACGCTTCGCTTTGCCCTACACCGTCACACCAGGTTTCCCTTCCCTCCTCCTCTTGTATCCAAAACTCACCGCCGCCCAGCTCAACATTCATTCGGCCCGTCTCCATCTCATTCATGCAGCGAGGGGGAAAAAAGGTCTTCACGTAGTGTAATCATAGCTTATTGGTCCCCCACCTACCCGCCAATCAACCCACTAGCGCATCGCTCTCTAGGTAAATCCTCGTCTCTACATCCCCGAATCCTCATACCTACATACGGACACGACGCAGACGCAGGAACCTATGTACCTCAGCTGCACTCCCCATCCCCACCAGCTGCACATGTCGTTTCCATCCCCCTCCTCACCACCCTGCACCCACCGTTCCATCCATTCCCCCCTCCCCACTACATACAATGCATCCACCATCCCTCCATCCCCCTCCTGCAAGGCCTCCCTCCATTTCCCGCGTGCATGACCTGCAACTTCTGTACCTGTACCTACCTCCCGCATCCAGCATCGCGGCCCAACGCACCGCCAGCCCACGCATCCCATCCCACGCCCCACTACGTCCTCGTATCCAACCACCACTAGCTCTAACGCCAGTTTCCTTCACGCCGACCCGCAGTTTTCCCAATACCCCGGTACCCAGCTACATTTTCCGTGCGCCAAAGACTGCAGAAACGCGCTGTTTGCAGTAGGCGACGGATGTGAGTGGGGGTTGGCGCTTTTCACTTTGGTTATTTCTGCGGGCTTGTGTGGGTTTCCGAGGCGCCAATGGGTTAAGAATAGGATTAAGGGCACAGAAAATCCTGCTGATTGGGATAAAACGGAATGGGGACGGAAGGGGAAGCCCAGCAAGCGAAGCAATAAATCGCGTGTTGGAAGCCACTGCTGCATGTTGGAGCTGGTGCTGCATGTTGGATATCCAGCCTACCATTGAAAGCAAGAAAACGGCGCAAGCAAGCGCGACCTTCCATCGCTCCAGGGCGAAGGGGATCCGCGAGTTTGGGATTGCAGATGGGCGGGGCGGGACGGGTCGCAGTCGTTCAGGTGTTGGAAAGGTGTGGGAGGAACCGTGGCTGCGGAACCGCTTGGTGCCGCGGTGCTGGAATTTTCTTCCAGTTTCGCCACCCACCCCTCCTCATACCCAACCCACCGTTTGATTCGCAAGTAGAAATAATACGGGAGAAAAGCGTGTGGTCGACGACGCTCCAAAACATTGTGAATTTGTGTTCAATTGGCTTTCAAACCAATAGGGTTCGCTGAGGTATACACCCACCACACCCTACCACACCCCCATTTAAATCCAACAATCGTAGATAAGACAGACAAATGAGACTCCCAGTTTTTCGGTAGATCCCAGGCACCCCTAGATCCCCCCAAAATTCCCAGTTTTCCAAATACACCAATCCTTTTAAATAGACACAGCCAGCTTTTTTAGGGGCCCCCCCGGTTTCGCTTTCGTAATGGTACATGAAAATCCGTCAACGTCGTAAAAATATAGGTATACCCCTGACGGAGATGGGTAGGTAGTGATGTGGATATCAGCGAGAGCGAGAAAAAACACAGAAGTTGTAATGGTACAAGTACAGAACATAGGTTAACAGAGTACAGCGCAATTCGTTCAAACAACAACGGAATAGGGCGGGCGCAGGCTATGCGGTAAACGGAAACAGTGACATAGCAGATCGAAGCTTGATGGACAAGGAAAAACACAAATGAAATCGTGATTCGGGCGATCAAGAATTCGCCTTCCTCGCCTTCGGCGGCGCAGGGAATAGAGATAGAGTGTACGTCTGCTGCTTCGGCTTGTACGCCGTCGCGGCGCTTGCCGCTCTGGCACGCGTCTTGGTTGACGTGATGGGCGCGCGCGACGCCGATGAAAGCAGTTTCGCGGCGCCGTCCGATGCTGCGCGTTCGTGGTGGGCGGGAGCGGAAGGTGTAGGGGCAGTTGCGGGTGCAGAGACGGGCTCGAGCTTCTGAGAATCCTCGTCTTGCGTTGGAGTGTGATCATCGTCGTCAGCGAAGAAGGTGCGCTCGGTAGCTGTGGACGGACGGTCCACGCCGTCGTCCTCGTCGTCCTCATCGAGGTGCGCGAAGGTGTGAGCTTGCTCGCTGAGCTGATCGACCATCAGGTCGAGGATCTTCCGCCCGCGGCGGCTATGCACGAGCTCGGGGAGGCTCCCAGAGGAGCTGGCTGATCGGCGTACAGGAGAGCTGATGGAACCTTGGCCTGACAGGAGACTGCTATCGTAAGAGCTTCGCTTGCTGAGACGGGTGCGGCTGCTGCGACTGGATCCAGAGACACTCTGAGCGGTGTCCAGAATCGGGTAGTGATGATCCGAGTGTTCGTATTCGGCCAGCAAGTCCTCGTACATCTCCTCTCGCATAGACTGGTATTTGAAATCTTGCGGAACAAGTAGTGACGGGGTCAGGGAGAAGCCCTCAGATTCCATATAGCTGGTGACACGTGCTTCATGGACGGGGGCCGAGCTGAAGACGTCTGAGGGTGTCAATGCACCAGTATCGACAGTTGACGTAGATAAGGCCGACCGGTGATCAAGCTCTGGCAGACTGGTCGCACTCGGCACGAGTAGCGATGGTCTAAACACCCCGGGAAAGAAGCGCGTCTGCATTACCTCATCATCATCTTCCTCCTCAGTGATGGGACTATGCGTCGGGCTTTGGGAAACGTCGTTTGGTTGGGTTCGTGGTGATACAGGCCTATCCTTCTCCTCGTCGCACTCGATAGAGTTGCGGTCCCAATCGTAATCGCAATCTGCTTCAGCTGCATGCTCATAACAATAGTCGATATCGTCTTCCCAGGATTCGTCAATGTTCTTCCAGTAGACAGATTGTCTCTTGGCTGCAGGCGATTGCCGATTAGAACTCTTCCCAGACCGTAGCTGAATGGGAGAGCCCAGAGTATCCGACATCTGGGAGGTCGGTCTCGCTTTTGGGCTGCGCTGAGAAAATGACTTTGGAGTGCCATATGAGCTTGTCCGGCTAGTCGAGCGTGAAGTTGGCGACCATTGTGGCAATTTGTACCCTTCAAATGATGGACTTTTGAGTGGTGGTTGAGGTGCAGGGCGTGGGTTGAAGAATCTTTCTGGTTCCTCGGGAACATTTTCCAAGTCTGAGGTGAAACCTGGCGACAGAGCTGGTATGGCGGTGTCATCTGGTGTGGTGACGGCTTGAGCAATAAAGGTTGCTTCAGCTGTTACGGTGGATAAACTACCAGCAGTCGAGGGACGACTAGGCGGAGTTGAACGGTCAAATGCTGCAGAGACTCTCGAGTAACGCCCGCGTAATGAGGCTGCATATCCAGTTTCTGCTGACTGCTCCTGGGAGTCATCAATGCGCTCAAGGGCCATACGCGAAGAGCTCCGTGGCGGAGGATTCACCGACTGTGAGAGTCGGTGACGTGCTTTTACAACCGGCTGCGAGAAACTCTCAACCGACCGACTGTGTCTCAAGCTTGGTCTCGCGCCTAGCACTGGAGATGGAGTTCCCTGTGTAAAATATTCGCGCGACGTTTGTGGGCTCAATGGCGGAGATTTAGCAAACGATGAATGGGAGCGCATAGTGGGGCCTGTCGAATCCACAGCCTCTGACGAGAAATTCTGGAAGTGTAAATCGTCCGCCTTGATGCCATGTAGCTCGCGACGCGGCACTTGAGAAGCGCGCACCGCCCAGTATTCCGCAACCAGCTCATTCTGTGGAACGCGTTCGAGAGCCGGAAATTGCTGACGTTGCGTATGGGTGAGGTGCTGGAAGTCGAAGGGACTTGATATATGCTCCTTGAGGTCGTAAACTGTGGCAATCGTAAGTATCGTGTAGTGGTAGTTTCAAGTAAGAGACATACTTGGACTGTGTGAGCCCCATCGGGACAAGTTATGATCCTTCCGTAGAACCGAAGCCCTTTTATAAGAATCCGCCTCTTCTATTCCATCCAAACCTGACAGGGTGGACACCTGGCTGCTCTGACGCCTTAGTTTCTTGCCTCGGGAAAACAGTGATCGCTTTTGTGCAGGTAATTGCTGATTGGGTTGGCTTCCAGACAGGTCTTGCGAAGATCGACGCGACGACATGTCAATACCAGTCATGGAGGTGATGGTCGAAGTGCGAGAGACAAAAGACGACGTGGTGGAGGCAGTGTTACTTCGAGACCGCAGCGTGAAGACAGAATTCCTTTTTCCAAACCCCCGTTCGCGTCGTTCTGGCGAGCCCATGTCGCGGTCGGATTGCGGAGAAGGGCAGGAATCTGCCGAGGGTGGGTCTGTCGCATGGGAGTCTATTGAGGATTGCCTGGACCGCGGTGCGTTGTTCTTATTGAACAAGAACATAGTGTGGTTGTTGAAACAGCTCCTGGGAGATCACGGCCAGCGAATAGGCCTGATATAGGGTTGGGATGCGGACCGAGCACCGCACTGCGCAGTGTGTTGGTGGAAGCTTGTGATTTTCCGAAGCATGAATGGGGGCAGCTCAAAACACGTCGAGGACGAGATGTTGTCGCGTACGCGTGGTGTTGACGTCCCAACGGAGAAAGCGTGCGAGCAAGGTTGGGGGGCTGATGGAGAAGTCAGTGGACCAATTGACCGTATATCTGGTAATTTGGGCCAGAGAGGCAGAGGTGACAATCTCGGGGTGGACAGAAGAAGAGAAAACAGGAAGCCGGGCCTGGGGCGGGGGAACCAACAGCGACGGTAGAAGTGATGGGAGTCTGGTAGTGGGCAATATGTGGTGAGCAATATATGCGTACCTCTGAATAGGATTGGCTGATCAGCGGCGCGGGAAATGAGCGGCCTGCGTGCTGGGAACAGCAGTTGCTCAGCGGGCCAAAACACGATGCGTATGGTGCTGACCGGAGCACAAGAATTGCAACGAGCGTCGGTGGTGGTTGGGGGGGATACTTGGATGCTGTATGAGGAGGGAGGGACTGGAAGGAGACTGAAAGGGCTCGGGTCAGGGTAGCAGTAGTAGTGGCGCTGTCAGAATTAAGAATGGCAACGGCGTGGGCGTTCAGATAAGCGCAACGGTGCTGGCGGAGGATTTGTAGGAGAATTGATTGTTGGTGGGCGCTCAATCTGGCTGGAGGTGGTGCAGGCACTCGAGGCCGGCGTTCAGGTGGAATTCTCAGGATTCTCGTGGCACGACATGGCCGTGACACTGCCAGTATATGGGTGCAGGGTGGGTGCCGACACGGGCTGGGGAGTGTGCTGAGGGAGCCAGGGCGCCGTAGGGATGCCATGCTGGTGTAGCGGAGGCATGTGGAGAGCGGCCAGCGAGCCCTGAGGACGTGATGCCCATGCAGCCTCGCCGCGGGCCTGTCCTTGTTCGCGCTATGCCGGGCGCATGGCCCGCGGCGCGCATGAATCTCACCGTCGCTGCGCCTGAGTCCCGCCGCTGTGGTCACGCAGAGTGCGGCGCAGGAGTGAATGGGCGCCTGTGAGTGGGCCGCGGTCGCAAAACGGCGAAAACACACGCGAGAGGGCCACTCAGAGCGCCCGTCGCAGCCAGCAGCCGAGCAGATTGCGCTGCACATTGTCGCTGCTGCCGCTGCTCGAATATGCTCGATGGCCTCCTCGCTGCGCTCCGTGGCTCGCGCTGGCGAAACCGCGAGTGGCATCGGCTGTGCCCCACGCCAGACCACCTGGGCACCGCACGCAGCTGCGCAGAGCGACGGCGCGGACGAGGAGCAGGAGCTCTGGGTGTTCGCGCGGCAGGATTAGGGCATCCTCACGGGTCATACGGGCTGAGCCGTGGTGTCGTCGAATGGTGGTGCCGAAGCCGTCGGCGCCGCTCGCTCAGCTGCACCAGCCGCCCAGGGAGGCCGGCAAGTGGCCCTGTTCGGCCTAGCAGCCGCTTGCGCTGCTTCGGGCTGGTCGAGTGGAGGAAGAGGCCGTTTCCGAGGCCGCTTCGAGTGGTCCCAAACGACGCGGCCTCACAAGATGAGCGGGGCGTCAAGAAAAGGATGCATAAAGGACGTCGTCGTCGATCGGCACTCGTCGGCAGTCTGCATCCAGCATCGCAGCAGCCCGCAGCGCCCAGGACGGCCAGCCCACCGTTTCAAGGCCGGCGGGCGCCTGGGAGAGGCATGGACTGCGTGAAACATCCGGCGACGTCTTGCTCCTTCGTCTTCTCCAGGGCCATCCATACCCCGCAACCCCCGAGCGCGCTACAATACTCGTGAATGCCCTCGCGCCAGCATGGGACTGGCACGGTCGCCGGTGCTCTTCTCAGGCACCTCTCAGGCCACGCCCGCGCGATGCAGATGTTGCCTTGTGCGAGGACGGCGGTCCTGTGTCTCACGCGCGACTCCCTCTCCTCCCTCAGCAGCGTACCTGACGATCTGCCGCGCACGGGCTCTGGGGCCTCTGGCGGTCGGTCAGTGCCATTGTCTGCATGGCGTGCTCTCCCGCTGGGTTATCGTGGCCTGCCGGGTCGGGGAGCGATAGGCCGCCGTGCAGCGTGATAGAGGACGCTGTTGGTGATGGCCGTCCGTCGCGGCGCACAGCGGGACACACAGTCGACCCCCGTGCAACCCAGCGACGCCCACGCCAACGGTCCACGGCAGGAGTGCGTTCCCGTGCACTCCCAGGCGGCGATTCCAAGTCTCTCAGCGTCCGCTGGCCACGCGAGGTTGCTGGTGTCGCACGCTGAGCGAACAAAGGGCCGACGGGGTGTGCCGCCAGCGCAGTCGTGCAACTCACGGCCACACGCCGATCCCGAGCAGCAGGCGCTGCGTGCCGACTGCGGGCTGGTGTCGTTGTGAGTGGGACGTGGAGATTCCAGGCGTGGGCCGAGTGGCTCGTGGGGGAGTAGCAGTGTTTCGAGGGCCGAAGCCGCCGCCAGACTGAGGCGTGTTGGTGCTGCTTAGGGCGACGCGTAGACTAACGAAGCTTGATGCACAAACCATCTATATTATGCAACAGTCGAGCGGCATTGCTTTGCTGAGGCGTGCATCGTGAAGCTCTCCCGGAGACTCGAGGTAAGGCCTCCCGACTGCACCTTCGGCAACGTTGGAGCACTTTAGACAACACCAAACGGGCGTATAGACGGCTCACATACCAGCCTGCTTCATAACGTGACCGACGACTGATATTGCCCGGATCTGTCTGCTACATTGGAGCACCTCAAACACATTCGTCTACTCTCAAACCGTACAATTGTGGGTAGGCTTGTGCATGCTACATAAGCGTAGTCACTGTCTAAACTCCACTGCAAAGATTCAAATTGCAGTGCGGCAGACTTCATCACATCACGGTGCGTGCAGAGCTGTTTCAGCAATTGTCACCAATCCGCGCCACCTCAGGCCCATAAATCAGACCCATTTCTGCTCCGTCCACCACTCATCGTCCGCGTCTCATCATTTTGCTTCCGCTTCCCCGCCACAGCGCGTTCCTTTCACGCTCCTCGGCGACTCACGAGCAGATTCCACCAGATTCGGCGGTACATCCGAGTCTCCACCACGTACATATTCCTCGCGATGCATCGTGATAATCTCGCACACGCCAGCCGCCGCCCAGATCGGCAGCCCTAAGGCACTCCGTACGCAAGCGCCTCGCAGCTGTGACGGCGCTGTCAACACGACGACTGCTTGGACGGGGTCATCGCACAAAGCAATAGACTGTGTGCGTGTGGTTTTCGTGGCCTCGACCACTGGAGGTGCGTTTCCGGCAAGCTTGCAGGACACATCGCCACATGCAGGTACGCAAGCGAAAACCATGGAAGACCCAGACGTTCCGATGCCGCCGCCTCAGCCTTTCCCCTAGTGCCTGCGCCAAGTCTAGAGCTGTCCGAGAGATGACCGCGGCGTGCAGGCCTGAGCTGCTAGTATTGTAGCACAACTACCGGCCGTCTATTTTTGTACTGTCTCCAGTGTGGCTGCTGCAGGAAAAGCAGTGGCGTATTCGAGATCCAGTTTTGAAGGAAAAATCGCTAGGGGGAGCTGGGCAGCCTTGCAGCGCCAGAACTACGGAACAAATTCCAGCCTCCGCATTCCATTCAACCCGATGTGTTTTTTTTTCGAGAGCCCAGTCGCCAAGGGAGCACGTTGGCTGGTCGATCAGTGCATCTCTGCCCTACAGACCGCCTCTTGAACTCAGCCAACAATTTCCCCCTTTCTCTCATCAAGGGCGGACTACCGCTGCTATGCCGTGGAGACTCTTCCTCTGCTACCTTCACGTCTCAACAAGGTCATCCTGTGCTCTAAAACCATCTCGGCTCCTTGGCGGCCTGAAAGCATTTACGTTCCCTTCGAGGAGACTTTCCCGACATGTGCCCGAGGAAGAACTTCGTTCCCTCGACCCGAGTGAGCAAACCCTGCTCCCATGGACGCCTGCTGAAATGTGGTCCTCCCGTCAAGCTTGACCAAGTTTCTTTCCTTCCGTCCACTGTTTCACGATTTCATCACAAGCAAAACAACGCTGCTGGCAAGTCAAGCGTCGCCGACGTGTAAATCTCACGGGTCAGGGTCTCGCGACTCCGGCATGCCCTCCGCGCGGCTCCACAGCGAACCGTGGTTTACTACATGCGCGACTAGCTATTGTCAGATGCCGCTGACCTCGACGCGTCTGCCAGCATCAAGGCACAAAGGCACGTCGTCAAGCATCTCCAGGGGTAAATTCCAGGTTCGCACCCTCGTCCACTGACGGCTCCGCGCTTTCTTCCCTGTCTTCTTTCACTTCCATCGCGACACCTCCTAACCTGCTCTGGCATCCGGTCAGGGCAACATTTCCCGTACCTAACGTCGGGAGTAGCCTCTCCTCCCCGCATCCGAATCGATGGTGGCAGGTAAACGTCGGCATGACTTGCAGCGCGCGTCATGCAAATCGAGGGGGCCGCACCGGGTCGCAAAGAGATAAGCTAGATCGGATGCTGCTATATCTCCGTTTTCGATAATTCTACCGTTCCCTCCGACGATCAACAGAATCGGAACGTCTCTGAGGTTCGTCATGAGAAACGTTGCGATATTCCGGGTGATCGCTGGGAGATCGGCCGATCCTTGAACACAGCTCTGACCAACAAGCACCACCCCGATATTCTCACTGCTCACAACATCTTCTCCTTCACCGCTATATGGTCTATGCAGCACAGCTGATGATGGATGCAAGAATCTGATGGTGGATGCAAGAGCCTGATGGATGTCTGAACCTCTTCCCAGAATCGAACTTTTCTAGCTGTTTGCGACCTTGCCTGCATCGATCGTCGCAACGGTAGGAAATTCCTGACGGTAATTCAGCCGCTTTCAGTTTTTCAACCACCAGACCACATGGCATTTCTGCACGCCTGGATACAGTCCAATGATCTACAAGCTTCCAATGGCGGAATGCGGGGAAATTCGTATTCCTCGCAGTAGTCTGGGGTGAATCTACGTGCACATACAATATCACGACACATGACTTTTCCCGATCTGGCGAACTCCTTGCAGACCCTTCTTCTTTCGTCTTCTGATGCCCAAGGTAGGATTTTTCTCATCCGCAATGCTTAGTCCTCGCATCTAAGGGTCTCGATGTTCCTTCGCGCAAGACTTCGTAAACCACGTCGTCTCTGATTCGCTGGCAATCCTCTTTATGCAAAGCCCATCACAATTTCCTTACATTGCGCAGAATCTGCCTGTATACATCCCCACACCCATGATTCTTCCGCAATCCAATCGCATTGCTATCCACGCCCCTCTTACTCCATCCTCTACCCACCCTTACCACATCGATCTCTTTCATCCCCTCCCTAGCTCATCTCTGAACCCCAGACTACACCCAGTCCACTCCCTTCACACCCCTACCTAGAATCAAGAAACCTTCAGGCATTTACGCCATGCGCCTGCCTACCCCCATCATGACCCTTTCGGCAACGCCACACCCCTACCCGTACCACCCTTACACCCACCCTTCGACCGCCTGGTCGCTCCAGATCTACAAACCGCCCCTTCTCCATCCCCTCCCTCCTGCACATCATACCTCCCAAAACGCCACGCAGCTACCACAACCTCCCTGCCCTCCCCAAGGCTCAGTCCAGCCACCCGTCGGCCTGACTACCCCCCTCCCCTCCCGCACCCCTATCACCACAGCCGCCAAATGCGCGCTGCGGCCACTCAGCCGCTCGGCCATCCTCCCCAGACCACCTCGCACCCAACCTTTCCCAGAACACGCCCGGAAGCGCGCACAGCGACGGGCCAGTGACTTCCCGCACGTCGCGTGTTCGGGAATGTGGAGATGAGCGCAGTCGCGGAAAACACGGGCGTCTCTATCGCCTGTGTGGGGCGGGTTAGGGAATTACCACGCCTTCCATCGACACACGGAACTCGTTATTTACCAACCCTCTATCTCGCCTCAGGACTGGCCTCGCACGTGGCCAAATGGCCGCACGCAGCCGTTCGCCATTTGCTCGTGTTCGTTGCATCCATCCATCCATCCGCCCCCGTCCAGCACACGACTCGCAATAGTAAAGGGCCCTCCAGGTCCTCCACGTAAATCTCACACGCTGTGTCGAGGACAGTCAGATAAGCTTAGTAGATATATTCATTTCGATTTTGTCTGTGTGTCTGCATATGCACATCCTTCGTATCTCTATCTCTCTCTCGCGCGCGCTCTCGTAGTGCTCGAAGCGGGTGTTGCAGCGCCTAAAAGCAGCCATCCGCCATCCTAGAGCCAGAAAGCCTCCCACAGAGATGCCATAGAAAAAGGAAAAGGAAAATCCGCCGTATGTATGTGTAGCTCGTAAAATCATAAACGAAAGTGTTTTGCATATGATATGCATGCATCGCCGTAGCCATCGTCTGCCTCACCCACTCATCTGCATCCTCCGCTCTACCAGAACCCCGCTGGTTCGTAGGAAGATTGGTGTAAGCAGCGGCATAATCCGTAAAAAGCCGTTTTTCGATAAGCTCCGTTTGCGTTGCGACAATCGACAGCGACGCATACTTCTTCATAGCTCGTCTAAGTACCGCGGAACAAGAACTGCAGATCTTCCGGACTCAACTTATCCATAGCGACCTTATCGTTGTTGATAGTGCCGCTAATCATGGCCGCCTTCTTCTCCTGCAGCAGGACCATGCGGCTCTCGACGCTGTCTTCGATGCAGAGGCGGGTGATGACGCAGGGACGCTTTTGGCCGATACGGTGGCAGCGGTCGGCGGATTGCCATTCGGCGGCTGGGTTCCACCACCTACGATAGGGTTAGCAGACAGATATTGAGACTGGGCCTGTTGGTTTGGATAGCACTTACGGATCAACGATAAACACCCTTGACGCCTCGGTCAGATTCAGCGCCACGCCGCCAGCCTTCAGCGAAACGAGGAAGACCTCCACTTCGGCGTTGTTCATGAAGTACTCGATGCTCTTCTGACGCTGAGCGGGAGTCATGCTTCCGTCTAACATGACCGTGTTGAAGCCCGCGCGTCGGAGACGCCACTCGATCAGCTGTAGCATAGACGTAAACTGGCTGAAGACGATTGACTTGAGTGTCTGCTTCTTGCTGCGCAGCTTGTACAAGTCGTATACAAGCATCTCAATCTTGGTCGACGAGGTCCAGTTCTCCATCTTGATACGGTTGATGATGGAGGTTTTCTTTACCGACTCTTCGTCCTGCTCAATATCCGGTTGATCAAAGTCGATGGTAAGCGGAATGTGGCAGCGCGGGCAGTCGGCGACAGCGCCTTCGCCTTCGCAAGACTGGACGTAGCTCTTGACGCAAGAGCGGCAGAATTCGTGGTTGCAGCGAGATTTGATGGCCTCCTCCGCTGGTTCGTCGCAGATGTTGCAGATGAGAACATTCTGACCGCCAATAGCATGCTTCTTGAGAAGTAGGTCCGGATGGTTGGCGACTTGACGCATCTGCATGATGAGACCAAAGATATTGGCGTAGTTGTTGAGCATGACACCCTGAGAGACGTAGGTATCGAACTTGCGCGCGGAGTTTGTCATAATGGACGAGGAAAAGTCGCGCTCAATGTCGCAGAAGAACTCGTTATGGATGACGACCTCCTTTGGTGGAAGCTCCATCGAAGAGGTATTGTCGTTCTTCATGCGGCGCAACATGATGCGAGAAGTAATGAGGTGGAGCTTGTCCATAGCTTCATCGCGAAGCTCTGCATCGTCACCGGTGATTGGGTTAAGCAATTCCTGGTTGAACACCGAAACATGTTCGGAGCCACCGTGATTGCAAGCAACACACATATGGTCATCGTCGAGACTCCAGTGAAGTTGCTCGCAGTCGCAGGATCGACAAAAGTAGTCGGCGAAAGGTCGAACCTCGAGGAATCGAAGCAGCGAGAAGAATTCTCCGATACGGTTCTGGACTGGAGTACCAGAAAGGCACCACTTATAGGTAGCCTTTAGAGCGAAGCAAGCTTTGGCCACACCAGTGGTCCGCTGCTTGATGCTGTGAGCCTCGTCCAGTATGAGACGGTGATAAGTGATCGCATGGAGAGGCGAAGACTCTTTGATAATGTCCTCACCGCGAGCCCAGCCCTTGGTTTCCTTGCGATAGAGGGACTCTAGACTGTTGTAAGAAACCATGATGACATCGTATTTCATCAGCTGTTTGGCGGTGGCTTTCTTGGATTTGGCGTTGGTGCCGTGATAGACCAAGACATTGAGCTTCCCATTTGTGTACGCGCTGATTTCGTTGGACCACTGCATAAGAGCAACTGGAGGAACAACTACTAAAGTTGGTGACTTGGCAGGGTAGTCCGACATGATGAGCGAGACAGCCTGGATCGTCTTGCCCATGCCCATCTCGTCACCAAGAAGACCTCCTTTATAGTGGGTTTTCTCCTGTCGAATCATCCAGCTAAGGCCTTCGAGTTGGAAGGACTTCAGCGTCCGATTGATATCAGCTGGTTGTTCCGCTTGCATGGTCTCCAGAACGGGAATTGCTTCTAAGTCTTTCCACATGGTGGTGAGCTTTGGATGTGCCTCTTCGAGCCTATCTCGATTCATAGCCCGCTTTCTCTCCCAGCGATCCTCGATGTGCGCGAATCGTGACATTCGTTGAGCATTTGCGGCCCTATCCTTCTTCGCTCTCCTGGGCTTCCACTTGGTCCTGCCCCTGCCCTTGATTGAGAGAAGCCTAGCTTCTAGACCGTTCGGATCAACTTCATTTTTCGGAGCAGGGGTCTCGAGAGCCTCTCCATCGCTCTCAGGCTCTGTGCTGAGAAGCGACTCATCCTCCAGATTGAATTCATCGTCTGAATCGGCAATGGACTCGAGGTCGCTTGGAAGAGCAAGGGACTTGCGGGCGCTGGAGCTAGCCATGCGCGATGGACGGGATTGTCGCACAGATGCCTTCGCCTTGCCTTTGGTCTTTGACGCCAGCGCACTTCCACTGGCCTTGGGTGGATCGAGAAAGTCTAAGTCCATCTCTAAGAGCTCATCGTCGTCGGAGACCTCAGGTTTTCCGGTCGAAGTGTACGCATTGTAGCCTGACTTGATGCGCTTTGAGCTAGACGCAGTCGCATTGGCGGCATTGTATTCCTCTTCTTGCAGCGCCCTGGCTAGCTGAGCATCCGCAGACATGTCCACGGACTCCGCTTCATCATCATCCGTGTCTACAATAGCAAGGCGAGAGCGCTTGCGCTTTCCAGCAACGTTGGGAACCAGACGAGTTGGTCGGGCCTTGCCGCGGACTGACACAGCAGGTGTCGTAGAGAGGCTAGTTGCAGGTGTGTCGTTATCGGAATCTTCGAAAGAAGCAGAGTCGACGGGAGATGTGGAGGACGCAGTCTCCACACCAGCAGATGCATTGGCCACAGCCAGCTTGCCCTTGCCCTTCGACCCAGAAAGTCCTTTGACGGGAGTCATTTTCTTAGCGGGTATGGCAACCTCCTTCAGCAGACGTCGAACCAGTGGTTTGCTCGGCAGAACCTCAATGACCGAGTCGTCGTCTTCTAAGTCGGAGCTGTTTGGTATGGAGGAGCGAGAGGCTCTGGTGCGGGCGTCGAGGGTCGAAGGCGTGCCTGTCGCCTTGCCGGTGGATAGTGGGGTAGCGGCTATGGAGCGATGAATACGTTAGCATGCGTAAAGTGAGAAATAGCGAAAGGCTGCATTTCGCGCGAAAGAGCAGTCTCCTCGGTTTAATGAGGATGGGACATACATGAGAGTTTGGCCTTGCGGGCGGGACGTTCGCGTTCTCGCATGAAGGGCAGGTGTTTGCCCCAGAGGCAATTTGCTTTCGAGAAGGCGTGAGACGAGGTTTGTGGATGTAGATGGAAGAGTGTGGCGAGTGATGGAGGAGGTGGAAGGTGGAAGGTGGAAGGTGAAATGGCTTACTTCAATGATGGATGGGTCCTCGCTGCGGGCACGGCGGGCGAGATAAAGCCTCCCCCCTGACCGCGTCAATGAGCGAGCACGCTAACGCGAGGGACGGGATTGTCCCTCGGTGGCAAATGCCTGGGTACGGTCCAAGGGACCACTCAAACGAAGCGGAAGAAGGCCTCTAGAACAAATGGATTGGCCAAGATGCAAATCACAAAGGATGGGGTTGCCGTTTCGTTGAAAGACTGGTGAAAGATTTCCTTCATGGTGGGGAGGGCACGCCAGGCAGCGATGTCTTGGCAGTACGTGTTCACGTGACACTTAAAGATGGTCATATAAAATCTCGCGTGCATCGTCTCATATACAATTGAAGGACATTCTCAAGTCGATTAGATTATCATAGAATGGTCAGGAAAGTGCTATTCACCCGTCGTATAGCAGGTTTCTCGACTCTTTTTCAGAAGCCTGATCGTTTGTGTAATGCATTCTCTATGCATTCCATTGTAGCGCTATGTTTTAAGGAAAATGCTTGCTCGCAAACATTGGTTTGAAAAGAACATGAATTATATCTCAGATGCTCAGAAAATATGGGTATCGCCCGTAACGCCCCTACCAGAGCGCCTAGAATGACTATGCTGAGAGATCAAGACTAGATCCTCGGACCATGCTCCCCCATGAAGTCGTCGCTCAACAGCTTGGACTCCTCCGAAGGGGTATAGACGAAGCCGCCTCCCCGTTTCTCTTTCAACTTCGACTCCATGATCAAACCTATTGCGCCCTCCTCATCCGTGTGCGCGCGCTTCTCTCTAAAGTCACGGTCGCTTTCGCCTGGCATCTTAAACGTGATGTGTCCAAAGTCAATCATCCGCACTTTGTACCTCTCTGTGATCGGATCCCATGCTACGACGGAGTTCCGGACGTTGACGTCGTCGTTGCAGATGTTGTGTGCGGACATGGCGTTGACGATGCGAATGGCGTCCTCGCATATGTACTGCCACGTCTCTCGCGGTGCTCCAGGGTCGCCTTCGTATAGGTCGCTCAGAGGAAATCCTTTGATGTACTGGAGCAAAATCCCCGGGCAGTCATAGAATTTGGATGTCTCTGTCCCGGAAGTACATCTGGACATGTTGTACTCGAGCAGCTCCACCGTAGCTATGCATCGCGGGACGTCGATTCCGTGCATGTCCCTAGTCCGCCTATAGACTTCGGACTCCTGCTTGTACAGCCGCCGGATGACGTTTTGGTAGTAAAGCTCATTTTGGGCAGCGTCCCATTCCTCACCGTCCTCGAAATCCTCATCGCCTGGCCATAGGGATTCGAAGCCCTCCATCCTCTTCAGAAGCTTAGATGCGGCATCTCTGTCGTTGAGCACATACTGTTGGTATTTGTGCTCAAGTTCAGGATCCCAATAAGGATCGCGGGATTGCCCTCGGAAGTCGCATGAGAAGTGGCGATCATATAGTTTGAGGATGAACTCGCCCTTCAAATCCAGTGCGGGATAGTGCAGCCGTACCAGCAAGACTGGCGACATGGTGAATGGCAGAAAGCATTTGAGGATTTCCGCTTTGACGGTGTGATCCTTCTGCTCTGGGACCAAGCCGCTGCGGATTCGGAGACTGATGAAGTTCCCTACAATGTAGGGCCACCTGTAATCTGTTAGTGATGTTCGAGAAATGTTCTAGGAATGCTACTTACTGGTCTTCGGTGTTCTCAAACACAGTTGCAGTCGAGTATTCGCGGATGAAGTCGGGGCAGCTGGCCACCCTTCGCAATGGGGGTGTGGTGGGGGGCATTGTTTTTGTGCGGTTGTGTGGAGTGTCGAGGGAAGATGAAGTGTTTATGACTAGATACGTGTTTGGTGTGGGGCGCCCCAGACATGTGCGATCCTATTGGCTCATTCACTTCACTGAATGCTAGCCTGCCAGGAACAGCACCGACTACCACCTGTGAATTGGAGGCCACGATGGATCTGCCTACAAAAGGTCTCTCTCAATCGGGGCTCCCTCGACATCATCAAACACCTTCTACACACACATCACCACAACCACCAATCACACTCTACCAACCACACCTTTACCTTTCCAATACCTACATCAACTCAACAGTTATAATGGTAAGTCGCCCGGTCAGGGACCCCCTGTCCCTGCAACTAATCAAGAAAACCGTCCTCAAACTGACCGCGAATTAGCCTGGCCGTCCTCAGCCCACCAAGCGTACCGTCTCCAACTACATTGGCGACATGAAGACACCCAAGTTCTACTGGAACAAGGGCAACTGGAACCAGTGCCACGGCGATAACAAGGGCACGACTGGTGGCAAATATACCACTGAAACCATGATCAGCTCGACCACCCCTGCCAAGTACCTCGTACGCGTGTGCCAAAAGAAGAAGCCAGTCGCCAAGTTCGACATGCCAGATCTCGAGCACGACGGGGTCCCTACCGACGAAGAGGTCCTAAAGGAGCTGCAATCGCGCCTTGGCTAGGCTTGGATGACACCGTCTGGGGTTCCTCAATGCTTATTGTACCTGTACAATGTCAGCAACTACGGCGGCTGATCTGGTTCAATTTCCTTCTCTTCCCGATTTGGGTTTCTTTTTCAGCACACAACAGTTCTATACATGGGCGTTGGGCCTGATTTGGAACGGAGTATCGGGCGAAATGGCGTAGGTGCGATGGATCTGAGTTGGCTTCTGCTTATGATACCCGTTGTCAAATAGACAGCACAACAGCAGCTAATTGTCATTGCTTTCTACATACATACTTCCTAATTGTGAATTAGCTGTGATGATTTAGCAATCGACTGACGTCTGCAGCTTACCAAATATAGGTGACACTGTCTGAGGTGCTCCAACGCCTTGTAAAAGATCTAGATACAATGCCTCGTTATAGAAATCCGTACAGCTGCTTGCCACTGTCTATGGGCCTTCAACGCGCTAAAAGAAGCGGATATGCTTCCAATCTGTGTACACCCTGTTGACGCCGTCTGGAGTAGCCTCACGAGTTTACCAGTTGTCCAAAATGCCGAAGTTCTCTCTTATTCGGAATGTGGAAAATACTATGAAGCTCTTCATGCAGCGGCAAACGAGTGTACGGATTTCTATGATGAGGCATTGTACAGTGCCTTGCCATAGATATCCGTATACTTCCGTGCCACTGTCTGTGGGGCTTCAACATACTAATAGAAACCGGGGGCAGCGGATACACTTCCAATCTGCGGTCACCCTGTTGGCGCTGTCTGAGGTAGCCTCGCAAGTTTACTAGTTGTCCAAAATACCCAACTTCTCTTTTATTCGGAATGTAGAAAATACTCCGAAGCTCCTCATGCAGCGGTAAACGAGTGTACGAGTTTCAATGATGAGGCATTGTAGCATGTACTTTGTAGTAAAGCGCAAACCTTACTGATCCATGAATTGGCGGTGACCCAACGACTTCATAAGCTTGAATGATCACGACGTTGAACTAAGAATCTGATTCTCCGCAGCTCCCATGAGAAGCTTGATACTGCCATGCTAAAGAGAATAGATATACCTTTTCAAACGCCATCGCTGAATAGTCTTCAATCCAATAACCCTAATAGAGAAACCCAAGAAGTGAATAATCCCCTAGACTCCAAAAACGTCTGCATGGCTCTGGTCATTCATGAGGAACGGCTCTCCACCCCTTGGTTAGCCTTCCTTCGCTGCAACCTCTCCTTCGCTGCCCGCTTTCGGTCTTCATCAACCGGACCACGTCTCGAGCTTGTAGAATTCGTCTTCACCTGCAGACTATCTGGTCTGATCTGTGGTCTGGTCTCTCCACCTGCTGAAATCTTTTCCCGCAGACTGGCCGGGTCGGCTGTCTTTTGACGGAGACTGTCTGACCTCGGTTCTCCACTCATCGACACCTTGCGAAGATTCAAGTGCCTTATTCTACCGGAGCGCTCGACCTTGGAAGTACTGTTCGAGCGAGCAGGGAGCGGTGCGCTGGAGATGGGCAATGCCATGCGGTCCATGTCCATGGGGCTGGAAGGCATCCAGCAGTCAGACGAAGAAGGGAGTGCGAGGCCTGAGGGAGACTTGGGTGGAAGGTTCTCCTTGTTGATAGTAGTCGGCAAGCGGACACTGAGCGGAGTGTTTGACTTTGGCTGAATACCAGAGGCGGATGGAGTTGGGTGATTGGACTCAGGGGCGGTCGAGCGGCGTGGACGTCGCGGTCTAGCTGAGGCCGATGGACTCTCGGCGCTGTCTTCCTTACGGCTCGCGGTAAGGACGGGCTTCGTCAGGATCGTTTTGCGGTATTCCCTGGCAACAGATTCGGTGGGATCCTCATGTACACGGATAGTGTTCTTGGTCTGGACCTCTGGCTTCACAGGATCCTTCTGCTGAGCGGCCGCAAGCTGCTGTTTGAGCATTGAAATCTCCATGCTGGCCCTAGCGTTCTCTGCCATAGCCTGCCGCAAGCGCTCCTGGTAGTCCTTCATTTGCTCCTCTAGAGTCTTCTCCTGTTGCCTGTGCCGTTCCTGCTCCTCTTCAAGCTTGAGTGTCAGTTCTGTGGCATCCCCGTCCTTCTTCCTTGCGAAACTTCTAGCTATTTGCTCCTTCTTGATAAGCCTCCTCATTTCATGTTCGCTCTGTTGCGAGTAGGACATGAACTGTTCCTTCCAGTACTTGCCAGACGCAGAACGGGGCTCCATGTAATCCAGCGTGAGATCCTGGTCATCCTTGGCTCTCGGTTTTGTCGTCGTCTTCGTCTGAATAGAGTCTCGCGCGTCGTACAGAGCAGCAGTAAGCTTGGTTCGAGGTTTCTTGTCAGACTGGGCTAGGAGCTCAGTCCCAGGCGTCCACGGACTTGGGAATTTGCCTGGGCAATCGTTGGGTATGCCGCTTTTTCCGGTCTTTGTACCTTTCTTTCCTGCATTTTCCGCGACCTGAGCACCAAACGACACTGTTTTGCGGCCTTTGGCCGCAGTTCCGGGCGTCATCAGGATGCCATTCTTGACTGGAGACAGGACTGGCGCGGCTTCGCGGCTTCCATTCGCTTCTACAGGAACCAAACGCGGTTTGGAATCCTTGAGCTGGTTTGTCCTAGATTCTCCATTCTTATTCGAGGCCGCAGCTTTCTGTTCAGTTTGGTCGGGATGAGGTGTTCCGAAGAGTGCTTGTTTGAAGGCTTTGACGGCGAAGACGGGCGCGGGAGTATCGGGGGGGTCGATGTACGTGGTATCTACGTGAGCTATGGAGTTTTAGTTGTTGAGAACATGTTTGAGCTTGTCATCGACTTACCAGACTGGAGGTCTTCCACCACATTGGTGATTCGAGGACCTGTAATCCACGAAAACATGGCGATTTTGAGTCAGACAAGAGTCAAAAGCCAATTGGAATGTCTAGAGGTTGCTATAGACCTAGCATTGGTGTTTGAGTGACCGTAGTGGTGGGGTGGGCTCCGCAGTCGTGGTGTTTGGGTGTTGTTTACACTCGGGAATTGCGGGGTCTTGGTGGTCTTAAGCTTTTGAGGCGTTGATGCGTTTGTTTTGCTGTCGCGTCCGCTTTCTATGGGAAACAACGGTGAATGGACTCTTGCTTAAAGCGTAGGTGAGATGGCGAGGAAGGCGCGAGGCTCTTGGGCGCAATTGAACTGGTGTTGGAATCTGCACCTCCAAACTTCACGCGCCTTGGGATCTCGAAACGCTTGGGCCACCCTGAGTCATTCCGCTCAGCTGGCAATGCCGCATTTGAGTCCGATGGACTGAACGTGAGTCTTTCATATACAACACCACCACCTACAAATTTCACCTCATAACGCACTATGTACACAGTGCTGTAAAGGCTAGCAGCTCCGGCTGCTGCGTGTCTTCTGCTCTCCTCTCCATTGAGCTGGCCATCCAAAATACCTTACACTGCCCAATATGGCACCTCCGAAATCGCCTTGGAACAAGATAGCAACAAATGCCTCCTCTCAGAATGCCTTCCCAGCCATGGGGATGGGAAAGTCTCCTACCAAGGAAAACAAACCTGCTACTCCGGCCTCTGCACCTGTGTCGGAGACTTACGCCAAAGCTCAAGACGACGAGATAGAAGTATTGCAAGCAATCTTCCCCGATGAGTACGAAGAGGTTGAGTTCAAAGGCGCTTGGAGCGTATGTATATTCTATATCATCTAGAGTGTTTCAATAAATTTTCAGACATCTCGATCTAGCAGCCCTTCCACCTTATACCTTACACTATCCATAGCGCCAAGCTTTGATATTTTCACAGCTTTCTGAACGCGAACTGAAGCATCTCAAACAGCGTCAACCAAATTTCGATAGACTAAAGCCCTAGCATTGACGATGAGACTAGAAAACCACAGACCGCACTTTTCGCCTCCGGTTGAAGCCATTCTCGGAAAGTGATATTGTCGCAGTCCTTTCAGTGAGGTTACTGGCCACGTACCCGAAGACGGTTCCAATCCTCGTACTTGAGAATGCAACTCAACTACGTCCAAAGACTCGCCAGAAGATTGAGGCGCTAATCAAGACGAAACCAAAAGAACTTCTGGGTGAGGTAATGATTCACGAAATCGCTACGGCAATTCAAGACATACTTGAAGACGACGTAACGTAAGTATAATCCAGCCCTCACACTAGTCCTTTTCACAAATTATGTGTACACTCGTTTTCTACGGCCTGAAGTGGCACGGCTATCAAAACGAGCAACTTCGTTTTGTATCATCCAGCACATATGCGAGCCTATCTAAAACTGGGTTCCCTTATTTCTGCTGTCTGAGGTAGTTCTTGAAGTTTAGCCATGGTTAAAAACGCACACTTCATCATGTGTTCAAAGTCTTGGAGCTTATTGAAGCAAGCCAGGCAGCGGCAGACGGGAGTACGGCACTCATAAAACGCAATCATTTATTCATCAACGCCCTTTCCTATTTTATGAACATGTATTAATCATATCCAAATACAGAGCCCGGGAACACGATGAGACGCTGCCGAGTCTTGAAGAAGAGCGAGCCGTTCACGAAGCGGCCGCGAATCTGCTAGCCAAGGAACAAGAAGAAGAAAAAATTAAGAAAAAGGTAGAAGAGAAAGCCGAAGAGGACCGAGTGATGCAACAAATGGTAGAAGAAGAGCTGCGGCGAAAGGAACTCATGGTAAAACGAAGGAGCCGGCCCACAATAGGTCAGACGCCTAGCTCCTCAGCAGCCGGAGTGTCTCTTCCTGCCCATGTAACCTTCGATCGTCTGGTATCATTGCAAGATGACGGCAATCGCATTGACTTTGATACCGTAACGGGCCTCACAAAGCTTCACCAGGGACCGGTGACGGAAGTGCTCCTAGTGCAACCTACAGGCTTTCGAGATACCCTGCTTGCCCTTAAGAAGACTAAAGTGTACAGCTCTGAACCGAGCAGCGAGACCCGCCTCAAGAGAGCTATTCTTGAATTCGAAAACGATCTCGAAGAACTCAAGAAGCTGAGGCAGTCAAATATCGTACACATTCTCGACTTCAAGATACAAAGGCTGGATAACCAACCAAGTGGAGCGGCATGGGACATCAACATCCTCACAGCGTTTGCCAATCGAGGGTCGCTTCGTGAGAAGTTAGAAGAAGATGGGTCATTAGCAACTGATAGAGTTCGTTCTTGGTCAATTGAGCTACTAGAGGCGCTCGATTTCTTTCACCGTAACGGTGTAGTCCATAAGCGCATTCATCCAGGAAACATTCTTCTTTGTCGACCGCCCAGTGGGGGCGCAACATTCACGAAACTTGCAGACGCCGGGTACCAAGAGAGCCTCTATAATCTCAAAGATCTTACGCGAGCCACTGCTCCGTTCTCGACGCCAAGGTCTGCATTTTGGGTGCCGTCAGAGCTTTCGCAAGAGGTTTCAACCCGACGTACAAGAAAGACCGATGTTTGGGACCTTGGCGTGGTATTTCTCCAGATGCTTTTTGGGCTTGGAACTCCGCAGAAGCACGCTTCACCTACGGCGCTCATCACGGACCTTCAGCTGTCGGATGCATTGGGTGACATAGTTCGAAAGTTCTTCAGACCAGATCCCAAAAAGCGTCCGTCTGCTTTCGACTTAATACCATGCGAGTTCTTACGAAACGATATCCCGGTATATTTTCGGCCTATTTCACCTGTCCATTCGAGAACACCTTCAACTTCCTTTGCGATTCATGGCCGGCGAGCACGTCGAGAGTCGTCAACGGGGGTTCTAAATCCATTTTCGAGATACGCAAGTGAGTGGGCGGAAGCTGGCCGTTTAGGGAAGGGCGGCTACGGTGAGGTTGTAAAGGCACGCAACAAGCTCGATGGGCGCTTTTACGCCATCAAGAAGATCAAGCAGAACTCAGCCGCCGCGCTCACGGAAGTCTTGTCCGAAGTAATGCTTCTGTCTCGTCTTAATCACCCTTGTGTAGTACGTTATTTCACGGCATGGCCAGAGGAGGAGGCAACCACCGTATCGGAAACTGACGGGGAATCCTCAAATACCTTCACTAGGGATGATTCGTCGGAAACGTCCCAAAGCGGGGATTTTGTCGAATTCGGAAGAAGCACTGGAGGACTCGACTTTATAAGTTCCAAGACTGGTTTTGACGACGAGTCGGATTATGAGGACGACGAGGACGACGACGGGGTCGTATTCGGCACAAGTGGTGATGAAAGTGGTAAGCTTGCTATCCCCCCAAAACCCGATTCGAATTGCTGTACACAGTATCTCGCAGTAGTCTGAAGCCCTCCAACACGCTCGAAAGGATCTTAGCTGACGATTCCGTACAGAAGAAGAGGACGGTGATGGCACCAGCGGTTTCAAGTCCCTCCCAAAAGCAACGCGCATCACTTCCAATTCCCGCCCAGTCAAGACGACCCTATACATACAGATGGAGTACTGCGAAAAGCAGACGCTTCGTGATCTTATACGGAAAGGGCTGTACGAAGAGCCTGAGGAATACTGGAGACTTTTGCGTCAAGTCCTTGAAGGCCTTGCACACATCCACGGCCACGGAATCATCCATCGTGACCTTAAGCCAGACAACGTCTTCATAGATGTGGCAAAGATTCCTAAAATTGGCGATTTCGGCCTGGCTACTAGTGGCCAGTACCATCGCGTGGACAAAGGCGCATCATCTAGCAACAACATCGACGGCGATATGACTCACAGTGTCGGAACGGCTTTATACGTGGCACCGGAACTACGATCAGGTGCCGGTGGTAGTTACAACGACAAAGTCGACATGTACTCATTAGGTATCATCTTTTTCGAGATGTGCCACCCCTTGAAGACCGCAATGGAACGCGACCATGTCATCAGAGCCTTACGAGAGAAGCAGCACACTTTACCTGATGACTTTCAGGGAGCAGAAAAAGCACTCGAAGGCAGTATCATCACGTCTTTAATCAGCCACCGACCTAGTGAACGCCCTAGTTGCGTGGAATTACTCCGAAGCGGCAAGGTTCCTCTCCAAATTGAAGATGAAGCCATTAAAGAGGCCTTGAAAGCCCTATCCGACCGAAACTCCCCTCATTACCAGAAGATGATGGCCGCGCTCTTCTCACAGAAACCGGACAACCAAGTCAAGGATTTCGCATGGGACATGGGTACTGCTACCGGAGTGCACAGCCTGAAGGCTAGTGATGTAGGGCTGCAAAATCTTATCGAAGATCGCCTGTCTATGATCTTTCGAAGTCACGGCGCCGTCAAGACGCAGCGCCAGTTGTTGTTGCCTTGGGCTGATCACTACTCGAACAGCAGCGTCGTCAAGCTTTTCGATACGTCCGGCACACTAGTCCAGCTGCCATATGACCTGACATTGCCGTATGCGAGAAGTCTCGGCCGAGGAGCGCCGACCCTAGAAAAGACATATACCATAGGAACGGTCTTTCGTAACAACTATGCTATTGGTGCCCCACGCAGCAATGGCGAAGCCGATTTCGATATCGTTTCTTACGACACCCTCGATCTCGCTTTGAAAGAGGCAGAGGTTATAAAGGTGATAGACGAGGTCACACAAGACTTCCCTTCGCTGAAGTCCGCTCAGATGTGTTTCCACCTGAATCATTCAGATCTGTTGGAGCTCATCTTAGACTTTTGTCGCATCAACGTCCCGTTACGCCCATCCGTTAAGGAAGTCCTCAGCAAGTTGAACATCCAGCCATTCACCTGGCAGAAGATCCGGAACGAACTACGCGCCCCCGAGATTGGCGTCTCATCGACATCATTGGACGACCTTGCCAAGTTCGATTGGAGAGACTCGCCGGAGAAGGCCTTTGCTAAGCTACGAAGAACCTTCGAAGGCACGAAGCACTTAGAACAGACACATGCTGTGTTTGCTCACTTGAAGACTGTCATCGCCTACATGAAAAACTGGGATGTGAAGCGCAAAGCATACATATGCCCGCTTAGTAGTGTGAACGAGAAGTTCTATTCCGGCGGCATCCTATTCCAGTGCCTGTACGATAGTAAGCGTCGCGAAGTCCTCGCGGCTGGAGGACGATACGATCGGCTCATCGAAGAGTACTGCCCCAAGGGCCAGTCGCAGCTTACCGGAACTCACGCTGTAGGTATGAACTTGGGCTGGGATCGACTTATCAGTTCAATGGCCAGATACCTGAAGAACCCACCGAAGAGCCATTTCCTGAAGAAGGGCGCGGCATCAAAGGATGGCGGCGACGAAGAACCAGAGCATTCCTGGATACCTCGCCGCTGTGATATACTAGTTGCTAGCTTTGATTCCACTATCCTTCGATCCACCGGTGTCAAACTTGTCTCAAGTCTCATATGGCAAGGTTTCAATGCTGAGCTCGCTCGAGACGCTCGCTCACCCGAAGAGCTCCTCTCTCACTACAAAGACGACAACATCAGCTGGGTGGTGATCATCAAGCACGACGCTTCCGCAAGCGGCAAGCCCGACATCAAAGTCAAGAGCATCGACAAGAAGGAAGACACGGATATCCGCAGTACCGAGCTTCTTTCTTACTTGAAGGCCGAAATCCGCGACCGGGACCAGCGCGAAGGCGCCAGTCTTCAACAACGCCATGCACTCTCTCGAACCATCAGTGGGAAAGACGACAGCTCATCTTCCTCGCCGAAAGCAGATGTAGATGTCCTAGTCGCAGAGCGCAAATCCAAGAAGACCAACAAATGGGGCATAATCGAGGCCGCCCGGTCTCGCTCCAGTGATTTACTTGACACGTTCAAGTCGGCGCCTATTGCTGCTATCGAGACGAAGGACGAGATTATGGACCTGGTGAGGGATACGAGGCTGAGCGATCCGGATAGCTGGAGGCGTGCGATCCAGAGCTTGCCGTTGGTGGAGCGGAAGTATCTGCAGGACCTGCACGATTTGCTCCTTAAGTATGCTAGTAAGTGGCGGGAGGAGAAGGATAGTCTCAGGACTGGCGAAGGCGGGAAGGCGTTCGTCTACAATTTCAGGACGCAGGGGTGCTTACTTTACGATTTGGAGGCATGAAAGCCGTACATAGACTTGGTTGTCAATGCCTGAGGTGGGCGGCTCGGCGAGGTAACAGGTTGGTTAAAACCATCAATTTCCATCGCTATCAGATTTCGCAAATCGTATCGAGCCACCACAGATGCTGTCGAAATACAATACGCAGCTGGGGCCCAGGCTTTCCTTGTAATCACGATTTCTTCCGCAACTTCTCATAACGATCGAAGTATTATTTCAGCACGTATGTACATCGCTATTGAATCACGTGGCAGAGTCGCGTCAAAGCCTTTGAAATGGGGTACTGAGGCGGGCATTCCCCGGTTCAGAAAAATTCTGAAAATATGGTACCACTCTAAATCCCGGGTAGGTTAGTCATGATCAGCTTCTGCCTTCTAGCTAGTTGGACTCTGAATATTGGAACCGCCAAGGAGAGACCAGAGCGTGAACCAGATCCAGAACGAATCATCAGAGCGTTGACTAGATAAATAGGTCCACTCATCCCACAAGCAAGGGAAAACCTTACAAAAACCTGGAGCACTGGAGACAACTCATAATAACTCATACCTCACACCCGATCAAGATGGAGAAGCAGGTCCAGCTCGCCACAGTATGCAACGACACTCCAACAGTATCCGTTACTCAACCTTCCCCGAGAACTCCGAGATCTAGTCTACTCCTTTGCTCTCCCTCAATCCGCTTTGCGCATCAGAGACTTATGGATATCACCATGGTTTCGAACGCGTCCTCTAAATCAGAGTCTTCTCCCCGACAACCGGAACGACTATGCCCTAAGCATATTTAGAACCAGTAAGCAAGTTTACGAGGAATCATCGAAGATCTTCTTCGAGCAAGCAGTATTTACCTTCGCCGCGCAAGTTTCGGGACCTAAACTGCCGATGCGGTTTCTCAACAGCCCCCAGTCGGTCTTCAAGCCACGTATAAGGCTAATACGATCTCTGGACCTGATTGTATTTTGCGAATCCTCGAGGAGTACTCTACTGTCAAGCCCCATACTTGAATGGAATCGACTCCTCGACTTGCTGAGATCGCTACCCAATTTGCGTTACTTGAGCCTCGACGTCCGCGACCACGCCAACAATATCCCCGTCCACGGACAACCCAGCATCGAGAAAGATCTGTTGAACATTGACGTCGGTAGCATACCTGTCTGCCAGTTGGACGAGGTAAAGTTACGATTCGAAGCCTTGGAAGCGGTTAGAGAATGCTGGCCTCGCTACTATCACCCTATCACTACCGACAACTTCTACTCCGCCATCGCGGCTTGGATGAACGCTCTCGCAGACGCATTACTCAAGAGCAGCTCGAGAATGCGGCCAGAGTGCACCATCAGTCACGCGGTTCTCAGTTTTAACGCCTATGATCGCGCGTTACAAGCCTGGAATAGTAGGATCCACCATACGTATGTGGCAGCTTGTCATGTCAAAGCTAACGGACGATCCATGCTCACCCGGTCTGACATGTTCAATGCAAGAACTGAGTCTTGGCTCGCCATGTCTATGTGGGTGGGCAAGTATCAGCATATCGATTTCCTAGATGAGCTGGCCGAGCCGACGGAGGATTTCGCGGACTTTGCATATCGGAGAGCGATCAAGACTACCCCAGCACTCGACCTCAGAGACAAGGGCCCTCCGCCCGTGTATGGCTTCCCTAAAGGCAAGTACGTCGACGGCAATGGCCGCGTTGAGCAAGAGGAGGACGCTGCGGCTCAGCCTTGGTGGGAATATATGACACCTAAAAATGAAGAGTATAAGTAGCGGTTGTTAAAGCCCGCTCTGCGCCAGGATCGCTATCATGAGCCGAAGCCGAAGCCAAAGCCGAAGCCAAAGCGTTGGCATGAGACAAGAAAAGGGCGCACGACGAAATGTTGGGCTCCATCAGCGACGAATACCTCCGGCCGGACGACTCAAGTTTTGAGGTAGCTCAATCTGCTATATACTCACTCATCGTTACATCACCTCCTCAATTGCTAAGGCCTCACGAAGGAATTCACACGGTATATTCAGCATGTCAGGTACCGACTTTTTCTAAAAACGCAATCTACACTTCTGTCATATATGCATCGCCTTCAGACGTTTTCGCTACAAGATCGCCAAACAGCGGGCTCTTGGTCCAAACTCTGTCCATACGCCGTGCGACACTGTGAGGTACTCCCTCATGCTTATACCAACCACTTTTTTTGGATCAAAGATGTCAATGCTATCAATGTAATCAATGCTCCCAATACTCCCAATGCTCCCAATACTCCCAATGTTCCCAATGTTCCCAATTCTGCCGAAAGCATGACCCCTATGTGTGCCTCAAGTGACCACACTTTTGCTCCAACACGTACTAAGTAGACCAAAATCGTGACCCCCACGCGTAGCCAACTCTGTACCACGCTTTCAGTAGAAGATATCCTAGCTAAACCAAAACCCTGCCCCTTCGCGTGTTCACAAAAGCATGCTCTTACCTAGGACGCAGTGGGCACAAGAAGCCACGAAATCAACCATTTCGTTGAAAAGCCTTGTAGAATCCTCTCAAGTCAGCACATCAATAGATTTACTCACAACCATTCTCTATTTTCAGAAGCCCAAAAGTTCGTATATCATGTACTGTACAATTCCCGTCCTTGCCCACCTTATAATTAATCTTGAGTAGAAAAGTCGCCATCATGATCACATTGAATCTCTTTCCCAATATGCATCCCCAAGGAAATCTCCCCTCCCCCTATTCCTTCCGTACGGAAAAGCCCTCATTCACCTCCTAAGCTTCCGGATCCTTCGCCACAACCGGCGTGTCTAGGTTCAGCCCCTCCGCCCTCGGCAGCCTACTCTCCCCCTCCTGATACGGCAACTCCGCCTTCTCCCTCGCCAAATCATTGATCCACGCGCTCTTCGGCTCAATCTTCTCCCCCTTCGCCAGCGTATCCGCCAAATACAGCCACGCAAGCGCATTGCCCACCGTGCTGACCTCATCGCTGACATGCATCGCCGCGTACTCGCTCATATCATCATACGCGGGGACGTCCGTGAACAGATGATAGAGATGCTTCGCGACGGCATCGCTATCGCCGGGCGCGACGAGGTACCCGCTCTTCTCGTGCTCCACTTGGAGCGGGATGCCGCCGGCGCGGGTCGCGATGACGGGGATGCCCTTGTGCAGCGCCTCGGAGACCTTGACCTCGAAGCCTTCGCGCGTGGAGAGCTGTAGCGCGACCTTGGCGTTGGACATGAGGGCGTTGAGGGTTTGGTCCGTGGGGCCGAGGCGCATGACGACGACGTCGTGGCGGATGTCCGGGTACTTGTTCTCGAGGAGGTCGAGGGTTTGGTCGAAGATCAGGGTGGCGTCGGGGTCGTCGATGGCGCCGTGGCCGGCGATGACGAGCTGGGGGATGTCCTTCTTGTCCATTTCGGCCATGTATTCACGGCGAAGTTTGGCGTACGACTCGAGGACGTCGGGGATGCCTTTGGCTGGATCGAAGCGGGCGACCTGGACGATGTAGTCGCGAGCGGGGAACTCGAGCCGGTCCATTCGTTGGCGGAAGCACTCGGAGTTGAATTCGTGGAGGTAATATGAGGTGTCCCAATCGCTCATCTCTTTGTTCAGGCCATCGAGCCAGTCTGTGGTGGCAGGCATGTAGCCGACCTTGTCGAAGTTGACGACACTGGGAACGAACTCTCGGACCGGGTGGCTGACGAAGACATCGGCGTCTTTGACGTTGTTCCATACCCAATTCCAGACTTCCGCCGTGGGAGTGCCGGGCTGGTCTGCCAGATCGGCACGGACTTGAATATGCGATCGGAAAATGACAGGTCGAGTTGGGTCGAGTTTCTTCGCGATCTGGACCAAGCTTGGCAATTGAGGGTCATCCACAATGATTACGTCTGCACCTCCTTCGGATCGAGGAGCCAGCGCACCCCCCTCTGAGATCCAGAATCTCTCCGCATTTTGCAAGCACCAGTCATCGAGTACTTTCTTTTGATACCCGGTTAACCGCAGGTTAGGATCTGCAACGCCTTGAAGGATGTTGTGATTGTTCTTGGTGATTCGGAAGACCTCGGGCTTCGGCTTTGGCACGTACCTTGTCGGCTGTTAGCAATATGCATGTAAAGAGGTCCTGCTGAAACGTACCAAGCTGCGTCGACGCCCACGAGACGGAGAAGTCTAATGAGAGCGTGCCTCATCAAGGCGACTCCACCACCTTGAGGCGTGCTGTTGAAAAACGCAATCCTCACGTTGTTGTCCTTCAAAGACTTGACGTATTTCATGGTCGCTTTCCAAGTTGCGTCGCCAACTGTTTCGGGGTACTGATCGAGACAGGTGATCTGCGCATGTCCTCCGGAATCCACCTCGACTTCGTTGCGGTAGCCTACCTGCACGCGAGGCTGTTGGCTCGGTCCAAAGAACCTATCAGATGTGAGTAGCCGCATATAGACAGTTGGGTAGGATTCCGTACATAAGGCACTTTCTAGCCATTGAGTCTGCCTCTTCGTCCACTGCTATACCGCGTCGGCCCGCTTTGGGGAAAGGTTCCTCAAGTCCAGTCTCGAATATAAGTGGAACGATATCCAGTTCCCACCAGAGGCGTGCTGGCAGGTTCGGACTCATTTGAACGACCTTCTTGGTCAATCCAGCTCCCACAAACTTGTATAGATGGTCCTGCTGGTATTGCCGAATCTTTTCGACAAAGTAATCGGCAAGAACTCCTGCGCGTTCCTCGGGAAGGAGAGGCGTCCGCAATCCGGATGGTGTAAGTACGCCGGAGGGAGAGTCTGTGCCTGAACGTCCGGGTGTTTCCGCTCCACTGTCAGTACCGCTGACGGCTCCTTTTCCACCCAGTGTTACAACCGCAAAATCGATGCTGTATGTGCCATCATGGGATGCGAATCCAGCGTCGACGGTTCCGCCTACTCCGTCGATTGCTGCGATGCCTATGAAAAGGGTCTATACACGAGTTTATTAGAAATTGAGTCGCTTAGGGGGGGGGTTTCGGGAAGGGCCGGTACCTGCAGGGCGACGCCATACTCGGTGTCGTCTTTGGCTGTCTCTAGCTGTTTGGTTGAAGTTTTGGCTTGGAAAGCGTGTTTGGTCTTGCGGCGGCGGAGTCCTTTGGCTTGAGGTCTGAGAGGCAACGCGTCACCGGGGCTCAGGAGAGCACCATGCGACGACATGATTGAGATGGGAGGAAGGAGTTATCAGTTGTTTGGTGCAAGTTCAACGATTGACAAGATCAGTGAGAAGTAATCAGAGTGAAGTCTATAGAATGTTAGGATGAGTTGGTGGGAGAGTGTCTTATAAGCGTGGGCTGCGCGACGTGGAGTAGTCGAGGCGGATTCTCGTATGATAATCACTCACGAGGAGGCTGAGACGGCGCGTGATCTGGCGTGGGAGGGCGGGCAATGATAAATGGAGCGTCGCAGACACGGTGACTACTAATGAGTTGAGAGTGCGGTAGCATTGGTGTAAGGAATGCGGCGGTGCGCGGGGGAATGGCTTGAGGTCCGCGAGTGGCTATCGCACAAAGACTCACGTGTTGGAAGATGGCAGGGCTTGCCGGGTGGGCTGCCAAATCGAAGCGGTGAACACATGTGGCATTGGACGTGGATGGGCCTGGTCCGGCGCAATGAGATACAATATCATGAGACTTTTCGTGACGTCGTTACACATCGCGGGCGATCAGGGATGTGCAGAACGTGGCAATCTTCGCGGGCACACGGGCACACGGGCACACGGGCACACGGGTAGCCTCGAGCTGAGACAATCCAGAGAGAGCGAACGAGAGGGCCTGCATGATGGAGGGTGACAAGCGACAGGATAATTCACTGGGAATGCATAGGATGAGTGAATGGGATGTCTCGAGGAAATCTGGGGATCTCAGTAGGGCGCTTTGGGCTAGCTCGTGGCTGATTTTACGCATGGGGTCGTTGCGACCTGGCGAGGCACGCGGGCATGGAAAAGGTGGCACACTGATCCTAGAACAAGCTGTCTCGTGTGTACACCGGTCTGCCACTGCTTGGGTTGCTTCACTGTATTTTCAGGGATTCAAAGAAGATAGACGCTCTTCGCCTTGGGCTATGGGGAAATTTGTTGGAGCACTCCATGCAGTGGCAGACAGGTGTACACCCGGGCAGACAGCAGAGTACTTGACGAGTGTGCCACTTTTTTCGTGCCGGGTGTGCTGGCTTGGCAGGTGCAGTGGAACGCCAAACGAATCTCTCCCGCAAGCCAGCGTGGCGAGCATCGTCGCAGCACGGCATTGCAACCTCTCAGCGCGAGGACCGGCGCTTCTGTGTACTTCTAGAAGGCATGTCGACATACCATTGCCGACATGCACGGAAGACCCTTCACGAAATGAAACGCAATGCGTAGTTACTCGATATGATTTAATACGCAGTGCGTGGAAAGGTGGCCGGAACGTTTTGAGACACTGTCGTGCGTCTAGTATCCTTCCGTCTAGCATCCTGTCCAGGCACAGCCGAGCAAGAACATATGCGGCACAGCGGCACAGCGGCACAGGCAGTCCCAAGGCTCGCGATATCGGATCTGCATCCGATCCGACCGGTGACGACAAGGAACGGGCCGCCGCCACGAGGGATGCGCAGAGAGTTGTGTCGACGTGTGCTGGTTTATGTTCTTTCATAGTGCCAGCCACGTTGCGCTCATCATGACTCGACGTGTTTGACGTTGTCAGCTGGAACTAAGGGCTGTGGAGCGACGACGCGAACGGCGCCAGGTCCACCCATGGATGAAGCTGGCACGGGCTGCCTCTGAATAAGGCTGGCCGGGCGATTGGGAGCTGTTCCATGGGCCGATGCAGCGTGGCGGAGGGCAAGACAGACGCCCCTTCTCTGCCATGGGCGATGCACCGGCAGACAGATTCCCACTCTCGCCGTGGGCATCGTGGCCGACGGATGTGCACCCGCGGCCGACTCGTCGCCATGGTGTTGAGTTTCCCCGGCGCACCGAACCGGCGTAGCCGCAGCGCAAGGCCCACTTCTTTCGCCGTCCGTGCGTGACAGGCTGCGGTTGCGCCAGGTCCTCACAACTCTCTTCCTCTGCTGCTCCTGTCGTCCCGACCTCCGCTGCACCACCTTCACCACGCATCCCTAAACCATCACCACCCCACCGCTTCCATCACCACCCCCATCGTCGCGCCTCTCCACGCCTCAGTCACGGCCGAGCTGCCTGCGACCCCCCTTCAGCCCTGCGCGACCACCACCGCGCCGCACCGACCCTCCAGCCTGCTCTGCGCGAGCCCGCCGTGTCGCATTCTGCGCTGCGTCTTGCTTGACAATCCGGGCGCCCACCCCGTCGTGCCTAAACGCTCTCGGGACGCTACACCGCCGGTCGACCGCTACGCGAAACTCAACACCACCTCATCGCAAAACTCAACACCCGCAGCCATGTACAACGCCCATGGCCGCATGGCCCCACAAGCGCCGAACCCGCGCCTCATTGACCTCCTCGACCAAATTCGCCAGGAGTTCGACCAGGAGGCGCGCAAGAGCACGGAATACGAGGTTCAGAGTGAGTTTGTCTCGCGTACTTGCCGCATGTCGCTACCCAGCCCGGAGGCTGTCTACTGTGCCTTTCCGCCCGCTCTTTGAACATCGGCGGCCATAGCCTATCTTTGCCGAATCTGTCCTGAGCTTGTATTCGGAAGCGTGGTGATTTTGGCACTTGTTCGCACATTTCTCTCTGTCTTTACATTCGACTTCTTGACATGAGCACCCAAGCCATTGCTGACAGAGTGATCGCGTCAATAGTTACAGGCCAGATCAATGAGGTCGAGTTGGTGCGAAGCAGGCTCTTGCAGCTTGAGCGCGATCATCAACAGATGAAGGCCAAGTAAGTAACACAATTCATCATGATTCGCTGCGCGATTCAAGCGAGACCAGACTTCTACATCTGGTCTGTTGCTGGAACACATGCCTTCTTGAGCTAGAAAAAGATAGCTGGAACCAAGTCTGACATCTTGTTGCAGATACGAGGATGATCTTGCACGTCTACAGCGAGAATTGGACAACCGCGGAGGCCCCAGCCAATCGTCACATCATCATGGCCCCTCTCAGCCACCCCCTCCCTCGATTGGCCATGGACCGAGCAATCTGTTCGGCGGCATCATGGCTGGCAGCGCTGCTCAAGGTGGCCCTGGCCTTGCTCCTCCTCCTCAGGAGCAGCCACAGCCACAAGGCCTTCCTCCCCATATGCCTCAAGGCCCACCCGGCCTCAACCCTGCACCAGGGCCGCCTTCTCACGCGCCCTTCGGAGGATACCAGCCTGCGCCTGCCGTCAATGGTAAGTGCCCAAGTTCTTATTAAACAAAGGAATTGGGGTGCAGCGATGGATCATCCACATGGTCGATGTGTTTTCGCTCAGAAATGAACATCTTGCTGATCATGACTTGCAGGTTATGGGCAGGTGCCACCACCAACAGCCTCCCCGGGAGGAAAGCCTCGCCCTCGCGGACCCCCAGGACCTGCCACACCGCAGCAGAACTCAGCAGCGCCATATCCTGGATCGCCCCAAGTACCTCGCCCGACGCCACCCCCCAATCAAAACCCTTCTCATTTCTCACAGCAAGCTGCGCAAAGCCTTCTCCAGAGCAACACGCTCGCGGACCTTGAGGTGGACCAGCTTCCACAAGAGTTTAAAAAAGAGGGCCAGGACTGGTTCGCAGTATTCAACCCCAAAATCCAGAGGAGACTCGATGTCGATCTGCTTCACAACCTTGTTCATGCGAGTGTCGTGTGCTGTGTGAGATTCAGCCACGACGGTAGATATGTTGCCACTGGTTGCAACCGCTCTGCTCAGATTTACGAGGTGGAGACCGGCCAAGCCGTGGCCCATCTGCAAGACGGCAATCTCCCAGACGATGGAGACTTGTATATTCGAAGCGTCTGCTTCTCCCCCGACGGGCTGTATTTGGCGACCGGAGCTGAGGACAAGATCATTAGGGTAAGCTCTCCTGCTCTCGCAGGTTGTGTACTTTGATCCCGAATGATTGCTAACACGCCCTTAGGTTTGGGAGATTGCCACCCGCACAATCAGGCACCAGTTCATAGGCCACGAGCAAGACATCTACTCCTTGGACTTCTCCCGCAACGGGGAGTTCATCGCATCTGGCAGCGGCGACAGGACTGTCCGACTCTGGAACATCAGATCTAACCAACAGTCCCTCCAGCTTTCGATCGAAGACGGCGTTACGACCGTGGCCATTTCCCCAGACAATCGCTTCGTTGCTGCGGGCTCGCTCGACAAGAGCGTCCGTGTATGGGACGCCAATACCGGACGTCTCGTCGAGAGATTGGAAGGCGAACAAGGCCACAAGGACAGTGTCTACTCTGTTGCTTTCGCTCCTACAGGAGATAGGCTTGTCAGTGGAAGTTTGGACAAGACGATTAAAATGTGGGAGTTGACGACACAACCTCATATGATGCCCGGATCTGGACCTCGCGGCGGCAAGTGTCTCAGGACGTTCGAAGGACACAAGGTGAGCAGCAAGCGGCGTCTTAACCCCCCAAATGGGCCTAAACGGGCACCGAAGTGCGACAAATTACAAGACTGACGATGGACTGCTCTCTAGGACTTCGTACTGAGCGTTGCTCTCACACCGCACGGCGAGTGGGTGCTTAGCGGCTCCAAGGACCGCGGCGTGCAATTCTGGGACCCCAACACCGGCGTTGCGCAGCTGATGTTGCAGGGCCACAAGAACTCTGGTGAGTTTCATCAAGACGACTCCAATGCTCGACACCCCCGCGCGCCCGATAATACATCTCGGGCAACGCGACTGTTTGATACAGAGCTGACTTTGAGTCTGTAGTCATTTCGGTTGCTCCTAGCCCGACGGGCGGAGTATTTGCTACGGGCAGCGGCGACATGCGCGCCCGCATCTGGAGGTGAGTGAAAATATTTTCTGTTGTTGTCGAAAGTCGCGCATTTCTGCATAACCCACCCTTGATATTCCCTCCCCCAGACGCCATCCACGTGGGCAGGGCTCCCTCACCGTCTCGCCGTAAGTTCCGAGCGACGCGAATCCCACCTCTCCCACCGCCTCGCTGTCGAGCATCCATTCTGTTGATGCATGCTCGACGGGCTTGGCCCTGGAGAGTGTCTCAGCCCCCACCCGAGTCCTCGCAGCACGCCATCGGCGCAACCCCCACGCACGGCTGGTCGGAGGTGTGGGTGGCGTGTGCTCAGAGCTGCGTTGTGGCGCGGGAGGCCCCCGGCGTGTGGCATGCAAGATGGAATCTCGCGTCAAGCTTTTGCTTCCCCTCACTGCGCTATCCATGCACGCCGTCGCCAGCCCACCCTGTCGGATCATGCGTCACAACCCCAACCCACCACCCTCGTCTTCCCTCGTCGCGTCCCACACCTCCACCATCACCGCCCTCGTCATGCTTTCTTCCACCTCACCATTCCCCGCCCGCCGGCGCCTACCTGCTTCCCGCCCAATGGGAGCTCAACCCGCTGACTCTGCTGCACAGGTATGGCGCGTACAACGGCCCCTCATAGGCTCTCGTCGACAAACGCAAATGGTTTCCACCGATGTGTGCGGCAGATATGTCACCGCATGGCGGAGACTGGCTGGCTTGCAGGAGCGGGTTTCGCTGCTGGTTTCGCTAGTTCAGATCCGGTGGGATCATGGCTAGTAAGATTGCGCTAGTGCTGGGGTTTTTTTGGGGCACCCGATATCGTTTTGTGACGGATTGGGCATTTCCTTGCGGAACCTTGGTTCACGTGAGTGTAATGAGGATGGATTTATGGAAAGCATCTTTTTTTCGGAGGGGTGAGTCCAGGGTGTTTTCTGCATCGAACCGATGAAAGTGAGAGAGGGGTGTGGTGGGTTGCAGGCTGGCGGGTCGTGATTGGCGATGAGATTCGCGCGCCCCGGGTTTGGGGTCTGGATCTCTCGAAAACCTGGACGATCGGATTGGTAGGAGCGCCGAGCTGCTGGTTGTTTTTTTTTTTTTTTTCGTGGTTCTCGAATCAGAGACCTTCTGCAGGGCAATTTTTTCGGTATGTTCGGCAAACGATATGTGTTCTGGATGGATCGAATGAGGGCTGATTGGTGGGGTGGGGTGGAATGGATGGATGGCGTATGGGTGTGATGAAGGGCATTTTCGATAGTTATAGGTATTCCCAATGAAAACTTGTGTTTGGTATGTGCGTGCTTGTTGCGAGCAGTGAGGATTTTGGAAAGATCTGCGGATGACTGGTGAGCAATTCTTCGTCGCTGTCTTTCTGCCGCCGCGTGTTGAGGAGGAGGTTTGATTGGACGAAGGGATCCTTTTAGTTTTTTCGGAGCAGTTCCGAATGGCTAGAGTTCTTTGTTCGTGCTTGTCTTCGCAGAACGGTAGACCTTTTTCAAGAGCTTTGGGGGAGAAGAAATCGCTCATTGCGTAGACACCCGCTCAGTCTGTGTTTTTTTGCAGGACTTCAAAAGGTTTTTCGTCCATCTTTTTCTTCCCAAAGTAAGGAGACACAGGGTGAAAGGGGGCATCACGCCTTTGGTAGAGTTTAGACCTAATTGCAAAAGAGACGCTCTCCGTCTATATTTTTTTGCGAAAGCGTTTATGCTTTAGTTTAAAAGGGGGGTTAGGTATAGAGACGTTCTCGGTTTTTGTTCTTGCCAAAGCACGGAGAGCGTAAAATAGGCGGAGCTGAAGGTGCTTCGCGCTTTTAGCAGTAATAAAATACAATAGTAACTGCGCTCTTGGTCTATGGTTTTGCGGAAGCGCCTACACTTTCACTACAAGTAGTTCTACTAGTGTGGATAGTTTTGCAGGTTCTTCTTCTAGACGTCAAGTCACTAGGGGCGGACGGGAGAGTAAGAGGGGAAAGGATGGTCTATGTTTCCGTGGAAGAGTATACATTTTTGCAAGATCTTCTCCCGCCTGTAGGAGGGGAAAAACTTGTCCGTTCTTCCTGTAGGTGCTAAGGGCGGTAGATCAGAGTCGAGGGGAGCAGTACTTAGACACCTTCGGAAGAAACCGTTCCTCTGATAATAAGCCTCTTTTCTGTACTCTCTTTGAAAGCCTTTTCGCATATATTCCTTGATGGGTATGACCTCCTATTTCAGTAGGAGTCTGGAATGCGTCTCTAGTACTCCTGAACAACGGTCTAGGTGAGACGAGTATCGCTTGCGGTGGTTCGACGGGCAGCGAGGAGGGTGGGTAGGACGTTCGTCACGTCGTCGTCACTATCGTCACTACCACTCCCCCACCCCGCCAAACTGATGGTAATGGTCGCTGGTATTCTTGTTGTGAATGATGCCGATCGATACTGAGGCGACGCGAATACACTAAAGAGTTCAGTGAATGAACAGAAGGCAGAGATGGTGCGGCAGAAGAATTGTTAGCATGCATGAATTGATGAACCACTCTATCACGCCGTATATATCAGCGAACCCACTTGTGAACATCTTTGAATATCGATACTGTTTAGACGCCTAGTAGACACGCAGAGGCGATCTTTTTATTCGACGACAAAGATGACCCCAGGGCGGTTCGGAAGTCTCTCGGAGGATGGAGACGGCAAGTTCTATAACACGCCGACTCAAAAACGTGGAAGCTCAATAGTTTTGGCTAGGGCTAGGGCGGTATGAGTTTGTGATATCTACGGGTTGAATTTCCTCGAGTGCTGCGCTTACGGCGGTGGTTCCTTGAGGCGATGTCGTAGAATAGCTAATCAATTCCGTGTATTCGTTAGTTGTTGCGAATGTAGAGATGGAGGATGCGAAACATTATTGAGTAACTGTCTCGACCGCAAGTGGTCGATGGATGAGGTATGAAAGCCACGAAGCCATTTGTAGTAGTGACACCGAGTAGATACCCGTGATATGGCGTGGGATTGTGGCTTGAAGACGTTCCGCTGATCTGGCTCTGCGGCTGGAAACGTCTCCCGACATCGTGGATTGGCGTTCTCGTGTATCTTGTAAGTCTCTGTGCAAATTGCGTCCCCGTATGTCGTTTTTGGATGTTGATAGGTTATGCCTTTGTGATTCGATATAAGGTTCTCGGAACGATCAGCCACCGGGAGAAGCACGTCAGGTCTCAGTTAGGAGCTACCTATATGGAAACCCCATTCAGGCAAGCTTGAAAGGAATTAATGATGGCATAAGATCGCTCATGGGGGTGAGGATTCTAAATTTGTGGAATCGTGTGGAATAGGAGTTGTAATTTCGGCGCGGTAGCCTGATGAGAATCAGGCTGGACGGCCGGGCTGAACTTCGAATACTCTCACAATGAAATACTCCAGAAAAGTGCACTGGCGGAAATGAAAACGACTTCAGTTTGGAAACCAAATAGACGATGCTTTCAAGGGAGCTGTCCTTCGCTCAATGGATTGCGTCCATCGCACTGCGTTGCTCAACAGTGGCTGGGCCAATAAGCAGCAGCGGATGCCCTCTGTTGGGGGTGTGATTGGAGCAGATGATACATGCATCCTCATCCCAGGAGAGGAGTGGGGTTGCGTACCGTCGATTGGCCCCAAATGAGTGACGAAATTACCTTCGCTGTCCCTGCTCCAAACGGTATTAGCTCCAATTGTGCAGTGGCGCCGCGGCTTACCGACGGCACAAGGAGATCAGTTACGAGTCCGGGGAGGACTAGGAAAATAGGCGTCGGGGAAGCGTGGCCCGTAGATCGCGGATCATTCTGTGGCAGGTCATCCATGCGCGGACCCTGGTGTTCTGGTTCGGATTCCTCTTTTGGGATTGATGTGGTGAATGAGGCGTGCAGCACTATTCCGCCTCAACCGCCTCGCTCGACTCGCGGGGGTGCGTGGGGTCTGGCCTGTGCTCCATAATGAGTGCGAGCGAGGGAGCAGCGTCTTAGCGAGGAGACAGTGCCAGGATGCACACGCGTGGGATTGGCAAGTGTTTCATCAGAGGAAGCGGAGAGCAAGCAGCGCGTTGAGACGTGATGGTGTTGAATCTGCAGCAGAGACGGGAACTGTTGCAAGGCAGTCCCGACCTGTCACTTGAGCTAGGACCTTTGTGGATCTCCCGGAGCTTGGCTGCCCTTCGTCACATCACCAATCACCAGCCACCAACCGAATGCATCGCAGCTACTTGACATTGCAGCGTGCTCAAGAGACGAACCCTGACGGTCAGCGGCCATATGAGAGCAAGTCGGATGCAGCCCCAGCACCACTATTTTAGAACTCTGGGGCTCGTGTAACAACTGACGAAGACAAGGGCATAGGACAGGGTGAAGACGCTGGGATTCAGCGTGCCCGTCAGCCCATTGCAACCCTCGCCTTCATCGCTTCACATCCCGGTCGCCGCGCTGCTTGTCCGTCTCCGTCCATACTCGCGACCTCATCGTCTAGACAGTCCTCCGAAGGAGGCTGCTTTGGTTGGGCACTAGCGCTCCTCAACTCTCCTTCATTATGGCCTCCTTTCTGTTCTCCCCTGCTCGTCGTCTCAGTCTACTGCAGGTCCCCAGCTCTGGACGTGTACCCAGCATCCCCGGCGGCCTTTTGCATAATCGAGACGTTCAACTGGGAACGGATCTCGCCGCCGATCCCCTCACCATCAAAGGAAGCCTCGTCTTCCATCCCCTGGGACGCACGCTGTTGGTAGAGAGTCGTGAGGCCGAGATCTACGACCAACCTCCACCATCCGGAGGTCGAAGGTCGCAAGGTATCGCCTCGGAGATCCGGCCGCCCCTGGAGCATCGTAACCAAGATATGGGCGAGATTCAAGCCAGGGTGTACATCACGACCTCAGCTTTCTGTGGTTGCAGCGGCATGGCGGCCTCACCACTTGCAAGCCCCCTTGAAGGTCGAGATCTAGGAAAGAGGTTCGGCTCTCCAGGACAGCGACATAGCCCTGATCGTGCGGCCATTCCACCCTGGCCAGACTTGATTACAGTCAGAGTCTACTGCAGCCATATCCATTCCAAGCCATGATGTTGCCCGTCTTGGACGAGAGTCATGGATCCTGGCTTCGGGGCAGACGGGTACGAGGGTTGAAACCATGTCTTCACGATCTACGCGAAGACACTGCATGATCGGGTTATGTCTTTTTCTGGTACCAGGGACAGGAAGGAATGCGTTCGAGAAGCTACCTCTTCCCGGTACAGTGCCAGCCGCATCGAGATGGCACTGACCACTGTTAGATCGATGCAGTACAAGGACATGGACATAATTGACGGGGTCTGTAAGGATTCGCAAAAGAAATGTCCGACAGGATGTACGAAGCCGTCTCTTTTCAGAGCCCCGAAAAGATGTACGAACGAGAAGAGACGAGAAGCAAGGGAGATTGTCACTGTACTTGGCGTCGGAGTGGCCGGCCGACTCCGAGTCGGGGATGAGGAAACCAAGATTCGGGAGCTCTCGCGAAGCCTCGTGGATCTGGAGGCGCTGCCACTCCACTGCAATGGGTCAACGTCGACATTATCGTGGCGACAGGGTAAGGCGACCTGGACAGAGGCATGCAGGACCACAATCTCTCGCTGAAGCGGCAGTGGGGACGACAATCGGCCAGGGTGCGAGGCTACTGTGCCAAAAGAGGGGGTTAATAGAGGCAGAAGCGGCAGGCGTCCGGAGCGCCAGGGAGGGCGTAAACAGGGTGCGAGGTGGTGGTGAGCGCCCGCCCCCAGCGCCTATCACACTGTCCACCAGGGCGTTCGCTCTCTCACGACATACGCCATCCAGAGACGCCGGGTGAGGAGGCCGGCACGCCGTGGTGTTGGCGGCACGGCAGCCGTATGTCTCTCTCGTGACGTCCCGAGTTCGCGGGACTCGGCTGGCTCCGCAGTGCCCAGGAGCGTCTTGAGCGGAGAGTGGGCGCTGATAGGCCATGGCAGCGAAATACGCACAACTAAGGGGTTTTATTCAAGCTGCACAGATAGCAGAGCAGTCAGAGCGCGGCCCTGGCTGTCCCCCAGGCCGCGCCCCGGAACCTTACCAGTGCTGCGGGATGATGCCTGCGGCAGAAGCGCATGTCGCCCACACAACCTCACCACATTGCAGCAGCGAGAGCAAAGAGACATTGATGCAGCTCTCCCGGCCTATGACGCTTGCCGCCCATCTTCTAGCCGCGAGTGGGCCTGGCCCCGTTCCCTCAGCTGCGCGCCCGCCCGGCCGCGCTGCAGGACTCAAGGGATGAGCAGCAGGAGGTGGAGTTTTGGGCAGTGAGAGGGGCTGCAGGTACGTTGGGAGCGGGTGTTTGCATCTCAGTCGATTGTGTGCATCGTGGGAGGGCATGAGGGGGAGTTTGTTTTGGCCGCGAGAGCCGCCTGGGTGGTTCCCGGGGAGCTGGGCGTGTGGAGAGGATGAATTGGCCACGATCCGTGCCGGAGTGCATCGCCAGACCGGGCATCTCCTTTTCGGGCCTCGCGCCGGAACCGTCCTTCATCCACCCCATTACCTAACCCCAAATACGTACGCACACCACACCACGACCACGTCTGGAGCCTGAGCGGTGGACCTCCTCTTTCGAGCCCCAAGCGGGCGCCCAACTGCTCTGTCTGGGGGCGCGTTTTCCCACCTCGCCCACGTGCACCTCCGCACTGTATCGCCTGCAGCGGTACACCTGGCGGCCGCTGTGCGAGGACGGCAAGCCGCAAGCGATGCGATGCCGGGATTCCTCCACCCCTCGACGCGCTGAGGAGATCGCCACGACCCAGTCCCACGGCGGGCGAGGGAGGCGCGGCAAGAGTGACAGCGACGCCGCCAGCACGATAGAGGCACGAGAGGCTGGTGCCGTCTCTCCCTGCTCCCCGGCCGCTACGGGCGTGCGTGGCGGGATCCTGCGACTCCAGGGCACCGCGATGCTCCTCACCGAGATGCCCGCGCTCCTCCCAGCGCCAAGACGTATTCCATCGCTGCAGCACGGCTCTGGCCTCGTCAGAAGTGCTCATGAGCGGAGGTCTTTGACATCGGCGACCAAACCCCGGCCACTGCTCTGCCGACTCTTCGCCCTCAGCGTGGTTGGGCGCCACCGGACGACGTGCTCTGCACCCCCACACCGCGACCACACACGGCGGCGTCTGCTCTGAGACTCGCCCTGGACAGGCCCGCGCAGGCCGCAAGCCACCTTCCCGGCCCGTTCAGCACGACTGGCGCAAGGGCCCCCAGTGCATATCGCCGCCCAGCGCTCCCGATGATGGACCACGGCGAGGATCTGAAGGCGCACCCGCAGCCCCGTCCTCTCGCCGTGCCTTTCCCAGAGCGTCGACAGCACGCCGAGCGCCTTGCGCAGCCTTCTGCACCAGCTGCATGTCCGAGCGCGCCCTGACGCAGCGCGAAAGGGCCTCGATCCCCGTGCGCTCCTACTGCCCTAGCTCGACCAGACCATGCTCCCCACGTCTCTCCCACACAGACTGTGCTGTATCGCTTGCTCATCTATATGTATGCTATCTCTCCAACCACGCCCCCGGGCCCAGACAAGCTCTGCTGCAGATTCTCACTCCCTCATGACCATTTTGCTCCCACGCCATCTTGCATATTACCTCTGTCCATCATCTACTTAGTCTTCTCCACACTACGCCGCTCCTGCATATCCGCACCTACCGTCTCCCGGCTCCGCCCTTGCGCCTCTTCTATTGCCGCATCTCTCACTCTGCTACTGCACCCCGTCTGCTAGCATATATCTGTAGTGTTTCCAAACATTTAGCCCTTACTCTACAATGGCCGCCGCTGTTGCTTCCCAACACGCTGGAATCTGGCACCAACGACGAACAAACCAAGCCGTCCATGTCCCCAACATGAGCATGAGCATGCTTCCTTCTTACGACACTTCTGTGCGGACAGTATCAAACCCCCCAGTCTCGAGAGCTTTCCAGCCAACACACCTTGACCTGGCCATGCCAATGTTCCAAAGCCACCCTACGACTTCAGTCCCGTACCAATCTGGAGCTTATGCGTTTGATCCCCTCGCAGTGAACCCATACAACATGCAACAAGCCTTCAACATGAATTACCCTCCGACAATGGCCCACCCCGTGGCATACTCGGGCCCCAACGAGCTTCCAAATAGCCTACCAACCACGAGAGACGTCCGCAACAACTACCCCATGATGGAGAGCACCCCACCAGTCAAGACCGAAGCAGCCTCTCCCATCCAGTTAAGCCAGGTCTACAACGATGCCAATTACGCCGACGTCTGCAAGGACACCAGCTCCGAGTCTGACAGCGCTATCAACTTTGCAACCGATGTGGATACGCTGATGAAGGCCATCCAGGCCAAGTCAAACCAGGCAAAACGACAGCAGCAGCCCAGTAAGGTACTGCCCCAAAAGCAGCCACTCGTTACATACACGGCACCTGTTGCTCACGTATCTGCAAAGTCCAGCGGTGACAGCGAGAAGACCAAGTCCAGTCAGAAGTCGAAGAAGAGATACCAATGCAGCATGCCTGACTGCCACAAGAGCTTCTATCAGAAGACTCACCTTGAAATCCACACTCGTGCTCACACTGGAATTAAACCATTCGTGAGTGGTGTCTTCTCGATGTCGGTTACAAGTCGCTGACAAAGTCGTTAGCTGTGCAAGGAACCATCATGTGGACAACGGTTCTCCCAGCTTGGAAACCTCAAGGTTAGTACGCTCTGCACCGTATAAAAGCTATTCCTAACGCTTTGTAGACCCACGAGCGAAGACACACCGGGGAGCGACCGTACCAGTGCGACATCTGTGGTAAGACATTCGCACAACGTGGCAATGTTCGAGCACACAAGATTGTGCACCAACAGATCAAGCCATTCACGTGCAGACTGGACGATTGCGGCAAGCAATTTACTCAACTTGGTAACCTCAAGGTATGTAGTGGTAGTATTCGGACCGACGGCCATGACTCAGTACTGATCACAGCCTACAGTCACACCAAAACAAGTTCCATATATCGACTCTGCGTTATTTGACCTCGAAATTTGCATCCATCAGAGAGGGTGACCCCGTGACAGCCCAAGACAAGGACCTCTGGGAGTACTTTGCTGCCCTGTATAAGAACTCCAACAAAGGCATCAAAGGACGCGGCAAAGACAGGAGAATATCGGCTGCCCCGTCTTCTGCTGTTTCCTCATCTTCCTCCTATTCGTCCCTAGCCACAGCATCGTCCTCAGCGTCGCACCGAATTCACCACAGCTATACCCACCCACACCCAGGAAGCGACCGGAGCAGCCGCTCTTCATCATTATCCTCGGAGGCCGAGCAAGACCACAAATCCAGCCACGACGGCTACGACTTCAGCGGCCCAGTCGATACTGGCCATTACAACAGCCAAGCTACCGGATACGGTGACATGGTCTTTCCCGAACGAAAGATGTACTGAACAAAGCAGCAATCACATTTTACGATGACGACAACCATACGACTACACGTGAGACGATAACGACGAATCTACAGGAACTGCAGGCACTAGGCATGCCTTTCAAAGGCCTTCGCATTATCTGATGGCTGGGTGGGATCTCTTTGGCATTTTGCTTGCGCGGGAACCACTGTCTTGAGCCTCTTGGGCCACAGTCCGTTGAGGGAGAGTTTTGGGACCGGGAAGAGAGATTTGTGGACAATGACGCGATGTTGATCTGCCGGCCGTTTCGCTCCTCCCTTTTACATTCGGTCCCCGACCCGGCGAAACACCTCAAGATGGGCACATCAGGCTTGGGACTGGATTAGGAATCTTTTCATTACTATCATGCACGCTGTCAAAGCCATATTTGGGACGGACGGGATGAGGATAGTCGGTTTTTTTGGTAACGCGCGGATACCCTACTGGCTGGCGTGAGAAGAAGCATTTTTTTCGCCGCCGCCGTACATTTTGTTCATATTCTACATATTCTATGTACTAGTTTCCATCAGTTGCATTATATGCTTCTTTAACATCACTCTAAGCCGCTCCTACATCATCACACCGCAGCCTCTAGCAAACTATGCACAACACTTATCTCTGGGAAAAGCCCCCGATGTGAGACGCGTTTATTAGCACTCTGCCGAACACCCAGTTATCTTACTACCTAAGACACGAATCCAACCCCCAGATCTCAGTCCCGGGGCATCTCGATCTTGGTCGCAACGGTCCTGCACGCCTCGATCACAAACCCCTCTCTCGCATCGCCAGGTCGGGATGCGGTTTGGTGTGACAGATCGCATTACGCGCAACGCAGCCTATCACCAATCTGCTCGCTACGCCGCGCTCCGCCAATCAACGCCGCATATCCGTTACCTTCGCATCCCCGCCCCGCTCCCTGATGCGGTGGGTGGGCTGGTGGGTGGGGAATTTCTCGTAAGCCACGCCAAGGCGGCCGCCACGCCACGCCTATCCCTGAGCGGAGAATAGCTCCACTCACAACCCAGTCCTCGCCTACTCGCGGTGACGGCTGCACCGCGCACGTACGCTCTGCTTACCCGTCTCTACCCATCCTACCCATAGCGGAGTTTCGAGATGCGAGCGAGCGACCGCCGCGAAACCGCGATGGAACTTTGGCGAGATAAGACGCGAGCTGAAGAGAATTGCCCCGTGTACGTCTCTAGGCATGCGGTACGGGGGCAAGAGAGCGCAACGAACTACGGAGCCCGCCCGGCGCCGGGGGGGGGGAAGGCGTTCGCAGGACTCTGGATGGGCTTTAGCGGGCGAACCTGGCGCTGGTAATGGCGTCCGCCTCTATCCATCAAGCGAGTGGTGCAGCGCGCGGCGGTGGATAGAGGCGGGATGCTAATGCGCTGCACGTGCTTTGCGTGCGTGGCGTTTGTGGGCATCACATACGGCGAAGAGAAGAGGCAAGGGATCAAAAGGCTTAGGTTTCACGAAAGAGGGGAAGTGGCAGAACGCGGGCGTCGTCCTGCAGGTTAATCGCAGGCCCTATTGGATCGGAGATGGCGCGACGCGAAAACTCTGCTCTCCTCTCCAGGGCTTGCTGCATCGAGGGGCGGCGCGTGGGGACCGCTGGATGCGGCTTCAACCTCGTGTGGACACCTACACTTCCGGATGTTCGTACATGACGCAGTATTTTCGCTTGGGAGAGGGGCGAATCAACGCTGCGCGCAATCGGAGTTCAAATGGCAGATTGGGATTTGCTAGCCTTGCGCTGGGGGCAAAATTTTCTTTGCGCAGGGTGTGGGGTGGGTTGTGTGCAGATGGAAGGGGATTTTTGCAGATCGCGTCCCCCGGATTTCCAGTGCTCCAGCCAGCCTCAGAGGGCTGATGCGGCGACGGCGAGGATGGGGGTTCTCCGCGGCGGCGCTGAAAACCTTGCAGGATAGAAGAGATTTTCGCCGTCGGGTGGGATGATAGGAGATCGCTCGGCTCTGCTTGTTGGCTATTTCGATAAATGCTGCTGGGGGTTTATTGGAGGGGCCAAGGGTTCTTTCGGCTGGCCGTGGCCGTGGTTCTTTGAAGAGACAGCGGGCCGAGTGGAGCCACGCCAGGGTTGTGTGATGCTTATCGCGGCACCATCTCATAGATCGCGCCTGGGATTGGAGATGCAAGGCGGATTGCGCCATGCTACGACCGAGCGATAAACTTAGCCACCACGTCTGTACGACGCAAGGATCTAGATTAAAGAGGCGGATCTGGGGATTGGATGGCACTAATCCGCAGCTGCAGTGAGGCTAGTGGCAGCACCGGAGGAGTGATTGCTACGGGACCGGGCAAGGAACATCCTCACCATCGTGGCTGACGGCGTGAACGCATGTCTGGTGTTGACTGCTCCCCAGTAGCGCTTGGCAAGCGGATGGATGCGGGAGGCATGACAGGACGCCGCCTGGAGGTTGGTCGCCGTGACGAAAAGCACGGCCGGTTCCATCTCGAAGCAAATCCCATGCTGCCGCTCGACGTGCGCTCCAGCCAGAATCCTCCTCAAGCTCCGCAAGAGCACACGCAATCCTGCAACCTGAGACCATGACCACCCGCGAACCAAGCCTTGGAGCCGCTCCTCAACCATGTGGATTTATCTCACCTGCCTAATCCGGCCCGCATGAATAGCATAGCAGCACGGACTGCGTTCCTCTTAGTCCGGCGCCCCGAGCGTCGACAACGTGCTATCACCGCGCGGTTTAGACGGTAGCGGAAACGCCCGCTCCAAGCCTCGAGGCCCGTTACCCAGAGTATCACAGAACAGCTTCACCGATGTTCGCTTGCAGTCCTAGGTGTGCTTCACGGAGATACAATCAGGGGTTCCATTCACTTGATGGCCCTGACGTTATGCTCTTCTGCTAATCTAGGTAAGGGTAACGAAAGAACCACTACGAGCACTACAATCAGCAAGCAATATCAACGCGAAGAATGCTCTCCATAAGATCAGCCTCATGTTGAGACCGACGTTTCAAATCTCCGGTGGACGGTGATGCTTCCTCCCGCTGTCACTGTCAGCCTGAGACATGATTAAGAGAGATCAGACGCGGCATCTGATAATGAATGCTACAGCAGCGAATCCTTCCAACCCCACAGCAAATGAACCCAGGAGTCGGGTCCGCCTCAGGAAGCTCGCGGCCACCCCACGCAACGGTCGGTAGCCATGTGGATTGTGGAAGCTTGCCGCCCTGCCCCCCCGGTACCCCATACCGTCCTTGAAGGATTTTAGGGCTCCTTCGCCGCGGATTGAAACCTTCCTTCTCCGGTCTGACGATTCTGTTCGCACACCGATGAGGAGCCGCCCATGCGGCAAATGTTGACCGCACACTGGAGGCTTCGGAAGCCACCGGTGGATGCTCGACGCAGGGGTAGTGCAGGTGAATACAGGAAATGCACAAGAAAGCGTGGCAGACTGGGATGCGGCACGTGCGACCCAAACAGGCAGCTGTGAAGTGACTGTGGCAACACTTTGCGGCTGCGGACTTTCTGTTAGTCAGTGAGGTGGCACTTTCGTTTCAAGTTATCTTGGCCGACCGAGTCATGCTAACGGGAAGGTTGCATGAGTCCTGAATGTGGGGAAAAGACGGTGTCGGTGTCGACGACTTCGTGTCATGATACAACACCGATGCTACTCCCCAGGGGCTTAGGGCGGTGAGGGCGAAGAACATGTGAGCTGAAACCATGCGTTCTAGTCTGGATGAAGAAGGGAGCACGTTGGCGGTCGTAATACTTTTCTCTTCTTTATACTTCATTTGGATTGTTGTACTCGCTTTTTTCATGCCAGCTGCGCGTTACTCGGTCTGAAAGGATACCCCTTACACTCACAACGTCAAGATCGTCAACCATACTCTCTCTAGCTCTCGTCATACCCGTTACAACTCGACAGTCTGAAGGGATAGCCCTTGCACTCACCAGGAACCCGTCTTCCTCTTCGACCCTGATCTCCGCTAGCTTTCGTCTTGCCCGTTGCGGCTCAATCGTCTGACAGGATGCCCCACATGATGCCCCTTGCGCGCCTCCAGTCGCCATCCTGAACGCTACTCTCCTCGGGAGACTTACGCAAGCTCCGCTTCGATCAGCTTGAAAGGATATCCCTTGCAGTCCCAGAGTTTCGTCATCTTCAACCCCACGCTATCGAGCAAGCTCCTCCAATCCGCCTGTGTCCGCTCTTGAGCGGAATGAGTCGTCAGCATAAGCATATCAATTCCCGTCTCCAGCCAGCCCGCGCCTTGGTCCGGGATGACCAGATCGTCGATGAGGATCTTGCTGTGCCCCTTCTTCATCGCCGGAATCTGGTTCTTCAGAATCTCACGGCACTTGTCGTCGGGCCAGTCGTGGAGCACCTGGTGGAAGTAGTACGCGGACGCCTCTTTCACGGGCTGCGGCGTGAAGAAGCTGTACTCCATCTTTTCGGTACCGGCCGGTAGGTTTGTTGCTTGAGCAATAGGCCCAGGTAAGTCTTGCAATACCAGTTTTCCTTTCAGCTCCGGGTGCGCCTCGTGGAGAGCGATGAGGTCGTGCCCGACGTTCCCGCCGACGTCGACGATGAGAGGTGAGTCCGGTCCTAACGACGGGCGTAGGGCTTCATGGACGGGGACCACCTCGAACCAGCGCTGCGTGTAGATTTCGTTCTTTGCCGTCATGTGGAGGTTGAAGTTCCGCAAGCGGTACTCCTGGCCTGGCTGGGCGAGATACTCGAAGTACGACAGAGGCGTCTTGAGCGCAAATTTCCATGCGCTCTCGTCCTTGCTGATTGGGTTCTTGTATCCGGTGCTTTTGAGATACTCCGGCAGTGCTGCGGTGGGGAGACCGCTGGCATCTATACTACGTTTCCAGTCAACATAACAACCCTTTTTCGTTCAGACCGTCACTAACCAGTCAATCAAGAGGCCCTGGTAGATCTCCTGCGTCAGCAACGTCGAGAACCCGTTGAGCGTGTACTCGCTAGATCCCGTCTCCTCAACCATACGATCCGCGGCTAGGACACGCAAGAATCGGTCTACGCTTCATCATCAGCTAATAACTCGACAAATCCGAACCTTTTCAACCAACCTAACAACCGTGCCTCCGCCCCCGTCATCTTCGCAAGCTGCTCCACAGACTTCGGCGACGCGTTGTCCTTGGCCATTTTATTGAATAGACCCAGATCCAATCCGATTTTGAGCACGTAGGTGCGATAGCCCTTTTCAATCGTCAGCCTCGTTGAAAAAAGCGAAGTGTTGGGAAGCTCTAACCTCGAACCAACCCAGCCGCGCCAACTTCTCCCCTGGTGTCTCGAGCTCCGCGATTAGAGAGCGCGCGGCTTCTAGGAGCGATTTGCGAGATGCTTCTGTTGCGTTTTGGGCGGAGAAGCCGCCGATGGCTTGGGTGATGCTCTGGAGAGTGGTGTCCATGATGGAGGCCTTTGTCAGGGCAATTTAGGGATACTAGAGCTAAGTGAGATAAGATGGACACACACGACGAAACCACCGAAGATCTATGTTGAGATCAAGAACTTGGATTGTGAAGGCCCAGGTAAGTCTAATGTAGGTAAGCAGCCTCCTCCTTACATCGGCTTATCCAACCATGCTACCGCGTGAAGCCCGCAGTGGGCTATGCCATCCATTCCATAGGCGTGGAGTCGCGGCCTTACTAACATCATGCCTAGCCCAATGGATGGGTTAGGCCAAGGTGCCTATTAGTGTTGTCGGGCTACCCCGCCGTCAGATGACGGTAAGCGCAGAAACATTGCAAAGATAGGCGCGCTTAGGCACCTACACTAAGCATGCGGAACACTTCGTCTATAAGCGCGATCTCAGGAACGGTGCCTTGTCTAAGTGGCGGAGTAAACGCGTAAGGTATGGAGAGAGGTGATAATTCAGCGCCTTCGTATCCGAGTTGGACGGTCGAGGTCTCGGGCCGATTGGTGAATGGATGGGTGCGGCTCCGTATCGTCAACATTGGTTTTGGCTGGCGGAACTGACTCGAAGGATACAGGATGCAATTCTAGAAGCCTGGTGGAGGTTGCAGGGATAGTTGTGTGTCGTTCTGGAATATCGGTGTGGCTGAGGTGAGATGAGGTGCGACGTCTTCTCCGGTTGGTGTAGGTGATTGGCTTTTAGAGGACGGTACTGTGACACAACTTTGGGCACGTTGTCGTTTGGTCTCTTCTAGAAGGATGATAATGTGCTGAAGCACCACAAACGGTGGCCAAGTTGACCGACTGAAAGGGCATGAAACCTCTCCTATTCAAGCTCTCAAGGCCTCTGAATATTATTGGAAGCTTTATAATCTGTTGAAGCACCTCAAACGATGGTGAGCGAGTATGCCCAGACTTCTGGCAAGGGACTATATATCCTTACCAGCAGGACTACAGTTACACTTTCTGGCATTGGGAACACCACAGCTTGGAAAGCATTCAAGAGTGTTTGATTGATTACCTTTCTTCAGCTGGTCTTCAAATCGCATTCGTATTCTGTACTTGCAGCTCTAGTTTTCCTCACTATCTCAAAATAAGAAGCATTCATCAATCCCCGAGACGCGAAAGCGAAGGCGAAGTCATGTCGAACTTAATTCGCGTCGCTTGGTCAAATAAATGGCAGGGTATAAGGGCCCCTGAAAAGTTGGCGCGGAGGATCAGATTCCGGGCCGGCACATGGCGGAACACCACAACACGCCTTATGGAGTACGTTGGTGTTGTTTGTATAAAGAAAGTAGAAGCCACCGTCCATGATGACGTTCCCTATCCTCGACAAGGCAAAGTGACAGAACACGTGACGTGAACCCTTCACCAAGTGCCGCTAACCGTCCCGATATCATCCGGTCGCTGGAATTCCTCATCAGCTTGAATTAGCGGTCAGATTGGGGCTTTTTGCGGGCAGTAGGAGAATATTGGACGAACAGGCGTTGTCCGTTCCATCATCAGATGATTCTTCGGGTTCGGATGCTGTCTCGAGTGGAAACCGAGAGTGGAGCTTGCCCGGCGTCGCGTGCTGATTGGCGCGGGCCACCCCTGAAAAATCAATGGCAGCTTGCGAAAGCGAGAGCGAATTTGATTAACACCGCAACCTCCCTACCACACTGTCTTTATCATCGCGAGTCGCCCTCCAGGCTTCAGCAATTGCATCTTGCCTGGCTGCTACCTTCTGTCGTTCTTGCCTCCGCTTCCGAGCGCTCCTGGACCCTCACCGCGGCTTGCGCCGGACCTCTCGTCCTCTCTCACCACCATTCGCCAGGTCCTCGAGGGGCAACATTCGCCGCTATGGATCTCGTCCTCGAGGGGTTTGATACCTTTCTGTTCGACCCCTTATACGCGACCTTGTTCCCCGCCTCAACCGCCTTCTCCGCTGGCCTCAAGGGCAACGCGACCCTCTCCAGCATCCGCGAAGCTGCGACTGGATATCCAGCGGCGACATGGCAGTACACGCCCGCGAGCGAGTACCTATCCTTCACGCCCGGGAAATACGCCTACCTGAGTGAACTACCTAGAGATGACTGGCGGCGACAGCTCGCTAGCCTGTTCGCCATCACCTGGTATGCGCCTCCACCCCCCTCATCCCAATTACCTCAATTACCCTCCTACAAAGCTGATTCGCCCCAGGTTCTTCGGCCTCGTAATCTACTACGTCTGCGCAACCCTCTCCTACGTCTTCGTCTTCGACAAAGCCACCTTCGCGCACCCCAAATACCTCAAACACCAAGTGCGGCAAGAAATCTGGCAGACCAACAAATCGCTGCCAGGGATGGCCGTGCTCACGGCGCCCATCTTCCTCGCCGAAGTGCGCGGCTACTCCAAAATGTACGACGCGTCGGCCGACGGGCCGGGCATGTGGTACAACATCCTGCAATTCCCCTTCTTCATCCTGTTCACGGACCTGTTCATCTACTGGATCCACCGCGGGCTGCACCACCCGCTCGTGTACAAGCAGCTGCACAAGCCGCACCACAAGTGGATCATGCCGACGCCGTACGCGTCGCACGCGTTCCACCCCGTCGACGGCTTCAGCCAGAGCATCCCGTACCACGCCTTCCCGTTCCTGTTCCCGCTGAACAAGTTCGCGTACGTCTTCCTGTTCGTGTTCATCAACGTGTGGACCGTGCTGATCCATGACGGCGAGTACATCGCGGACTCGCCGATCATCAATGGCGCGGCCTGCCACACGATGCACCATCTGTACTTCAACTACAACTACGGCCAGTTCACGACGCTGTGGGATCGGCTGGGTGGCAGCTACCGCAAGCCCAACGACGAGCTGTTCCGCAAGGAGCTGAAGATGTGCCAGAGCGAGTGGAAGAAGCAGAGCCAGGAGATGGAGAAGATTGTGAAGGAGGTCGAGGGCGAGGACGATCGGACGTACGAGCCGCTGGAGGGGGCGGCGAAGAAGGTGCAGTAGCGCGCAGTCTTACGATCAAGAGATGATCGAGACATACTAGACGAAAGGCGGTGTACAGACAGAAGCAGAGGAAGAGCCGACTGGAGCGGTCAATGAGACGCATTTGGTTTTTCTTTTCTTTTTCCAGCGTTCGAATACGCGCAATTTTCTTCGCGTGGGAAGTCTACGATACTTCTTTCCTTTCAAAAGGGTGATTTCGAAAAAGCCTCCTTTTTGGATGGATGAGCTTGGCCGCTGGCAGAGAGAGCCAGCGCGCCCGGTTGTAATAGCGGTCTTGTAATTAATCCCTCTCCCCAGACCGCGGCCCCCCATTTTAATTACATAATACCGTTCCTGACCTTAGCTGTGTATACTACACGTTGTATCTCTTGGGAGACATGTACTTCACAAACTCCTTCAATTGGAGTACGGAGCCAATGGCGTCAGTTGGTAATCATCAACATAAGAATAAAAATCATCATCACAAACACATACTCAATCACGTGAACGTCGTGTAGTATATATATTAGTTTCGATTCCATCTTAGTCGCAGATGGCCAGCCTAGCCCATCCCTCTAACGCACTGGCCAGCGCCAGACAAGCCTGACCGCCTCGCCGTTCTCTCTCCCCTCTCTCACAGAAGCAAGCAAACTGAATTGCATGCCTCAAAAGGAAAAGGAAGCAAGGAAAAAATCCACGAAGATAGAACTCCGGCGCAGATCGCCTCGGATATCCCCACGCCAAAAAACAGCCGCATGATGCCCGCAGAGAAATCATTCCTTTTAGAGGCCGCTTGTGCACCTCTCAAAACCCTCAACCAATTATACAGTCCGAATACGCCATTGTCCTTCGTAACCCACCCGTTCCCAGAACACCTTGCTGCACCGATGGCGTGGAGCGCACGAAAAGGATATTTGTTGAAAGAAGCACACTGTAATTCCGCCGTCCGGTCGGCATCGAGCGAGTCGTGGGTCGCCAAAGAGCGCGATCCCGCTGTCAATGTCCGGCTTCGACGTACGTCTACCTTGAGGTCTGCGAAGAGAGAAGTGTTAGTTTTCGTAACATGAATGGAAACGGAAAAATCATGGTGAGCTGCTGTAGTCGTTGTACGATCCTGGGTTTGGATAGCTGGTAGATGGTGCAGGAGGGCGAGGTGGATAAGTATTATACGTGTGTTGTTGTGGCTGGGGAGGAGAGTGGGCTAATCGGAAGGGTGGTGCCCCATTTGGTGGACGGGGTAGAGGAGGTTGCGTTGTGCCCTGCGGCCTGTAGCTCGGTGCCCGGTATCCATTTCGTGATGGATCGGGCAAGCTACTGGGGGTATGGTACGCTACCTTCTTTGCTGGTCGTGGCTCGTCGTCATCGCTCAACGTCAGATCAATGACGTCTGATGTGCGCTTGTGGCTGCTTCTCGGTGCTGAGAGTGCCGTCGAGGCCTCCCGTGAAGACATTGGTGGTGTGCGGGCGAGGGAAAGCGGAGTGCTGGCGGCTTCAGTTTTGAGGTTGTTGACGCGATAATCCGATATTTCTATCAGATCATCGCTATCATCCTCATACTTCGCTACGGTGCCGTTTCTAGGGGTCTGGTTCTCGGTGTTGCTCCCCTGCGACCAGCTCCCGTCAGGCTCGATCGTCACCTGATCTGTCGATCGCGGCACTGATTGCAATATTTCTTGGAAATATCTATGTCCAGTTAGCTCTATTCTGAGGGTAAAGAACACTTAGGCATACTGATCTACAGCCAACGACTCGAATGTTACCACTTTATTGCATTGAGGACATGTCCACGTAGGAGCCTGCTCTTGGAGTTGGAGGAAAGATGAGACGTCGAAACACTGGTTGTGGTTGCAGATCGCACTGCGGCAAGGGATGGCGATCCGTAATGTGGATACCGGATCTTTCAAGGACATGACCGTCGAGCCGAGCACGAGGTCTGGATCGTTTGCCTTCTTTTGCACTGTGGAAACTGTTAATACATGTGAACCAGTATGAACCATGACGCTGCACTGACTTTCGCGAAGCGTGGTCTCCTTAGCAATCACTCCCTTGTCCTGGATTCTCTGGGTAAGCTCCTCCACGGAGCGCTTTTTGACCAGATGGATGATTATGGTGAATCTCTGCCGGCATTGTCAGTTTCATTGGCGCAATTAGAAGGATAGGAAATACAGTGACCTCTGTAGTAGGGCTTGCCTTTTGAGTTAGGGCATATGCGATCTGGATATTATTCCTGTATCCAGGAACTTTTCGGATCTGGTCCGTAATGTCGGCCGGCCGTGTTGACCCCGGCTTGTTTTTGAGGCCTTTGAAATTGGCCTTCACCTCGTCGGCGCCGATTTTCACCTCCATTTGCGTTGGGAAACTAATATCCGTCCGCGAGAATGCATCCAGAGGGCCCTCACTCGCTGAATAGATCATGACTCGCATATTGGTATCCGCTCTCAGCAGCGCACAGGTGGCCTCGTTGAGTGTGATGTGGCCATTGGCGTTGGTTCTATGAGCTGGCGTAACTTCTCGGTGATTAACATATCTCTGAGACCGATTTGCGGCAAATGCTCACCTTCGAGATATATAGGCGAAGAAAGGGTGTCTTGTATCTCGTAGAACGGGGACTGCTTGAAAAGAATCCGGGCTATGACAGAGTTAGGATCCATATTCCATATCTGTGGTGTTGAAGCTGTACACACTTTGAAACGATGGCCGGTGGGGCTGGACCTGACCAGGTGGTCTTCCAAATCCGTTCTGGCCCTGCATATTGAGGCCAGCTGCAGCGCTGGTCTGGTATGTAGGAGGCTGCGTGTCGGGCGGGGCGTGGCCGTGGTTTTGAACTCGATATCTCAGTCTTTCGATGCCCGCGGAGTCACCGGTTGAAGCAAGCTCTTCCAAGCCTGCAGTGAAGAGGGCGTGGTCAGCTTCATGCTCAAGTGAGGACGGGGGGAGAGGGGTAATACGCTGGATGATACGGGCCTGGAGGCCCGCCTTGACGCCAGATACCGCGAGGTTCTCGCCTCTGCATATTTCTTTTAGATCGGCATTGATCAGGCTCTTGATGCGGGCGGAGAGGGATATGACCTGGTCCTGGAGAGCCCGGCTGCCGCCCGTGGCCATAACGATGAGTGTTTTGTCTGCTCAGCTCACGCGCGAGCAGGGCACACTACAGGAGCGTGAGGAGTAGGGCGCGAGACAGGCGGAGAGACATGGAAGGCGGGATTGGCAGTGGGATGGAGGGAAACGCTGTGAGGGCGTCTGGAGAGCCTGGAGGAGGGTTCTGGTGGTCCGAAGTGGCTCCTGCCCGGCAGCGATATACCGGACAGCGTTGCGCCTGCGTCTCCAGCCCAGGCGCCTTTTGAGTTCCAGAGCTCGAATATTTACGGAACGCTGCGGCAGCTGACCCGGTCCACGGCCGCTGAATTCACTCGCAAAGCCGTGTCTTTGCCTGGATCCGCGGCAAAGGCATCATTGCACACGGCCTGCGACGTGCGTGACTGATAGCCCGAAACCCAGCCGTGCAGCCAATCCTGGGCCGCTGTGATTCTGCCAGACCGCCTAGAATATCCCGCCACCGTACAAAATTCGGCCTCGCCCACTGAAATTCTCGCCCGTTACAACACCCCCAGCACACGCCCTACCTACAACACCATCCCGCCACCCCAACACACACGCCAAAATGGCCAAAGGACTCCGCTCCAGCAGCATCAAGACGAACCGCAAGAAGCTCCGCTCCCGCGTCTTCGCCCCGGTCGAAGTAGCCCGCACCGAGCGACTCTCCGCGAAGCTCCTCGAGCTCGCGTCCCAACCACGACCCGCCAAAGCCGAGATGGAGATTGACGCAGATGAGGGTATGGACGCCTCCATGTCTAAAACGCTGCTCAAAGCACTCGCTAACTCCAACACAGTGCCCAAGGACGCCGACGCGTCCAAGGACCAGCAGGCAGAAGGTTTGTCACCCTGCATTTCTTGGTCCCTCCCGCGCTCGCTGTCTTCAGACGGCGCCGAGACACCCCCCGAGAGCCCCCAGGAGAAGCAGGAGGCGCAGTTTGACGAGGATATATTCTATAACCTTCTCGGCGTTTCGTCTGATATTGTCGGGTTTGATATTCGGGGAGATTTGCGTCTAGCTTTTGATCGTTGAGGTCATGGCTAACGCCCAGTGAACAGAGATGGAGATCGATGGTGCCACGAAGCCCGCCGCCTCCGCCTCTTCGAAACGAAAGAAGCCCCAGAATCGGCACAAGGTTCGCGGCAAGCCGCAATCGACGTTGACGTTTTCGAAGTCCCAGCTGAAGAGAGGCGTCAAGACGGGTGGCGTCAAGAAGAGGAGGGTGCGGAATTGATGGGTCACGGCATTTCATACTAGCTTCTTCGGAGGATTTGGGTTTCTGATACCATGCATAGCGAACGGCGTTTGGAAGTCAGGCACGCGAATACGCCGCCTTATGTTCATTATGACTCACGATGTCACCCTTCTTGGAGTCACAGCTCCTCCTTTTCTACAAAGACAATCCAATTATCTATCAATCTCATGATTTAATCTCCAGACTTTGTCGACATTTTCATTGTGTGCTAATATGAGAGTCAGACCTCAACGAGGCTATCTCCGCCTTCTAGCATGCCGTTCCCTTTCCGTCAAGGACATATGAAATCCCTAGGAAGTCTATAGCGTTGGTCTCGACTACTTTTCATTAATATCTCATGTATTGCTTATGCATAGTCTACACAAATGGACTTCTTAAGCGGAGCGACCCTTTATGTATACCAAGTTTCAGCTTCCTGTCCACGCTTGGACTAGACCCTATATAGCAATCTTCTGTCTACCACTATTCTCAAAACACCTGTACAACAATCCACTGACGTTACCAATCATCCTCTTAGTTTGCCAGGTCTCTCTACTTTCGCCTAGGTGCACTCCGCGTATTGTTCCGATCTTTGAAGAAAGACAATACAGGCTAGCCAGCGAGAGAACGACTTCGGTCTCTCATAGATAGAGCGGATAGAGACACAAGAATCCTATTCTCCACTCATAGCAGTTACCAGCGTTTCAAGGCTGCTGTTGGACGCCCTTATGCAGGACAACAGCCGTTGTCACATTCGTTAAGTCGACACATGACCAGCTCGGGTGGCTTGCAGAGCCGCCAAACATGTCGGCGCTTCAGTGACGCTTAACATGACAGTCCGAAGCGTGCCCTAGTTTCAAGGCCGCATGGACTCGTCAACGTCATCTCCAAAGTCGGTCAAGTATTGATGCAGGCTTCGGCACTCGTGTACGAGAATGTGGGTACTCCGAAGAGCCGCAGTGCGCCAATGCGGCGTGAGCCCCCGGAAGCTTGACAGTTCGGGTTCTGTCCGGCGATGAGGTTGGTGGTGCTGAACCTTGAATTGTGCCTGAAAGCCTAAATACGATGCTAACCACAGGCCGTATGGCTCCCGGCTGAAGCGCCCTTGGCACACCCGTTTACCGCTCAGTCGGCCCCCACAGGGCGTCGTGTCATTTGCGACCCAATAACCGCCAGGACGGCCAACCTTCGCCACCATGCTGCACACCACTCGGCCAATCGCTGTACGCGCCACCAACAGCCATAGGCCCTCTCAGCGGCCTCTCCTCCACCGTTGGCGTGATGTTCGCAACCGAATGTGTCGACGGGGACTGTCCCAGTCCTGTTGGACCTCTCCTGGCTCTGATCACCGTGCCAGCCGTCCCCGACCCATCCCCACGAAGCCACATTAACGTTCAGTCTCCCTGCAACCCTCCTTAGGCAGTCCTACTTATCCTCTGATTCCTCTCCCCAATTTTCCAAGATTTCAGTCTACTTTCTTTTACATCCATGCGTGCTTGAGCATAGAGTTCGTTTCCTTTAGAAGCATTTGTCGTTTTGCAACCTGCTTCAAACATGGCCACCCGCGAACCCCTCTCAAGAAGCAACACTCCAAAGATCACTAGCCCAAAACCCCCTCTGAAGAATGGAATCGTCAGAAAAGCTTCTACGCAATCCGTCAAGAGCCTTCGGTTTGCAAGAAGTCCGAACGACGTTTCTGAATACTCTCCAGGCTTGGATAGCGTTTTGACCCCAGGCTACGACTCTGGTCGCGAAGAGGTCAACTCCAATGGCTCGCTTCCTGGCGTTGTTGCCGGTATGACTGGCCTTCATTTCGGCGGTCAGCTGCGAGTGCCTGCGAATGAGCAGAGTCCGCTCTTTTCGCCATCGGCCCCACCCCAGCAACCCGGAGACGAATTGCTGTATAGTATTGCCACTGAGCATAGGCCTGACGAACGCATCTTCCGGGCGCCTTTTCAGGATGCTTTGAGCGACACCAAGGCAGAAATGCGAGAGATATCCCTCGCTATTTGGGGCTGTACTGCAGCACATCAGGCTGGCACTGATTTGTATGCTCTACGTCAGCAGGCACAAGCTCTAAGCGAGTTTGAACCATCTCGAACGAGAACTGTTGGCCTCGTGGGAGACTCGGGTGTTGGTGTGTATCCGAAGCTTCCTCAATACTGCAACCTTAAAGCTGACCATTCATCAGGGAAGAGCAGTCTCATTAATTCTCTTCTTGACCGACCCGATTTGGCGCGATCTGTAGGTTCCCCTCTTCTGTATAGTGAGTTGCCAATCTAATTCCAATAAGAGTGGTGATGGTAGCGGCTCCACCTGTGTCGTGACAGAGTATCGCTTCAGACCAGCTCATCATGACGAACCTTTCGGAATCGAGGTAGATTACATGAGCTCTGAAGAGGTCAAAGAGCTTCTTGAGGAGCTCCTTAGGACCTATCGACAGTTCTATATCCCTGCATTCCAAGAGGTCGATACTATCGAAGAGCAGACCGAAATCCGGGATAAATCTGCCAAGGCGTGGACTACGCTACATGCCATGTTCCGGAACGAGCCGCGACTAACAAAGGAGCTTTTGCTGGCAGCTTCAACTGACGAAGATGCCTCATTACTCAAAACTCTTGAAGAATGGGCGACCAAAGTCCTCTCAACTCGTCCCGGTGGGCCCAGCTGTCGCATTTGGTCAGGCACCGCCGACAGTGTCGACGAATGCGTTGATCGAGTCGAGCAATTCAACCGAGACTCCACGGATGAGACTGCTCCTTCACTGTGGCCGTTCGTTAGAATCATTCGGTTAGTCAAAATAGATTCCAGCCTCCATTTCGTCACACTGATAAAGATTATTAGGGTTTATCTTCGCACCCCGCTCTTGCAGACCGGCCTTGTGCTGGTGGATCTTCCAAGTAAGTCATGCGAACCTATAATGCCGTGGGGTTGGCTAAATCTTGGTTAGGTCTTCGGGACTTGAATCACGCTAGAGTATGTTCTATTGAACGATACCTGCGGAACTGCCATGAAGTGTTTGCGGTGACCACCATGAGTCAAGCACTAGCGGATCAAGGCGTGCTGGACACCATCCGAAGGAATGGTCGACATCGCCCTCTTCGAATTGTGTGCACCAAGTCCGAAGTAAGTCGAGAAGCCCGTGAAAAGCAACTTTGTCTGATCATGTAGAACGCCAACGGGAGGGAAATCGAAAGGAAAGCTCCACCTGATGTTGCGCTTCAAATCCGGACTTGGAGAGAGCAGATCCAGAGCCTTCATTTGCAATTAAAGAGATGTGAGGCTCGTCGGCGACATAGGCTGCCTGGCTCTGTCGAAGAGGAGATTGCGAATCGGTATGCTGCACACCCCTATTTTTGATTGCCTCACTGATAACGTACAGTGATGTTCTTGAAGAAATGGAGTTCGGGTAATACTTACAGTCCTCCCTTCATGGCTTACATTCTCTAATCATAACACAGTCTCAAAAAACTACTCATAGAACGGCAGAATCATTCCGTAGCTACGAAACTTATCGATAGATACGCCATGGACGTCCAGATGGCCGACCTAAAGATTTTCTGTGTCAGCAACAAGGATTATTTCGAGCACCGTCACGACGAGCAGAACCGAGCAGAGTTGAGACTGGAGTTGAGCGGTATTCTGGGTCTACGCCGATATTGCCACTCCATCCCAGCAGAGGCCCAATTTATTGCTGCGGCTGCTTTCATTGAGCATGAGGCGCCTGCTCTTGTTGGATCTCTACGGCAATGGAGTGTGGCGGGCTCCGATCAGGTACCTGAAAAAGTGGCAGAAGACCTGAGGCACCTGATGAAGCAGACTGAAGAAGTTCTCACCAAGGCAAGTTAGAGACTTCAAGAGCGTCAGCGTGGAGATACTAACCTTGCATAGAAATTGGTGCTCGGCTCTTCTGAGATTCAGGTAGCGAAAAACAACCTGAACAGAGAATTTGCCGCTTCCATCGTCCACCCAATTAGTAAGTATCTCTATCATTGAGCGTGCTTCAACCATGGCTTACATCGATTAGGAGAGCAACGCCATGACTGGATAAAAGCCGCAACGGAAGTTAGCCGCGAATGGATCGTCGTAAGTCTCCCCTCACAACCTCATCGCAACAATACTTACCCAAATCCAGTACAAGCCCAGTGCCTTCGCCGCCTTCTGCCGCAAATACGGCAACCACGAAACCCGCGCCGTCGGCGCCCACAAATGGAACGAAGACCTCATCCGCGTCATGCGCCTTCAATTGGAGAGCAACTGGGGCTTCTTCCAAGAATGGATTGAAGACTGCAAAAAGGACGTCATCGACTCCGTCCACGACGTCTTCGACTCCGTCTGCCAACCCCTCGAAGCCTTCAAAGACGCTTCCCCCAACGCGGTCCGCAATATGCTGGACAACTTCGCCGCCCACCGCGACTGCATCATCCACATCGTCGACACGGGCTTCGAGGACCTGATCGAGGGAACCTCGCAGATCGAAAACGACGCGCTGTACGGCCACGACAGCTCCTACACCTGCGATATCCTCCGCCCGGCGTATCAAGCGTGTAGCCTCGAAAGTGGTAAGGCTCCTAGTCCTACCATGTTCTAACTTGTACAACTTTACTGACTCTACAATGCAGGCCCCGGCAGCGACGCCCGCCGCAAAGAAATCATGAGCAAGCACATCCAGCAATGCCGCCTCTTCCCCAAGCTGTCCACCATGGTCGAGCGCAACCACCGCAGCTTCGTGCGCGCGACGTTTGACGGCATGATCAGCGCTATTACGCGCGAGCTGGATAACTTTGTCCGCGATCTGCAGCTCGTGGCTGTGGAGGAGGGCGAGGAGACGGAGGCGGGGCGGTATCCGGAGTTTGCGCGCAGGCTGAGGGTTCGGCTGGTGCAGGCGGATCGGGTGTTGGGGAAATGTGCAGAGACGGCAAGGGAGCTTGGAGAGTTGGTTGAGGAGGGGGGGAGGGATTATTGAGGGAGCGTCGAGAGTTTTGTGAGTTTTGTAAAGAGGGGATATTATACAGTGCGATGATGGAATGGATGAAGGGTTATGAGGATTATCTGGCGTAAGGGGTGTATAAGACAGCATACAGTCCTCTTGTATATAGGGAATGGACGCATTGATTGAGGTTTTAGGTAATGAAGGAATGTTTTGGTATCTTGGGTTCGTTCTACATGTTTCTTATGCCATGTACCTCGTCACGATACTCACCACATCCTCGTCCGCAACCACGTGACCCAGTCCAACACGCTGCGGCACGTGGCGAGCGCTGGCGCCCCAGACGAGTGCATGCTTGAAGGTGTCTTTGATCGTACGGTGGATCTGGTCGCATACGTCTTCGATGGTGGCGTTGTAGCGGACGATGAGGGCTTCGGAGAAGTCGGGGTCGATTCCTTTTCTGCAGGGATGTTAGAGGCATTCACGTAACCAGCTTTAAAGTTCTCGGGAACAAACCGCTTGGTGTAGATCCTGATGAGCCGCAGCTCCTCCCAGCATCGTTCGACGACGTCTTGAATGCCGAGGTCTAGCTCGCAGCTCATGACGACTGTGTGGTCTTCGCGCGCCAGTTTGTCGAGGAAGTCGAGCGAGACGCTGTCGATTTTGTTGTAGACGTAGAGACTTCATTTCACCGTCAGCTTGGCAGAAAGAAAAGTGTGGAGGGGAAATATAAGTAGGAATGGGAGAATAGAGCTGTTCACCATTTGATATAGGTTCTGTGATCTTTCATGATGACATCAATGAAATCGTCAACTGTTGCGTACTCGTCTCGGACGAGAACCTCGCAATTTAGGATCTTGTAGTCGCGGAGGATGTTGTAGAGCATTTTCTCATCGAGATACTTTGGTGGTGCCGAGAACGTGATTTTCATACCCCCGGCTTTCTTTGCTTTGAGATAGATGTTGCTATACCTATTAGTATACTCAAAGAGCTCGTAGCAATTGAACTTGCATACGGTGGATCGCAGTTCAGCCTGATGCCAACGGCGTGTAGTTCCGCTTCCAATAGCTTCCGCTGCTCGGCTCTCTTCGTAGCATCCAGAATCATCAGAATTAGGTCACTCGTCTTCGCCGCGGAAATAACCTGCCGACCTCGCCCCTTGCCCTCGGCGGCGCCCTCGATGATTCCGGGAAGATCGAGAACCTGGATCTCGGCACCGCCATACTCGAGCACGCCGGGAATGGCTGTCAAAGTGGTGAAAGAATAGGCAGCTACTTCGCTCTTCGTCTTGGTGATCTTGGACAAGAAGGTCGACTTGCCGACGGATGGGAAGCCTACGAGTGCAATCCGTGCGTCGCCGCTCTTGCTCACGTCGAAGCCAGTCCCAGCACTGGCGCCGGCACCAGGGGCGGGCTCAAGGAGCTGGGCTCGTAGTCGGGCAAGTTTGCTGTTTGGGAATTGGCATGAGGCTCTTTAAAACGCAAGTTTCTATTCATGTTGGACGAACCCTTTGAGGAGACCGAGATGGTATTCTGCGGGGAAGATTAGCACACGTGCTCCAAGACTGTCATATTTAGTCCGGGAATGTTTATACCGGTAGCTTTGTTTTCTGTGTCTGGTCAGCATGTGCCTAAAAAAGTAGAGTACGGCATTCATACTTTGGGTCCTCCTCATCTCCTCCTCGATCCTACGCCGAGTCAGTCACGCTTCACATGAGAAATGGCCCCGAGCCCTACTCCTTAATCTTTTCCGTGATATTGACCATCTTGACTGGGCCTCGTGGTTTCGATCTCTTTATTAAAGTTAAATATAGACACGAAGGGGTGGGTGTCGAGGTTTCGACGTTTGGTGGTAGCAAAAGTCGTGATGGAAAAGCGTTGGTGTTGAAGAGCCATTTCGTATGGAGCTTAGCGCCCCCGTAATTAAAAGCTGGATAAATTACATCGCACGGCATAGTAGCAAGCCCGGATTTCGCTGGCCAACGCCACCATGTAGGATCAAAGAAGCCTATTTCAGCTGCTGACTATAAGATGCCACTTGACATCCGTCCTTTCGCTTTCTTTCTACTCCCCAACCCCCCCAATCCAAAACGCCGAGCCCGTCCTTCACCGCCACCTACAGGAGGATGACGGGGTTTCCCTCTTTTCGTCCATCCACGTCCCGTGAGCTGCTGGACTATTATTACGCCAAGTATGACGCAGACATCGCATCTGGAAAGTACGAGCCCATTGTGTTCCCATGGTGCGGTGCTCCGGCCGCAGCGGTTGTTCTCTACCTCCTCATACCTCATCAGAAGTCCCATTTCCTCCAACAAGCACGTTATTTGGTGTTTGCTTTCATTGTCGGTTTTACTGTATATCAGATCACGTTCTGCAGCACGCGTAACATGGCACCGTGCTATGGGAATGGAGTCGTTTCAGCATGGCTGGTAATATCCTCCATTGCAAACCTCATTTTCAACGACGCGCAGTCGGACTTTCAAAGAATTGTATACAAGGATCCGCATCCTCAAGAGAACAGGATTCTGCATCAGGAGAACAACCAAAACCCAGGTTCCATCAATCCATCGAAAGAGCCTTTAAGAGAGGTCGGAAAGGACGGAACCCAACCTAGTTCTAGTCGACGTCACCGAAGTTTCGCTTGGCAGCCTTACCCACTGGACTCGTTCAAAGACCGGCTACAGTGGGTCATAGATCTGACTGGAAATACTCGAGGTAGCAACTGGAGCTGGCGAACGCGAACGATAGCACCTCCACCAAAATTTGTCCGAGAGCAGCTACGAGAGAACTCAGGACCACAATCTTCCACAGAGCGCGCTCATGCTGGAGTCACCGAGTCGTATCCAACAAGAAGAGAGCTTCTGCTAGCAAACCTTAGGACGCTTGCGATCAGCTATCTGTGCCTTGACCTGGCAAAAGGCATTATGGCGCGTGACCCCTACTTTTGGGGTTATCCCGAGCTTCCACCCCCGGCCTATCTTCCATCATTCATATCTAGTTCAGCGGTGTTACTTCGAGCATATCGGCTCTATGTGACCCTTTTCGGCGTCCGGTATGCCTTGGAAGCAGTCTACACATTCAGTCCCCTCTTCTTCGCCGGAATCGCAAGTCCTTTCGTTGGTGCCTGGGCGGAACCCTGGATGTTTCCCCCTACTTTCGGCAGTTCTATCAACGTAGTAGAGCGCGGCCTTGCGGGCACATGGGCAGACTGGTGGCATCAAACCTTTCGCTTTGGGCTTGAGGCTCCCTCAAAATGGTTCATCACCGCCATCGGCATGAATCGCCAATCTATTCCCGCAAAACTCATTCAGGTCTTTACTGCATTCACGCTATCTGGATTCATGCACGCATGTGGGAGCGCTACTCAAGCTGGGCCCACTACCCCTCTCCATCCTTTTCTTTTCTTTATGACTCAAGGAATTGGCTGTGTTGTCGAAGATGCCCTTACGAAGCTCGCTCGGCGGGCCGGGTTACACAAGCGTGTCCCCAAACCCGTACGCATTTGCTTCACTATCGCGTATCTGCATGTATGGGGATACTATACTGGGCCTCTTATGGCCGACGATATGGCAAGGGGTGGTATATGGCTCACCGACCCTGTCCCATTCAGCCCTTTAAGAGCACTGGGCTTGGGACCGCCAGGGGATGACCGGTGGTTGCCATGGGGTGGATGGCCGTGGAAAGGACAATGGGCCTATTTTCATCGGGGTTCGACATGGTGGAAGAGCGGCATTGCATTTTAGGAGCATTTTATGTTGATGTTGTTTTAGAGTGTTGATATGCTGAATTACCCTTTAGAGTAGATCTAACATGTTCTTTCGATTCACAGCTTGCTAAGCTTTACATAACTCTCTCGCTATTCAAATCGTGTCGGAGTGCTTCATACATTGTCAACGGATGCAAACGAGACATCACAGGCAATCGCCCGATCTACGATGGATCACCTATTACATCTCATCCGAACTTTAAGGGCATGCTAGGATACTTCGGAGGACGTCAAAGGGATAGAACCAGGGGAGGCAGAAGCTAGCCTGGTGTGCAGCCTGGTAAGCTTTACATCACATCTCCAATGCGCATAGTATATTGGAGTACTTCTGACGATGTCAAAGGGGTGCAAATAGGATACCTCAAGCGCTGATCTGAATTATGACAAGTTTTATATTCTTGATACTCCAATACTGCAAACTCTAGGAGACTTCCGATATACTCAAACAATTCGCAGCGCAGAGCGAATATCCCAATATCTTAGTCTCAAAACGATAGTGTACGCCATATATCTAATGATTCTAGAAAAAGTACAAAATATGACAAAAGCAAGATATAGGACTCTTTTCGTTGCGTCGCCTTGTGTCGTTGTTGCAAAAGGTTGGGTATACGGATGGCAGCTCCAGAGCTACTGCTGTTTCCAGCAGTGTCCGTAGATTCAAAGGTTCGGTATTGCCGTTTCCGTGGGTCGGTGTGGCTCGTTGGAACCCTCTACTGAGAGAAGGCCATGGAGACCGGCACCATTTACTCCTTGAAGAACAGATCTTCTTCTACTTCCGGCCCTCCATCCAACTCCCAGGAGCAGAACTGCTCGAAGCTTTCTGGCTCCCTTTTCATTGCCCATGCAGGCAGCGGATTTGCCTCTATATCGTGCCGGGTTGGTGCATAAGGCGCAACGAGCTCCAGGAGTGCCGAGGCGGAGGGTCGTTGATCGGGGTTCCATGTCAATGCGTAGCGCATGTTGTCATCTAACTGGCTTGAGTAGATGCTGTTCGTCGGCTTGATACCCTTCCTAGCCCGCTGTCTGGCCGCCTTTCTGGCACGTGGTGTGACGGAAGTACTGAACTCAAGCTTCTCACAAGGGGAAACGCCGTGTATGAGGTAATGCACGACAGCACCCACTGCACATACGTCCGACTTCTTGGTCGAACGTTGTGGCTCTGGTGGCTGATACGAATAGGTACCCGCTCCGTACTTCTTCTCGTCTGCTTCCGCGCTCTGGGCGTGCGAAAGGCCAAAGTCAGTCAGTTTGACCTCCGGGTACCCGTACTTGGTCGAGAGGGTACTTGGCACCAGAAGAATATTATCGGGTTTTATATCCCGATGTATTATAGCCGGGTTGCAGTGGTTGTGCAGCCACGCTACGCCTTCGGTGATTTGAAAGATTAAGTGCTAGAAAAGAGGTTCTAGGGGAGAGATGTCTTTGCTTCCCCAAGTTGACCGGAATTTTCTCAAGCTACCCTCCCTACAGTACTCGAACACCGATCGAGGTTTGAAGGATTCTGGAATGGGTATGTTACCGAAGTATTCCAGGATTCTGGGCGATCCTCTCGCCGCTTTCATCATCTCAACTTCGTTCAAGGCCTCCGCGTCGTCCTTGAACTTCAGCTCTTTCATCGCATACGTCCTCTTAGACTTCTTATGCGTGATCTTGGAGATGGAGACCCACCCTCGGCCTCCATCAGCGATAAGACGGACCATCCAGTTCACATGGAGCTTGTCCACCTCGAGCTGGGTCTTGGGCGGAGAGTCCCACTCCCAGGAAGAAGAAGCGTCGTCCATTTGTACAAGACGTTGTTGTTGTTATACACGCGGGGGCAGTTGGAAATGAAAAAAAAATGAAGGATATGTTGGATAGCGGCGTGCGTGTACAACGAGTAGGTTCAGAGGGTCTTCGAGGGGGTGGTAGGTGGTGGGTAGTGATTTCTCTTATAAAAAGAAAGTTGAAGATACAACGGGGCCCTTTAAGTACAATGTTTACTGCGGATGGTAGTCTCAAAGTAATTTTATAAAAAAGTACTCAATATAGTAGCAATTCACTCGCGTTCTAGAAACCCTAAAGGTGTATTCACCCGGCTAGAACCAAAACACATAGATGAGAGTGCGGTTATAGTCCATAATAGAGATGGTCAATTGTTGTTTCAATTCGCGAATGTATAGAGAAAGAACACTACACTAACTCAACCAGGAAATATATGAGACGAGAGCCAGCAGTATACATAAACAGTAGCCGTGGCGAGGAGATCGGAAGACTTCTCCAAAAAAAGAATCACTATTCCAATGAGAGGATAGTAATTGAAGATAAAAGCGGACAGCTCAGGACACATCCTTATGCGAATGTGTGAAAACAAGATACAACATAACGACAAAGATGAAGAACACACTGCCACACTGATACCAACGTGTAGCGAGTGGCTTCATCTCCAAGGGCTCTTTCACGAAGGGGTCTGCTTCGATTTTGATACCCTTTTCTTTGTGCAGTTCCCATGAGTTGAACATCTCCATTTTTACCATCACCCACTCCGGTAAAGGGTGAGCGATCATGTATTCCGCATCGGGCGCATGTGGTCGGATGAGTTCGAGAAATTTGGATGCTGAGGATCGATTTAAAGGCACCGGGGACAACGTCTGTTGCATTGCTTGGTCAAGTTTGGTAGAGTAGCCCCAGACCGATGATAGGCTTCGCCACCCTCGCCGCGTTTCGTTTCGCGTCCTTCTTCGCAGCCAGTCTCATTTCAATATCCGAAATATCCGTGAACTTGGAGTCGACTAGTTCGCATGGGGGCTACCAGTGGGCGAGAAAGTGCAGGACCGCGCCCAGAGCCCAGATGTCGGACTCTTTTCTTGAGCGAAGTGATTCCGGGGGTTGGTAGGTGTAGGTACCAGAACCCCACTCGTATTCGTCATTGTCGGCAGTTCGGAGGTGAGCGAGTCCAATGTCGCCCAGCTTGAGATCCGGGTAGCCGCCTGCAACGCTGCTTGGAGCAATAAGAAGGTTCCCGGGCTTTATATCGTTGTGGATTGTGGATTGTGTGTCATGAAGCCACGCGAGGGCCTCGGTCTCTTGTAGATAAGAAGGCGAACAGTGGCGTCTCCGTCTCTAACATGCCGGAGTTCTCGGGTTTGAAGTTTTTGCGAAGGAGCTCGTAATATACGGTGGTATCGTTCGTAATTCGGAGAGAAACATATTACCGTATACTATATAACTCAGGTTGCAGCACTACAACCTAGGATCAACAACTCATATGCTAGAAAGCTACTCCGAACATCAGCTGTAGAGAACACAGCTGAGATCTCAGCTGTGGAGAGCCCAGCTGAAAACTCAGCTGTGCAGTGTTCAGCTGAACTTACTAGCGCGCCACCCAGGGGGTGGCCCCCCTTCCTTCCCCTAGTATATATACAACTAGCTAGACGTCTATAGAAATCAGAGTTCACATCAATTTTAACCTGAGTATATAACTCCCATAAAGTCGGCTATAATTCTCAAAACTGTTGCGAGACGCTCTTCCTCTATGTGAATGGGTCATCTTCCGTGTTGGCGTCCGGCGTTAACTCCCAAGAGTTGAATTCGTGATGACCGGGTACCTTTCTCTGGATTGCCCACTCTAGAAGGGGACTGGCCGCCATTTCACCCCTGGTAGGCGCAAACGGCCTGACAAGCTGCAAGAGCTGAGACGCAGAGGGCCTGTCCTGGGCATTGAAGTGACACGCCGATTTCATGGCTTGACAAATCTTGTCAGAGTAGTTTAGGTGGCTTGCTCCCTTGCAAATGTGTTTCGGTTGCCTCAGTGCCAACTTCTTCTTCTCTTTCTTTTCCTCGATTGGCATATCGGTGTCAAGACGGCCTAAAGAGCAAGGGGGCACACCGAGGGCGAGATAGTGAATGATGCTACCAACAGCCCAAATATCCGACGCTTTTGTTGACCGAAACGGCTCGGGAGGCTGGTAGCTCCAGGTGCCCGCTCCATACTCTTCTTTATCCAGCTCTTCGCTCTGGAACTGCGCAAGCCCAAAGTCTGCAAATTTTATCTCCGGATAGCCACCCGTTGTGGTTGAAGCGATGAGGATATTGGCAGGTTTGATGTCTCGGTGGACTATGTTACGTTTTTTGTGAAGGTGGACCAAACCCTCGGCTAGTTGCTCGAATATGTGCCACAACAGAGTCTCTGGCATCCGCATTTCGTGTTCTTGCCATGTGTTGTAGTACTCGCTGAGATCGCTCTCGCGGCAGTATTCAAATACGGGTCTTAATTTGAGTGGTTCTGATGGGTTCGGAAGGTTGCCCAGGTAGCTGAGGATGCGTGGGTGACCTCTCGCGGCTTCGAACATTTCGATCTCATGCTTAGTCTCTTCATCCACATCATGAAACATTTGCTTCATGATGTAGTGTCGGTGCGATTTCTTGTGTTGTATGAGATTGATCGCGCCTTGGCCTCCACGAGTGATTTCTCGGTATACCCAATTTGTAGTGAGCGTGTCCTCTTTGAACGTTATTTTTTCGCTCGATTTGAGGACCCAGGCCTCGGCGTCGACTTCTGAGCTTTTGAGAGTGTCTTTGGGGTCACTGTCCTTGTCGAAAATGTCCTCAAAGCTGGTCACTCCATCGGAAGCGTCTTCGCTGTTGGTCCACTGGTCGGAAGTGTCCTCGATCCTGACCCATCGCTCCGAAGCGTCGCTGATGATGGTCCATTGATCCGAAGTATCGTTGGTTGTAGTCATGGTGTCAGTGGCTGTGGTCTCTGTGCTATTCACGTTTCAAGTGGCGTGGTCGAAAGGAGGCTTGAAGTTGTGAGAAGTGTGTAGGGAGAAGGTAGATGAGAACGCGCCGTGGCCTTTTGAGTATATTTTAAACAGCCACCAGAGCGCGAGCCTGACGTGGTTCTGAGGTCTGCACAATACGGTAGCGATATACTGGTCTATGGGCGGTTGTTCTAGAACTGAAGCCATCGCGTAACCGTTACCAGAGTCAGAGCGTGGGTCCAATCAGACAGCGAACACAACAATGTTCCATCTCTTTCCAAAGGCCGCACGCGGGGTATAAATAGAAAATGTTCATATTTATAGCATGCGCAGAGAACATGTATATTGAAGGCCGGCCCCGATACAATTGTGATAGTTCTGAAAGCTTCGAGGTAGATCCGAGTAGTGCCACAGGTTACGTGGATTTACAACAACAGAAAAAATAGAGTGTCTTTACGTGCACAGCATTAGCACATAAGCTTGGGCACACGGGTATATCACTGCTCAGACTCCGACCTTGCTCGCTCGACACCACTGAGGAATACCCCGCCTAGCAAGTGGTCAGTCAGTAATCTACTTTCCACTGCGTCGGCCTTTACATCGTATTCGGAGTTTTAAAAGCCTCTAGAGGCGCTTTAAGCAGTGGTGAGTAATACAAACATTTGGAGGAAGAACGTCGAGATAGTGGATATGATTCAAACCGTAGTCAAAAGAGTTTTGACATAGCGTACTGTGACGTTAAAGATTTGACTTTGTAGGGAAAAAAAAATGAAGAACAGTAACAAATGAGATCCGAAAGAAAAGGAGATGCCACTGGACCAGCAAATGAAACATGATATTATAATCCGAGACAAACCGCAGTCTATCGTTGCCCATACCGCGCACCCATCACGTTCCTGACGTATACACGAAAGGTCATAACTCTCGTTACATCTGGCATCCACTCGTTGTGATCATCAAGCAGTAATAGGGACGCTCAATAAGAGACGTTGACGCCGCTGAGGTCAGAAAAGCAGAAATATCGTGGGCGTCGTTGTGAAGGGTAGCTTTGTCGTAAAGAGCGTAGCTGTGCGCCCTGTTCGCCGACGTCCGATGAGTATGGAGTGTGGTGCGCTACTACGCAAATGTCGGAGAGGATGTGTGACCGGAGCAAGCAGAGGTAGTCTGGGTGTAGTAGAATTGTCTTTCCCGTTTAGATACTCGCTCATGGTGTTCGAGAATGAGCCAGGTCCACTAGGTATTGTTTGGAGCGCATGTTTGACCCTTTGAAGTCGACCAGAGGTTGAAGGACACCCTGAATCGTGGCCGTCTTAAGCATCCACAGATAATGACTGGGGTTATTTTGCATGCCGTGGACATGCGTATCCGACTTGAACGACTCGCTCTGCGACTTCATGCCGACCATATGCAGGACAAGCGTCGATGCCATGTACGTGGTAGATGCACCCACAAACGGCATAAACCTCAACGATACGAATACACATGAATAGTGGTGCTGCGGGTTATCTGCAGTGAAGCTAATGGAAGGAGGATGATAGCGGAAGGGAGCAAAATTGATTGGTGGGTTCTAATGCTTCAGATAAGAGGAGGCCGACGAAGGAGGAACGGTGGAGCCTAAAAACAGACGAAGAGAGACGCAAAACAAATCGAGATTACAAAGACTAGAGACAGGACGAAACATGAGGACGACGAAGGAAGGGGGCCAAGTAAGGCAACAGTGTAGCTGATATACGGGCGTAGTACAGCTGCTAAGAATATGAGTGGGACAAGGGAGAACCGGAGCGCGCGAATGGTCGGTCAGAGGCCGATAGCGTCATGAGTGAGGCTTGCATCAAGGGTAGTAAGGCGCAGGTAGCATTCCGGCTGCCGCAAGTTGAGCGAGACGAACAAACATTGAGACGACGGATTGCGCAAAAGAGACTGACAAGCCAGCCACGCGTTTTCCGAATCAAGGCCCTGCGTAAGGCGCAGTAACATGCTCGGAGCAACTGCAGTCCTGGGTATGGAAGGTCTCGGGCAGGAATCGACGAGTGACAGGCAAGATATGTATGGCGTTCGGTGATGGGAGCTACGCTGGGGGGTAGCATCGGTGAAGATTTGCAGCCAGCCCACCTTAATGGCGGTGCATGCAAAGCCACACCTAGACTGCGATTCATTTGGTCAGCAGATGATGATGGTTTGGTTAATGTCAATATTCGCAAGCAGGGGGTTCGCCATGTCTTGGCTGCGGTTGAGAGGGCGATTGGACACGGGGAGATTCCTCGCGCTAGAAGGGAGCCAGCGTGTCGGCCGCAACGTAAACATAGATACGAACATGTGGCTCAGTCGCCGACTTTAGCACACGGAGACGTTGGCCGAGCGAATACTGGCTCCGCGGATGGTGGCCGGAACGGCGCAGTCACACAAAGAGCTGGGGTAGTGCAGGAAGAACTCGGAAAGACTGAAGCAAGCATTCTTCTGAGGGACAGAGAGACGGAGACCATGGGGACAATGATGCTAGAATAGCATACGCACATCCGTACAGACGTACATGATGGTGGAGGTGGTGAAAACCATCAGCCCTAGACAAGCCCCTGGCCTGGTTTCTCGGCACTCGGCAGCCACACCGCTGCTCGACGTAACCCTTCGACGAACCAACCTCGTCGACATGGCTGCCATTCACGCCGGAAACGTGGTCGCCACGGCGGTGACCTCTTGCCACGCGATGAGATGCCTACCTGCGTTCAGCCCTACTAGGTACGTCAGCCCTATCGGTGGCCGCTTGGGGGCCCGATCCCCCCGTGTGGCTTAAACCAAGCACCGTCATCGTTGTCAGTTCCCTCTACCCGCCTTTCAATCATCACTGGTCAATGCCTGATATCTGCGTTACAGTGATCTACATTCGTGTCATCAACGTTAAGCAATCCTGCATGAATTTCCCAAGAGTGGCAAAGCATGTGTATACGAACAGTCCACGAGTATCAATGCTGGGTTTAACCGATCACTGACCAAGCGTTCTCTGTTGCCTAAGCGATGTTTCTATTCACGTCTCTCTCTCTCGCCGTTTTCTTCCAGGCCAACACCGGTTAAGATGGCTGTTGGGTATTAATAGCTAAGTGTTTCCTACTTTCTGTACAGCCTATTTCAAGCGAAGGCATTCTTTGAGACGCCTGGCTATTTGCTTGGTTATTATGAGTTCACAGGAGCGTATGCAAGCATCCGGCGCTTACCCTTTGAACAGCCATTACATTATTAAGGCCCCTCCTTACTAATTAGCAAATGGATGTTTTCTTATACCGCAGATTTCGCTTTGGACCCCATACGAGTCATGCGCAATCAGACCTCACCGCTTCTAATAGTGTCGGACGCGATGCCATACCTCTACAAGCAGTCAGCAATCCTCAGGACTTGCTACCCAATTCCCTTAGATGGCCTCCTTTTGAAGAATTGTCTTCCATGCAGTTCTAGCAATCGAGAATTCTGTGTAGGATCGAGACCTTCGAAACTGGGCCGTGACTCTGAATAGAGGTAAGGACAAACTACTACTAGGATAGATCCCAGCGCTTTTTGTCCTTTATTAAAAGGTATTTCATGTTTCAAGTTGCTCCGCCCTCTTCCGAATGTCCCAAAGCGTCATCCCCTGTAGGGCTCAGCCAGCCTCAAAACCCTAGCGTCGTAGCCGTCGAGACGATTGCACGCTGGAACTCGCGTATGAATCGGGGACCTTAGAGCTGAACAACAAAGATACTTCGATCATGGGGCCATGAAGGACCTGGGATCGTCATCTTTGACATATCGCTAGATTTATGCTACGTGACTAGCAGTTGGGAACCATCTTCGACCTCTCGAACGCTGGCGACACGGTGTAATAATCAATGCAAGGGCATTCTTGGGCTTCTGAATATTAGAGTTCATCGAATAATTACTTTTTTTCATTTGTCGATCGAGGGAATTTCCTGTGTTTCAATATCACATTATTCTCTACTGGAAGACGCCTCTCTACCACCCCTATCGTCATCTGCTCTTCTGTACCTTTGACGATAGTTTAAACATAAGACATTGCGCAGGACCCCAATAGTTTGGGGTGAGTTGCGGCGTTGAGAACGAGTTGGCGTCGCTCACCTCCACGGCAAAGGCACTCCATGAGAACGGCGAAAGAACCACTTAGCCGCCTGCTAGGCAATGAACACTACCCACCCCCTCCAAATGCTTTCGGTGACATATTCTCTCTTCTGGAGACTACTCTTGCATGCTATTGATCGTGATCGATCCCAACAATACCGATGAGGTGACGACAGACTCGACTGGGAAGCCCGTGCACCTCACCTTTTCGGAGCGATCAGGACTTCCAGCCTCCTCAATTTTCACCCCTTCCTGTTCTTCAATTCTATTCCACGATCCTATTGTCCGCCAATTTGGGCTAGCGTCCTCGCTATTGAGATTTCACTTGCTCATAAAACCCCATCCGCAGAATTTTGTTCTCTCTAACTTTCCTTCATCCTACATCCTCGTTATCCTCTTCACAGTTTCCATATCTCGTCAGCACCTCCAGCGATCAAGCATCCAACTCAACCCGAGCTGTTTCCACATCTACAATCTTCTCTTCAACACTCAGCAACAACTTCCCATCTCAAACCATCACCTCACTCTTCATATCTAACATGTCCAACACTAAGGAAAACACCAAGGTTCGTCATCTCCCATACGCACTCACTCAATCAATCAGCCTGCTAATCCATCCTAGTTCACGTGGGCCGGCGAGAACGAGCGCAAGCTCATGATGCTCACCCTCGGTCGCCAGCTCGGCGCTGAAGACTACGAGAAAATCGCAGCTTGCTTCCCAGGTACGCTTTCACATTTCCCACTCCCACTCCCCTCCTCTCATCAATCTCCCTCATACTAACCTCACCACAGAGGTCACTCTCGTCGCTGTCAAGATCCGCACCTCCCGCCTCCGCGTCGAGCGCACTAAGCTCTTCGAGCAGCTCGGCCTCGGCGAGCCCGACTCCGGCGCTGCTGGCAAGGGCCGGAAGGTTGGCACTAAGGTGGTCAAGGGTAAAGCCACTGCTCCCGTCGACTCTACCGAGCCCGGCAACGACAACGGCGATGCCAGCGACAGCTTCGCTGCCCGCGTTGCTGAGAAGCCCAAGAAGAAGGCTGCCACCCCGCGCAAGCGCAAGGCCAGCACCCAGGACGACGTCCCCGAGCTCGACAACATCAATGTCACTCCGAAGAAGGGCAAGACTGCACATGTGAAGCAGGAGCCAGAGGACGACGAGGTCAACGACATCGCTGCGATCCCCGAGAAGTCTCCCACCCCCGAGGCCAGCTCTTCGAAGAAGGTCGCTGCTCCCAAGAAGGCTGCTACTCCCAAGAAGGTTGCTACTCCCAAGAAGGCTGCCACTCCCAAGAAGGCTGCCACTCCCAAGAAGGCCACCACTCCCAAGAAGGCTGCCACTCCCAATAAGACCATCGAGAAGGAGAAGATCCACTACATCAAGCAGGAGCCCGAGTCGGACGATGAGGATACCCTCGACAACATCACCGTCATCCCGAGACCGAGGGTCGACAGCGTGTTCTCCGATGAGCTCGATATCTAGGTGGACGACAACGCGAAGGGTGTCTTGAGGCTGTCGGCGGTGCGGCAGCGACTGTGACGAATCATTAGCGATTGGGCTTCTTGATCTTGATGATTGGCGATGCATTGGGTTTAGAACCTTGGGTCTTGAGTTCACGGTTTGGTATTTGCATATCGGAATGACTTGTCTAGCATATTTGCTCTTTCAAAAGCTGGCGCTGGGCGCTGCGAGATGCTATTATAGCTGGCAGATAGCTGCACGATGGAGTCTGAATGACAGACTGTTTACTTCAATGATTCTTACTTGCTGTGATGTATGCCTAGGTAACTGAAGTGATGTTTAGATCAGACTCATGATGATTGTGGCAATAATCTTGGGGCCATTGCTTGGGATGGCCCAGCGAGTTCGTTGACCGTTCGAAACAATCGACTTCTCTATTCAATTACTATGAGACTCCTGATATAGTGCCGGGATAGTGTAGAGTACTGGATCTTAAGTTCAAATATATTGATTTACTACATCTCAGGTTCCAATCTTGCTCCCTCAACACCACTGAGAGGAGTAGCCTAGCTAAAGAGTGACCAGTCAGTCAAGAAGATACCCAATTCACACCGCACCAACCTTGGCATCCTTCAAGGGCATGAAAGCTCCAAGCTTGGGCAGCAGCTCTTACATAGCAGCCCTAATGATTCATTTTTGCTCCCTTGACACCACTGTAAGGAGGAGCTCAGCTAAATGGTGACCGGGCGGTCAAAAGGTAGTCCAGAATGCCACACATCAACCTCAACATCCAGTCAGTGACAAGTTTAGGTACTGACTTGGATATATCAAGGCCAGAGCTTCCCACTTGCCTGATTGACACCACTGCAAGGAGTAGCCCAGCGAACGGCTGGCCAGTCAGTCAAGAGATAGTCCAGACTGCAACACCTCAGCCTTGACATCCTATACGGACGTAAAAACGATTAGCCTGCGCCCTGGATCATAGATATCAATCCTAAAGCTTCCATATTGCTTGCTCAATATCATTGCAAGGAGTAGCACAACTAGCTTGCGACCGGTTGGTCAACAGGCAGCCCAAATCGCAGCCATGGTGAACCTGCCATCATGTAAGGATGTAAAAGCTGCGTCCCTAGGCAGTGACTCGTATATACCAACTGTAGAGCTTCGCTCTTACTCGCTCGACGTCACTGTCAGGAGTACCCCAGCTAATAGGTGGTCTAGCAGCGAAGAGGTAGTCCAATGTACACTGTAGAAACCCTGACATCCTTTAAGAACGCGACAGCTCCAATTTTGGGCACTGACACGGCTCTATCACTCCTGGGGCCGTACTCTTGCCTGCTCAATACCGCTGTGAGGAGGATCTCCGCTAACGGGTGGCCGGCCGGCCAAAGCGCAGTGTAATATTTACTGCTTAATCCTTTGCATTGCGTTGAAGTAGCTACAAGCTCAGCCACAGGGATATAGCACTGCTTAAGCGCTACTTTGGAAGCTAAATACTACTGTCAGAAGGAGCTCAGCTGGCAAGTAGCCGCCCAGTCAAACGGCAATCTACTTCATACCGCGTGGAACTTGACATTGCGTTGGAGTAGCTGTGAGCTCAACCACACAGATATACCACTACTTACGGGCTCCTTTGGAAGCTAGAAACTACTGTCAGGAGTAGCCTAGCTAGTTAGTGGCCGGGTAGTTGAGAGGCAGCCCAATTCACACCGCATTGACCTGGGCCTTGTGTTGGAGCAGCTGTAAGTTTAGCTACACGGATCTGGTACTGCTTGAGTGCTACTTTGGAAGCTAGACACCACTGTCAGGAGTAGCTTAGGTAGTAGCTAGCCGGGCAGTAAGAAGGTAGCCTGATGTATACTGCGTGAGCCTTGGTATTGCGTTGGAGTAGCTATAAGTCTAGCTACACAGATCTACGAAAGCTTGAGTGCCGCTCTGGAAGCTATATACCACTGTCAGGAGTATCCTAGCCAGCATGTAGCCTGTTAGTCAAAAGGCAGTCCGCTTCATGCCGTGTAGAACTTGACATCATTCCCAGAACTCCGAAGTCCCACAAGAGCACCCTTAGCATTGGTCAACCAGTGTACACAGGACTCCTTGATAGTGTATGACCATCCCAATGGCCTTCAATTTCAACTGATCTACCTATGTAGGTTCCCAACCAGCCTAGTATCGAATAGCGCCATGGCCACCACTCTGTCCCAACGCCAGGAAATGCCTATATGACCACCCGCTATGAATTCTTTCATTTATCGCCCTTCTTCTTCCGCAGCGACTGTCCCTGGCCCTGGAAGTGGAACTTCTCCTTCTCCTTCTCTTCGTCCTCTCCTTTCCGCTTCACGGGCTTGATTTCGTACCCGAAGAACAGCTTGCCGGGAGCGAGCCGGAGGGGTTGCGGGCCGTTTGTTCTCCTCAGCACTGTGGACGGGGCGTTGGACGAGGAGCCTGCGACTGGCGTGGATGGCTTCGGCGTGGGCGACTTGCTCCCCTTCTTGGAGGATAGCTTGTGGCCGCCGCTCAGGAAGTTCGAGGACACCGCTTTGGCGCCTGCCGCGGCTGATGTGGATGACGGGGCGATAGCAGCGTAGTTGATTGCCTGGGCCATGCTGCCTTGGGAACGCAGCGTGCCGCCCTTTCCAGCCATAACTCCTGTCCCACTCCTCGGGGTGCTCGTGCCGCTGGTGTTACGCTCCGGCTCCTTGTAGCCCACCGGTGCGGCGAAGTCAACTGACAGGTCCGTCTCCAGCGTGCATATTGCCTTCTTCTCGCTGACGGGTTTCGTCTCGAGCACGGCTATGCTGTACACGTTGTCGTTGTATGAGAATGTGAAGATGTCGCCTGTGGTGAGGCAGGCGAAGTTCCGGAAGGCGTTCTCGAGCACGGCTTTCGGGTCTGAGATCTCTAGGAACGAGGGCGACTGGGGTTGGAGCTTGATGAAAGTTCCCAGAGGTAGGTCGGTCGACTTGACCTGTAGGAGGTCTCCAGGTTCGACTTCAAGAGTTTGCATGAGCTGGGGAGTTATTAGTGGTGATGCTTCAAACGGGACGTCAGGCGACATACCCAGTATGGTAGATAGATCTTGCCCTCCTCCGCTATGAACTCCAGAACACCGGCATGGGTCTGCTTGCCATCTTTCGCGCCGTTTATGAGCTCAAAGAGCATAGGGTATGTGATGTGGAGGCGGGTGAGCTTGTCCAAGGCACTGGGTGGTAGGAACACCTTGCCGCCGTGATTCGCGTCTTCTCGCTCTGGACCGGGCAGCATGGCGATGGGATAGCAGCGGAAGTATTCATCGAAGCGGCGCTGGCCACCTCCCTGACGCCGCAGTATCGCCTGCTGGTACATAGCCATCGGGTCGTCGTCGTCGTAGAAGCCGGGGTTGAACTGCAGTGGTATTAGCGGTGGTGGGGTTGATAGAGCGAGGACGAAGCTCTGGACTTTGGCTGACCATGGCGAAAGAGCTTGTTAGTGTCTAGGGCGGCTACGCGTAGGTCTAGGGAGAAAGTAGAAGAGGAGGTCGGGCAGGGTGAATTTGTATGGTGATATGGGTCGCGGTTGCTCCCCAGGTTGATCGGAGGCAACCTTCGGCGATGACGCTAGACGCTAGGACTACAGCTCCATCAAACGGTGGTGGCTCACACCCTTCTCTTGTTTTCCACACACACCTCACCTTCCAGCATTGTTTGACGCGCACACCTGCAGACGACACTATTACTACGCAGGACGACAAATATGGCAGGTAAAAATGGGTTCACAGCACCGCGGCCAAAACGCGCCGGCGATCAGTTCACGCGAACACACCACGGCGAAGGCGACGGCCACTCGCCCAAGAAGGCTCGATTCGACTACCGCAATCCCTCCACTCTCGCCCCAGACGCCCCCGAAGAGGATGCCATACTGGAGCTGGACGAAATAGGACGCAGTGGGGGGACAAAGCGCAATGCCGTCAATATCGACGGCTACGAGTCGGACAGCTCCACCGAGAATTTCGATACTCGTGCAGATGGGCGCGCCAAGGCAAAAGCCCAGGCGGAGGCGGAGGCAAAAGAGGACGACTCGGATGAAGACATATTCGGCGGGGCAGATGACAAGGACGGCGTAGAGGACCCAGACCCGGCCCAGGCAGGAAAGCTGAAGAAGAGAGCTGTGAGATTCCTGGATGGACACGAGATACAAGGCCAGGTCGACGAGAGCAAGTCAGGAGGCCATGTTTCTGCCGACTTCTCACTCAGTGGCAAGTCTCGGCAGCGGGACGACGAAAGCAGCAGCGAGAGCGGGGACGACGAGGAGCGGGACCGAATTGGGAGCGATGTGGACGAGGAGATTGGGGCTGGGGGCAAGAAAAAACATGCACCGAAGCTGGACGCTTTCAACATGAAGAACGAGGGCGAGGAAGGCCGATTCGACGAGAGCGGTAATTTCGTTAGGAAAGCTGCGGACCCCGATGCTGTTCACGACACATGGCTGGACGGGATATCGAAGAAGGACCTGAAGTCGGCACGAGAGGCACATGAAAAGCGGGAAGCTGAGCGGCGGCAACGAGCTCTGGCCGACGATTCTGTTTTGACAAGCGACGTTCTATCTACTCTGATTACACACATGGAAAAGGGCGAGACAGTCTTGGAGTCACTACAACGTCTTGGCAAGGGCAAGCCCAAGGAGAAGAAAAAACCAAAGTGGCAGAAGAACAAACGCAAGAACGGGGACGACATGGATCTCGACTCTGATAAAACCGCCGAGGACCCCGCAGAGACGAAGCGCAGGGAGGCTGTCGAAGCCATTACAGGAGCTGCCGACCAGCTAATGACGCGGGGCCAGACGGACGTATACGACGATGAGCGAGAGAAACTGATTCGGCAGTACAAGAAGGACACTGGCGACGACTGGGTAGAACCGATTCGTGCAGCTGTGGAGAGTGGCTCAACAGATACGAAGATGTGGGAATACAAATGGTCTGACGCTCGAGATGGCGGGGAGAAACATGGTCCCTACGACGGGCCGACGATGGTGGCTTGGAACGATGCAGGGTATTTCGGAGAGGGTGTTGAGTTCAGACGCATTGGCGACTCGGAATGGTCGAGGGTGGTGGACTTTGTGTGAATAGGGTAAGCTGCAAAAAAAGTCTCCCACTGAAAGCCATTCCGCCTTGCTGCACTCGACCCTCTGCAGCGATGGCGGCACGCACATGGTGGTCGCATTGTGATACCTCAGTATTTCAGGCGCCCTGTCGCTCGTAGATTCCGGACGGTGAGGGGGGGAGCGAGTCCGGCGTGGGTAGACACGCCGATGGCTGGCTCGTTCCTTTCCCTATCACGACGTCGCTTGCAGCAAACATTATCGTGATACTCGAAACGGCAGTCTAGATGTCGGGGACCGCGGCAGCAGAAGCGGCTGTGGCACAGTCTCTTCAGGGAGGCTTGCACCTTTTAACTAATCTGTCGAAGATGTGCGGCGAAGAGTCCAGTCAGGCCCATGTCGACCCTCCACTATATCACGAGACCGTCTCGTCCTGCGGTTTAGCGATCTTGGGATTTGTTGGAGCTCCTCCCGCGGGCCCGGGCCAGTCAGATGGGCTTGGGCAGCCTCTCGCAGACTCCAGCGGCTACATGACGGCTGCTGGCCACTCAACGCCCAAACGGTCGTCCTCAAGCTGCCGTACAACACTGTCAGATCACGGCCTTCCCCGCTCCGTAAAGCGGTGCAGGATCTGGACGCAAAACGCGCTCGGGCAAGACATGCGGCGCATGTGATGGATGTAATGGGGGGCATCGTGACGGCTTTGGTGGAGGTTGGCAGCCCGGCCGGGGCTTGTTATCTCGAGGCGGTCCCGACGGGAATGATGCGTCTGCTTGGTGATCGCATGTATGGCGCGCATGGGTGTGCAGGACGGCATGCGGAGAGGCCCAGCTGTTCACCTGATGAGCAAGGGAAATGTCTGGTTGAGATTGGACGTGATGACAGGGGGCGACAGACCACCTGCTGGATAGCCACTGTAAGGTACATGTACGTGTGTAGTACCTCGCTCTAGTAGATATACAGGAACCTCTCATGTACCACCCAGGTACTGCAAACATCTCGACGTCAGGCGACTCTTGGGCGCAGGAGGATTGCAGATTGAAGACTCCCTCGAGGAGGCAAACCAACCACGCCGCGACTAGAGCTGCAGGTCATCAAATTGAATGAGAGATTACGACGGCGGCGTTTCGTCTTCAGCACGCGGCGAAATCCCGCCCAATGCCAGGGTTCGTACCGGTAAATGAGGCTGCACCGCCTGTAGTGGAAGTGAGACCTGCGAGGAGCCAACAGGCCGGTCTGCTCTCTCAGCAGCATCGGATGGCGACGATGCGATCGCCACGGCAAAGGGGCAGCCCCAGCCGTCGGTGCAGGTCCATTCGGGCGGCCAAAAAAGCAACGCTGGACGCCATGCCCGATCGACTCGCGGCTGCGCTGAGATTTATTCCTTTGTTCTCGAAGCGCGAGCAAGTTGATCCAATCTTGGGTGCCCGCCAACGGGCCAACGTGGTGCAGGAGCGGGCCTCTGGCCGAGTCGCGGGCTGCTGCAGGTGTCATTTGCGGTGTCTCGTAGCTGTCTCTGGCGGGCTGCGTCCAACGGGTACGCAGCTGTCAGTCGCGTCGAGTGCAGCTAGGCCGTCGAATTCCAATATTCCAATAATACAGCAGCGCTGGCGGGCCAAGGGGCACCGAGATGGCGCCCATCCTGGAGGTGGCACGGGCTGGAGACTAGAGGCGCGGAAAGGGGACGGCAGTAATAGCTCCCAGGGCTGCTCCAGCGTGTATAGGAGAGCACCGCCCATGATGAAACCCGACAAACGCCAGGTCTCTGCCTGAACCTGCCTCGACGCTGTATCTCGCGCCGCCCCTCGCATTTCCCGCGTGTCGCTCGCTGCCTCCTGTGCCTCTTGCTCACCGTCCACGGCCGTTCCAGTGGAGTTGGGAAGCGCATCACGGCCAGCACCAGGCCCACTTGGGAACCTCGCAGCACCAACGTCTTTTTTCACTCCGCGGCCTCAGCTCCATCGTCTTCCACACTCCTTCCACACCCTCGCGGCGTTGAAGCGCGTCCCTCGCACACCACCCCCGTTGCCCCCGTCCCGCCAGCAGAGCCCTTGGAAGGAGCTCGGAACCCTGTCCAGCACCGGCCAGAGCTCGACTTTGTCTGCCACGTCCGCCGCCTGCACGCCCATCGCCTCCCACGACCCGACATCCCCCAGGTCTGGCAGCGCCCGCTCCCTGAATATCTTGGACATTGCGAGCTGCACTTGCTCGCCCGCTCGCTGCTCGACACCTGCCTACGGACGCTGCGTCCCGCCTGTGCCGTTCTGCTTTGCTGCAGAGCGCAAATGAACTGAGTCCCGACTTCACGACCACGGCCTCTCTTCGCTCTGACGACTCCCACCATCACGATGTACTCCTCCGCCTATGACACGGGCTCATCGCGGTCGCCGGGCTCACACCGCCACCAGCCCAACACGCTGCACCGCCAGCCCTCCCGCCAGTTCGACGCCTACGGACAGCTGCCCACCGGCGGCCTCTACACTGCGGAGGACCACGCCCGAGGCTACGATTCGCAGCCTCGAAATTACGACCGACTCAACGCTACCATACACAGCGGGTACGGCTACGACATGGGGGGCAGCCAGGCATGGAACGCCAGCGCGTTCAACCAAAACAACCCCCTCTCGACCATCGGGGCCTCGAGCAGGATGAAGCAGCCGGCACGGGGCCGGAGTGCTCTGCCTACGGTAGGACACATCATGCTGGTCTATAATTATCTTAGACGATGAAGCTGACCCTTTTCTGTAGCCCTGGATGGACCAACCACAGCCGCTTCCCAACTTCTCCTCACTTCCAGGCCTTGGGCCCGGACACCCCAACTCCGGGCTAGGCCCATCCCTGCGACAGGATAGCTACAATCCCGAAATGGACGAGGAGTTGATCCCTACGGCTATCGTCATCAAGAACATTCCCTTTGCCGTCAAGAAGGAGCAGCTTGTGCAGCTGATGACCGATCTACGACTTCCGCTGCCTTACGCGTTCAACTACCACTTCGATAACGGGGTATTCCGAGGTCTTGCTTTTGCAAACTTCACGACTGCCGACGAGACGGCCCAGGTCATCGATACTATGAACCATTTCGAGCTCCACGGGCGCAAGTTGAGGGTCGAATACAAGAAGATGCTCCCCTTGGCGGAACGGGAGAGGATTGAGCGAGAAAAGAGGGAACGTAGAGGCCAACTCATTGAGCAGCATCAGCCCATGACGGGAAGTCTAACGACGCAGCAGTCCTACTCTTCTCTCAACTCCCATGTGCCCGCACAGTCGCCTTCGCCAGTGTCAGGGCAGGCATCGAAGCTCAGTAAGTTATGCAAGCTAGTCTGCATGGGGAAACTAACATAAAAAGTAGACGTAGACATGAACGACGCCCAGGTGCTGCAATTTTACTCACAACTTTTGTTGTTCAAGGAGACCGCCGAGCGCGAGAGCATGACTTTCCCTCCCTCGTTGGCACCAAGCCAGCGCCGCATCGTCCATACCCTGGCCCATATGCTGGGACTAGCACATCTTTCCAAGGGCAGTGGTGAGCAGCGACAGGTTCACATCTTCAAGCTTCGCGATGATCCGAACATGAGCCCGCCCATGCCTCAAATGCCGACCAGCCATCCGAATGAGCAACCGCGCCGAGGCCTCAACAGGGCTGCCACCACAGATTTTAGCGATGTGAGAGCACATGAGTCATTCTATGGCAACCTCAACCGACAAGGATCTGGGTTTCTTGGATTTCCGGATTCTCCTGGTGGCTTGACTGCAGGCCCGAATCTTCGAGCCGCAAAGTCGTATGCGGATCTTCGATCCTACACGCCATCGCCAGTGCCCTCAATAGCCAGCCTTCCTCCTGTGCATCACTCGAGGAGAGAGGGAGAGTACTTTTCTTCCACGAATCCTAGCGTCACCCCTACGGCTACATCAATGAGCCAGCGTGATGAGGGTCTTTTGGTGAACGGCTTGAATACTATGAACCTCGGCAATGGGTTCGGTCAGAATGGTAGCCCGCGAGGTCTACGCGGAATGATGTCTTGGGACCGAGAACGAGAGAACCCTGGCCCGATTGGGGGTCACCGGTCTTTCAGCACAAATTACGATGAGCAAAGCCGTGACAGGAGCCAGGGACTGCCGTCGCGACAACCCCGAGGACCCGGTCTAGAACGCGGCACTGGATTCTCCCGTGGCAGGCAGAACGGCCACCATGGCCGCAACAGCGATGAGCTCTCATCGCAATCGAATGTCGAAATTGTTGTCGAGTAGGCTCACGAAGAGATGCTGAAGGCTATCAGGGTCTGAGACGAAGAAAGATGCATGAACCCAAAGTATGAAATGAACGGCCTCGGCGGTGTTTGGCCTGTGGAATCAACCCTCACGACGTATACGAAGAATGACGCTACGATGGTAGAGATAACATCATAAGGGGTCCGTAGCCCTAGAACTTCTCGCATCTTTGACTTGGGTATCTGAAAAGCATCTGATGGACTGATTGGATTTGTTTTCTTTAGGCGGCATATTGCACTAGTGTTTCCCCTCTTTGTACTGCTTTCTGTTCTCTTTCGCATTTTCTGCTGGACCTATTCTAGCTTTCCGTTATTGAGGAGAGTAACTGCTACTGTTGATTCTTCTCGCTTTTTTTTCGACCCTTTTTCTCACCCAAAACAAACATATCTACCTTCATCATTTTACGTACACAACCGCCAAAGCGACGACGACGACGACGACTCTTGCATAACGACAACCACGACCCGGAACGAACATCGAGATACCAAGCATACAGCCCAACCCAGCTGGCTCGCTCGCGCGAAAAAAGACATCCAGGCCCGCCCTTCTTTTGGCAGCACCTGCCGCCTGGTACGTTTACGGCAGCTTCTTCCAAGGAAAATGAAAACCAAAACCGAAACCCTTTATATCCGCTTTCGTGTGGGCAACCACCTACGAGACAACGAACCGATTACATCCTGTCTATATCCTCCCTCCCCCATCCAATGTTTTGCATAGTCTCGTCTTTCTTTTCTTTCGTCTCACCGGATGAAAACTCGGTTCTCTTCGATTCCTGGCAACTTTGAAACGGGGGAAGGGAACTGAACTGAGTTGGTTCGTCGTCCTGTGAGGCCTTTTTTGTACCCGTTTTCTGATTACTTTGGTTGCCTGCTTTTTGCTTCTTTACAATTGTGTTGATTCTTTCTTGAGGCTGAGAATTTTCGATGGGGATACTCCGTAATTCGCCGCTTTAATACACACCGACTTTTTTGTTCTCTGGGGGTTTTTTTTGAATTTCGAGTTTGTGATTTTTGGGGTGGCGGGGTTGGGGTTGGAGTACGTGGGTATGGGCTTTAATACGGGGTTGTATCGAACCCCTTCTTATTGTGAGACGGGGTGGGAAGAGGAGAGAAAGGGTTGGGGTTTTCCGTTATCGTGAGATTGTATTGTAGTAGGTTTTCATGGATACTTATGGGTACTGGAGTCCTTTTTTGGAATGCGGTCCGTGATTTCGTGATTTGAACATAACAAGGGCCCTACTAACATACTCGTCTGCCAGCCCCAGAGTGAGAGAGCAACTGTTTTCTCACTCACATCTTGGCCCCTCACAAATCATAGGCACAGCTTTCGTCAAAAAGGGTTTTTTTGCTGATATTTATCGTTTTTTTCTCGCTATCCGCACTACCTAATTGCAAAAAAGAGAGAAGATGAAAACCACGGAAGCATATAGTTCGGGCCCAAAAGAGGATAGGGCTAGAGGGGCCTCCCAAGTTGCCTACCCCCCCGGCGCCCGTTTCCTCTCATCCTCGGTGTGTGAAAATTCCTTTGCCCACACCTTTCCCAGTTTCAAGATGGTCAAACCTAGCCTAGCCTAGCCGAACACCAATCCACGCCATTGAGAGAAAACAAGGAAATAAAAGGGGAAAAAGGGAAAGCTGGGTTCGCAAGATAGTCGGAGAATCGCATGAAAGTCGGTTGGGGGAATAGAGGGGAGATATAGCACACGGGTGAGTGGATTATCGGGGGGGGGGGGGGGGGGGGTTTGTCGTAGTTGTGTTGTGCATCGTGTGGCCCGTATCGTGTGTTGTCTGTATCGATCCAAAGGAAACATATCGACTATTGTGATGGCCGCCCCCCCTCGCCGTCGCTCAATCTAGCTCATGCCCAATCCATCCCCGGCACACGTTATCGCAGACCGCTCGCCCCAAGTGGTGGTCCACACGTATCTAGACCTCGCCGGCCTTCTTGTTCTTCTTCTGCTCCACCTTGAGCAGCAGCGCGCGGTTGATGTGGGGCAGGACGCCGCCGAAGGCAATCGTGGCGCGGATGAGCGTGTCGAGCTCCTCATCGCCGCGGATCGCGAGCTGCAGGTGGCGCGGCGTGATGCGCTTGACCTTGAGGTCCTTGGCCGCGTTGCCGGCCAGCTCGAGCACTTCGGCCGTCAGGTATTCAAGGACGGCCGTCAGGTAGATGGAGGCCTTGGCGCCGATGCGCGTCTTCTGGCGCGTAATGGTGCGCAGGTGGCGCTTTATGCGGCCGCAGGGGAACTGTGGGAAAAGCGCGAGAGGTTGTCAGCTTGTTGGCCTTTGTGTGTGTGTGTGTGTGGTATGCGTCATCAAGGGTGCAGAGGGGTGAACGTACCTGCAGGCCGGCTTTGGCAGAGTGCGACTTGGATGTCTTCGCGTTGGCGTCGCCCTTGCCGCCTGTCTTGCCGCCTGTCTTTCCTGTGGTGCGCGCGATCGTTAGCTTAGGCGGTTCGGTGGGTGCAGCGAGATCTTCGAGGCAGGCGCGTACCTTTTCCGCCGGGCATGGTGGATGGTGTGGATGGATTTATTAATCCGGGAGAATGGTTCCTGAAATAATGGGCGGACGCGACCGACGTGGAGGCGATTGCAGGGTGTTGCAGCGGTGGTTGTTGGTGGGGGGGCTGGTGGTGTTGTTGGAATGGAGGTGGGAGGTGTTTAGATTTGAGCGCGCGTTGGGTTGCGATCGTTTATAGGGCGGCTGGTGCAACATTTCCTAGTCGAGGGTCATGTGACGACAGCCCTGGGTGAGTCTGTGGATGGGGCAGCCGCGATTAGGCGCCAGCAGTATTTGCCACGGGTCGGGCTGCTTTGATGATTTTTGGAATCTAGCGACGTGTCAGTGAATTCTTAATGTTAGTCTGTGGACTCGCTGGGCGGCCTCAGGCGTGCAAAGGGACGATTTTGGACCAACCCATAGACTTACTAATAGAGACTTGTGAAGTATTCGAAGGATATTACTAGCTGTAAATATTACCCATAGGCCTGCCTGGCACCATACAGCGCCAGTATGGGCGCATCTTGACCAACCCGATATGTCGCTCAGGGACCCTTGAGAGGATTGAATTCCCTTGGGAATGTTAATGCTCCATTTTTTGCTGTCGTAAGTATCTTATTGTCCTATACTCCGGATTGAGGAGGATCTTCCAATGCGTCTTCCAGCGTCGATGGGCTGCTACAAAGCTGTGCTGAATTGGTGGTCTCTTGGCATAGCGGATGCATCGTACTCGAAAGGGTATGCAAGGAAATTGGAGGACGACAACAACAACGAAACGGTCCTGCTGGAATAGACAGATGAGAAGAATACCACTTGCCTGAGCTAGTACTTACAGAAGAAGCATAAGCTGGTTTGATTCGAAGCGGAGAAATGCCCACAGCAGCTCCAGCGATGCTGTTGGAGGCACTGCTCAACCGAGCCTCCCAAGGGGATAGCATACTCGAAAAGATGGTCACATGCCCTTTGAAGGGGGTCTATGGCCTGCTTCTAGGTGTTGACATGTATGCCGCTTGAAAGTTGCGGCCTCGAATATCGATTTCTGTAGTTGATGGGCGGTCGTCAAGACTGCACACTTGGTCCATCTGCCGACCCAGCTCGGCAACCGGAGGATTATCGTTCACCCAATCGTCGTCGACCTGCACCTTCGAACAGAACCTCATCTATCTAGATAATCAAGCTTCTTAACAACTACACAGCCTGCTGAATACAGCCAGCATCTCAGGATTCGATGAACTAGCCATATTCGGGCACTTTTACCTAAATTCGGATGGCCAAGACCCCCAGAGTTGAACATGCATCTAGTTGCCATTGTGCTCAACGTTGGCATCTCCACTATCCAGTCTATATACTGCTTGGCTCTAGACACTTGCAGTAACAATTGCAATCTTTGCACTAACGGTTTTGTCCGCAATAATGCAACATCGACCTGGAACTGCTTGTCTAAAAACACAGTGGAAAAGATAGAGCCCAATCAGTGGTTCCTATGGGCAGATATTGCTTCCTGTACTTCATTGCAGCCCAACGACAACGTAGACGATTGCTGAGCTCTCTGTGGTATCTGAGTTGCGAAGAAGTAGCTCTGTTGATAGAAATACTCCATTTCAGGTCACCTGAGCAGTAGGCGACGCTCGTCCGTTTATATATAACTTTTTCGACCAAGATACGCTTGGTACCTGAGCAGACGGCAGCCCCAGCGGCTACTTAGCGTATCGGCAACTGTGCCATGCTGCAGCAGAAGACTTGGCTGGGACTATGAGCGCTGGTGCAGATACGCATTGACACGGCGGGAACATCGCCAAACAAAAAGGCAGAATAGCATAGCCGCAGTGTCTCAGCTCTAACCTCCGGCCGGACAACTTAAATCCGTAATACTCGACGTCTCCTCCAAGCGCGACTCTATTCACGCTTCACACACGCAACGACAGCCTCGCCAATCAGAACCCTGCAGGCGCTTTGGCCAGCGACTTGGGCCAAGACCACCTCTCGACACCCGTGGACAGCTGCAGAGTCAACCTTTGGAACACCACGCCCAGCTGTCGCGCGACGGGCCTAATTGTCTCTCTAATCCTGCGCACATACCCGTCGCTCCTCACGTCGCTCCCCGTCCTGTCTCTCACGTTCTCGCCTCGACCTCGCGCCTGATCGCGACGCCCCTTGGACATATCCGAGCTCTGCGTCTCGGCCAGCATCCCGCGCCGCACCTAGAAGTCGCCGCATGTCCTTTACGCCTCAACGCTTAGAATTTAGGGCATTCGAAGAGAAGGCCGTTGATGGCGTGGCAGTCGCCCTCGGCCATGAGCGCTGGAGGCGCTGCCCAAGGAGGAGACAGCAATGGACCCGCCGGCACAGAGTACACGCTTCAGGGTAAGCCTCCCACGGCAAAGGGCATCTCATTTAAGGCCTATATGTTGTCGCAGCTATTCTGAGCATTTCGCTAATATCTACATCGTCTAGGTGTGATGCGCTTTCTCCAGCTGGAATGGCATAATCATGAACGGGCGCGGAATGCTTGGGACATCGAGCGGGCTGAGATGAAGGCCAAAATTGCCAAGCAGGAGGGAGAGGTTCGCAGCGCAAAAAAGATGAATGAGTCCCTCAATAAACAGATTCGAATGCTGGAACAGGCATTGAAGAATGAGCGCGCGAAGAAGGCTGCTGCAGCGGGAGAGAACGCGACAGCACCGGAAGTTAAGAAGGACCTGAAGGGTAAGTCTGGTATGGACCCTGACTCCAAGAACGTGACAAACTCTATCAAGCGTGGGACATCTATTCTCTGGACTTGTTTGCTGCTATCTACATTTTGCTGACTTATGTTGAATAACAGCGCTCAACAAACATCACAACTCCCTCCTCGATACCGATCCCGATCAGTCAGAAGGCGATAAGGAAGGCCAGCGGGAGAAATCACAACTATACCTCAAGAAATGTGTCGAGGAAATCACATACTTGCTCACGCCTCCGGCTCACCCTCCTGCGCCACAAGGAGGCTTACAGGCTTTTCAGAATTCTCAGGGCGATACCTCTATGGAAGAGATGTATCTTCAGCACCGCCAGAAATCTCAGCAGCACATAAACCCCATGGGCCTTAATTCTATGCCCAACCACCAGCCTCCACCCGTTCCCTCCGTATCCGATCTTCCGAACTTAACCCATTCGTCCCAGCCCCCTCAACAAGCTGCGTTCATGACAAGAGAACCGTCCGGGCAGCAGTCGCTTATTCAGCACTCTGGACTGCCGTTGGAATCATTGGCATCGCAGACGCAGCAATCGCAAGGCAACCAGAATTTCACTTCAATCCCTGACGAACAGGTGGAAAAGGTTACACACAGCTATGACAGCTTCGGCAATCCTTTGACAAACCGCGAGGAGGATGTGTCGGCAGCACGTGGCGCTCCTACAGCGGTCGATGACCCTGAGGCTTGGAACTTTGAGGAGACAATAAACCCACCTGAAAATCCCCCAGACCTGCCGCCACCAAGGAGGCCGGACACAGACGCATTTCCCAGTGCCAACAGTATCCCGGCCAAATCTCCACCCCGCGGTGGTCCTCATTCGCACCGAAGAAAGAGTTCTGGTGCTGCCTCAATGTCTCGACGTCGGAGTGAAGGACACGACACTCGGGAAGGCGCTCTCGGAACCAGGTCAGACCCTCCGACGTTCAAAGTGAAATTCGCATTGCGGGGCCACCTCGACGTTGTACGATCTGTAATCTTCACTGGAGGAGGTAGTCCTTCCGAGCCCGAGATCTGCACTGCTGGAGATGACGGCATGATTAAAAGATGGATCATACCTGCAAGCTACTTGACCCAGCACGGAATGAATAACGACTTGGATATCCAAAGCTACTTCTCCCACAGAGGTCATGACGGCGCTGTTACATCTCTTGCCGCTTGTCCCGCATCCGCTACCTTCTCCACCGGAGGCAGGGTATCGGGCGATGGATGGATTTTCTCCGGAGGCCAAGACGCTACAGTGAGGGTTTGGGAACGCGGGAGGGTGGATCCCAAAGCCACACTCGAAGGCCACACAGATGCCGTTTGGACTGTATGCGTGCTCCCCGCTACGTGTGCCTCTGTGTTCGGTGCGGATTGCAGCAACTACGGTGGCCCTGATCGTATACTGCTCGCATCCGGCTCAGCTGATGGAACGATCAAGATCTGGGCGGTGAGCGCCCCGCCTCAGCTTGTGTCACCGCAAACAGGGTCGAGACGTGGCGTAGGCGGAAGTCGCAGACATTCAGTCACATCTGGATCAAACTATCCGTCCTCACCACAACCCAGCGTGGCTACCGCCACTCCATTCCATTACATGCTAGTCCACACCATCGAGCGGGCAACGTACGCATCACCAACATGTATCAGCCCGCTATCTTTGACCGGGGAAACGTTTGTTGTGTCATACAACGATTGTTCGATTCTCATATTTGATACGCGCACGGGAGAGGAGATAATAGGCATGGCGAGCAGCGAAACATACGACGGAACGCCGTCGACAGGCGTGAACGCCGTCGTTGCTACATCTGTTGGGCTGGATGGCACAATGAGTCTGGACTCTGGCCGCGGGGCTTCCGAGGACGAGAGTGTCATCCACGGGGCTACCGGGTCAACCGGCGGCGGTGGCGTCGAAGGTGTTGTGATCACAGGGCACGAAGATCAGTTCATCAGGTTCTTCGATGCCAACAGCGGTAAGTACAAGCTACCATCGATTGCTCCTGGCTTGACTGACGCCAATCATTACAGGTCAATGTACTTATAGCATGCTTGCTCACCCTTCGTCGATCTCCTCCCTTTCTCTCAGCAAAGATGGCCGAGAGGCAGTGTCAGCTGGTCACGATGCGTCTATTCGATTCTGGTCCCTGGAGAAGCGTATATGCACCCAGGAGATCACCAGTCACCGGATCATGCGCGGAGAAGGAGTTTGCAGCGTCGTCTGGAGCCAAGACGGACGACTCGTCGTTTCGGCAGGCGGCGATGGCGTCGTCAAAGTCTTCGCGAGATAAAAAGCCGTAAAGGCGCACAGAAAAGGTCAACTAAAACCAAGCGGGTTGCTTGTGTGGGCGAGAACCAGGATCTCATTACACAAGCCTTGTCTATTTGCGCCCAATTTTTCCCTTCTCTTCCTGTATGAAACTTTTCCTTCGTTTTAGCCTTTCGCGCGAGCAGCTACATTGCGCGGCATCTTTGCGACCCTGAAAATGCATCCACACACGTTGATTCTGCTGGACTCGTTTCATTCAGTCGGGGGCATTGCGGTCTTGGAGCTGAGATTCCGCATGGAGGAGTTGGGATTCTAGCATTATCGAATTCCTGTACGATAGACGCGAGGCACTGAGGAGCTAGGGGCATCTGAGGAGTGGTTCTCCGGGGCCGTCCACTTCAGGAGACCGGAAATAATAATCTTGGAGCGCAAAGCTACAGCTTTTCAAGACAAAACCGCCGAGCGAAGGTTTCTTCTTCTTCTGCGTAGTGAAGACTATTTTGTTTGTGAATCTGGACCGCGAAGAGGCTTAAGACGCGTGGTCCGACATGCTGGAGACGTGTGCACCTACGAATTCAACCGAGTCTTGACCCGACCTCTAGCGATAGCTCTGAAAGCTCGGGACAAACTGCGCCGTTCTCGCCAAGCGTGCCGTGACTGCTCGCGTGTTCCTGAAACCACGCGGGAGGCACGACAGCGGTAAGATCTCTCCTTTTGCCGGCATCTGGCTAACCTCTTTCACCACTCTGCGGTCGTCATCGGCGTCGACCACCTGCGTAACCCTCGTTCCCAACCGTGGTCGTCCTGCACTCTCCGACCGAGCTATCGAAGGCCGGCCTGGAAGAAACTCCAAGAGTGACTTGCGGTCAATTCACACGACTCCTTTTCCTCTCTCCGCGTCAATGAGGGGACGGATCGTTTTGACTTCTGAATCGGAGTGTTCGTCGGCTCTCCTCTTTTAATACCGGGGCATGCTTGACAACAGCACCGTTTCGATTGGCTGCATGCCGCATTTGCGACCGGCTTCTCGTATGTGAAAGATCTCCTGCAAGGAACACAGATAATCTGATCGCTTCGTCAACGGGGGCCAGGGGGCCCCATCGCTTTTGCCTGACAGCTGAGAACTCGAAACGTTCTTCCATGCTCACCGGATGCCTTGTGCATGTCCGCTCTGGCTCCAAGTGGATCTGATACGAGAGCTGAGCCTCGAGACGACTTAGCATCTCGCTTCGATCATCGGTGGTATGGAAGCATACTAGGACGAACTCTCACCGAAGCGTCGACATTTCTCCATGTGCGGACGCGGTTCATGGTAGTCTAAGAGTTGCCAACATGGACCCAGGAGTCCGTCTGGTGCCTGACTAACAGACCGACGGAGGCTCATCCCCCAGATAGTGGTTGATAGCGTGAGCTTAGCACAAATCGATATATTCACTACTCTACTTATAGAAAGAACCCCGGTGATCTCTCAAACGCCGACTAAAAACCAGCGCCTATTTTGGCGAGCAATTCTCCACTATACTACATACGTCTTCGCGTGGGTATAACGCTTGTGGCTTGCCTTAGCCATGACGGAGCTTCATAAGTATTCGCGTTTTCCCTTACGGATCTGCATCATCAAGGCACTCACTCGTTTCGTGTCTTCTGGTCTTCGCTTTCAGTCTTTCGTTTACTTGTGTTTTTGACCTAATTCAAGATGCGGTCGCATTATCCCAGTCTTGCGACTGCTTTTTCTGCTCTCTCAGCAACTTACTCCCCCCTCGTTAATCATACCTCACCTTTTACTTGCAACGAATCTTCAATCGCTTCGTTTCCTACAGCCACACCAACTACTCGGACCTCTATCATTTATTCCACCATAACAACATGTACGAAATCACCGGCTCCCACATGCTCAGCCACATCCGACCATGAACCTATCAATTACTGGGACCCCGCCAATCGAGCACCACAACAACCACACGGAGGTCCGCAGGGATATCTATACAGCGGTCCAGCTTTCCTGAAAGGTACCAAAGATTTGAAGCCTGCCCTCTCTCAATATGAGACGAACGGAGACTCTTGTTGGGGCACTCTAGATGCTCCTCATCTTCCTCCGTGGGTCGGCGCACCTGTTTCCGGGAGTTATACCTCTGGTTCTCCCTATGGCAACAGCTCTTCTGCGCTTCCACCGTGGGGAAATGCAACAGCGACCGGAACCAACCCATATACGTCGGCTCCACACACCAACGTCACGCGATACTACGATTTCACGGTCTCCTATATGGATATCGCGCCGGACGGGGTGAAGAAGCCTGGACTAGTGATCAACGGCGGATTTCCAGGACCTCTCATTGAAGCTAATTGGGGTGATTGGTACCAATACTGACTCGTCTTCCTGAAATTCGGGCTAACAAAGAGTAGGATCGAGGTCAAAGTGACAAACTTGCTAGACGACGAGGGCACAACTCTGCACTGGCACGGAATTCTTCAGACGGAAGCTCCTTGGATGGATGGCGTGCCAGCAGTACAGATGTGCCCAATTCCTCCGACCAAGTCCTTCACCTATAGGTTCAAAGCGGACCTATACGGGACGTCATGGTATCACAGCCATTACAGTGCGCAATACGCCGGAGGTGCGCTTGGCCCAATGATCATCCACGGCCCGAAGCACGCTTCATACGACTTTGATCTCGGGCCTGTCATGCTTGCCGACTGGTATCATCAAGCATACTATCCAGACGTTGAGGTACGCTTGCTTATACCAATGAATTTGGAACTTCTTCTGACTTCCTATATAGCAAACCATGTCCACGGGCCCACCTACATCGAACAACAACCTCATCAACGGCAAAATGAACTACCCCTGCGCTAACACCACGTTAAGCTGCACTGCCGACGCCGGCATCAGCAAGTTCCGCTTCCAGTCCGGCAAGAAACACCTCTTGCGGATTATCAACACCTCAGCCGATGCCGTCCAGAAGTTCAGCATCGACAACCACACCATGAGCGTCATCGCCAACGACTTCGTGCCAATCGTACCCTATACCACTGGCGTAGTGACTTTGGGAGTTGGTCAGCGCGCCGATGTAATTGTTGACGCTACCGGGGAAGCTGGAGAAGCTTTCTGGATGCGCGCTTCGATCAACGGCACCTGCAGTCTTAATGATGGAATTTCCAACGAGGCGGTTGCGGCTGTCTACTACGAGTCCGCGGATACTAATGCCGTCCCTGCTACGGCTACCCAGATGACTGAGGCGCAGCAGAACTACTGCGGGAATGACGCCCTTTCTGGTTTGGTTCCCTTGTTCCCCCTGGCAGCTGAGGAAACCGTCTCGACGAGCGAAGATATCAACATCGAGTTCAAGAGCAACGGGACAAACTTCGTGTGGACGATGAACAACAGCTCCTTCAGAGGCGACTACAACGATCCCATTCTGCTAGACGTGAAGGGCGGCAACATGACCTTCGAGCCGGAATGGTACGTCCCTTACCCGCTCCCCTATCTGCACCCGCTCTCCAAAACGCACAGCACAACCTAACACCCCCACAGGAACGTCTACAACTTCGGCACCAACAAAACCGTGCGCCTGGTCGTCTACAACTATTTCGCCTTCGGCCCGCACCCGATGCATCTGCACGGCCACAATTTCTGGGTCATCGCCGAAGGCTTCGGCACCTGGGACGGGCACATCACCAACCAGGCGAACCCCTCCCGCCGCGACGTGCAGCTCGTGCACCCGGCCCAGGATGCCGACACGCCCGCGTACATTGTGATCCAGTTCGAGCAGGACAACCCGGGTGTGTGGCCGTTGCACTGCCACATCGCGTGGCACGTGTCCGCGGGGCTGTACATCAGCGTGCTCGAGCGCCCGGATGATATCGTGAAGGATATGCCGATCCCGGATTCGATGACGGAGGCGTGTAGGGTGTGGTGGGATTATACCGATGATACGTAAGTCTCGAAAGAGTGTGTCGTGTGGTTTTGAGGGACGTGACGCTAATGAGTGCGCAGTACTGTGAGGCAGATCGATTCTGGGTTGTAAAGGGTCGGTAAAGGCTTTCGATGAGGACTTCGGTGAGGACTGGGGTGTTTGTAGGTCTGGATTGTTTGGAGGTCTGGAGTACGGTAGAAAAACTTTTGGAGGTAGGAATGATGTGGATAGTAGATACTAATACCCAAATGTAACATATGTCTACTACTTCTGTGGTCCTTGTAGTCTGTTGTTGAGCGATAGCATCCGCATGAATCCCGCTAAATGTCCCCGTTGGCAAATTCTTCCAACTTCATTCTGGTGAAAGGTACCATTGGTTTGATTTCCTTCTCGGACATCAAGTAACGTACACGCTCGCAATCATCGTACCAATTCCCAGGATCTGGTTGCCTGCTACAGTCAGTATTGACCGCGTCGTATATCTCTTGAACCGTGGCTTGGAGGTCGCGAGGGAAGTCTGTTACGATGATTCTCTGCAGATTTGGAAGGCAGCGTGGATAGCTCTTCACAAAGTCCTCAAAAAGTCTTTTAGCTAATGAGATGGTCAAGGGCGCGATCCGGATCTTCAACCTCTCTATCGAAGGTGGCAAGATGTCGACTAATTTGTGCACGTTGGCGATGTAGCGCTCTAGTCCATCTTCAGGAATCAGTTTGTCGCCATCGTCATCCACTTTAAGCCACTCATGAGTCTCCGGAGTAAGGTCTTCACCGCTTGGATCCCAATATTGGTCGTAATCAGGATGAAAAGTCTGGTGGATTTGTCGAGAGTCTAGAACGAGGAATGCCGCCTCGATGCACAGGTCCTTCAGACTGTGGAGTCTCCGAATGAGTTGAGGGCAGATATGTAAATCCAAGTATGGCGTCTGTAAGGGCTTCCAAGGCAGACCATATATGTCCTTGGCCGTCAAAGATAGAGCCTCCAGGCGATCAGGAAGGAAAGAGGAGAAGTTTTCATAGATCCATTCGCCACAGTCGGTATCTTCGTGCTCATAATGGAATGCTCGAAGATTAGGCGCTAGCTTTATAGCGTCCTTCAACAAGGGTATGGGCATACACGAATTTAGGAAACGAATTTCCTCAACACTGGGGGACAGCTTGGGGGGTCCATATTCATGGTCGTTGTTGAATTGTTGACCATTGGCCCACGTCGTCTTTGCATTGGAGATTCTGAATTTCCGAAGCGATGGGTGTCTAAGCAATGGTCGAAAGTGCCACCAATAGCGTTCGTTCCAAGCTTCATCCGGGACTTTGGTTTTGATAGTCTCGAGCTTCCCAGCTTCATCCGGGATTTTGATTTTGATAGTCTCGAGCTTCCAAGGTCTTACCTCATATTTCCCGTACGTCCATGCGCAATGAGGATCATCATCGTCATGCCATGAGGATAAGGCGATCCGGACTTTTTTGACATTTGGTAGCATCCAGAAAAGTAGGCCGAAGGCATCGCTTTCTGTAGGGTTGACCTCGAGAAGAAACTGCGGCCAACCATCAGGTTCATTTTCTTCCTCGTGATCTTGCGCCCACTTTTCAGTGGCAATGTCGCACTGCCGGATAATCTTAGGATCCCATGCCTTGTCTCCATAAGTCCATTTCAGATTTCTGACATAGTATGCAATTCGAGGGTTATCATTGATGGCATGAACAAGGGAGGCGGGGTGGTGCTTGAAATCGCTAGATTCATCAAAGACAACCTTTTCGTAGTTGCTCACAAGGTCGCGATGCCTAGCAAGATAGTTGGTTCCTTCAAGGCCGGCATGGACGGATTTGCAGGTTCTCGCGAAACTGACGGCATCGCAAGGATCAAGAATGTAGGCAATAGTGAAGACAATGTCTGCCGGCAAGGCTGATAGAGACATGATGTTTTGACCGATTTCAGTGCTGAAAGGGAGGACAGAATCCGTTGAACATAAAGTGGCAGTCTATTTTGACTCCGTCTGAGGTGGCCCGGAGAGCTATCAGGCTTGTCAAAACTGTTGTTTTCCAATTTTTGATAAACGTCCCAGGGACCTCAGGCGGTGGTAGACAAATGTACGTAAGCTTAGATAGCAGAAGGCAAGTGCGGGGGATTGACGTCCAGTGACACGTGATATGCATATTATGTCATCAGATTAAGCTTCACCAACCTCGAAGCCCCGAGGTTTCACAATTCCTCTCCATCAAACACCTCCCGTTCACGATGGACGATTTCTCCGCAGACGATGATGCGCTACGCGAATACATGCCCATGTCATTTGGCAAACAAGCTCGGACTACTAACATTCAGGCACAATTTGACCTAGCTAAGCGCAAAGTTGTCGATGAGAGCAAGCAACCAACGACAAAAAGCTCTAAACCTGACGAAGGCAATGATTCTGGTGCCTCAGAAGATGACGATGACGATGATGACGATAGCGACGAGGAAGATGAGTTCCCAGTGTCTCACGAATTGCTCCTTAAGACACACGACCGCGCTGTCACCACCGCGACTTTGGATGCCTCCGGCTCGCGCATGGTAACAGGATCGAATGACTGCACGCTGAAGTTCCATGACTTCGCAGCTATGACACCGACAACCGTTCGAGCCTTCAAGACAGTAGACCCCAGTGCTACGAAGAGCTCTGCCAACTCCGAAACGCATCCTATCAACCAGATCCTCTTCAACCCTCACTCCGCGAATCAAATCCTCGTTATAACGGCGCAGCCGCAAGCAAGGTTATTCACACGCGATGGAGAGCAGGTCCTTGAGTTTGTCAAAGGGGATCCATACTTGCGAGATATGCACAATACGAAAGGGCACATATCGGAGATAAAATGTGGAGCATGGCATCCTACCAACCGAGACGTATGTGTAACCGGAGGCACTGACAGTACCATCCGAATTTGGGATGTCAACAACAAGAGAGAACAGAAAGACGTCATCGTACACAGATCTAGGGCCGCTGGTTCGGCGGGGAGGACAAGAATCACCGCTCTAGCGTGGGGGTCACAAGCTCAAGGAGGAAACAGTCTTCTCGTAGCGGCAGCATTGGATGGAAGCCTGGTCATGTATAGTGGCGAAGGCCCATATCATCGCCCAGCAGCTGAAATCAGGGATGCTCATGTCAACGATACCTGGACGGGTGGACTTGATATCAGCGCTGATGGAAGATTGGTTGTCACAAGAGGTGGTGACGATACTATCAAACTCTGGGATACCCGAAAGTTCAAGTCACCTATAACCACTGTGTCACATGAGTCAACCTCATCACAGTATCCAACCTCGAACATCCGGTTCTCACCAAATTCCTCTTCCGTAATAACCGGCTCTGCTACTGGCGATCTCCATATTCTCAATCCCGCAACTCTCCGCCCTGAGCTTGTTACACCTGTGACTCCGGGCTCGCCTCTAATAACTGTCCTCTGGCATCCTAAAATCAATCAAATCATCACCGGCTCCGGCAATGCTGAAACGCATGTTCTATTCAACCCCAACATCTCCAATGGCGGTGCCAAAACCGTCATGAGTAAAGCTCCTAAGCGCCGTCACATTGACGACGACCCGAACCTCACAATGGACCTCGCCGAAGGTCTTTCGGGGGACTCGATCATTACTCCTGGGGGGATGCCTGGCACCAACACTGCTGCGACCTCTTTCTCGGCGCGGCATCCAAACGTTGGCCTCACTGCCTCTGGTAAATCGCGTGATCCGCGTCGCCCGCATATTCCAGCTACAACTCCATTCGCAAAGACAAATCCCGATGAGAAGCATATTCGAGACCATATCCCGTTGAGTAGTATGCGAGATGAGGACCCTAGGGAGGCGTTGCTGAAATATGCGGACAAGGCGAAGAATGATCCACTTTTCACCAATGCGTGGAAGCACACGCAGCCAGTGACACTTTATGGGGAGTTAAGTGATGAGGAGGAGGAACCAGAAGCGAAGAAAGCGAAGAGGTGAGCTGGCAATGGGCAAAAAATGATCACTTGGCCTGGCGTTCAAAAGTATATACCCATCAAATTGCTTTAATACCTTTAGCAGGCTTAAAAATGGTCACGTGTGAGTGCACTAGGCTCGAAGTTACTATCTACAGTGCTAGACCATAAGTTTGGGCACTTCGTACATCTAGCCCGGGTATTCCGATATCCTTTTAATGTTCTACATACAACATGAATGTCGATGTAGTGGGAGTAGGGCTATCGTTTGACTGACTAAAAACATGCTACCTCGGGTATTCCTTACAGTAGTAAGGAGTGAGCAAAGGTGAAACCCGGCCAGCGAGATATCCGCGTACCTAAACTTATGACCTAGCACTGTAGGTAAGTGCTGAAGGTGGTTGCTACGCATCACGGATAATAACAATGGGCTCCCCAGCAGTCATCACCTCCGGCCTGCAAAAGGCATGTCGCTCTCCTTTCTGAGTCCTCATCGCGTCCTTCGTTCACTCTATTATTCGCTTGTGATGCGAGCCTCTGTCTACATTTTAGCTTTTGGTTTGGCCTTCAGCCCACAAGTCGACCATTCTGTACACTATCTGCTTTCGGTGCGTGATGCAGTGTATATACACACACCTGTATAATATTGGGTATGGGATTTTGTGGTCCCAATATCAGCTTACTCGAAGAAGTGTTTGGAGTACGACTTGCCACCGTCTGAAGTATCTCAACTCGTTGTCGCAGTGTGCAAGATCATGACAACATCGACCTGATTTTGGATCTTCAGCAATATCTTCAGCTCCCCGTATGTACTCAAAGACCCGAGGCTACGTCCTACGATACTTCTTGAGGATCTCGAAATCTGTGGCTCTTGGCCTCCATCGGAGCGGCTCCCGAAAAAGGGTGAATTGGCGCACGCCAGTGTTATTGAGAAGCTCCCTCAACAAAAGTTATTCCATCACCTACAACATCCGCTATCCGCTTCCACCGCGCGACCTTCACTCCCATTCTCTACACGCCAGGATGGAGGCGTCGGCCACGGAGCGCACCCTCGGAGTCACCGAGCTCCTCGAGCTCGTCCTGCTAGAACTCCCGATTCGCGACATTTTCCAAGCTCAGCGAGTCTCTCAGCAGTGGAAGGCGGTCATCAGCAACTCCTCGCCACTTCGAAAAGCCATGTGGCTGACCCCGGTCGACTCCTCGTCCACTCAAGCCAAACACGACGAGGTCGAGCTTCCTACACACAGCCGACTGTATTCCCTAACCGACAAAAACCATCCCCGCGTCCTAGCCGCCAAGCACTTCAACCCGCTTCTGCCACTCGGGGAAGACAATTACCGGATCGAGCTCATGATGAAGGGTTGGCTGTCTGAATTTGTACGCGAGGAATTGGTTCTGGTTGTTCCGGATCCCACGGAGTGGAAGCACTCTTTCAGTCTAGTTGCTTCCAAAGGAGAGGACAAGGCAGCCTGGGAGGACATGCAAGTTTTCAGCCCGCCAATCACGCGCTTTGAGATCCACATCGTCGACACGAAGAAGGGAACAGTATATGTGCACAACATGCCAAAGTTGTACAATGAAAACGGCATCCGGATGGGAGAGATGATGAAGCAGCTGTACGTGGTCCTGAAGAAACTTGAACATGTTTTGTGAGGGAAGCATAGCCGGGGGGAGTGAAGCATATGACATGGCTCGATGCTGTTGCGAGTAGTAGCCAAGCCAAGCCAGTTGGAAGGTAGCGTAAGCCCTACTGTCTAAAGTCTATATTTGTTCGGATTGCCAACGACTCATACTCTAAGGCAGTGATATGTGCCCAGAAGTTTGGAAAACTGGTGTACATCGTGAAATAGCCTTTTCAACGCCCCAATGTGCACTCAAGCAATTTCCTTGTCCCGTACAGGGAACTGAACTGCTCATGCTCCATCCTGAGCCGTGGCTGTGCTGGGTGGGCGCATCCTGAGCCGAGACTGAGCAGCTCGTTATCGTTTTCATTTCTAGACTCTGTTGCAATTTCTGCAATTCGCTGAAGTGTCCCAGCAGCATTAAAGAAGTATGGGATGATTGCCTAAATTAAAACGATTATTTAGATCGTCCATGCCGCTTCGCTCAAGCAGGCCTGCACCAGAGGAAGTCCGGAACCGCCGATATTGATATCCAAAAACTATGATTACTCCAAATCCAGACCATCAATCCCTCCAAACATTCCATTGTAAGAATCGGGCACAGCTAATGCCGCTGCTCTGAAACTTCATGGATTAAGGTTCTCTCGTCCAAATCCACTTAGCAATACAGACATCCATCCCGGGGCGACTACCAGTTCGCCTCTGCATTCGCCGAGGGACACAATCAATCAGAATCGGTCGCTACTAGAACTAGATCATCCACAATCACCTGTCCATACGGTTCATCAAAAGTTGAAGCAGGGTCTGCTTTACAATGGAATGCAAGAGCTACGAACGGATTGGGGATCGGTGGACTGAGCAGTGCAGAGTAAAAGTGATAACCAGAGGCAATAGGCGCAAGCTGGAGTTGCGAGAATACGCCGGTCTGGATTGATCCCCCAGTAGCCGGAAATTGGACGTCCCCCATGAACGCCTCAAGGTAATAGGTCGATGCTGGTCCAGTAATGACATGCTGCAAATCTACCCAGAAAGAGAAGTTGTAGTAGTTCCCAGGCATCAGGCCGGAGACCTGTTGCACCAGTCCAGTATAAGCGGGATACGACGCACCGAGCAGGCTGCGAGCCAAGCTGTTAGCATGTATAAATATGACAGCGTCAACAACTTACACGCATTCCTTTCCACCATGACAGCCACCCTCACCAAATTCAAAATCGCCATTCTTCAGCACATTGTCTTTTGGCGGACACTCGGTGATACTGGTGTCATCCACATATATGGTCGCTGAGATGACCCCCTGAAGTGGCTCCGCAAAATCCGCAATGGTTTGACTGAACAGCTGTCCAGGAAACGAAACGCTGACTTTGGTCGTGTCATCAATCTCTACCACGCAAACAGCCTCCGCCAAAGCTTGGCCGAAAACCTTGAACGACTTTTGCAGTCTCTGAAGATCTTCTAAAAACGTTTTCGCAAAGCTCATAGAGTCACTGAGGAGAGTAAGGGCCGCGTACGCCTCAGGAACAAACTCTACAGCAAGAAAGCCTTCAACAACGACTAAAGCAATAGTAGCGTCAATAGGGGCTGTAAGTACGGCAGCTCCTATGAGTCCTATAAGAGTAAGAACTTTGCTCCCTTGGTCAGTGGCGTCATATAACAAGAAATCGGTGAAGGCTTTGAAGTCGTCCTGCATGATTTCCTCACATAGTGATTGCTGGTCGGCTGGCGGAAGATATTTGCAAGACGCACGGTACTGGCCATTACCGTTGTCCGTCAAAGGGCAAGGAAATATATCGAACGTAAGACTCGGTGAGAAATCCGAGGTTCCATCTCCACATTGATTTATGATTGTCAGTTCGACTGGAGCAACTTGGACGGATCTTTTCTTGCTCATGTGCCGTTCGTTAATACGGCTACGTTTGTTCAAAGTTGTGGTATTAGAAGTCGTAGCTCCAGGCGCGCTAACAATAACTTCGATAGAGCAATTGGGATTGAAGAAGTGGACCTCCGTCTTGGTAAAGAGAATCACTGTTCCATTCGGTTCTTGGATTGCCACGCTGTTTGGGTCAGAAATATCGAGAAGCACATTGCCAATATCGCTCTGGAGGCCGAGAAAATCCGCAAAAGTGCCATCGGGGTTTTGAAAAAGTGTAAAGGGTCAGTGATGTTGATGTTTACGTTGGAATCAATCAGATATGGTTTTCATTGAGGCGAGTGACGCTGGTGCTGGGAACGAAGGACATGCCGTCGGTGTTTGTGTTGCGATGCTAACTGAAGGTAATCTCGAACTTGTTGAGCTTGTACCGTTGAAAGCCAATGTACTGGAGGACGGAGTTTGCGAGATTGAAGAAGCAGAGATGCTTGTAGGGATAATAGAGATTGGAGTACCAGAGAGCGAAGTTGATATGGTCGAAGAATCGTACGTAGTTGAATTGCTTAACACAGTAGAACTCGTATTGCTAAGAGAGAGCTTTGTGTAACCAAGGACGTATCCGTATGAGTCGAGGGAGATCCTGTTGATCTGCTGGTGGATGCCGATTTCCATAAAGACCTTGAAGAGATGCTTTCCATGCTGCTCGTATAAGTTGAAGACGTAGTACTGTAGGAGGAAGTGAGCACCGATGCAGCAGTTGATGAAGTCGAGCTACTGCTGAGATAATCCGAACCGGTATCCGAGGACATGATGGACAATGTACTGCTGAAAAAATGCCGTGCTAGATAAGCTGGAACTCAGAAGAGTCGAACAAAGTGTGCTGCTCGTACTGGAGGCACCAACATCCGAACCGAACTGTCTCCAGAGTACGTGGACGACTTAGCCGGAGTAAAAGACTGGATCTTGGATGTACTGGTTGTAGACGTATACACGTTTCTATTACTTGATTGTAATGGGCAGTTCTTGGAAGTCGTCGAGCCCGAGGTTCGAGTTGCTGTAGACGCAATGGATTTTGTCGAGATGGAAGAAGAACGAGCCCGAGAAGAACTCGAGGATGCTTTCGGGCTACAATCTCAAAATTGAGACCGACAGCCATTTCCATAATATGCCTTGGAAGATCCACAGTAGCCATGCTCAGAACAGCATGAGCCCCATCGGGCGCCTTTGCAAGTATAGGCACTCAATCCTCCACATTTTCCATTTGGCGACAACTTCGACGACGGCTCTTTGAAGCATTCCCCGTAGCTCGACTGGCATTTTGCTTTGCAGTATGCGCCCGATGATCCACAGTATCCCAATTCCGAGCAGCAGCATCCAAAAACGGAACCAGTGCAGACCCGGTCATTAATCCGTCCGCAACGACCGTCACGGCTTATTTTCGGACCTGATTTACTGATGCGCCGTAGGTCTAGTCGACTTGGAGATCGAGATTCCCCTGAAAGATTGGATCCCGTTGCAGCAATTGCGCCTGTAAAGAGAAGTAGCCAACATAAAAGCATTTTTTAGCAAAAGAAGGTAGCCGGACTGAACAAATGTGATATATAACAAAAGTATGGACCAAACAATGATATTATGATGACTGTTGGTTTGCCAGCTCGGAGAAGTGGCAGAACTCTGTCTTTCCAACTGAGGGGTGAGCAGGACCATTTAGCTACCAAGGAAATCAAGACGCTGCCCAGGCGCGTTACGCCAGCTAGTAATCCAGAGCAATCCGTAACCCTCCATAATGGAAGACTTCAAACCAATCAGAGAACAATACACCAGAGCTTCATCACCATCTGGTACTTATACGAATGCGAAGGCTTGGGGAGTGTTCGCTTGGAACGAAGTATCGTTCAGCCACCAATACCATACCGATGCCAACCTGAACGAATATCCGTTTAGATCATCAAAAGTCTGATCTACAGACCCTAGCCCACACGATTGCTCAACTGGATCCCTGTGGTCAATTCAAGGGATTTAATACGAGTATGCCAGAATGTCTTAGTAACAGAACTCCTGTACGGATGCGCTTGTATTGAGGAGAATTGAAGTTCTACTTGTTGACCCTGAAGCATAATGGACGACCTTAAAAGCTCAGATCTTTTGTTCCTGGTGGCTTAATGGGGCGGTATGGGCTGAAAGCTGAATTCAAACGTCGTACCATCGTGGAAATCTTAACATGAAATACCAAACATAGGAGGTTCTGGAGCTAAGTAGACTTGAGCTGAGGAGACTTGAGCTGAGGAGGCTTGAGCTGAGGAGGCTTAGGCCATGTATTGGTATCTAAGGTCAAGCTTCCACCTTCAGGTTTATATCGACCGTCATTGCCTTGTTTCACCAAGGCTGGCAGCGTTATTGTCCTGAGAAAGCTTTGACAGAATCATGCTCCAGCTCCAGTCCTGCTGTTTGGTGAGTCCCTCATACTCATCAAGCTCATGAGCTGTATATGAGTAATTTCGTATGGTCTGTCAAGCTGGAATGACTATGCTCACTGCTAAAGTAATTAGATAATTAACACACAGCTGAAATCTCTTTTGGTTGTTGGAAGGGAATTTGAAGCGCCGAGGAAGTGGTTGCGGCCGAATCCACGCGACACTGCGAGGCAAAGGTTCAGCTGAAGTAGAATACGAAATCAAATGACCACAACTTTAAAACGCAGCTGCCACCGACCCCCGTGCAGGGCTCAGGGTGAAGACAAGGTGTAACTGGTGATACAATCTGATTTATGGAAACACAGACTACTATTTCGGTCTTCGAACGCACTTCAACCAAGTAGGACTACATCAGAAATGTGGGAAGGCTGGTACTTCATTCATAATGGCCGTGTATCTGACAAGAACTGTAGTTTTTGATGTGGCAAAAGTCTTAGATTCGGGTCGCTCTCCTGCTCAGTGTACCAGTTCTTGACATGGTTGGTGAGTTGGTCGGTTCTGGATTTTTGAGGCGATTTAATGAGCGTGGATATACCAGCTAGCGAGATGGCCTTGTCTAGCATTGACGCGATCGCCGCGGATGAGGACATCGCGGGCCTGTATATATCTGAGTACCGCCACCCTGCCCCATCCACCGACCAACATTAAAAGCAGCAGTATCACCATTCCTCGTTCATCGGATCTCCTCGTCAAACATGGCATCACGCACGTCATGAGTCTAGTTAGTGAACGCGACTGCCCGAAGATGGCCGCGGAGTTAGGCATTGAGCACCTCCACATTGCGATCGATGACAACCCTTACGAAGACCTGCTCATGTGCCTAGAAGGCTTGAATGGATGGATTGAAAATGCCCTCAGTTCCGGCGCTGGAAAACACGTCGTCTTGGTTCATTGCCTGCAAGGCCAGTCCCGCAGCGGCGCCGTAGTCGTCGCGTACCTCATGCGTGCACTCTCGTTCGACTACGACGCTGCACTTTCGCTCGCCAGGAAGTACCGCGCTGCGATTGCGCCGAATCTGGGGTTCGCGGATCAGCTCCGTTTGTGGCAGGAGTTGCAGTATTCTATCTTCACTAGTGTTCGCAGCGGGGAGGACCAGGGGAGGGAGATGAAGGCCGAGTACAAGGCCTGGAAGGATGGTAGGGGGTTATTGCTGAGCAAACCACAGGAGGAGAAGAGTAGGGCGCTGATGAAGCAGGTAGCGAGTATGGCTGCGTCGTTTTCGGCGAGGAATTCTGGGGTTCAAAGGAGCACTGATGCGAATGAGGAATAAGCAGAACCATTGCTCCGATTCCTAATTTGTTAACATTTCTGGAACTCTGCTGTAGAATATTCGTGGCCCGGCCAGCGGCGATCTTAAATCCAGCTGATGTGGAGCACTCAGTAAAGTAGGAGAAATGGATGTATTAACCGCATAGACATGATCAATCATCTCTCGATTCGACATCAGCTCTGCCGCTATCCTGGATTGCCAAAACATCTCCCCAACTAGACTAGCCAATCTCCCTGCCGCTTTTCAGTTGACATACCTACGGGGTCCAACTCAATATCCACTTTGCTCCTTCCTCCCGCTGCCATCACTAACTCCATCTCCATCTCCATCTCCATCCTTCTTCTTTTCGGCTGACGACGCACAGCAGCATCTTTGATAGCATCAGCATCACCCCTCAGCTTCTCAAAGAATGCCTTGATGCCCTCCGCACCAACCATCTGGCCACTCTCCGCGAATGGCTGCAAGAAGGCTTTGACCTTGTCTTGAGACGGGCGTAGACCATTCGGCCTTCTGTAAAACACATAATACGTCAGTAATTGGAAATATAAAAGAACGGCTGTTCGGGAAGTGTGCTTACTGATAGTTTTCACGCGGTCCATATTATTGAAAACACGACCCCCCAATGTGCACCCAAGAAATTTCCTTTCCCGTTCAGGAAATTGAGCTGCTCGGGGTTCTTGTTCTTACCTCGGACGCCTTGGATGGGGCCGAGCCACGCCAAGCTCACCCATCTGTCGGGTTAAAATGACGTGCAATCCTTGGCCTTAGTGGTGATGAGATGCGTAGGATCATTCTGATCTGGGTTCGGTAGTATCCTTCTGGCTTAAAAAGGGAATTTTCTGACATATTGCAGTGCCTTCAAAGGTACATCGAAAGCGCAAAACTATTGAGCGGCTCGACGGTTCCTGAAAAATAGGTCACAGAACGGGTCGTCTTTTAAGAATCAAAAGGAAAAACTTTAGCGGCAGCTGACGCAAGTAATGCGATTCACCTTCTCTCACAGGGAGTGTTAATGCGGGGTTCGGAACAGGTTATACAGATCAGATAAATCTCCTGTCACCAGATCCTTCTGGAGCTACGTGCGGGGTCCTGCCGGATGCTGGCGGTCCATTTCCATGATGCGGTTCCGCTCCAAAAACTTTCGTATCCGTTGCCGAACTGTGCAATTTATGCCCTTCACGGTTTTGAAAATTAGCTACTATAGTCTTCACCCTTGTTGTTGCCTGACTGTAGATCGCCTAACTTATGGCCGGAAATCGACCCGGGGGACCCATCCAATTGGTTCGGGTAGGCCCGCGGATCATGAACCTATGTAGTCATTTTAAAGCTATGACCAGATGAATCTCCAGTTTCAACAGCTACTCTAGGAGAAGAATCATGTTGACCTCCGGCTCCGGACCATTGTAAGAACCGAATGATGTTGAGGAAGAGTGCACAAATTTTGTACTAGCTTTGAAGGTTGAGCGCTAAATCTTGAGAGAATCATCTTGAAACTATATAAACTAAAAGGAAAGATTTATTCTCAGTATACTGATGCCTGTCATTTCCTATACAACAGCTTGATTGAGATAATGAAACTGGGAAAATTTGTCGCAGCCCTTGCGGCGCTTTGTTTGGCTACAACATGTTCGGCGTTCAGACGTACAGTCCCTGATATTAGCCCTTTGGAGTACTCATACACTGTTAGTGCCCACTACCGACAGATTTTGCACCGACCTGATCTCCGCAGAAATATGCCGGCGGACCAACCATTCAGAAATACATCAGCTACACTGGCGACGGCATCAAGAGCTTCTGGATCGCCGCCTTCATCCATGCGGACAACAAGCACGACTACTGCGTCATCGGCCAGATGGCTAGCATCGGGAATGGGACACTCCAGACATACGCGAGCGTCATGGACATAACAGAGAAGACGTACTATGGCGAGACTTTTCACACAAAAGGTCAGATGTCCAACAACGCCACCGCCGGCGACTCTGGCCTCTTGCACATTTGGGCGACGACAGCGGACCAAATCTCGGAAATCAAGGCTGTCAGCACGATTCCGAAAGTCCCCTACGACTTCACACTTACCCCCAAAGGCCCTCTGCTCTACCAAGCTGGTGGTGGAGATTACCATTGGGGCCTCGGCACTGCGTGGGAGTTCGACGCGCCGGAGACTCAACTGACCGGCACGCTCACAATCGGCAACAAGAAAGTAAACATTGTCCCCGAAAAGTCCATGGCCTGGTTTGATTGGCAATGGGGTCCTGGCTTTGCCCCTGGCGGCTGGCATGGGGGTGCCATCCTGCTCGACAACGGCGTCAAAATCCTGCCCATGATTACCAACCCCTCGGACCTGTACACCCAAGTCTCGATTTCGACGATGGTGTTCCCGGACGGCCACCACGAGGTCTACCCCATAGACCCTGACCTCCATCCGCGGAACCCCTGGGTATCGAACGTTTCGGGCCTGACGTACTACAATGACTACCAGATCAACATCCCGGGAAAGAAGACGTCTCTGCATTCACATCTGTGGATGGAAGGGGGGGAGGCGACGGTTTTGGCTGATCCCTCGATAGCGAATTCGATTAATGATGCGTTTGCGATATTTACAGGCACCTTTGATGGAAAACCAGTGACTGGATGGGGTATTCAGGAGCGTAGGGTTGGTTCTTGAGTACCGACCCCCTGAAAACGTAGCTACCTTTCCCAACTTTCCGGCATTCGTAGTGCGCGACGCTGGCAGGCGGAGTTAGGCAGGTATGTTGGATGGTATATAGTGTGTGGGGAAGTGGAAGTAGAAGGCTATTCGTAGGCCGTTTGGAGAAATAAGAAGGGTTCAAAACTAATCCCGTACTTGAAACATACATGGAGATTGGAAGTGCTCTGAGCTGACGCCGCCAACATTCACGGTCCGAAGCTTCCGTCCTACAAAAGACGTTCAGAATGAGAAACTCTATCTAAATTGGGGATAGGTACGTACCAAATTTGAAACCGATAGTCCAGTACAATCTTCAGATAAGTGTAATGGTCTCATCTGCCGTCTCCTTCCACTTCTTGATACTCCGGATAGGACCAGTCCAGCCGCGTTGATACAAACCGACGCCACGAAAAACTCAAGGTTCGCAAGATCCGACTTCCTCCAAGACAAGAAATCCAAAAGAAGACTTTTCGTAATAACCAACGAGGAAAATCCATACAATTTTAAGGTGCGACTCCAAGCAATAATCTGGCTTCACCCCAAACAGTTGGCTAGATACCTTGGCGTCAAAGTAGATAAAGTCATCTTGAGAGTAATGCCACAGCGAAGCTTCAACCACTTTGCCTCGAAATTGGAGACAGCTCTGGCCATCTCTGGGATAGTTCCGATCGTCAATCGGAGAACTCTGATCGGGTTTCGAGAGCGCCCCGTATGCTTTAGCGGTTCTAAGATACAGACGATGATCGACAAGCTTTGGAAAGCAATCGGCATACGATGTGGGCTCTTGGTTTTCTTCAAAATCCCAATACCGATAATGAACGGAGGATTTAGCGCTTGCCCATGACCATGAGGGAGCGATATACTCGAACTGTCTCTCCACAGTCTTATCAACAGCCCAAAGCAGCGACGCATTTACCCAATCTAACCACAGCCCAGCAGCATATGGCTGTTGAGCGCCTAACCCAAAAAGCTTCGCCAGGCCAGAGATGGCAGGAAGCCTGTCCGTGTCGAACGTAAGTCTATGTTTAGTGTACCATTTGATAAGTCGAAACCATAGATATAGCCAGTTCCTATCGACCGCTATAACTCGAGTTTCGTCACGCGCCAGAGCAGAACTGATTAACTTCAGGTCCGGATTGTCGTAGATTCCTGAGCCCTCACTTGCATTCCAGGTCAGCGCAGAGGGTATTTCGCGTGTTCGGCAGATCCAGCGATTCTCAGTATTCTTGCTGTCAGGGAATGGTGAAAATCGTGAGCGTCGCTGGTTAGGCGCGTGATGATATAGCGTTGCAGCAGCTAACACGCGCTCCTGCAGTACCCATCCTCTCGATTCGAGTTGTCCACTGTAGAATTAGAGCCCCTCATCATCATAAAAGCGCCCTTCCGATACAAGTTCCTAATCTCGAGGACATGGCGAGGCATCTGCAATATTCATAACCGCATTCGAATAAACTCGGCCCATGAGCTCAGACTCTCGCACCCAATCTTTGGCACAGTCCTGCACGATACATAGAGCATCGATCCAAAGGTACCGGTACCCCAACTGTCGAGTAAGGATGACGGCTTCTTGAAAAACACGACTGAGGGAGTCGAATGGGATGTTCGAGCATCGCTGTTGCAGCGTCGCCTTGTCTGTCTGGATGAATTTCGCATCTCCCCAACGGTGACTCAGCGTCAAATACTTAAACGGCTTCTGCCTGTCATCTTGAAGGCCTCGGTTCTGTGTCTTCGGACTTCCTGTCCTGTCCGTTCCTGTATTCGGCCTAGAAGCCTTCGTGCCTCCAGTGCAGATGCGGCTGGCAATTAACTCCTCTTCTGTCGTCAAGCGGAGATCGCTCTGCAGCTCTTCAAACCCAGGATCGAGTACACGGGAAGGGATGAAGCTGCAGCCTCGAGTACGGTTGCAGCCGGCGTGATCGTCTGATTCAAGGCAGTCGCGTAAGCATTCGCGGACGAATCCGAGATCTTCCGAATTCAAAATCCTCAGCTTCTCAACGACCTCCATGGTAATGAGTGAGATGTGTTCCCTTGAAAGTGTCGGGATCGGAACTGGTGACTCGGAGAGGCTTTTGACACCTTTTGATCCTCAGCCTGATGGCGTTTTCAGCTACATGCAAAGGCCAAAGCGGAGACGTAGGCACCTGCATGAGGCTGAACTGACTCATGCGGCCTTATATACCTTGAGACATACCATTGAATTGAAAATAGTACACAGGAATAGCATTTTCTTCTCGACATGTTCAACACGTTGATGAACTGGAATGAGGCCTTCATGACTATATTTCATTTGGAAGAAAAAGGAAGACGAAATAATGACTAGACCTTTTTTACTATAGATATGACTTGATGCCAATACCTCTACTTCGACTCACCCAAGATGCTCACCCTCGTTTCGTGATTTGAATCTTGTTCATTGTGATGTAAAGATGCTGAAGAGAAATCTAGCCTAGACATCCTTGCATTAGCCCGTTATCACACGTGACCTCAACCCGACTCAGCTCTCCTTCACTGATTGGCCATCCCAGAATCCCGACAAAACACCTCCAAAACCAAGATACCACGGTAGACAGGCTTCAAGCACGGCCGCAAAGCATGATCACTGAGACAACCATGGTTGTTGCCTAGAAGCCAGGTGGCACACAATAACAAACCCTGGCCCACCGTCAACCACAGCACGACAGCCTCGTGCTGCGCGCCGCTACCATAGACAACACTCCAATAAAATAAAAAAAAAGAGAAATGGTATCCATCACCATCATCAAAAAAATCGTGTCGCGAAAAAGCGTAGCATTCCACGCGTAACGGGTGGCCAGCCCAGCGCGCAAGAAATCGCATGCCATCAGAAGGTTGTGCGGCGCGCGGGAGGGAGAGACTAATCTCAATCACAACCCCTCGCTAGAAACAAGGGCAAACGCAGCTGCAGAGCCCGCGCCGAAACCACCACCACCCTCTCCAAACAACCTGACCTGTGCCCCCCGACCGACACCGCCCGCCCATCCGCCAGCACCACGATTCCATCACAACACGACCACCGCCCCATCATGAAATCCACGGCAGCCCGCTAGATCGACTCTCCGCCTCACGCGCTATCCAACAGCGGGCATTTCGTCGATTTCCAGTCGCTTTTGCGCCCGCTACGCGCTGCTGCACCTTCCGGCGGCTCTTGGCTGGTGGCGACCGCGACCGGTCGCAGGATTTTTTTGCCCGGTGCTGACCGCTACGCGGCGCGGACTCACGACTGCGCAGGCCAGGGCTGCTACCCAACCCCAACAAAGAGTCATTTTATTCACAACACAACACGACACACACGCCACTAGCCATGACGCAACGGGTTACCGCGCAGCGCTTTCGCCAGCGCAAGTTGTCGACCAAGCAGAACCTCGCCGTCCTGCGCGAGAACGAGGTCGAGCAGCAGCTGGACGACGACGCGCAGCGGCACATTCCCAAGGTCGAAACCGGCGTCGAGAAGGGCGAGGAGATTGTAAGTTTCGCGCGCCTTCCCGCTTTCAGCCCCCGCCCCGTTACAGCCCCTTTCTTTTGCCTCAATCGGGCCAGGCCACCACATCGCCGTCACGTCACGTGAACAACTTCACGTGGTCGCTATGGTTGACTTACCACCCCACTCCACTATACGTTTTGACTTACCGTCGCATCTCGATACTAATGAACTGCATAGGAACACCACTTACAGGCTGTCATCTCTGCTTCCCAAGCCGCAGCAACCGGCGGAAAGGTCGCCCAGCTCTATATTCCTACCCCAGATGCTGTTGCCAGCAAACTCTCCTACGAGGATCTCTATGTCCTCAAGTTCAACCAACCCGCCACCTATATCCGCTTCTCGTCCACCGTCGAAGACTGCGTAGGATGTCCGTACTGCATGGACCTGGAGGACAAGGCGTTCCTCAAGTCCATGAACGAGCGCATCGTCGGCCACAGGAAAGGCAGAGCCGCACAGGCCGCCATCTGCTCCGACAATGAGTTCGAAGAAGTCATGAACTTCTTTGAGGAGACGTCCCAGACCAAGCAGCCCTATGCCGCCGTCGACAGTCCCCCGGTCATCACCTACGAGGAAATGGAAGCCGAGTTCGACGAGACCATCAGTATCTCGGCTCGCAGTTTCGCAAAGGACATCTATGAGCACTGGAAGGCCCAGCGGTCAGCGACAGGCAACCGCAGTCTGATGCCGGCGCTCAAGTTCGAGAGAAACATCGAGACAGACGATGCTGATCCCTATGTGTGCTTCCGACGACGCGAGGTCCGGCAGATTCGGAAGACGCGTGGCAGAGATGCACAGATTACCGAGAAACTCAAGAAGCTGAGAAAGGAACTGGAGGACGCGCGACATCTTATGGCTCAAGTGAGGCGGAGGGAAGGTATGAGCCAGGAATCGTTGGCAACTGATAGAGATGTCTTCGATCAACGCGTTACTCTCAAAGACCACAAGAGGAAATTGGGTATCAAGGAAAACGACGAAGACCTCATCAACCAAAAGGTATGCTCGAGGCTTGTCCTCTCAAGTATCAACTTACTAATAAACGTCGCAGCCCGCCCCCAGACCGAAGCCCAGGGTGGATCCGTCTGCAATGCAGCGAGGTATTCCTGGCATGATCCAGAAACCCCAGATCGCACGTGCCGATGGTCGCCCGCTCGATTCTGACCTGGTGTCGTTGCAGGAACAGGAGGAGAAGAGGGAGAAAGGCATCCAGGCCTTCATCGACGAGCACAAGGAGAAGCACCGGAAGTGGAACGAGAATTGGCAGGACGAGACTTGGAGGCCCATCACACCACCGCTCGAGACGGCCTTATCGAGGAGCACCTTTGTTCCCGTAAGAGTCGAGCAACTGCCCACGCCTCCAGCATCCGTGTCATCCGAGACCTCTGGTGAAAACGCGATCGCTGATCAAAGACCAAACAAGCGTAGGACGCCCGGTGTGACGGGAAGCGGTATGGAACTGCGTAGCCACAGGTTCTCTCCACCACCGGAGGATGTTCCCTGGGCTCAAATTCCACGATTCCGAGCGCGCACTGGTCGAGGTGGAAGACTTATGATTGACCGTCGCGGCCACCTTGAGCGCAAGGAATACGATCTCCGAGGCGGACGACGACCATGGGAAGAAGAGCGTCGCGCGGATCTGTACAAGTATTCGGGTGATAGTAGCGAGGACGAGCAGGAGATGAAGGTTGACCACAATGACAATCTCCATATCAGATATCGTATGATGCTGGAGAGGAGCGGAGAGAAGGGGCAGGCCTCAGCCCAGTCCAGGAGGAGCATCGATCATCTTCAACATGCCCGATCGGTATCCGGAGGCCATCTCGTACCGCCATCAAGTGGCTGAAGGAGTATGTTGTTCGAGTTCCGATACCCCAGTTTTACATTCTTGGTACCCATGTCCTCAAGCAAGAGATATGGTACTGCACTTCGAGAGTGCGTCTTATTTCTGTTCCACTGAAGGAGCGTCCGATTGTTGGATCCATGAGCGTGTGTGTTATGTACAATAGTTCTCCATGGATCTTCAGGCGGAGACAGAAGGGCAAACCGAGCCGAGTGGTTTGCGATGGATTCATAAGATACCTATGAGCGTGTAGATTAGTAGCCATCAATGGCAAGTAAAGAAGCAATAACAAATGTTGCTCACCTGAGCTTCTACTAACAACCTTGTGTCCGTCCGACTGCCAGCCTCTTCAAACTGATTCGAGGCACCTAAACTCTCGTCTTCTTATTCGGGCCTGTATACAGGGCCGCTCCGTCGTTCCGTTTCTCAGGTCTCTTCGTGAAAGGAGAAAAGACAGTCAACGCCTTCATGGCCTCGTCTAAGATGTGTTTTTCACCGTGCCGCACTTCTTTTGCCATAATCCTCCTCTTCTCGCTTCCGGATAGTCTGTGCGATTCACCTATTTGATTCCGGAGATTCGAAATTTCAGAGAAGTCCTCTGCAAGCGTCGTGGAGTACTGGGCTGCTCTGGCCTTGACGATCTTGAGAAGCGTTTCGGCTCCGTTAGGAGATAGTGTCTCTGTCGAAATGATGTTCTTTTTGCACCTGGCCCATTCGGCCTCTGGAAGCAGGAGACTCTCGACCAGAATAATCAATTCTGGAGACAGCACGCTGGCTACTGAAGTATGAATGGATGGGACTGAGATGTCATAGCCAGAGGTGACAACGCCTCGTTCGTCTAGATACTCAATCTAAATTGATCAGAAAGATAGGGCGAACACTCGAAATGGAGTACAACTTACTCGATTTTCTATGGAAGATTCGTCTATTTTGCCCTCGTTCTTGATGATATCGCAAACGAGCTCAAGCGAAATCTCAACGACGTCATATGGGGTATAGTTGTCGGTGACGTAGCCATATCGACGAAGCAAATCGGATCGCGGCAATGGGCCGTAATCATTGAAGATTTCTTCGCCAGTCATGATAGGCTTCAAGGCTTTCATGGTGAGCACTTCATCCTCGTAGAACAGTCTAGCCTGGTAAGAGTTAGCAGGATTCGGTCTTCAAGGACATACCTTACACTTACGTTGTTCCAGTCTGCATCCGCATTCAACATGTCGGCCAGTGGTACCATGCCCTTCGGCAAAGCTTCCTCTTCGTCCTCGGACACGTATCCGTCTTCATCCGCCTCTTTCCCCGACTCAACCGGCTCTATATCGAAAGCATACGCCATGATCGTGGATCCCATTCTATGAGCCAAAGTCACCAAGTCCAGGTCGGTCGGATGCACGTTCGCGCCGGGAAAGAACGTATCCGCATTTTGCCTAATCAGAGGCACCAATATCTCTTCAAATGTCTTGTCTGCGTCTTTTTTGCCAATCTTTTCGCGTACAGCGCTAGCATGGAGCTCCGCGAGTTCCTCTTCCGTCCAGAACATAAGCGTGTCAAACTCGGTAGGGAGGATGTCGAAATAGGGTTTCCAAATTGAGTTCGGACCTTGGAGATACTCGTAGATCATAACGACGATCAAGGAAAGCCATGGGTCGAGTTCGATGAAAAGGCTGGGTGCCTTCTTGCTGAGTTGCGAATTCTCAACACTGAGGACGGAGGTGCGGGGGATGCTGAAGAGAAGCTCGTCCTCTTCTATATCGGAGGTTGCAACTGAATAGAAAGTTAGCTAGTGATCTCTACCAGTATTTTTAGAAAGCAAAGGCGGGGGGAGCTCCGGGTGGAGGGAAATTCGAGGCAATGTGACCTACCTACACCGCGTCCGGCATCCTTTCGTCGCAAGTCCCGAAGTGCTATTTTGTTGCTTGTTGTGGCCGAATAGCTGTTCAACCATGCCATGAAGGCCTCGGACTTCGAGTGGAAATCGTCGGCCATTTTGGTGAAGAGCAGTTGAAGTGTGGGGAGTTTGTATGGAGGTGGAGTGGAATATTAGTGACCGCCTCGTGGACATTTTAGCTAGCGGAGCCAAGCCCGGTTTCCATTGGCTAGCTTGACCACACGGTGAGCTCCCTCACGAAAACTTGGAAGCGTGACTCTTTTGCGCCTTTGCTCGATTCTTTGATTGACGATGGTGCACGCTGAGTAGAGCTTTTGGTGCCTTTTCTGCTGTTCATTCCAGAGCTTCAACACTTGTTACTCTCATTAACAGGCAAAGTTCTGGTCTATCTGAGTTCGGAGGAAGTAAATCAGCTATAAGCAGCAAATTCATACGTATAGGCTCTGGTCTAAGAAACTTTCCCAAACTCGTTTCTCTTTTACCCTCTTGACAGTTCGAAGCCTCTCACATCTCCTTCAGCCCAAAACACCAAAAAAAAAGTTCTTATCGATAACACCCAACCTCAAAATTGTCCCTCACCCTCCGCCCCTCCAAACAGTTCTCCAGAATTCATACCCCAATACCACCATGATTGCCCTCGGCCTCGAAGGCAGCGCCAACAAGCTCGGCGTAGGCATAATCTCGCACCCCTCTCCCTCCAAACCCCCCCTCATCCTCGCCAACCTCCGCCACACCTACAACTCCCCGCCCGGCGAAGGCTTCCTCCCAAAAGACACCGCAAAGCACCACCGAACATGGGTCGTACGTCTCGTAAAACAAGCCATGCGCCAAGCCGGCGTGAAAGTCGAAAACATAAGCTGCATATGCTACACCAAGGGGCCCGGAATGGGCGCGCCGCTACAGAGCGTAGCAATCGCCGCGCGAACGCTCGCGCTGCTCTGGAATAAAGAGCTAATCGGCGTAAACCACTGCATAGGACGTAAGACCCACCCCTGAATCCCCCCAACAGCCTAAGAGATCTCTTGAGCACAAAGCTGATTTGTTACCCTGTGTGAGACTGCAGACATCGAAATGGGCCGCGCAATCACCCACGCCCCGAACCCCATCGTGCTCTACGTGTCGGGCGGCAACACCCAAGTCATCGCCTACTCGCACCGCCGCTACCGCATCTTCGGCGAAGCCCTCGACCTCGCCGTCGGCAACTGCCTCGACCGCTTCGCGCGCACCCTCATGATCCCCAACAACCCCGCCCCGGGCTACAACATCGAGCAGCTCGCGAAGAAAGGCCGCCACCTCATCGAACTCCCCTATGCCGTCAAGGGCATGGACGCCAGCTTCTCCGGCATCCTCGCCGCCGCTGACGTGCTGGCGGCGCAGATATCCGAAGACTTGGACGAGGGGAAGCGGTTGCGGGCCGAGGATGGGGAGGTGGTGACGAAGGCGGATCTGTGCTTTTCGCTGCAGGAGACGGTGTTTGCGATGTTAGTTGAGATCACGGAGCGCGCGATGGCGCATGTGGGGTCGAGTGAAGTGCTGATAGTGGGCGGAGTGGGGTGTAATGAGCGGTTGCAGGAGATGATGGCACTGATGGCGAAAGATCGGGGCGGGAGCGTGTTTGCGACTGACGAGCGGTTTTGCATCGATAATGGGATCATGATTGCGCATGCGGGGCTGCTGGCGTATGAGACGGGGATAAGGATGCCGTTGGAGGAGAGCACGTGCACGCAGAGGTATCGAACGGATGAGGTGTTTGTTGCTTGGAGAGATCAGGACACAGCGTGAAACTAGTATATATGGCACTGAATATTGTTTGCATATAGGAGGCATATAAGGCGCACTAGGCAGGTTTGGTTGGCAAGGAGTTTTGCATTTTCGTCTGCCAGAAAATCTCGGTCGTTGGTATTAAAAATCAACAAGAAAGTAGGTTGAAGTCGATCAAGGGTCGAAATAAAAGCAAATAAAAGCAGCCCTTAGGAAAACTGACTGTTGAGAACAAAAGCCCAGTGCCTACCCCAACGGTATTGAGATCAAAGCAAAACCGACAGAAATCTATCCCCATGTCTGTGTCACCTAGCATATGCCCAATTCGCTTGCTCTTTTTCATACCAGAAGCCCGAACCCGAAGTACCTCCAGCACATTACGTGCGGGAGATGTCCCAAATTATTGAACCAGCCATCTACAAGTCAAAAGTAAAACGCCCGTAATCATGATCGTGTGTCGTATCGCTGTGTTCCTTGCTGAGCATGCAAAGACAAATGCCACGCCGCTTCAAGTTATTTCATTTAGTCTCCCCCAGCATTCGTTGGCTTATACATGATCGTAGTCAAGAACTGCGATAACATAAGTGATTGGGCGTTCAAGTAGGTCGTTGGCGTACACACCTTGCGCTTATACCTAGTTGTAGCACTCGTAGCCAAGACGTTGTTCTTGATGCTACTGGTCGATAGATGGTTGAGGACAGTGTGGTTTGGCATTACCAACACACTGCTGTCGTCCTTCATCGGGGTGGGAACATTCAAAATACTCTTCCCGAGAAATCCAGGAAGCGAAGGTGGCGTTGGAAGATTGCTGACTGCTGCGTTAGCACGAGATTGTCTCGACGAATCTTCGGGCAAATCCAAGTCCGCCAGATACCGGGGTATTGTTTGGTGATAATGCTTGGGCGATGAGGGTGCCACTGGGACAACCTGACTGGGTGGGTGGGGCTCAGACACAGGTGGCATTGGCGACTTCGGCTCAGAGAGCTGCGTCTCTGACTCCAGGGGTAAGACCTGAGGCGGGTAGATGCCGTCCGGGGCTTTGAGTTCTGTGACAGGCGTGGGTTCGGGCAGCTCTACAGCTGGGGTCACTGCGTCCTCAGCTTGTGGAAGATCGTCAGGTGAGACTTCGATGTAATTGACCAGGATGTTGGTAAAGTCAACGGCTGTCGGAAGGTTGTCGGATAGTCGCATATCGCCGTCAACGATGAACTTGAGGTGATGAGTCCCTGGGTTGAGGGGAATAATCGCAGACAGAGCATCTTTATGTGGACTGGGGCCCCTACAGATGGAGGTAATGTTAGCCAAACGTGTAACATGCAATGAAAGCCAAATAACACTTGCTAATGCACGTAGATGCTTTGAGGCCTGATCGTGCATGCTCGAGGTAGGTTTAAGACTCGGAATCGGCAAAGAATAGGCTGCCAAACGGATAGGCGCATGGGAAAGGCAGATTACAAGATCTGGTACAACCACGGCTTGAAAGAGTCGGAGCAGTCATTGCAGGGAAGTCCACGTAACGGGATGTCTCACTTACCCTCGATGTAGCCGATATTTCTTATCCCAGGCTGCGAACGTGCCCGTCACGTATACTTTCTCGCCCTCGCCTATCCACTCAATGAGAGTAGGCACTGCCTGTTGGCCAGGCTCACCCTCCAAGCCCGTGATTCCATCGCCCACATCATCGTCATCCACTGTAGTGTTGCTGAGGACCGATGTCCGACGCGGTAATATTCCATCGACATCTATGGGGTCGAGCGGGGTCGTGAAGTCGGCGGGGGAGATGATGGGGGAGCCAGGCGTGTGCACCTCCTCTTCAATGGGCAGCGGGAGGCGCGGCGGGCGACTGAACTGAGACTGCGAGGGTGGGACATAGTAGGCCTCTGCCGAGGACACGGCGGGCTCTGAATGTATAGTGTCGTAGCGGGGGTGGCTGTCATTGGCGGGCGCAGGCACGTCGACGGGCTTGCTGGACGGTGCTTCATGCTGTGACGGCGACGGGGCGCGAGGTGGTATATCCCGCGAGCTGTCGTTCCCCATGGTGTCTTTGACAGGACGCTCTCTCAGCGCGAGGTTGTGGAGACTGGGGGAGATGGTGGTGGCGGTGGCAGTTTGGGCGCGCCCTTTCGAAGACGGACGTAGGGTGGACGAGTGGGCCGTTTCCAGACTGGCACTAGGAGGGGCAGCCGTGGCTTTGACATTGCTCAAAGCCTGGATGCTCTCGCGCCGCCGTGGCTCGCGGCGAACTGAGTGAAAGGTCGGGTGTCCATGCGACCCAGACGCGGAGACCGGCGATTGCGGGTTGCTTGTGGGGGTAGTTGAGCGGCCTGTGGACGGAGAGTTGCCCATTGCCTCGAGCAGCTGTAAGAATAGCTAGGCCGGCGGAAGGAGAGCCTACCGCGTCTGCAAGAGTGGTGAGGTTTGGGAGAGGTGGGCCGAAGCATATATGAACCGAAGCTATCTAGCTGCAAGGGTGCATTGATTGGGGGCCTGGTAAACGGACGACACTAGGCATGCATATGTATATATTTATAGGAGCACTAGGTGACGCAGTAGACATAGACGCTTGTCTGTCTAGAGTTCCTCAATGGGCTTTTACGAATTTGTAGTGAATCACTATGAGCAGCCAGCAAGCTCGCGAGGTCACCCCAGGCGGCGTCACCCAGTAAATTGAAATGCACTTGCGCATGCCAAGTGTGGTCAGTTTACAGCTTCCCAGCTGGAGGGGAGTTCTACGATAGCAACCGCCTCAATTCACCGACCACACCTGCTGCATTATGGCAGCATCACGTCCAACTTCGCCTCGATCTGAAGCGTGTATCTCGCGCCGTTGCATCTCCACGTCTCGTCAACCGTGCTGAAACGGCCGCAAAAGCCTGATTATCGACGAAAAGCTCGCGATCCCCGTCACGCTCTCGCAACATGGAAATGCCAAACTGGCTCTCCACGACACTGAGCGTGCTCTACTACATCATACTTTTGCCCGTCGTGAAGCTCGTTCAACTGATACTACTGGTATTGCTTCCGCTCCTCAGTCTCGTCCAGTGGATCCTTCTTCCAGTCACGCATCTCGCAAGAGTGCTTCTCGGAGTGGCTCTCCTTCCATTTCACGCGCAATTGCTTAGCAGGTTCGAGGTATTATGATGCCCAAATCCATTGTGAGATCCAACTAACACTGGCATAGACTATCTACATCTATCTCGGAGTCGCGGGTGTGATTGGGTCAATAACCGGCCTCATCCTCTTCGCGTGCTTCAACTTCCTCTCCGCTCTCCTCCGCATTGACGCTGCTCCCGAAGACACGCAAGCCAAGGGGATGACAGCGGCATCATATCGTGCCGCAAGGCGTCGGAAACAAGCCATCCAACCCATCTATCCATTGAGTCCAACCGTGCTGAAGGAGGAAGTTACTGGCCCTCATCGAAACCTACTCGCCCAAACCATCGTCGAGGAAGAGGATTCTGATCTGTAATATTGGGGAAAAGATGCTACTCTAATGATACCCGAATACAAGAATAGAGAGAGATACCCGTCGCACTCGTATGTGGTTTGTGACGTCCCACACGGGCACCGTTTCTATGCATACCTATCTCGCCTCGTTATTATACCGGACCTTCGGTGCCCTCCGTATCGGCGCTTTCAATATTTGCTGCTTTGGGACGGCCGGTAACGCGTGGACATCAGGAAGGCTTCGCACCACCGGCTGATGATGCTGAACTCGTGGAGTCCGGCTTGACTAGCAAGGCTACGGTTGTCCCATCAACTTCGGCAGGATCAACCGTGAGCCAGTGTAGAACACACACAGCCCAAGTGACTATCACTCTTGTCAGCAGGCGTCTCACTCGGATCACTGACAGCTCGACGAGCATAGACCAGCAATTTGACATACCGTCAAGTGTGCAACATACGAAGCACAGCCAGCCAAGCTCCCTTCCTTTCATACTGAAGAGTAGGCTAACGTTTGTGATGGTTGGCAGCGATACCAGGATCGACCCAATTACCGATTTCCAGAGCAGCATCTTGATTGACTTCAGAAAGTTGGTGTTCATCGGATGCAGATAGTCCTGACTTTCAGGTCGTTCGCCGAACGAGTCAGACATGCCGCCGAATCGGGTACTCAACCGCTTGATTCGATCGGAGGGGCTTGCCGGGAATGCCATAAGACCCCCAAAGCTCAAGAGAGGCTTGAGGAGGTAGATGAATAAAAATGTCAATCCGAAGTTGAGCGCGGCATCGTAGCTGAGAAGTGGAACTGTGGCCTTGAGTGGCAACCCGATCCGGCACTTGCCATCGATCTCGCTCATATCTGAGATGGGCCAAATAAAGGCTACAATGGCGATTGTGCCGAATCCGATGCCAACGATGAGCATTCCGCTGAGCCAGATCCAATCTTTCCGGCGACTCACGTAGACAGATCGCATTGCGTGCGCGCGCTCGACCAGGAGGACATACCTGACTCGTCAGCTCTGCGTATAGCAACAACGCTCTGGAGTAACGGCAAGCTGGACTAAGAAAAAGAATGACGGGTGGCCTTACATGATCACTTTGTTGGCAACATAGAAGCTAAGACATGTGATGACGGCGGAACGACACACGGGAGCCGTCGACAGGCCCAAGCCAATTTCAAGCACGGCTACAGAGATGACGAAAGCGATTGCCAAAAAGTTAAGCAAGAGCACGATGAAACGAATCAAATTCATGGTTTTGAGGTTGTGAATACGCAACTGCTTGCCCCGGGCGCCTATTCCTTGTAAGTGCTGGATTCTGCTTCTTCAATTGGTATACTCATCCGCTCATACCAAGAAGTGCTGCAAGTAGGAACATGCATAGCAATGATACCACAGTATATATGGTGCGAGCATACGTCGCTTCTCCATACTCAACCGGGGGACGAGTTTTTGCGATGGGCACCAAAGAGGATCGAGGCTGAATGAGGCTGCTCGCTTCCGTAGATGTTGACTCAGAAGACTGAACAAGAGGAAAAGCAAGCACTGCCGAACTCCAGAGACACGTAGCTCTCAACATATTAAAAAGAGAAAAGAAGATTGGCGGCATATCATAAGGAAATTGGGGCTGTGGCGGTCCGCATGGAGATATTGAGAGAGTAAGGTCAGCTGTCTAGTGCATTCAAACGGCAGGAATCCCAAGGATTTTAAGCAACCGGCTCGCATTCCCATTTGTCGCACTTGCCCAGAAAGGGTCGCAAAAGGTCAAGACAGCAGCAGGTCTTCCCTCATCATGCATCCGGCGGACGAACCCTCTCGCTTGCAGCGCTGCATTCTCAGCCCACCTCCCTCAGCAGCTGCGTCGAGCTCGGTCGAGATTCGACTCCTACAGAAGCCTCATTTGTCAGGAGGGAGCGATCAGGCGAAGAAACCTTGATCGCTCGCGGCGGTTGGGGAGGGCCTGGCGTCAGTTGCGGTAAGAGGCTGTAGGACAGGAACGCCATGCGGCGCAGGACCTCTAGCCGATGAGCACGCTTCGCAGCAATAGGAAAATCTAGAATCCGATTCTGTGGGACGATCCATCCCATGTCACAATATCCTGTTCCCGCAGCTGATCAGTCCATTGTCCGCGCCCTAGTCGATGCTGTGTAACAATGACCAGCGTGTTTCTGAGATCTTTGGGGGGGCTTTGGCCTCGTTGGGAGGATGGAGCATACTATGTATGCCTCTATTGAGCACTCCTAGCGTGCTACGATGGTTATGATCAAATGCGGGTGGACTGATGGTATGCCTTCACGCGAACGGTGAAGCATTTTGAAGAAGGAATACCTCCAATCCGGAAGCCACGGTTCCAGCTCCGGAGATCTGATATATCAGATCTTTCCCAGGAACTTGGCTGGGGCCGGATCGCTTGCCGTGGGAGCTCGTCACGTCGGGGTCAATCTTCGATGGGCCGCGCCCGCTCCCGGCCTCCCGCCAATGGCGTTGTCAAGGTCTTATGCGGTCGTACAAAAGCCCGCAAAAGCAATCTGGCCGGCGAGCCAGCCGAGGTTTTAGTGTCTTCAGTCTTACCGGTGAAACAGCTGAAATCTTCAGTAACGGTGGCAAAAAAGAGGCTGTATATTACATATTGTTCACAGCAGCCCTAAGAATGGGAGAAGTGGAGATACCGAACCATGCAGAGCCAATATTCAGGGAATGTGTTCCTCGGAGAGCCGTCTCGGGTGTTGCCGAAAAGTTGGCTAGATATCACAATGTGACGATGGAGAAGATTTCTTGGCTTCTCATGTGAGAGGTCCAGCTCGTCGTCGTTGGCGAGGGCTTCTGCAGAGCAAGGGGTCCCCGCATATTATGGCTGCATAAGACCCGGGTACCGGAGTTCCCGCCCAATGGTACGTACTGTCACTAGGGAAGAGTTGCAGGTGGACAACTGAGCCCATATCGGCCATCAGTCACAATACTTTTACACGTATAACTCAGCTCGTAATACCGCCAGACCCTCAAAAGGACCGAGATGAACCATTTTCTGTGTCCGGCCCAAATTTCAGCTCAATTGGTCCAGAATCTAGAAACCCGACTGCGTCGAATTCACTCTCCTACGCCAGTACGTCTTGGCGTAAGATCCCAAACTTCAATTGTGGCTTGACAGAGTTAAGATGCTATGTATATAAGCTTGAGGGGCTTAAGTGAATATTTGAGAAGTGTACATAGTAGGAAAGATCGAGCAAGCCGCCTGGCTGTTATATTAGAACGAGTAGTGGGATTCACGTGAACCCACGTGACTGTTATCAAAAATCATGCCTGGAGGACTGAATCATAATGCACAGTTCGGCCATTATGGGCCCATGCCTACATATTCAAGTCTTTCTAGCAATTTTTTTCCCCGCTCAAAGGAGCCTAGAAAGTCCGAAGCAGCCATGCTTTCATCTCACCTCAATGCATTTGATTGGCCCGTGCAGTCTCCCCCGCAAACCCTCCCTTTCAATTCCTTTGGATTCCGCGCCTTCAAAATTCTCGGCCCATACACCGTCATTCCCTTCGTGCCAACTCTGAAAGTACCATTTATTATCAACGCCATGGAACAAACTCGGGCGTGCCGTTCGGTGAGCAAGAAAAGCAACGGCAGGACTCGGCAAATGACCGAGAAAAGACGAGCGCAGAACAAATCTGCTCAACTCAGATATCGTGAGCGCTGTTTGCTGTTCAATGGCTGTCATCTCTCGAAGAAATAGGCACTCGTCAATATTGACCAATTTGCAATCGCCTTTCACTGTCTTTCTTTCACATCGCTTCGCGCAGGCACTGACCTCTGTCGGGTAATGTTACAGGTGAAAAACAGAAGCAACGACTAGACAAGCTAAAGAAACTCACTCGTGGCATACCAGACCCTCATTCAATCGTACTTCCGAGCCATGAATATGTGGCGAGCGGTACTGCTGTAGAAAGAGAGGCTCCACGGAATAACGAGACGTCTGGGCGTACCAATGCAGAATCACTACTCTCTACGAGTTCTAGAGCGCTCATCGACAACGACCAATCAATGTTCGAGAACTTGGAAATCCCTGAATTAGAAAATGTAGACTGGTTCATGGATAGCAACCCCTGGCCCGAGATATCTTCACAATCTTGTGCAGCCGTTGAAACCCCAATATTGCCGCTTCCTCAAACTACAGCCACGGAGTCACGACCGTTTCTGCAGCAGGAACAAGGTAAAGTTCCTCCGATAATCCTTGAAGACTTATGCTAAGCCCTTCTGCTTCTACAAGCGACATATTCTGTCTCTACAACTACCCCAGCAACATCGATCATCACACCTGCTTCCAACCCATTTCTTCTCCACGCCAACCACCTCAGTTTACAGTCCTATTCCTTTCTCTCTGCGACACTCGCCCTAGCTGCTTCCATGAATATATCCGACTCCGAGTATCTCACCGATGCACCGTCGCCCTTCTATCAACCAACGCCAACGCCTCCCTCGCCGTCCGTAAAACCTTCAAACTCGTCTTCCCATTCGGGTTCCCAAGCGTCCGTCCAAGTTTACCCCCCGATCAGATATCATGACTTGAAGGCCGATCTCCGCCCCACGCAGCTCCAACTGGCGACACCACACGCCTCCTATCTCGACCTTATTATCTTCCCCTTACTACGTTCCACGCTTCTAACCTACATCACGCAGCCCACAGATGCACCATGCGCAGTGAAGTTCGACATAAACGAACTATTAGTCGACATGATGGAAGGCGGTCTACGATGCTGGGGGAACGCGAATCTCGCCAAAGGGGAGCCTAGGGGCGGAGCAGGCTGTCCATGGGACATGCGCAGCTGGGAAGCCAGCCGAGCCTTCTGCTCGAAATGGTGGTTCTTGGTCGGTGGAGAGGAGGGCGAGGTGTGGAGGACTAGTGAGTGGTGGTGGGAGATGAGAGGCGAGGAGGAAGGAGGGAGGGGTTTGAGGCTATTCGATACTTACGTCTTTAATGCAAGCTCGAATTTGAATGAGCAATGGAAGTTTTAGTCATACCTCGTATCGTCGTCCATCTTTCGACTCTGACATGGCGGTGATGTCATGAGAACCTGCGTAAATGTGTCTCCGTAAGCCATCTCAAGGGGCTCTCATAAGCCACTCCATCCGCCTTCCACAATTATCGGAGACCACCACCACCCGGAAAAACAAGCAGCAAAGCCACCTGCAAATCACACGGAAACCGCAGCAATCATCAATCCAACCCCAATAGCATGCTCCACGGAATAACAGTCACCTTCTGCTTACACTAACCACAGTCACAGGCTCGGAATATAGAATGAGCGAGGAGACCTCGGATATGTAGTTCAATGCGTTCTTATTAATAGTGCTGCGAAGCGTTCTCTAATATAGATGAGTTTCAGCCATTTTCTACTCCGCCAAATTGTCGCTCTGGAAGAAGTAAGTGGCGTTTTAACATCGCTCCTATCCCATGATCTTACAATGATACATATTCTTACAACATCTAGCGTCTTGCCGACTACGACCCTCTAAACCTTCAAACGCCTTGCAATACCCCAGTATCCTCCCACACCATGTCCGCTGAACCGGCCGACGCTACGCCTACTCATGCTGGCTCCTGCCACTGCGGTCATGTGACGTACACTGGCGGCTTCGACCTAGCTGCTGGCCATATCGTAAAGTGCAACTGCTCCATCTGTCACAAGAAGGGATATTTCTTGCTCTCTCCAACCTCGACGCCATCGTTCTCGCTCCTCACACCGTCCTCTGAGTCCGAGCTGGCGGACTACCAGTTTGCAAAGAAGCTGATACACCATTACGCGTGTCCGAAGTGTTCCACGAGTGTGTACATAAGCGGGTTTTTCGGGATGGGGAAAAAGGAGATCCCCTTCATGGCGGTCATGGCGAATACGCTAGATAGGCGGCTCGATGGCGAGCCACCGGAGGACTTGAGGAAAGTCAAGATCAAGTATATTGATGGGCGCCATGATCAGTTGGAGTTGTTGGATGAGCCTTTCCCGGGCGGGGCGTGGTGAGGGTCTGAAGTCGATTCGCGTGGTTCGAGGGTTTCCGGGAGATATTTCTCCGTAGAGCTGTGCGGAGTCCAAGAACCCAAGAGTCCTTCATTGTGTCTCCAAGATCATGTCTTAACATTCTCCTCATCTCAAGCCCTCAGCAACGTCCCTCAGCGCCTCAATCACCGGCCCCGCCGCGCTCTCAATCTCATACTGCTCCTCCGGCGTCATCTTCTTCAGTACATACTTGACAATAACGCTAGGCTCCCTGCTCAACGGCCTCCCAATCCCTACCCCGATCCTCACGAACGGCGTCCCGCCCATAGAAGCCACAACACTCTTGATCCCGTTATGCCCCTTTGCGCTACCCCCTCTCTTGACCGTGACCTCTCCTTTCTTCTTCTCTAGCTCGTCATGCACCACCACCAGCAGCCCATCCGGATTATTGCGCCTAAAAGCCTCCCACGCGCTCTTAACCGCCTTCCCGCTCACATTCATGAGCGACGGGCTCTTCCATAGCGTCCAGTCGTCCGCGACCTCTACCTCGCGTGTCTTGTTGACGAATGGCAGGATGTTGAAGGTTGTAGTGCGAATAGGCTCACTGACCTGCCCACCTAGGCGCTTGTTCGCTGTGAAGGGGCCAAAGCACCGAATAGCGCTGACGCGATTAAGAACGGTGTGGCCGGCGCTGTGAAGGGTGTTCGCGTAGGCAGCCTCAGGGTTACCGATGGAGGCGACGAGGAGGGGGATGGTTTTACGCGCAGCGGACATTTCGGGAGGTATCGTAGAGACTGTGGATAATGGGAGGCGAGGCTTTGGGTGGTTGATGGAGGCTTTGCGGGTACGCGTCGGCCTGGGGTTCGCAGCCTCTGCGTTCGATTTTATTTTCGAGAGCGGCGATGTAAGGGAAGCGACCGAGTCTCTTCGTTTGCGTGCCTGGCGTCTCTCGCGACGGCTGGTGGGTGGGTTGGTGGATGGTGGTGCGGGCGTTTCTGATAGAACTATTTTTTCTGGGCCCTCACGGCTCGGGCCGCGGGCTGGTTCTTGGGTCGGCGACATGGCGACGTCGTCGTCTTGCGCGCAAATGGTGCTTCGAAGTTATGGGCATTGTGAGTTTGGGAGGTTTGGGAAGAATATAAGGCTTTGTTTGCGGCGCTCTGACTTGTCAGGTGGAATCGAAGAGTCAAAGGGTGCTTCGCCACAACCATGGAACAAACGGCCATTTGTCAGAGCCTATGCGTCATCAAAGGACACATGGCTGTGCATCTGGAACAGTGTCGCGAACGGTGGTGCTTCCCTCTGCAAAGCTTCGAGTATTCATAACGATCAGAATGGAATAGAAAGCTTGTTACAGAAATAGCTAAGTCTTCGAAAGCTCCACTTTCGACAGTGGACATCCGTACGTAAGGTATTTAGTACGCTATTCATGTCAGCAGATCCACGTTCAAAGGCACCGTCTCAAGCTCTTGTATTAAGAATGTTTTACTCAGTATGTTGGGACATGGACTAGTATTTTTTCCAACCAGAATAACTTCAATGCTTCAACCGAAACCGGATCATCAAGTAAGCTCTGAAAGACCTCGATAGCTAGCTAGCTTTATAACTTCATAGCTGTCTAGAGAGTTCCCAGATATAGCAAAAACAGCAGGACAGGGTAGCCCTTATCCATAATTTCGTCTTCTTCTTATCTTTTCTATTGCTCGAGTCTGTTCGTGTGCATTCTGCGCAATGGGTGACGTCGTCTAATGTCCTCCAAGGGGTCAAAAAAGTCTAGCAACAATATCATGAATCGAGACCTGTGAATCAGACGCTACATCTCTTTGAGCAGCGTTTCATGATGCACCATGGTACCCACCCAGGGTATATTGTGTCTAAACCGTGCGCTGCATTCACCTTGTATTTTGGAGACACCAATTCCAGCCCATTTGTATTGCCTAAGCGTTTTAACACTTATAAGCAGGGGCTCTGATTAGTGTCTTTGAAATACACTGTGAATGCTGTGTACGGTCCAAACACAAAATATATGCCGGGTACCATGGTAGAGCCGGTTCATGTGTCTTTTTCTACGTGCCTGACGCCGCCTGAAGTCCTTAAAGCAGCTCAACGGGATCAAACAGCGATGTGAAGGGCTATAACCCGCAAATCAGACCCTTGTGGTGGCCCAGTCTGCGAGATAGTGAATGAATCCACGCTAGCCTCTCGACAACAACCTCACTGCTCAATCTGCTAAGAGGTAAAGGCTACTGGCCACTTCACAAGTTAGTTCCGCAAAGCGCTCGCTAGATACCTTCAGCAATTTGCTATTTTCGAGTACTATCTACGCTTTCCAATATCTGACATTCTTCACCTAGTCTAGCCCTACTAATGACAATGGAGGCGTCGGTGGCAGACTGCGTCCTCGGCGTCACCGAGCTCCTCGAGAACATCCTCCTCAAGCTCTCGATCCGCGATATCTTCCAAGTCCAGCGAGTGTGCAAGCAGTGGAAGGTCCTCATCGACACCTCTCCTTCCCTGCAGGAGGCCATGTGGCTCGCAACGCTCAGTCCTTCTTCACCACCGACCGAGTACGAAACTATCACGTATCCGAATGACCGATACCCACCTTTCTTCAATCCATCCACTACCGACGAACGCGCTGTCGCCGCTCAACACCTCAACCCGTTCTTACCTCAGCGTAGCTACGGAACTCTGTTGAAAGTTGTCGATTTTATGAACTGGGGTCAATCCACGAACAGGCTCGTCATTCCTGCTACCGACGTTGACAGCTTCAGTCCTGGTGGGAAAGGATGCGGTAGGACGAGCTGCGAGAAGATGCAAGTGTGCAAACCGCCATGCACGGGTTTTGCCGCGTTCTGCTACCACATGGATGGGAACGGAGTGCCGCGAACATCATCTTTGATGCCTTTGCATAATGCCACTGGCTTGAGACTGGGGGATGTGATGAAGGCAATCGCGTCGTTGAAGTAGTCACAAGCTGGGCTTGAGCTCAGGCAACAAAAGTCCAGCAGTCGAGTTGGACACTGGTCCGGCTTCTTCGAACGCCAAATACCTGTTCAAACCTGATGAAGGCAAGGATAGGGGTAGAATGGACTCTCATCATGGACATTTAATCCTAAACACACTTACTCAACCTAATTTATGACACTCTTCCTCGTGATGTGAAAAGAAGTACGTGTACGTCATACCCAGAATGGGAGCTCTTGATGTGATAGATTTAAAATAGTGTGACTTCCATTCTCAATCAAGTAGAATTTCCCTGAAATGCTTTATTCCTAACTCCTAAGCGACTTCATAGACAAATATCGTGTAATCATTCATATTACCGGGTATAATCTATCCCCAACGCCGTTGATGCTACAAAGGTATGCTAAACTCATGTCTTGAGAGATCCACCCTTTTGAGTCTTTATCCTCGCAGGCCCCAACCCCTTCCTCACTTCCTCCAACTGCTCAAGCCCGCTCTGGTAGCCCATTTTCTTAATCCGCTTCTTACCAGCCATGGAGTGTCCACCAAGGAAGTCATCTAAGATGTTATCAAAGTCCCCTCGTAGCTGTGGCGCTTCACTGGTCCCCGATACGCCAGAGTAGGCGGATATCTTGCTCATTCCGGACATCTTACTCGTGCCTGACATCATAGACTCGTCGTCGGCGGGAAAGTCGTTGTCTCCATCGTTGTCCGCGTATGCTTCTTCGATCTTATCAAAGCGCTGGTCGAGAAGAGAAAGACCTTCGGTTCGATGGAGAGCAGAGGATGTCATACTGTAGTTGGTAGTAGATGTGCGGGCACCCTTGCGCTTCTTGTGGCGCCCGCCCGCTGTGAGCGCTGAGGCACCCGTGAGAACCGAAGATTGGAGATCGGACGGGACTGGTTTGGATGCTTTCGGGGCTTTGCCGTCCTTTTTGAATTTGTTGAATTCGTGCATCCAGGTGTCATCGCCCTCTCCCACTAGTTCGGGTGCAGCATCAGGCGCTGGTAGGTCGGCAATGTCAGTTGGAGCCTTCGAAGCCTTCTTGTGATTGGACTTCGGCGAAGAAGCCTTGATGGTGTCGTCCGTTTGCCAGCCCTCATCCTCCTCATCCGGGTACGAGGAATAATCATCATTACCCTCAAAGACGTCCCACCCCCCTACTTTCCATGCCCTGGGGTCATTGACTACTTCGTCTGAGGCCAGTTCGGCGAAAATGTCCTCTTCGTCGTCCACATATGCCTCATCTTCGAGCGCCTCCAGCACCTCTCTAAGCCGAGGGTCCATATCTGGCTGGAAACCAGCCAGCGCATCCGGCACATTTTGCTGGTCTTGATACGTAGTCTTGCGCACAAATTCCGACGGCGCCAGGTCCTCTCCGAATAAATCCCTCGCATCCCTGCTAATACTGCTGCTCACACTGACACCAGCATCGCTTTGTCTATCATCGATAGAAACAGCCCGAAGAGCGTCCGCCAAGCTGACCTTATCTTTCCCCTTCTCCTTCTTCTGTGGCGCCTCCACGAAATAGGCTTCCCCGGTGCTGCCCAAATCCTTCATATGCTGCATGTAGTCGTACTCGGTATCATCATAGAGAATGCCATAGTTGGCTGCTTCGCCCTCATTCTGCCTCACATCTAGCCCGAACTCGCTCTCCAAGTCTCCCCTACTCTTGATCTTGCTTCGCGTGGAAGCAGACGAGTACTGCGACCCCGCTGAGCTGGATGGGAAGCCCGAGTTCCAGACCCGCGTGTTTGGCGCTGCCGTCTCGGCGAAAACCATGTCCGAGGCATCGGTATCATGGATACGGGGGTCATTTTGGGCGCGGTGGACGAGGGTGAAGTGGGTGGCAGTTTTTTTGTCGCTGGAGAGGGGTTAGTGGGGTCTTATTTTCATCCGATCTGGGCACAAACGTACAAGGCTTTCTTGCGAGGCATTTTGGGTAGATTCTTGGTGTTGACTAGCGATTACTTGATCGGACTCTGGTGCAGTGGAAGGGAGAGGAACTGTGCTGACAAAATGGGGGAGAATTTCGGTCGAGGGTCTACTTAGAAATTTGGCGAGTGACGTCTTGTGGGCTGGAAAACTTCCGTTGTTCACCCCGCGAAGGAGTTGGACGACTCACTCTCCCTCAACACAACACCACTCTCGAAATACTTCTAAACAACATTCAATATGGTTTTAGCAAAGTCGAAGAACAGCGTCGGGCTGGGCAACAGCCTGATGAACGATCGCTTTGGGAAGAACAAGGGCGCAGACATGCGGCGGGGCACTCACAATGCCGAAGCCATTCAGAGGACGGACATGGATGGACAGACGGTAGGCCTCGTTGTGTAGAGCTTGGGGGAGACATAGGCTAAGATTCATACTATAGTACCTCACCAATGGGAAGAAAGAGGCGTCCTGGGTCAAGATGCGCTCCGTCACCGAACAAGGTGCCCTCGACGAATTCCTCTCGACCGCCGATCTGGCAGGCACCGATTTCACAGCGGAGAAGATGAACAACGTCAAAATCATTCACAGAGACCAGAAGAACCCGTACTTGTTGTCGTCAGCAGAGGAGCGAACTTTGTCCAAGAAGCACAAGGAGAACAAGAGTCGCCTGACAGTACCGAGGCGGCCAAAATGGGACGAGAAAACAACACCACAGGAACTGGATAGGCTTGAGAAAGCGTCGATACTGGACTGGAGGAGAGGTTTAGCTGAGTTACAGGAGACAAGCGACTTGCTCATGACACCGTTCGAGAGGAATTTGGAGGTGTGGCGACAGTTATGGAGGGTCATTGAGAGATCGGACTTGGTAGTGCAGATTGTGGATGCCCGGAATCCGCTTTTGTTCCGAAGTGAAGATCTGGAGAAATACGTCAAGGAAGTCGATCCGAGGAAGAACAACCTGCTGTTGGTGAACAAGGCCGATATGATGACCATCGAGCAGAGGAAGGCTTGGGCCGACTATTTCGTCGAGGCAGGCATCAACTTTAGGTACTTTTCGGCTGAGTTGGCGAAAGAGATAAACGAATCCCGAGTTTTGGACGAGGATGATGAAGACGAGGACGAGGAGGAAGAGGAACAAGACAACCTTGCAAAGGAAGCAAAGAAGATCGATCTGCAGGACGCCCAAGAAGAAGATGGCAAATGGGTCGATGAAGAGAGTGTTAGTAGCGATGACGAGCCTCTATCCGAGGAAGAGGAGCGGACTCGAATTTTGACAACAGAGGAGCTCGAGGAGCTTTTCCTTGAGCATGCTCCCGAGATTGACACCGGACCTGGTCAACCACCACGCAAAACGCAAATTGGTCTCGTCGGGTATCCCAACGTCGGAAAATCGTCTACTATCAACGCCTTGATTGGTGCTAAGAAGGTCTCCGTTTCCGCAACTCCCGGAAAGACCAAGCATTTCCAAACAATCCACCTCAGCGACGCCGTCATCCTCTGCGATTGTCCCGGTCTCGTGTTCCCCAACTTCTCAACCACCAAGGCAGAGCTCGTATGCTCTGGCGTCCTTCCCGTCGACCAGCTCCGCGAATTCACAGGCCCGGCAGGTCTCGTAGCTCAACGAATCCCCCACTCCTTCCTCGAAGCAGTCTACGGTATGAAAATCAACATACGCCCAGCCGAAGAGGGTGGGTCAGGTGTTCCAACTGCACAAGAGGTCCTGGGTGCGTACGCTACTGCGAGAGGCTTTCACACTACCGGAGCAAGTAATCCCGACGAATCTCGTGCCGCGCGTTACATTTTGAAAGACTACGTCAAGGGGAAACTCCTATTCTGCCACCCACCTCCCAGAGAGCCACCTATCGACCTGAAGCACTTTAATCGCGAATTATACGATCAGAGCCATCTTCCCGAAAAGAGACGGACTCATCTGGCAGTAGCAAGTGCCGCCTCCGTCACTGGATCAGAAGACCCGTCCCTAATGGACGACGTCGATCTCCCTGTTCGGCCCATTGAAGGCAAGAAGACGTCATACATGGACAACAAGTTCTTTGGGCCGAATGGGAGCAACGCTGGGCATTTGCAGATGCCATTCCAGCACGTATACAGTGAGCAGGGTCAGGCCAAGCAGCTGACGGGGCGGAAACAGAAGGCCATGCTGGCTCTTGAGAAGGGCGTGGATCCTGCAGAGTTGAGGTTGAGCGGGAAGAAACATTTCAAAGCAAACAAAAGGAGAGGGAAAGGGAAGGCGAGGGATGATTATGATTAGTTCTGCTGAGAGTCTATCATGCATGGTTGGTTCTTATGGCGTTTAGGACAGAGCATGATTGGCATGATAAAACCGTGCCACAATTCTACTGCCATTGATTTGATTATGGAACGTGTTTTTGAGTATCGTAACGAAGTAAGCCTTGGAAACGCAATTGTGTCAAGCCCCTAATACCCTGGCATGCTGTCCATATTGTGCGCTCCGGATGTGTAACATATCCTCCACTAGAGGGTATGATTTATATAAGGGTCCAACGAGATGGTCTTTGGGCTGAAAAATAGACCCTCGATAATAAGACCGAGAAATAGGTTGCAAATCAGACTTAATGTCGAATTAAATCTTTTGGATCATAGTTTGATTACGGTCTTGATGTTTGTTATCGAGCAAGAATGTCCGGTGGTACTTAGCAAGAGCTTCCGACTTCGGCGAAGCATGCCATCACTAGCCGAAAACCTTCTAATTGCGACTTCATTGCACCACGATTGGTCATCGCCAACGTCCTCTCACGGCCAACATATTGCCAGCCTGAAAACAAGATTCAAGATTAATTATAGACTCTAACAGCCTTATAGAAGACCCTGATCATGCCGTCGACTCTATACCAGGACTATCCCCCCGACTTGACCCAGGGAGAGGAGGAGTACCTGTTGTCCAACCTCAAGGACTGGTGCATCGCACACGGTATAGCTGTCCGACCGCCACCGTCTTTTGTCTCGAAGGGGCAGGATCCATCTGGTGTGTTGGCCACAACGGCCCCGGTCACGTTGTTTCCGAGTCTTTTCCCGAGGTCATGCTTTGATGAGGCGCATGCGATTCAGACGACTTATAATGAGTTGTATGCTGCTATTGCCAGAGATGAGGAGTGGTTGTATGGGATTGTCAAGGAGTGAGTATATCATCGAGCTACGATAAATTTCCAATTATACGCAACATTCACTAATTCTACAATTGTCAGGCTCGTGGGTATCGACGACTTCACGGCCAAGCTATGGGAAGTTCATGAAGCCGTGAAGAAGGAGGGCTATGTTCAGGTAGGTCTTGCTGGCCCCACTTACCGGATTGAATTCTTACGATATCAGGCTCTCACACTAGGACTATTTCGCTCAGACTACATGGTCCACCTGGATCCTTCAGACTCAAACGCCAGTCCAGAGATCAAGCAAGTCGAGTTCAACACAATCGCGTCATCCTTCGGAGGCCTCTCAGGTGAAGTATCGCAGCTGCACAACGTGCTCTCCAAGATCCGAGCGTATCCTCAATCAGCCAAAAGAATTATCACAAAATCAAACATGCCCGTCAGCGAGTCCGCCTCCAATCTGGCCGCTGGATTAGCAGCCGCACACCACGCGTATGGAGAGCCCCAGATCTCACGCGAGACCTGCGTGCTCTTCATCGTGCAAGACCCAGAGCGGAATGTGTTCGACCAGAGACACTTGGAGTGGAATCTGCAGAAGCAGGATATCCGGACGTTCAGGTTACCATTCCACCGCACTCTCATAGATACAAGACTCGATTTCAAGCGCAAGCTCGTCTACACTCCTCCACACGCGCCTGCCACAGCTTACGAGGTAACGACCGTCTACTTCCGCGCAGGCTACTCACCTGACGACTATCCCACGCCGGAAGCGTGGGCTGCCCGCTTGCATCTGGAGCGAAGCAACGCGATCAAGTGCCCTAGCATCCTCACTCAGCTAGCTGGTTGTAAGAAGGTGCAGCAGGTACTTGCAACACCCAACTCGCTGCATCTGGAACGGTTCCTGGGTACCAAGGAGAAGATAGACCGAGTGCGCGCGACCTTCGCCCCCATCTATCCCCTCGATTCCTCTGAAGCGGGACTAGAGGCGAAGAAGTTGGCCACAGAGCCCGAGACGGCGCAGCGGTACGTGCTGAAGCCGCAACGCGAGGGGGGAGGCAACAACATCTACCGCATGGCCATCCCGAAGTTTCTCAAGTCGGAGCCAGAGGAGAATTGGCCGGCGTATATCCTGATGGAGATGATAGAGCCGCCAGCGCAGAAGAATGCTATTTTTCGGAACGGCGAGGTGCAGAAGGGTGGAGTGATATGCGAGCTAGGCATCTACGGAGCGTGTCTGTGGAGGAACGAACTGGAGGGGAGTGGTACGAAGAGCGAAGTGTTGAAGAACACGCAGGCTGGGTACCTACTACGAACCAAGGGCGACCAGAGCGAAGAAGGCGGTGTAGCTGCGGGATTTGGAGCGATTGACAGCGTGTGCTTGGTGTGAGGTGCATGTCTCTGAGGATGGGGTGGCTGGCGGAGTCTGCATAGCAGAGCCCAATGGGAGCGGTGCTACTGGGGGGATGCTCAGAGCTGGTGGTACGTCGGGGACGAAGCCGCATGGCTGCAGGAGTGAGTCGTAGCTCTCCACTGCAGCTGGTGGTTGGCGTCTGGGCAGAATTCTTCGTAAAGATGTTGCTTTTCCCAATGAACCCCTGTCTTCGGCTGCGGTGGCAGCACGGGCAGCACGGGCAGCACTACGGTGAAGAGAAAATGGTAACGATGAATTGAAACGGGAAGTGTTAATTTGAAGCAGCAATACACAGAGGCCACGATAACTGCTCGTAGGGAGGTTGAGGTTCTACAAGGATGGGGGAGAGCTCAAACGGCCTCCTCCTAGCGCGGCGGAACCCGGCCACACTGGCCCCTCGACGTCACGCCCCCTCTTGTTCGAGGAGTGCGTTTCGTAGTGGTACACATTAATTGCGCAATGTTATGCCTTGGCGGTTGCAGTCGTGCTGCCGGAAGGCTCTCCGTTTGCTGCGAACAGGCCCATCAACGCGACCGGTCGTCGTCGCCGGGCAGGCTGGAGGTTTCACGCGACGGAAGGCCGAGGCGGCCTGGGCGTGGCCAATCTCGAGCTCGGGAAGCCGTCGTGGACGGGCTGCAGCCGGGCGATCAAGCCCAGAGGCGCTTCTCGGCGATCATGGGCCCGATCCTGTGCCATCTTCACAACTCCGGCACAGCGAGGCCCCTCGTGCTGTGCCAAGAAGAGCCTCGCTCCCCCAACACCACGGTCACAGAAGCGGCCTCCGCAGCCGTTGGGGATCTAACGCAGGCGGCCTGCACCTCTTATCAGCAGTAGCATCGCCCCGTCGTCATCCGTTATGCAGCTCTTACAGGACACATCCGGTTTATGCAGTGTATTTTCGCGGGGCCCGGGAGAGCGTCCCCTGAGGCCAGCAATCCATATGGCTCCGCTGTGGTGATTGGCGACGAGCTCCAGCCAGGCCGCCACGAGCTCTCCCCAGCAGCCCTGTCAGGCTTTGGCCTAATCTCGCTTGCCCTGAGCGTGGAGCTTGCCTGCCCTGGTGCCCTGCTTGCTCTCAGCACCTCTCCTGGACCTTGTCGCATGCGCGTGCTCGGCGTCGACGTGAGAGGCAGCTCTTGCATCATCATAACGGCACCCTGCGAGTCCTGTAACTGTGCGTGCGCGGTGTGCTGGCATCGCAGCTGAGCGTCGGCACCCCAATTGCCAGCTGCAACGCCCATCCCATCGCCACAGAGCAGCGTCGCGACAGACAGCAATTGGCCGACGCGTGTCGTCTCCCCGCGACACGCCTGGGACGCCTGGGCTGGCGGATCTCGCGGGCCTGTCGTTCGCGAACGGATGGGCTCTAGCCTGCTGGGCTGATTCCTGCCGTCGCCGTGCAATTTCCCACAGCGTCCTGTATGGCCTCATGCGGTAACGAACAGTCCCGAATGGAGGCTGCCGTTGACGCCCACCACGCCACGGGGGCCTCTCCGCGTGCCGACTGGTGAAGGAGAGGGGCGCTCTGGGGCCGCTGCGCCAGGACCGTAAATCTTCTTTCTTCCCAGCCAGCCCGCGGGCGAGGTGCAGGTGATGTGGGAGATCTGCCGGACCATTTCTCGCGATTCCTTCGTCACCGCGTTGCCCCCCCGGCATCCCTCTATCGCGAGTTGGCCGGCACTGCTGTCCTGTCGCGAACAACCCAGTGTCTGATGTGCTTGCGGCTCTAGCGTCCAGTCTTTTCTCCAGTTCAAGTTTTGCGTCCTTCTCACTCTCTCTTTACTCGCGTCTCTGCGTCGGCACCTGTTCCGCCCTCGCAGTGCGCCTGCTGCTTCCAGCCTCACACTACTTCCGCTCTCTCCATACCCCAATCGATCTACACACCTGCTATCCGCGTGGAGCAGCTTCCAGAGTCCCCCAGCTTCCTTCCATCCCGATCTACATCACACCTGGCCCCAGCGTGGAGCATGGCCATAGTCTTGAACTCATTTGCGCCGCACTCATAACCTCACCCTCCATTCGCCGCCATGCGCTCCTATCGCTATCTAGTATCTTCGCTCGCTCTTATCGCCCTCCTCCACCCGGCCGTGGCGCTCAATTACCCTCTCGATGCCCGCCAAAATGATCAGACGTCATCACACTCCACCTCGCCGTCGACCACAGACGCTTCTCAGGCTTCATCGACTGGAGGTGCCTCACTGCTCCCCTCCAGCGCCTCTGAGAAGGCTGCCGCTACCTCGTCGCATCATGAAGCTTCGTCCCAGCCATCCAGTACTCTCTCAATGTCGGTGACCCCCACGGAGTCTATCTCAGCTCCGTCTTCGTCCATCGCCAATGCTGCGGAGCCTTCTGCCACCAATGGTTTGCAGACCTAGTTACTCTAGTGAGGCCTCGCTGACATTCCCAGGGACCGCCTCGCATGGCAGCCCGCTGCCGATCCACCCCAAGCTCACACCCGCCATGGGCATAACTGGTGTCGTACTGCTGCTGACTGGCATCGTTTATACAGCGATTGGGATAAAGAACAAAATGTAATTGATACCCCTCTTGAAGTCATAGTGGGGCTCTGCTGAAACTGCTTTAGGCTCTACGTCTTCTTCTCTGCCTGTTATTTAACCAGCTTGGCTACGACCGTATGTTTCGCATTCCAGATCACCAAGTTCCTCACTGACGCATGCTTCCAGGTCCTCATCATCTACCTGATGAGCCCACCGGTCAAGGATGCCATCCAAGGAGCTTTCTTCGTGGCGGCTTTGATCTCAGGCCTTATATTTGGAGCTCTGTCACTCGTTTTCGCTGACATCACCGACGGTCTGGGCTGTCTGCTGGGCGGATATTGTCTCAGCATGTGGTTCTTGACTCTGAAAGAAGGAGGTCTCATCGAGTCCACCACAGGACGAGCCGTCTTCATCGCCTGCATGAGCTTCGCTGGATTCTCGTTGTCGTTTAGTCACTATACCCGCACGTACGGCTTGATTGTCTCTATTTCCTTCGCTGGAGCCACCGCCACGGTCCTTGGCATTGATTGTCTCAGTCGAGCGGGTTTGAAGGAGTTCTGGCTGTACCTGTGGAGTAAGGAACCCCACCTGATATCGTGGTTCGAGGCTTACCTGACTTTGCAGATCTGAACTCCAACACATTTCCCTTGAATACCAAAACTTACCCGGTTACCCGCGGAATTCGGGTGGAAGTCGCATTCATCATTCTGATATTCCTCCTAGGTATCGTCTCGCAGTTGAAGCTATGGAAACTTGTAAAAGAACGGCGTGAGAGGGGCGCTATGACCAGAATGGAGCGCGAAGAAAACCAGCAACGTGAGGAAGAGGAGCGTGGCCGAAGAATCGAAAACGACTTTGCCCGGGAACGCGCCCAGTGGGAGGCGGAATATGGTGACAAGAGCGTGGCAGGCCTTCACACCGACTCTGCAATTGGGTCGTCGAACGGCAGCAACCCAAAGACATCCCTCAGCGTCAAAGAGACGCGTCGGTCGGACAGCGTTGAGATGGTAGACATGTCCGGGTCCAAGGAACTTGATAGATCCAAACTTATGTCTCGTGACTCCGTAAAAGGTGGTCTGGGTGTGGGGGTTACTGTGAGGGTCATGGAAGACGATAACATTCAGCATATTGATTCTGATGGAAACACCGTTTCGCTATACCCGGCAACAGCTAGAAACTCCGATTTCCATTCGAGCGCGAATAGCAGTGCTCGGGCATCTGCAGATATGAGGGCGGCACAGGGAGGAGACGAAGCTCACCTGGGACCAACTCGGGCGTCACTTCGCTCATCAGTACCACCGCCACCTATCGTCGTTCCCTTGCCTTTCAACGTACCAAAATCAGAGCACTCAGACAACGAGGATAACGCGTCTGTCTCAACAGTCCCCGAGTCAATGCCTTCTAGGAGACCTGGATCCAAGAGATTTTCAGCAATTTCGAGCCGGCTATCGATCAACAGGATATCTAGTAACCACTCGTCCCAGGAAGAGATTCTGATTCCGCACATAGAGGATGATCGTGCTTCTTCATTGGCAGCAACTATGGATGATATGGACGACGATAATTTTTCTTTACCAGAGCTCTCACCACCGCAATCGCCGTCGACAGAAGGGTTCCAGGATCATATCGATATTCACATTGAGGGTGACAAGACTGAAGAGCAAGGATTGAAGTCCGATGAGGGTGGAAAGAAGTCCGAAGATGCTCAGGCACTTGCAGCACTAACCTCAAATTCACCGGCCGCGGCCAAATCCCCTAACCGCCAATCACTCACAACCAGCACTGATCCCAGGCCGAACGAGACAAAACCAAGACCATTATCGAATGGAAGTCGACGGAGGTCCGGTGCGTCAGTTGCGAATGACGATGAAGGTCGAACTCGCCGAACTTCGAAATCCATGCCATCGATACCGCAGTCGGAGGTCTCGCAGGGAGAATCTCACATTGGCAGTCTTGCTGAGGTTCTTCCGGAGAAGCTGTCAAAGGTGGTACTTTCATACCGGACCAATGAGTGGGCTAAGCACCTGGAAGTTGCAGACAAACCTGAGCTGGATGAGCTTCAACAGCCACCTTCACCGGGAATACAGGTCCAGATGGGCCTGCCCGAAGCTACCACACCCCCGAAAGTTGTAGAAAAAGCTCAGCCTGTACCGGTCTCTACCCGGCCAGTCTCTAGCATTCAAGCATCTGTACCACAATTGACGAAACAAAGCTCCCAGCCATCGTACCAAGCATCAAACACCAATCCCTTCCGCCAACCTAGCGCGAACCGATCATCATCTACGATGTCGAAATACTCTGCTAATGAGTCTACTCCCATGTCACTTTCTCGGAACCCTTCAAGCGCGACAGTCAACAGCATTCCCAATATCCAGATACCAGGACAATATCCAACAGGACCCGGCGCAATGTTACGATCAAGCTCGGCAGCAAAGTTGCGAGGCGGAAGAAATTCCTCGATGCCTTTGATGAATCAAACACTAGTGGAATCACCCATTGAGGAAGAGTCAGCGAATATGCGGTTTGCACCATCTCCAATGCCAGGAAATCCGATGAGCAGACGGGAGACTCTTACACGGAACCAAACGACGCCAACAACATTCACGCCGTACTCCTCGGTCCCAAATTTGAACATTGTAGCGGCAAGCGACGCTGGATCCACTCGACCCGTGAATCTCCACACAGCAGACTCGGACAATATTTCTCTATCAGAAAGGAAGAAGATGATTGATCAAGAGAACCTGACTCTCACACAGCGCCAGGCGCTCATGCAGAGCCGACCGCAACAGCAGCGCCAAGGCACGTGGCCTTTAGCAGAGCAAATGAAAGGCTTCGACTCTCACCAGCCGAACCGAACGTCTGGAATCAACCATAGCAAACAGGAAGCCAGGCTCGCGAATTGGCGCGAATCGATTCGCCAAGATACTGCACCCGCGCTTCCGGTCGTCAGCGAGGAAGACCGGCGGATGACCATGATCCGGGAGCGCAAGCAGCACGAGATGGAGAAGCAGCAGCAGGCCATGGCAGCGAATGCGCGCGATACCATGTTCGACAGTATGATGCGGCGCGGCGATATGCTGGATGCGCATCGCGAGGCGCTGAGGAGGATGCAGGCGTCGGCGAACAAGAACGCGTAGACTCGCACGACTTGACCTTACGAATCGAACCGAATCGCATTCTCTACCGGTACTCATTTTGGAGACAAACGAACGACAAGAGGGGAGGTATCGTTCAGTTTGTACATGCTATACTATCATGGCACAATCCCGCGTTCTGGGACACGCTCGTTCTTTCTTTCCTTTTGCCAGTTGGGCGGTTTCAGCTGGGTCTACCCCCTACGGACGGGACGGATCGGATGCATGGGTTGCTTACCACGGCGTTTGATGGAGGTCTAGGGCCTGAGATGATTGCATGGATAGGAGAGATGCGGATGGATGGATGGATCTCAATGTGGGATGGACGGGACAAATGGACGTGTCACACCACATACGACAAAAGCGGTCATATATACTTGATTAAAAAGCATATGGGCGAGCATAGGGTACGGCATGGGATGTATTAGCTGGATCTGAGTACGGATATGTACGGACGGTCCTTTAGTTTAACTTTTAATTTAATCGGAGAAGCTTTGATATTGATGGGGAGTCCTTGGTGGATCTGTGATTGCTTTGGTTCTTGATTTGAATACACCTAAGCATGTTGGAGTAAGAAGATCACATGCGAATTTCTCTAGTTAGTCATCTATTATTACCTTAACCACTCATACTCTGTAATTCGCAGCCTCATCATTACGGCAAACCGCCGCTTATAGATTCTGCTTTCCAACCGTCCAAAAGGAAATAATTGCTACTTACGCACACGTGTTCCAGGCGTTTGCGATTGATGGTGTTGCCGTTCCCTGGTCAGGCGATACGTACCTGATAACAAAACGTAGGGATGCTGTAGCCTGGCTGGACCTGGCCTGGTTCCCGACTCCCGGGTGTCTGGACGAGGTCACGGGAGAGGCGTTTGATGTGGCTGCGGCTAGGGGGGGAGCTGCATCACGAACGGCGAAATTTTCAGCGCCAGCCGTCAGGGGGAGGCGTGGATGCAGGGACCAAACCGTTTTTGGTGCTTCGTCACATCGTTACAGAGAGCGACCCCGTTGATGTCATGGGCTGCTGGTGCCGTACTCGCACTGGGGTAGGCATGAATCTGAGGTGGTGAGGCGTGGTGTTCACGCTGCGGTCGCCTCACGCTTCCTGTCACTCGGGCCTCCCGCCATGGGGTGGGTGCAGGGCATCGAATGACGGCTTGGGGATCGCCAGGCTGCTGGGTCTGCGGTATTGCACGCCATGAAAGCGTCGCCCGATGCGAGCCTTGGGCCGCAGGGACGCTGCCGGCTGCGTTTAAGAGAACGGCAGCATGAGGCGGAGGCGTTTGCGCTGCGGAGCCTGACGTCGAGCACCACCCGCCGATTCCGGCTCTCGCTGCAGTTTCGTACTTATCTTGCTGCTGCTGTCGTCCGTCTTGCCGTCGTCGTATGCATCGCTGCGAGGGCTTGTTGTGGGCTCTCAGTTTCTTCATCCTCTTTATGCAGCAGATTGGCCCGCCCTCGGCACGGGGCGACGCTAACAAAGACAGCTGCCCCTTTCACCTCGCACCTCAACGTCCACCGCCAGCCTCGCCCTCGCCCTCACTGCTGCTCCCACGTCTACGCGCCCGTTCTGCTGTCCTCCCGCTCGCGCCCACGCCTGCGTGCTCGCAACAACGGCGTCCCAGGCTCAAGCTGCCCCGTCGTCACCACCGCGTTCGACTGCGCCGGCCCGCTGGAGCTTGACCAACCGCATCTTCAACTTCAACTTCCGCTCCTCGACCCCCCGCCCGCCAGCCTCGCGCCTGTGGAACCCCGTCAACTCGTCGCCGCGCACCCTCGCCCTCCCGAACCTCCCCATCCACCACCCGCAGCTCCACCACCAGCCCCCCGAGGGCCGCGACGAGTACCCGCTGCTCACCCTGCCCGAGCAGCGCCGCAGCCGCAACAGCGTCGCACCGTCCTCCCTCGTCGTCGAGCGTAGCACAGGCGGCGAGAGCAGTCGCACAAGCATCGGCCTGCCGCGAGACCGGCGAAGCCTAGCCGTCGACCCCGACGCTCCCACGACCCCCCGACTGCCCATGGGCGTGGAGCAGATGGCCGCGAAAGCCGCGGGCGTGGACGATGTCCCTCTGCCCTCCACCAACACCAACGACCGGGAATCCGGGCCGCGCCCGCTCAAAAACTCGACCTCCCGCGCCTCCCTCCCCCTCGACCGCCAGCCGTCGGTCGGATCGCACCGCCGCTCGCTGGCCGGCACTGCGTCCGCCCCAGGCGACGACGACGCAAACTCGGACTACGAGTGGGGCCCCGCGCACCCCTGCTTCCCTCACCCGAACCCGCACGTGCCGCTGTCGTCGCCGCTGCACGCCTCGACGCGCATCATCCGCGTGCGGCGCGACTGGATGGCGCACGGCGACCTGGGCCCCGCGTTCGCGAACCTGTACCCGGAGATCCTGGACCCGCTGGTCTCTGAGGACGACTTCCGCGCCTTGATCAAGCGGGTGAATGACGAGCTGGCGGTGGCGTTTAACCCGACGAGCTGGCGCGCGTGGGTGGATGCATTGATGGGGGTGGCGACGCTGTGGTTGTGGGATGATGTGGGGATGAGCGCGGTGAAGGGGCGATTGGCACGGTTGGAGGCGTGGCTGGAGCAGTGGAATCGCGATGTGGGGGAGAAGGAGGGGGTGCGGGTTGTGCCGTTGAGGAGGACGGGGTATTTGACTGTGAGTCCAAGTCTTGTTCCCTTTTACTTGGACTATCTGGGTTTCGTAACCGCTATTGGGAGGGTTAGTGGCTCATGTCATCACAGCTGGATATCCAAATCCCCGACCCCCATATCGGCCTCGACACCTCCTCCGCCTCGCGCCCCGGCACCCATTCCCATACCGACGATCACCCCGTCTCGGCCACCCGCTCGAACAGCAGCCCGCGTAGCGCTACCGCGCCCCAGATTCGTGCGGAGTTTGGCTCGTATCCTATCAACACGGATATGGGCATGGGTCCCGCTATGCCCCCAGCCATTGAGAGCCGCTCCTAACTTCCCCCCCACCAAACAAAAAGCCCCCTTTCCTGAATTAGTGGGAAACAGCCTCTGTAGCCGTTGTCTGTCTTTGTAGTGTAGCATTAAGCATGGTCGTTGAGGCGTCTTATCTGTTTTTTTTGTATCCAATTTAACTGTCCGCAGCGTCTACGTTCAATATCTTTGTTTTCTTGTATTATTGTGGAGGAAAAAGTTTCGGGTACTGGTCTTTGGACAGATCATGGCTAGAGAAAGCGTGGATAGGTGGGCCCGTGGAGGCAGGCGGGAGTATATACCCCTGGGAATAGTGTTTATTTGTGTTTATGTAGTAGGGTGGGAGGTTGAGAATATATCCATTTGTTTTGTCAGTTTGATTTAGTGCTTGATGGGTGTGAAAGTGTGAGGAGCGAGCGAGTGAGTGAGTGAGTGAGTGTTGGTTCCGCTACTTGGGTGATTTCCGCTGGTTCTGCTAAGGGTGGGAGGCATGGCACATGGGATGATCGAGCCTTTAAATATGAGTGATGAGACTTCCGGAAGTCTTCACCGCCCGTCTCAATACAGCAACACCCCACTATTGGCGCCAGTAGAGTCACGTGCGAAGGCTTCAGAACCCTTACTGAACCTATATACAACCAACGCAAAGTTTGCCCGAATCCATTCAAATTCTCAGGACCTTATACAGGGAGGTAGGACAGCGCAAGGTGAAAGTTTGGTGCCCACAGCTTCAAAATTCGGAAGTTGTGTTTTCGTGCCGACGTTGGAGTGAAGTGCCAAGATTCTGACACTGGAGGGACTACCCGCGACCAACTTTCGCAATTGGGGTCTGATTGAGACCAAATTTGGGCTGGGGTTTCTGGATGTGCTCCACATTAGGTCGTAAGAGTTTGGTGGCAATTTTCTGGAAATTGATTGTGTTTTGTGACAGTATGTAGACTTTTACTCCCTTAAAAGCCACTTGTAGCTAACGGTCCCGTTTACTGATTAGGACTAAGAGTTAGATTAATTCAGCGAATGGCAAGGGATTGTAGGATACTGGACCATCTTTAGTTAATAGCTTCGAAGTTCGAGCTTGCAGGGTTGATGTATGATGATTATGATTGAAAAACATGGCTCAAGAATCCTAAACACTACTTACTGGTCGGCCATTATACTCATTCCCCCCACACAGTCCTCCGCATAGAAACAGCTCACACAATTTCATGATCAGCTCATCACAATCGATGCCTGCACCTATCATCGGCCACCCCGAGCCCATGCGAGCTCCGCAGCCCTCTCGCATCTCAAACCCCCGAGGCACCTAGGCACTTTTCCAACCCCCTCTCCGCACATCGCAACACCAACGCGGGGAACCCCCATGAATCTCATCTCACAATCATGCATGCTCCCCAAACGTGGGATGACCAAACCGTGACAACACGCGCTAACCCGCCCCCGTTTAACGTTCTCCACAGCTCGCTTCCTGGCCGTGCTCTGAGGCAGCAGATCAACCTCGGCCCAGTAGCTGAATCCCGCGCTCCACCAGTCACGTCTGCGGGGAGCGCGACCCTGTGTCAAAGCCCCAGCATGCTAAATAGTCGACGACGCCGAGTCGCAGCGGACTTTTTGTTAACTGATTTGCTTTCATTAATTGCTTGTTTGATACTTCACGATCCTTTTATACGTGCTCTGTTGAAGCTTGAATTGTAGTAATCCGCCCATCATGTCTGTACCCTACGACCTCCTCAAGAACACCCCCAATGGCCACCTCCCCGCCTCGGCCAGGGTTCCGGCCATCGCGCGGCCGTTTGTCAGCGAGAGGGCGTTGAAGACGCTGGATATCGTATGTTTCCGTCTAGCCAGCCCAATCCTATCCAATTCCGCCCAGCTCCCTCCCTCCCTCTCGTTCCAAGCAAATCGCTGACATGCGTCATGCCCCTAGGTCGAGAAGTTCGTCGAAGAAGAATGCATCCCCGCCGACGCCGTCTTCACGCGCCAGATTGGCGAGACGCCCGTCGAGCGCTTCGAGGCGCATCCGTCCATCATCGAGGACCTCAAGACCAAGGCGAAGCAGCTGGGCATCTGGAACATGTTCCTGCCCAAGAACCACTTCACGGAGGGCGCGGGGTTCAGCAATTTGGAGTATGGACTGATGGCAGAGTATTTGGGGAAGAGTATTACGGCGTCGGAGGTATGTGGTGCTTATACTAGTTCTTATAGAGGCATTGGGGACATTAGAAGGATCATTGGCTAATGGTGGTGGCAGGCTACTAATTGCGCGGCCCCGGATACTGGAAATATGGAAGTGTTGGCGAAATACGGCACTGAGGCGCAGAAGAGGAAGTGGTTGGACCCGCTGCTGGAGGGCAAGATCCGGTCTGCGTTCTTGATGACGGAGCCCCAGGTTGCTTCGAGTGATGCTACCAATATTGAGATGTCGATACGGAGGGAAGGGAACGAGTACGTTCTCAACGGACAGGTAAGGCCGCCCCCACTATATCTCTCGACGGCAGCGTTACTAACATCTGTAATAGAAATGGTGGAGTTCAGGAGCGGGAGACCTCCGTTGCAAGATCTACATCGTCCTCGGAAAGACAGACCCAAACAACACGAACAAATACGCACAGCAATCGGTCGTCCTCGTTCCCAATGACACCCCCGGCATCACCATCCACCGCATGTTGTCCGTTATGGGCTTCGACGATGCCCCTCACGGCCATGGTCACATCTCCTTCGACAACGTCCGCGTGCCAGCGGAGAACATGGTGCTGGGTGAGGGCAAAGGTTTCGAGATCATCCAGGGCCGTCTTGGACCTGGCCGTATCCACCACGCCATGAGGAGCGTCGGTGCCGTAAGTCCACTAGCCCAGATTTCCAATACATGCACACGTTAACCTTGATCGCAGGCCGAAAAAGCCCTCGAATGGTTCCTCGCGCGCCTCAACGACCCCCGCAAAACCCCCTTCGGCGAACAGCTCCACAAGCACGGCATCATGATCGAGCGGGTCGCCAAGTCGCGCATCGAAATCGACGCCGCCCGCCTCATGGTCCTCAACGCCGCCATCAAGATCGACGAGTCCAACGCTAAGGGCGCTTTGAAAGAAATCGCCGAAGTCAAGGTCCTCGTCCCCACCATGAACCTCACCGTCATCGACCGCGCCATCCAAGCCTACGGTGGGGCGGGCGTGTGCCAGGATACGCCGCTCGCGCAAATGTATGCGCTGGGCCGCACGATGCGGATTGTGGATGGGCCGGATGAGGTGCATGTGCTGCAGCTCGGCAAGAATGAGAACAAGAAGGGCCCGGCGCATAAGGCGAGGATTGATGCGCAGATCAAGCGGGGGCAGGAGCTGTTGGGGCAGTATGGCATTGAAGTTTCGGATCCGTTGCAGATTAATCGGGTTAGTGGGCAGACGAGTAAGAAGAGTAAGCTGTAGGTAGGGTGCGGTTTGATTGAAATTTGTATAATTTTGAAAGGAAAAATTTTATGGTGAGATTGAGGTGTATGAGTAGCGACTGGGAGTGTAGAGTGTGCTGCGAGTGTTTTTTTTTTGTTATTGATTGAGTCCCTCGATGCTCTCTTTAAAGTGATAGGGAACGTGAATAACCGGTCGCGCAGGGCATGGAAAAGGTGGCGCTCTAGTTCTAGAGCAAGGCTGTCTTGTGTCTACACCTGTCTGGCACTGCTTGGGGTGCTTCAACAGGTTTCCACGTAGCCCAAGGTGAAGGGCTTCTGTCTCGTTTGAACTCCTGAAAATGTATTGAAGCACCCCAAGCAGCGGCAGACGGGTTGTACACAGACGGTCCAGGCACACGTGAAATGACTCCACGTCAGTTGCAAACGGTCTGCCGTAACTCAGTCACCGGGCCGGCGTTCACCTACAACAAACACCGACAGAGGGAACAGACAAGGTAAGACCTCCTATCCCATCTCGAGCTGCAATATCTGACCTTTTCTCTCGCAGTTCAGTCTTGCCAACCGCGATGGAAGAGAAACTCAACTCAAAACATTCGTCTCATGACATGCTGGTGATCTTGATAACCCTGATAACAGCAACTTCAAATTCCCCAGCTTGTCAGAAAGAAGCCTCAAGCCGTTTTAGTAGCGAACCCCGAGGCTGTGAATGTAGGCTCTGAGGCAGTATCAGTGTGGGACTCAGGCTAATCCGCGACTCAAAATGGTAAAGTTGATGAGTCCTTCCTTTGGCTCTAGCCTTTTCTCGTCTCCCTTTCAACTGTTCTTGCTCTTACTCCACTCTCCCCGTACTGCTGGGGGTTTGCCTGCTCGATGGAGGCTGTGGGCTGAGAGCAGAAACTCGCAAGAACACGTCCCCGCCATTATCGGATTATCACAACCCACCCTGTGGGGGCGCCCCCCTTCAGCTATTTGGGCAATACACAGCTTCTTTAGAGCCTCTCCACCACCTCCTGGCGCCCAGATTCGGTCGCTCCGTTTTCATGAGGCTGTCACCGGCGTCGCTGTCGAAGGCTTCCGATGCTCCCCGCCCTCAAAAGACGCATCAAGCGTGACTTGATCTTGCCTGCTCTTCTTCCTAGGCCTAAAGGTTCCGCTTGAGAAGAGTTTGCAGCCGATTGACTTTGCTAGCCCTCCGCGCGATGCTTCGCCGCAGCGGCATGACCCTTGTGGGGCGTTGCGGGTCGAGAATCGGAAGCGCCATGGCTCGGACCGCCGAGGGGGGGTAGATAAGGGGTGGAATCGTGAGGTAGCGCTCCCTTGAAACGGGTCCTGATGCATTTCGCTTTAATATAATGACGCTCGTCGGCGTGGACGAAGCCTTAGAATCCTGCATATCAATGACGAGTCTCTGCACTACCTACAGTGATGGGAAACCTCCTTTCTGGGCTAATATTTGACCGGCTTGGAGATTGATTGGCTTGAAGGTTGCTATTCTCCCCTAAAGTCGTTACTTTGCATGGTGATTTTGTGGTTTGGTCTTAGCGTTTGACCACTGGACGTGAAGAGAAACCGTATATATATTCCACCTCTTCGCGTTTAAGATTTGCATAAGCCCTTTACTCGAGACTCCGAGCAGAACCTGCATTTTCTAAGGCACATTTCCATCCCGCAAACATGCGTTTCGGCTCCGATTTCTACGTTACCGCTCTCCTCCTTTCGCAGGTCGTAGCAGCACGCGATTTGACCATTCGACGTACAAGTGAGAGAATCCCTGCTTCTCCCTCTTTTGAATTTGCCTTTTATTGAAGCACTCCCTCTAGGCGTTAGAATGCACGCCTGTGTCTGGTTCGACAAGGCCCCCTCAACGCCCATCCGCATCGACTTCGCTACCGGCTCCCACTTCGACAGATGCATGTATGAATCCGGCGACAGTGTTTCCTTAAAGATTAGCCGTAGCGGCTTGTCATGCACTGCGATTGGGCATGTCACACAAGAATACGACGATGGGTGCAATAGGGCAGGAGGCATCTGGACGCTGGCGTACCGTGGCGGCGGATATGCTGGTGACACGGCGAGCTATTGGCATACTTCTCCCGCTTCTGACAGGACCGCACGGTGCACTCTGCAGAAATCCACCCCGTGGACTGATGTTTGCCGTTCGGAGGAGGTCTGCGGGAACAGAGATGTGAGGTGGAGTGTGTACGATGAGCCCGATCTTTGGGTGGTTTTTAAGCCTGAGATGGATGGCAAAGAGGAGCTTTTTAAGGCTGATATTGCTGGAAAAGACAGTAACGGTGACGAAAAGAGTCTTCTAGTAGAAGCACAACGCAGCCCTACCCCTGCCTGTGAGTATCCTCCCCAGCATCGTATCTTGCCCCTCAAACACCCCTTCATCACTCTAACACGCGAACCCCCCAGGCGCAAAGTTTCACGCCTGTGTCTACCTCCACAAAACCCCCTCCCGCGTCGAAGGCTTCCACTTCTACAGCCACAACAACAACTGCATGCGCAAGATCGGGACGGAAGCCCTGATCATCACGCGCAGCGCGGGCCTTACTTGCGAGCCCCTCGGCGTCGTTGAGGAAGACTATGAGGAGGGCAAGGACTGCACTACTCACGCTCACGTCTGGAGGCTGTCGTGCCAGGGTGATGGCTACCATGCCACGCTGAACAGCGAATGGAACTATGCCCGCTGGCACACCGGCGAGTTACTGGTGCACGCTGTTCCCAAACCGGGCGTGCATCTGTGCCCTGAGAAGTAGTTCTGTCGCGGGGTCACCGTGACGTGGCCGGTTGTTGAGGAGCCGGATATTTACGTATGTGTGAGGTTTTTTTTTCCAGAGGTTTTTTTTGCTGACATGGTGCGGTGCAGGTTCTCTTTAGGCCGGAGCTTGGTAGCCCGCCGTGAGATTGCTGGCTTGAAGTCTGATATTGCTGGGGAAGGTGATGGTGGTGATGGAAAGAAAGTAGCTGCAGCATGTCCGTCGGTGTATATCGCTTCCTGCGCAGCTGTAACGCGTCCCGGTTGCTTCTTGGGCACAATAGACGATCTGGCCAAGTGGATCATGGCATGGTGTTGCGCTTAACGAAGAGTATATGATGATGGCTGTTGAACGTTCGATATTTCTTGAGCTATGCAGACTGTAGGCGGTGTTTGTTGTGGTTCGTCCGCACTGGAATCAGTACTCTTCCAGAACGACCAAGATGCTCATGGCATCACAGGGACGCGTTGCCTGAGGCATCTACGCACAGCTTCCACCATCGTAGTCTTGGTAGCCGTACCGTAAAGGACACGATGGCAACTTTAGGATTCAAGTACTTCCACTTTCATCTTGTAATGCCCAAATGGAAACTCTCAACTGGCTCCGTTCTTTCTTAGAAAACATGCTACTCGGTCCACAACCTAGCAAATCTTCTATCCTATTTGTACATACGAACCAATTCAAAGCGGGACATTGATCCGCCTCATAATCTTACTGCCTTCGACGGATGAAGATGCTTCGCTGGAATGGTTCCTCGAGGTTTTTTGAGATTACCGACATTGGAAGTTATTCAGGCCCTACTACGGCGTTTCGTACGTCTGGTTCGTTCGAATACCTAAGTACTCTTTGCAAAGTGATTGTGGCTGTGCATCAAAAGCAAATCCTGGATGCGGGGCTTCCGGCATATGTAGAGATACTAGCGAGGCTGAGAAACTCGATCGATATATAGTCTGTACATTCACGGAGCGATGAAGCCGAAGCGGATAGAGCACAAGGTGAATTCCTCTCACCGACCTCCTTGAATAAATCAGAACCTTGGAAGAAGCTGCGGGCCGTGCTCCGACATCCCCGCCCGCTTGTCGTCGAACGATGCTCAACACCTCCACCGTCACCTTTCGCTCCATCGACCGAGACACCGGCACCGCGATCTCCACCGAACAGAAAGAGGACTGTAGTTTGCACTATGCCGTCATCAGAGACTACATCGACGAAATCCAGAGAAAACCTCTATTCCCGATGCGATGGACGCGGACGAGGCGTCGTCGCTCCACCTCCGAACTCCTCGGTGCTGTAGAGCAGGTCTCAGACTATATCAGATGGCGGCCATACAAGATAACAGATGGGGTAGATGGAATCTGGCTGCTGTCTGAGGCTTCAATCGAGGCGCATGGATCTGACGGATCAGGGACAGCTATCCTCACCCCTCAGTTCTATCAGTCGGCTTCCAACTTATTACATGAGCTCATGAGTAGGCTTGTCGATGGCGAAGACATTTCAACGGATAAGCCAGAAGCAGAATTGGCTACAGCCTCTCCTGATGCTGTGGGACTTTGCGTCCCCCAAAGCAAGATACGAAGCTTTGAAGCCAATCCAGCCCTGTCCATTTTGACAAAATCTCTGGCAACCAGCGGGTCATTCATAGCCACAAGCAGCAAAATATCAGATGATGAGTTGCAATATCTTGCGGCGGCCTATCAATCAGGAGATCAAAATGAGATGGCAAAAGGAGTCACGTTCGAGGATGACCCCGATGAGCAGGCGTTTGAAGGAGCTGTTGCTGGAGAAGAACCGAGCAATACTGCGAATGATTGGGTCTTTGAGTATCTTCGCGGCGGTATGCTGTCACAACCGCAAGCCAATCCTCGTGTCGAAGAGTATGAGTCTGTTGCATCTTTTGCTTTTACGATGGATGAGATATTTCCGCAAACGAAGAAACTTCCACGGCACCGGCACCTCGACTTCAACGAATCTTCTGTGCATGGGAAAAATAGTGGCCATAGCCTGTTTGGACAATCTAACCAATCCGAACGCGACTTCTTCAAAACACCAAAGTCAATCATGAGTGGAAATAGCCCCTTTCGCACGCCACACTCTCGTCTCGGGGGGCTAGAAAGGGCAGTTCAGCCAGGGTAACACATCCTTTCTAGTATCATGGAATCGTCGCTGTATACGACTTCCCACGTGCTCACTTGTTGCAGGTCTCCTTCAGCCTGGAATAAGTACCTTAGAGAAATAGGTCTCATTCCAGACCCATTCGATGAGATGGACTGGTCCGGAAGAGGTCAGCACGCCGAGTTTAATGCTAATGAGGAATCTGATGTTCCCCTCACGCTCGAGAAGGCACTAGGACACAGCGCAACGGCACTAGTGGAAAGCGTACGCTGTCGGCGCATTCGCCTTGCTCGTAAGACTGTCATGGTATCAAGACGCTTGACGAAAGAGGAAGTCATCAAAGAAGTTGAGAACCTACAACGGCTAAAACATCCACACGTTATTCGTGTCGTTGGTACATACACGCTACCTCGTAAATTATCGATTCTACTATATCCTGTTGCTGAGTTCACTCTGGACTAGTTCCTGGAATCTATCGAAGACGAACCAAGCGCTGAAAAGAAATCGGCTCGTTTGTACTCTGTGTCGACGTTTCTGAGATGTCTCGCAAAGGCACTTGCGTACATCCACGAAAATGCAATGAAACACATGGATGTCAAACCGAAGAACCTTCTCGTTCGGGATTTGAGAAGCAGCACTATCTGCAACCAAGGACATTACAAGATCTACATTGCAGACTTCGGTATCGCTCGTTCCTACCGATCGATAGAGGAATGTAATACCGAATCTCCCATCGCATTTACCAGGATCTACGCCGCGCCGGAAGTCGTTGCACAGGAACGAAGAGACCAGAAAGCTGACATCTTCTCTCTCGGAGCCGTTTATTGCGAGATGCTTGCTGTCTTAGCACAAGAACATACAGAAACCTCAAATCTAGATGTGCTCACAAACATCCGCGAGGCCAACCTCGCTGGAAACAAAGCCTACTACGGTAACATTGGCAAAATCCAGGCTTGGCTTAGAAGCCTTTCCATCACATCCTACGGCTTCGAGTCGTCCGACAATCATTTTCACATCGCCGATCTGGTAGCGCAAATGCTGAATTCAGAACCAGCTAACCGGCCTACCGCAAGCACGGTTATTAACAGCATTCCCTTCTTTGCCTTCTGCTGCGATGTTAATGGCGGTTGCGAACCTTTCGAAGTTGCCGATCGACCGGCTGTCCGACAAGTTTACGATCGAGCATTGGAGATTTCTGAAGCAAACTCGATGTACTTTCGATGCATGGTTGATGGCTGCGTTAAAGTCTATTGGAGTCATGAGAAGCTTGAGTATCATAAAAATGTTTGTCTGAAATTCTTCATCTTCTCATTGACGATGATAAAGTGGTTGACCGCTGACAATAACTCAGTACGGACACGGAGGCTCTTTAGATCAGTTGGATTCCCCTGATAGTTTGGCCCCTTTTCAGCCATATTCCGATGAGACTATGAAGCTTTTGGCTCACGAAGAGGTTGGGCCTTTTGCAACGCCCGTCGAAGATGATCAGCAGGGTGATGATGACGATTTCGAAGACGAACTGTACCACGCCGGGCGAATCTAATGAATACATGGTTCTGCCCGGTCGATTTCTGTATCAGGAGGCTTTCCGAAAACAGTAATTTATCAAGTCGTAAGATTCGAGATAACATAGCTGATAAGCGAAAGGGATGCCAAGGAAAGTCAAGAAAAGAGCAAACCGTTGAAACGACCTGGCTTGGTATGTACAATACATCCACCGATTACTTAACTTACAAGCATTAGTGCTACTTCTGTATAAAGATATGCCCGGCATTATATGGAGCATAAATGTAGTGATATTGAGGCTCATATTTATAGCATCTCTTTACGTTATTCGGTCTTTTGAGTGCTGCCTGGCATTCGCTTACGGCGCCAACTATCCCTCCTGGGATGGATGCTATTATGGCGATGACCAAAGCTTGAGACCATTGCTCTACTTTTCTGCCGTCGCTAAGATCGTAGCGTCGATCATAGGGAGGCAAATGATGTATTAGCACGGCCGCACAGGATACTATCTCAAGGCACAACACGGACCACGTCTAGCTCTTTCACTATCAGAATGTATCGGAATGCTATAATACAGTGCAGAGTAAAGCCCATTGACTCGACGAATGCTTCATAGAGTCGACCAAAAAGCTTGCTTTACACTACAAAGGTAGCTATCTATGATTTAATAGTGGGCTTGGGTCAAGACTGTATCGGCGGAGGGCTACAGAAGTTTGCAGTCTTATAGGAATCATATGGCTATACACGTGGATCTTCTTCTCACACAAAACCGTCGTATGAAGAGCACCAATGAATAGACTAACCGGGGATATTATCACCATTCTTCTCGGTGGCGATGAAACTGAATACTCCCATCGTAACATATTTCGTTGACCAAATCTCAGTTCAATAACGTTGACGACCACCTCGGCGGCCTCGAAGCCACTGGTCGCGCCAAACTCGGGGATCTCACACGACAGCTGCAAATCGTCTCCCAAAACGCCGACATCCATACTGGCAATGCTAACGTCGCCACTATCACTGCGAAGGCAATCCGAGACGTACATAAGCGCCTTCACACCACGGTCAGAAGCCGACCATCCGCTTCCCAACGCGGAAGAGACGCTATCGACTACGCGATCGAATGCATGAGCAAGCAAAAGATGTGGTTCCTAAACTACAAGAGTAGGAAACACAGCATCATGAGCTTAGTCTACAATCTCGTGACTCAGCAGGACGCAGCCAACAACTTCGAAATCGCGAAGGATATGAAGACGGATAGTACGAGTATGAACTCGATCTCTGCGCTTACTATGGCGTTTCTTCCGGGCACGTTTGCTGCTGTAAGCAACTTCTCTCACTGAAATAGTCGAAGATAGGTCGCTTTACTAACCCCGCTGTAATGTACAGAGCGTGCTTAGCACCAACATTTTCTCTACCAAAGGCCACAAGATCGAGGTCTCGGCGATTTGGTGGCTATGGACTGCGATCACGGTGCCGCTCACTCTTCTGGTGGTCATTTGCTGGTGGTGATATAAGACGAGGAAGGCGAGGCGAGGGTATTCCGGTAGCCTGAATAAGTCTTCGGTACCGGAACAGCGCACCTTTTCGGCGGGGAGAGTGTCGACGTCTGTTGAGGAGAAGGGGTCGCTGGTGTAGCTGACTTCTATCTTCGATGCAGACATGCGCTAGTGACCCTATACCGATGTTGCATTTCAAAATGTGCAAAATATCCACGTACAAAGTGCGTGGCTTAGAAGTGATGAAAAAGATGGGGTTGATCTGGAGAAGAGTGGAGTAGTTGGTTGAGGTTGGGTTTGAGTACGAGCCTTGGAAAATGCAGAGTCGAACTGAACCAAGCTGAAGGAATGATGGCAGAATGCCATGCCATGGGCAGATCAGGTGGAGAAAACGACTGTTAGTATCTTGTGACCTTCCAAAGTGGGACTACCAACACTAGTTCCCTTCAAACCTCAGAGTGTTCATACCAACCAATGGAACCACCGAACAGGTACTCTACAGAAGATAAACAATTACATTGAATTGGGGGATATATTCGGGTCTCTATACTGCTTCTCGTCTGGGTAAAGTTTGCTCAAGGTGATCACTCATCACGATCTCGGCACTTCTTCAGCTTTCGTCACATAGAGCCTGTTCATCAGTGTGTAGCTCCTTTAAAGAGAGGATGTTAATTATCGTAAGCTTTTTTAGTGTTCAAGGCACATGAGCTCTTTCCTTTTAATCGACATTGGCCTCACCGATCTTGGCTCTATTCAGCGACCCGAAGTTGAACACTACGATGAGCCTTGGTACGCATCGGAGAAATTACACTGGACCAAGGTTGAGCGAACTAGAGCGCCATACTTCTATCAGAAAAGCGCACTTCGCAAAATATCTGGCTTCTGTCTTGCATTTCTTCATTATCTTCACCACTGCCTCGACTTCGTGACTTCCCTGACTTTAACTCAGGTTGCCACTACTAGCGTGTCAGTGGCGTTACATCCTTCAATATCCGTAACAAGGGGGAACAGGGGAGTACCCCCCCCCTTTCAGTGGCTATATATACGGGCCGTATGCCTCTTCAAATCAACACAGAACTGCTTCTTCACAACCTGAGACTTTACGACTACTCACGCACTTGCCTTCAAAGCGACATCCGAACCGCCTATACCGCGTATCTCTCTACAGCGCCATGCCTTTGGGTTCCCGCTGTGCTGCTGACGGGACTCAACGTCGCGAGACCCAACGTGTCCCCGATCATCTCGAGTCCGCGAAAATCCCCACGGCGAGCTCCTTGAAGATACCTCATCGCAAACTTCGACTCCACAGCATCCTCCGATCCGAGCTCATCCAAATCTTCAACTGCAGCCGTTCAAGATGGGGCGCATGAAGAACCACCGTCCTTTTTTCTCTTAGAACTGCCTCTGGACATACTGCTATGTATAGACGAAAAGCTCCCATTGCACGACACCATCGCCCTTGCTCAGACATGCCAGGCTTTGCGGAATACGTTTCATCAAAAATGCGAGGTCGCTGCCCGGAAAGTTAAGCGCAATGAGGTTCCACGGCAGGATAACGAACGCCTCGAGCTCCTCGCAGGCCTCGCAAATCACAGAGCGCAGCTTTTCCTCTGCCCGTTCTGCCATAGGTTGCATAATGTGGACACAAGAGATGTCTCGATCAATCACTACCCTTGCCCCATTGTTCTATCAGAAGAACATTGGGAGGACTTAACAAAGTGGAAGAAGATTGCACATCATCGCTTTAGAAAGGTTCCACATGATCACTTTGGAGAGGGGTATTGCATAGCGCACCACCATGTGCAGCTGGCGCTCAAGTACTCTCGTCTCAGGAACGTTCACCAGGATTACTTAGCAAATTTGCTAGCTCCCTTCACCCGCGATAAACCCAAGACAAATAGTGTCGCTACTATAAATGTTCGATTCGCCAGAACGGGACGGAATGAAATTTCCAGCTTCTCAGCTCGACCGAGGATTGTTGATGATCACTTCCTCCTCTTCGTGCAATGGGAGTTCTACTACACGGATTTCGAAGATCTCGAAAATAAGATTGAGGAAATCGAACCGCAGTACTTAATACGACATCACCGCACATACCTGTCACTTGCCGAAAGAAGTACATTTTGGACCCCCCCATCCTCCGATGGACATCTCCAAGAAAACCCACTACGACTTGGCTGTAGCCCCTCCTTCTTTGGACGAAGCGCTTCCTTTTGGGAGATTCTGCCCCCATCTGCGGTTTAACGCAAAACACATTCAGGATCATTTGACCAATACATCTGTCGAAGGCATCGGCCAGCATAAATTAACCCTCTTCTGTGAACACTGCACTACGGACTACCGCGTCGAACTCCTCCCGGACCGGGTAGTCTTCCAAGTGTGGTAGGATTTGGGGGCTAGCGGCCCACTGAGTGAGAAACACTGGCAGGCTCGTACTTATGGGATCGGTACCGTCTTTCATACGCCCGGATGTATCAAACAGAAGTATGACTCGAGACCAGAAATGATCTAGAGAGCTTTCAGGCGGCTGAGACGATTCTTCCGATTCGGACATAGGGACTAGATTGGGACATCTAGGTCTTGTAGTGCTTGAAAAATTCAGATAGCTGGCTTATATACCTGCATTAAGTTTATGAATTTTGGCTTGACTGGTAGGACCCTTGGGAGACCTTGATCGCGAGCCTGTTAGCTAGTTCAAATCATCGGATCCCACAAACAAGAACGCGATAGCAGCGGAGAGTAATCTCCTTACTAATGTGCCTTGGCCACTATCGCACTGCCTCCTCGTACGTTCTTTTGGGTTTCCTATTAACTATCCTAGCAGACTTCTTCTCTATACGTCCATTTAGACAACTCTGGCAGAATCCTTGCAAGCTTTCCAGTTCCAGAACACTTCAATTATCCATATACGTACAACGCTTTCCAACTCTTCATTACAACGCTAGCCTTATATCCTCCTACCATCTACCCGCCTTCCCACCCAAGTCCACCAAACCCCCACCATGCCCCCCAAAAACCTCCTCGTCGTCTTCGGCGCAACCGGCTCCCAAGGCAACTCCGTAGCCACTACCACCCTCTCCTCTACACCCTATCTACCAAATACTCCGTCTACGCCATCCCCCGCAAACGCCACCCACTCGCATACCCAGGCCCTCGCCCTCGCCTTCGTCCTCGAAGCCGCCATCACCTCCCCCTTTACCCTCCCCGCCGCCCTCGCAGGCGCCCACACCATCTCCATCGCCCCCACAACCGACTCCAACAACCGCACCCGCGCTCTCGAAATCCAGCAAGCGGTATCCGTCTGCGCGGCCAGCATGGTCGCCGGCGCCGCCTACCTCATCCGGAGCAACCTGCCGAACGTATCTAGCGCACTTCGACGTCAACGAGGAGGTCCATCGGTGTATCCACGGCCTGCCCGTCCGAAGCGCGTTCGTCCTCCCGGGGCGGCTTTCACGCAGAATGTCCGCGGGATGCTGAGGCCGGTCACGGGTGCCGCGCGCGAGGGGACGTACGGGCTTTCAAATGTTTTCAGCCTGGAGTTGATTGATATCGCTGAGGCGGGGATGTAAGTGGGTTGCGGCGATGCTTGCAGCGCCGGACGCGTGCGAGGGGGAGAGGGTGTGCGCGGCGACGGGGTTGTGTACGGTGCGGGATATCGCGGAGAGAATGTCGAGAGCGACGGCGAAGAGGGTGGTGTATGGGCAGGTTCTAGATGAGGTTTTTTAAGGGGCGTTTGACTGAGGTGGTGAGGGGGGTGATGATGGATATGTATTTGTGGAATCGCGATTATGGGGATTTTGGGGAAGGGCAGGGGGGTAGTGTGAGGTGGGCGGCTGAGCAAGCGAAGGGGGGGTTGATGACGTTCGATGAGTTCTTGAGGATGAATCTGTTGGTGTTGTAGCGCTTGGAGACGTAGGCTTTCTGGAGATGCGGTGACAGCTTCAGCGCTTCCGTGCGTTGTTAACAGTCGACCGGATGGAAAAGTCACGACGATCTTGAGGTCCGACACATGAAGGCAGCCACAAACGAGATAGAGGTACGCTGGCGCGAGGCCGTGATAAAGTCGCGGGCTCAAGCCTGCGTGAGTGCTGAGCTTATGTGCTACAGTCACGAGACAGGTATTGGGTTGTGGCCGTGACAAAAAACGATTCAAAGGAGAACGACAGTACCTTTACTGTTTTCCGAAAGCCTTCAAAGTAATCAAGTAACTAACTTCTCAGGAAGAGGTATAAAGAGGGATATATCGCGCACATTTGGTCCATCTGATTTCTCCAAAGCAGGAAGCAGGAACAATATGAAAACCGGAAATACTACTCATCCACGTGCGTGAAAGGTCGGCTAATCTGTTGAGAGCTTCTCTGCACCAACATAAAATGGCGGCAGTGGTTCCTGATTTCTCTTGAAGAAGACCCACTTTTTGATGTGCCATACAGAGGTCTTGATTTGATAGCTAGCATGCTTCCATGTCGGCACGGAGAACACTTGGTCCAATTCCTCAAGAGTGAGAGCCTTTGAAGATAAATCAGTTTCGTCTTCCTAAGAGGAATTGGGAGTAAGAAGCTGGGCGGGAGACTGACCTTCGTTTCTGGCAGGAAAAGTAGAACCAGGAACCAGAGGATCACACACCATGCTGCATACCAACCGAACGCGCCCTCGGCCTTGAAAGCTCGTACGAGTCGCGGCCACGTAAAGGACAGGATGAAATTGAAGCACCAGGTCGTGGCGGTAGCCCAGGACATGCCGACATCTCGGACCTGCATTGGGAATGCCTCGGCAGAGTATGAGAAGGGTACTGGGCCCATACCAGGAGAGTAAAAGCACTCGAAGAGGTACATGCCAGTGGTAACCATACCAAGCCGCGCTTTACTCTTAGAAACGTTGGATCCTGCAGGCGGAGGATCGATGAAGAAGCTCATGCCGGTCCACAGGAGTGTGATTGCCAGGAATGGGAAAGTGACTAATAAGAGCTTGCGTCGTCCGAAAGTATCAATTGTGAAGAAGGCTGGTAGCGCAAAAACCCAGTTCAAAATACCGGTGCCCATGGAGGCGAGCAGAGCTGGATTTCTGCCATAGCCACTTTGCTGAAAGATCGTCGTGGAGTAATACGCAATAACGTTGACACCGCAGAACTGTTGACCGAACATGACAATCCAAGTGGCAAATGTCGCACGTCTGTTGCGAGGGATGGTGAAAAGCTCGGCGAACTGGGTGAAGAGGTTCTTTCCAACGTTAATCCTCTTTTCGATTTCCACTCCGATGAACGTGTAGTACAAGTCTCGCGATGCCTGAAGCTCCGTCTTGCGGATTAATCGAAATGATTGGTAGGCCTTTTTGATCTTCCCGTGCTGGATAAGCCATCTGGGGGACTCAGGACAGAACTGTCACAAATCAGAAACGTTAGCTCGTCTCTTTCATCCTAGTAGTCCTCCACTTACATAGACCTGAGCGCAGACGATGATTGGGAGAACAACAGTTGAACCGAGGATAAGGCGCCATGCGAGGTCCGGTCGCAGCCCACCGAACGCGACACCCATGATGTTTCCCATCATGATGCCAAAAGCAGTCCAAACCTGCCATTGCATCACCAGGGCGCCTCGGATCGGAGCAGGCGCACATTCAGCAGTATAGATAGGAACAGCTGTAGAAGGACGGTTAGTTACCCACTAAAAGCGATTTACAGTACGTGAACATACTACTCGACTTGGAACCAATTCCTAGGCCAAGGACGAAGCGCGCAAGGAATAGATTCACCCAGGAGTTGGCGACTCCTTCCCAGATACTGGCTACCGCAGCGATGAAACATGAGAGGAAAATAGTTCCTCGTCGGGCAAACACCCTGTTCAAAGGCTCGGTGAGCCAACAGCCTAGTATTGCACAGGCGAGATAAGGAGCGCCGACAATTAGGCCTGTAAGGTTGTCTTGCATGTCGGGCGAGAAGCGATCGGACGTGACACCAAGTTCCTCGAGATAGAAGGCTTGCGCGCCATTGTTGACGGTCTCATCCATGCCTTGGACAGCGGCGGCAAGAGAAGCCATTGCTAAAAAAGAACTTAGCCTGTGCCATGACAGCAGGATTCGACAGTGGACTTACAGACGAGCCAGTACAGCATCCATGGCTGATCCCACTTGTGTGTTTTCTCGTGCTCGAGGATCTCTCTGTCTTCCTGAGTAAGCTCAGGTATCTCGTCGATGTTCCAGGGGCTCTGGGCTGCCAGTGCGCCCCTTTTCATGACATCGCATTGTTCCATAAGATCGTGCTCTCGGCAGAAGTCTTCGACATTCTGCAACAAGGTTTCTTTCTGGACATCCGCTAGCGGATTCTCGAAGACGGCGTTGAGCTTGCTCCTGTCGTTGACATCAAGATCGAGAACATCCTTCCGGACTGCGCCGTGCTGGTCAGGCCGCGCGTCTCTGGACGTTCGTTCCGAGCGGTCTTGCTTCTCCGAGATTTCGGATGCCATGGTGACGGAATGGATCAAACTTTTGAGAAAGCACAATACATCGATGGCCGCGCAAGAAGTGGGCATGTCGCGCTCCAATAAATAGAGGGGAGCGCATGTCTGGGGAGACACCCCGCCGTTTGTTCCGTGCCGTCCGTAAGCACCATCTCCCCATATTGGCAGCGATGTGCAGGCGTGCAAGGAGTGTGTTGGTGAAGCGGGGGGTGTGGGTGAGGTTCCACATTTCATGCCTGGAGAGTCAAAGAGTATTTGCGGAGGAGTTGCAAAGGCCCCCAGCACATGACTTGGGGACAACGGGCCCCGGCAGCGGCAGGCTTGGCAGCGTGTCGTTGACGTCAACCTACATTTGGGTCTTATGATGCGGAGGCACGGCTGACTCATGCTCGGCCACAATGCTTGTCGCCGGCTCCGAGACCACACTGCTCGCTACAATAACGTCCGACACCAACATCCGAGATTCACCTACAGTCTCCCCACCTGCTTGGCTCATACACCTCTGTGCACGATAGGGTTGTTTACAGTGCGAATCACCCATGTCGTGTACATAGGTGTACGGGCCGAGCGGGGGGAACTGTATCAGCGGGGATGAGTGGAGGGTTCTGCGTGCATATTTGATCACGCTTAGAAGAATTGGGACTAGCGGCTCGCCTCACCAAACTCCTTCACCAGCACCGTGCGCCCGGCTAATCGGAGTCTCACTTTTGGTGATGGTAAGCCTGGTAGTAGGTACAGATATAAGTGGGTCTTGGATGTTGGTGTCGGAAGTTGCCTGCATAGCAGAAGCCGGCAACCTGGATTCTGGGGAGCCGCATTATGTTGGAGAATGCCATGAATATGGTTGATACTATAGTGGAGCCGTCGCCCACGTGCCTCTTCGCCTCGAGTATGCAGCCTCAAAGCCAGTTGTGTTTGCCGACAATGGGCGCAAGAGCGACGTGGACTCCCTAGATAAGATGGGGCATGATCTGGTGGGAGCGCGGGAAGAGAAAAACTGGTCTTTGTAGAGAATTGCTAAGGTGAAAGCAAAACAAGGACCTACCCGGCACTGGAATAAAAAGCTATATTGGAGAGACAGAAGGAGAGCCACGAGAGCGGCCATTAGCAGAACTCGGACTAGCAGAGTGCTGGAAGAGCGATTTTACCAGGGTCTGAGACCCCTCCGCTGATCTGTAGACTCGAGAACTCTCACAAAAGATTCCTTCAGCGTCGGGACGCTCTCGCTCACACCAACACCCCCGAGTACTTCGGAACCAGCGCCCTTCAATGTTAGACACGTTACGCCTCATTATACGTGTCTCTAATGCTCCCAAAAGCACGAAGTATTTCACCATCGTCATTTCTCGGGTAGGAGCTGTCCAACTTGACACTTCGCCACGGCGCATCCGTAGGTGGTCCTTGGGTCCCAAGATCCTGCCAGATCTGGAAGATACTGTACTTTACAATAACCCCAATAGAGAAGCCGATAGGGCAATACGCGCACCCGCTGCTACATATCTGCGATCCTGCGCCCAGTCTCGTACGAAACAGCTCCCGTTCAATCCAGCCCAAATTGAGACCGTGGTGCAAGCAAATCCGGAAATCAGGAAGCGAGTTGGCCACAGCTTTAGTTAGGGTTGAACGGACTTTGTTAGGTAGGTTGAGCTTCCATGTCGAGTGAAGTAGAAATCGATTATTCACGATCTTCGGGCGAGCAATAAAGTCGGCGACTTTTACGCAGTCCCAAATATTCCCATCCGTAGGCAAACCAGTCTGTGGTGCCAGTAGACTCGATAGGAGATGAGGAGCGTTCCTTTTACGAGCGTACTTGAGCGCTAGCTGAATCTGGTTGTATGCTGGAAAAAGAGCGCTGGCGTGATGATGGCGAAGGTGGTTCCTCACTGTCCAGCTTGCGCCGCAGGGATAACGACATTCATTACTAAAGCTCGGACGGCCCGATGGAACGTCCGAAATGTCCGAAGGATCGATGTTATGTCGTTTGCGGCAGGGCATGCAGAGTAGACAGCCGGGCTCGTAGTTGGTACGCTCTGCCAGGAAAACCCAACGTTCGATTGTTTTCGTTGGAAGCCTGATGGTGGCTATAGCAGCTACACATTTGGAATGTAGTAGATTCCTCATGGCACTGCATGTTCGAGAGACTGCGACCATGCTGACTAGAGACAGCTCGTCGGAGATGAGGAGAAGTATATCCATGGGTAGTTCCATGAAGGTTAAAGGAGGCGTAACATGACGAGGAGAAGTCTGGCTTGACACATCTCCATGGCCTATTCGTTGGATTGGTGAAGAGGTAAGTGGAGTATTTGCCTCTTGAAAAGACATCTCGCGGGAAAGCGGCGCTATCGAGGAGCAGATCGTAGTACGAGGCGAGATAAAAGGGATAATGCAGACGTTGGCAAGAAATCGTGGCAGTCGTGAAGACGTAGTGGTGTGCAACGCGAAGTCTTTCTAGGTGTGCATCTCTGCCATATATCTGGTACGGTGGATCAGGCACCCGTGGTCAAAATCCGCTCGGTACCATGGTTCGCAAACGTCTCGCACCAGACGCTCAAAAACATAAGCCCATCCCAAACCTTGCGGATCAGTGAAGATACGACACCGTCTGAGATGTTGCAATACACCAAGAAAAGTCTGCATGGGCTGTAAGGTCTCCTGAATCGTAGTATCTGAGTTGTTATAGCAATACCGTTCGGCGCTGTTTGAATTTCGTCGTAGCCTACATAAATCGAACTCATTACTTTGCTGTGAAGAATGCTGATTCAAGTATGAGAAATAGACATATTAACTGAGTGTTGCGATGCGCTTGATATTGAGATAGATGTGCACGCTAAGCCGTTTAACTCGCGAAGACAAAGTAATGATATTATTTTCATTGCGGCTGGTTCGAGTGCGCGATAAGACTAGTAAGACCTGATGGTGGACACTTCATCCCTGTTGTACATATCTCTAATGCTTCCAGGAGTGTGATACACGGTGATATTTGGGTATTCGCCGTTTTCTCGGACGTAAAGTCGCCAAGGGAGATCCAGAGGTGAGCCTTCAGATCCAAGATCCTGGTACACCTTGAAGATGATTCGGCGAGGGAGAACCTCAAGCCAACAGTCCGTGGGGCAACGGCCACACCCGTAGGACAGCTTTTGTAACACTGAGACCATGGCTCCTTTGACCAACTGGGCACGAATCCGATTGTCGTTGAATTTGTGTTGTGGACAGAAGCAAACTCCTGGAAGTGCATCGATGACTGCCATGATTATGTGGAGTCTTTTCGAGAAAGAGTGTGTGTATCGGAACTACCATTCCAAGCAATGAATAAAGTGGCCGTCGATGATCTTCGGACGGGCTGAGACTTTAGCGAAGGATAGGAAATTCTGCCAGCCATCCCTTATGACACGAGAGAAGGGTTCCAGGATTCTTGCGAAATATTCTTGATGAGCTTTGCTAAGACGAGCATATTTCAGCGCTAGCTGTACATGATGATATCCCACGAGGTAATCGACTCCGAAAGGGTGAAAACCGCGAAACCATGGTGTCACTTCTGCTTGGCAGGTGTTGTAGGAGTTGCGATGCGGATATGACCCACGTGGGATATACGGAACGTCCAGTGTATATATAGCGTGTAGAACCCCACAATCTGAGCACAGTACGCAGTCCGGAGAGAATTTTGCAAGTCCGACGAGAAAAGCTAGACGTTTCTCTTGTGGGGAAAGTTTGACTTTGCGTAACTCGACCGCGCACTTAGGACGAAGTAGATGCCGCATGGCGGTGCAAGTTCGTGGTAGCTGGCGTAGGAAGGGAGAATCAGTGAGGGAGACATGAGTTGTATTGAGGTTCTAGCGAGTGGCTATATAGTTGGAAGACGGTAGGAGTG